TCACTTTGGAGTCCTTGGACCTATTTCAGTCCAAGTTGTAAATAGAGCAAATGAGTAAATAACGAAAAGAAGCAAGATTTTATGGAAGGAAAGAACTGGAGCTTTTTGTATGCTTTTTGTTGACCCTGCTGCTACTCCTGCAACAATTTCTTTTCAAGCGGGGAACAAAGGGGTCGTGGTAATGGTAAAGAAATCCCTACAACCATGCACCTCAACCCTTTTACTAGTCTCTCCAGATCGATATGGGGATGCTGAAAAGGGTATATTTTTGTATTTTTACAACTCACAACTGGACATGACAAGGACACGTGAGGAAAAAAAATAAATAAGTGAGAGTGGAAAAAAGGGTGAGAAATGTTCATCATCATGAATGAGTCACCCCATGCAGAGCTTCTTCTCATCCTACTCCCATATATTTAAGGACGTGTACGTATAAGTGCGATGGGAAGGAGGATAAAAATGACCACTTTCAACATCTTTCCAACAAGAATGACCATGGACTGGACTCTGAGGGCTGATCGACTAATATATGACCAAAATCTAAAACAACCCTAAAATTGTTGTTGACCACCATCCTCGTACTCCCTCGGTCGGACCATTGCATTGATTTCTCTTACAATTTTTCAAGCACTTTTAGCTACGAGTTTAATTGTTAATTGGCTTTCTTTCCTGGCTTGGGCTTTACTAAAGATTTCGTTATAATGAGCAACATTTTTGTAAATAAAGAGGGAATTAAAAAACTATATGAATCCACCAAGTCAATTTTTAAGAGAACAAATGAATTAATCTCCTCCTGATTTTTTACGTCTTGTACTTGTGTCCATATGCATTTCGTGGAAAAAGTGAATGGCCGGCGAATTGAAAGCGAGTCATTTATATTTCACGGATATTTTATGGGACATTTTTGGTCACTTTGGTCTCACCTCGAATTCTATTTTTCAGTGTTATTCTATTTGTATTCAATAATTTCTATTGAATTCTTGACTTTGTTGGTCATTCACTGGAGAGATGGACATTATACGAATGTATGTATATTCTATGGAATTGTGGAATCCGGATTGAATGCATATTGTCGAATATTTTTTACCGGTTGACCTGGACATATTGAAAACCCAACTGTTTTAAAGTTTGGACTGGACCCTAAAGGATGAAAAGATTCAGTATTCTTCCTGAATTCTGGAAACACTGAATGCGACGACGATCGGGCATCGCTCTGGATGAAATGCAGGGGATATATGAACACAAGTCTGCTTTTTTGTTAGAGCCAGAAATAATGAAACCAAATGTCCAGCTCAATGCTTAAAAGGTCCAACCCATTATTGGTATTTTACCCATTCTACTATACATATGGATATACTTTTTACATGCGTATACTTGTATTAGATTTGTTCGTCTATGCACAAGTCAAATGCTACATAAAAAATAGTTAGTGGGAGTTAAGAAATCTTTGAAATGTTCCATGGCTCATGTACTACGGCAAAATGGTAATTGTAAAAAATAGGTTCGCTCACATTAACGCTTCCAAATTGGTAGTGAAAAGTGTCAAGTTGCTTTGTCCGGCTCGGTAAGAAAGCGGACATTTAAAATTTTAGAGGTCTCCGGTCAAGAAAGGAGACAATTCTTGAGCAGTTGGTTTTTACTGAACCGGACTCTTTTTAACGTTGGTCATCATGGTTGTTGTTATACTTTTTATGCAACATTTGGACCTCCGCCCACACATAAAAATTTTCCACTTAAATCGTATAAGTGATTCTTGGAAATTCTGATTTTTTTGTAAAACCTCCTTGTGAAGCCTGTGCAAGAAGGCTTTTACTTCCATTTACTTAGAAAATCATCTGGCGTTTGTCTCCAGACGGATAAAATTGTATACGGAAGATGCATGATCTCACATTCGTTTTGTCGAGCTATTTATATTTATGTACACATATATCACTGGTCAGCCATCATCCAGAAGCCTGAATGATAGAGATTAGTAACCGAGATGAAAATGATGTCATTGCGCCCATAATAACCGAGCCACGACCATTGATTCTTTGTCTCGTCAACGTAGGGCTAAAGCCTGAAACTTAACCACAAAATTTCACCTGCGGGGAACCAATAGTTCACCTGAGAAGATAAATCTTGGTTAGAATCGTGGTTAAAGAAGTTGTATGGGACCATTTGAGATGAACAAGGAGATAGAACTTTTTACGCAGTCCAATGAACAAATCAGGTCCTAAATCTCACATTTTTAACATTTTCCTCCAAAAATTTCTAGACCACTCTATCTGACTTAAATCAGCATTCAAGCTTTTTTGAATTTGTTTTTTATATCTTATTTTTCTATCCTATTCACACAATCGACCTGATAAGATTATTCAGTTGACAGACCTATGCTGTTATAACGGCTCATTTACTGGTTTACGAGGTTTATTGATAAATCTGATAAAAATAAGGAGGCATGTTTATTGGTTTCACTTTTTGTATACAATTTTTGGAAAAACTTCAAAGCCGTAACTGTTACAACTACTGTGTTGGCCTTCTTTAAGTATTTCTGCATTGGGAGAATCGCAAAACATAATTTCGTCAATTATTTTTTGGGTATGTCTGAAAATCTGACAATCTTGAATCGAATATTTGCAACTTCAGACGTGAAATAAAATCTCGAGGCTGAATTTTAGGTAGCTATTTGGGGCCGGCAGATAATTTGGATAGATTAGTCTGGGCTAAAGATGGTATGCATAAATTCCTTATCGCTCCTCTCACTCAGACCATCCAAATTTTCAATTTGGACGATTTCTCCCATTCCTCATAGTGACTATCCTATAGAAGCTTGTGCCAACTTGTGCAGTATGTAGTGCTGTCTCTGTAATAAATAGGGTGCACGTAAGTACAATCAGCCCATTGGAGCCGATACTGAGTTCTAAGTAAGCTAAACAACAACCAGAATCAGTATGGAACAGAGCAGAAGGCTTTTTCCACAGGGTCGACGAATAGGAAGTCATAATGCCCGGATTGCGTGATATGAAAAACTTTCTCTGTCATCCGATCCGATTCGGTGGAAAAGGCAGAAAAATGCACCCTCAGAACGAAATCATGATCCCTTCCTTCCTTCCTCCTTCCCATCCATCCATCCTCCCACTCTTTCGTCCCTCTCCTTCCAAAATACATGCACTTGTAGGTACGCCTTCGTCTCTTACTTATAAATTCAGCGCATCTAAAAAGAATAATTCCACTTTTTACCCCGAGTCAGGACTTATGGAACAGTCATATCCGTCCGTCCGTCCCTGATGCGATAGAGCCAGTACGGCTAAACCGGATACCTTGTTTACAAAATGCATATTTCCAATACCGGTATGGAGGTTACTAATTAATTGGGAGCAATTAAGGTGACGTTGAATTTTTAAAATTATTTATCAACCAAAATACTGGAGGGGTTGATCCATACTGATTTTTGAATTCGTTTGGAAATAGCTAAAATTTGGCATCAAGGTTCAAATGTATCTCAGATTTACTAATACGAAAGAAATGTTTAGAAATTTGCCAGCAGGGTGAAACACTTCTTTGCAAAAACTGAAATTTTTCGTGCAGGATAAATGTGAGTTGATGTAATAAAGTTGATGATGATATTAAGAATATTATGTCATGTCTACGGCGACTTGTGCCGTGAAAACTATACTAAAATAGATATAATCGGCGTCGTTGAATTTGCATTACAATTGCTAAGAATCGGTAGATTATCGGACAAAAATCCAAAATGAGACTCTGACCATGACTCGGGCTAAATAAAGTCTGCACTGTAGGTTTTCAATCCTGGGTGATGACTGAACTTTTCCCTCAAATCCATCCATCCTCCGACCGCTAGAAAAATCTCATTTCATCTCAAGAATCTCAAATATCTTGGTTTTTATTCAAGTCAGCTTTTGGATAAAATAATAATGTCACATCGTTTACCACTTGAAAAGAATTTAGACGTATGCACCAAATGTATGTATGTATCTAAATGATTTCCCTGCTACTTGGCAGCACATGCACACATCCCTTCATGTAAATTAAATATGTACGCAATGTATGGAAACGAAATGACAGTGCACATTTCAGAGCCAGGTTTTTGTATCCAAACTTTTATTTCGTTAAAGTACTCACTCATCTCAATGGGCCAAATGTTGAGTTTGACAAGAATGTTCATCAATTGAAAAGATAAGAACCACCCACAACCAGAAGCATTAGTAAACAAGAGGAGCGTATCAGTGCCAGAAATATTCTGATACACAAAAATAAAATAAATCGCATCGAACCCAATCAACTGAACCGAGTTGAATGTGATTCCTCTCAAATGGAAATTTTGTTCGATTGTTGCCAAAAATGGACAGAAGCCACTCAATTCACATTTTTAGTCTCCCACAATGACGCAAATGTGATCCCATTTTGATCCCATTTTGACTTGGTCAGATCTGTTTCTAGACACTGCTTACTCGTTTTTATGGCTTTCACCATCGAAAATTGACTCATCCTTACATTCCTTCTATGTAGCTGTAACTTCTGACGTGGAATTTATTTCCTAAGTATGAAATGAATTTTTTTGTAGATAAAATAGCTTATCATTGAATACAATCTAGAAGAATGTGTGATATGCATATGTATGTATGTATGTCTAGCTTACAAATGTATGAATATCTCCCTTTAAATGCTCTCGAGCAAAATAAAAATTGTATTACTTTAAAGAACCGAAAGAATTTAGATAAGCAAGCAACTGATGAAATTATGGCAAGTATTACATCTATTGCGCTTAAATTCAAGTCATCTTAAAAATTTTCAATCTCAACACAAAACGTTGTCTAAAAACCAACTCTGTATCGCAAAATAAAATGCTATCTCCCGAGTATTTGTATATAGCGAGCGTGTCCAAAATAACGTGGTAGATGAAAATGAGATTTTTCTACCAAAAGTCCAGCAAAAGTGTAGAAGTGGTAGCAGTGGTGGTGGCGTAAATGTGGTGATACGGGTCCAAGTCTCCGGTAATGCCCATTCATTCACTTGGTGGACGTTCGACAACAACCCCGTCTCTGCCTCAATTCACGTCCTTTCGCCTTTACTTTACTGCATCTCAAGTTGCCTTCAACAGCGTGTTCCTCAACTCTATAAGACTGACAAAGACGGCCTTCTTAGACTGAAAAAAGTGAAATTTTTAATAACTTTGATAACATTATCCAAACAACAAAACATTACAAGTAGCACAAACCAATAGTTTGAATTTTCATCGGACAACATTGCTTCGGTTTACAAGAGACAACAAGTATAGCAGAACAAACAAAAAGGTAAGTGAATTAAATTTGTATACAATTTAAAACCTAATCAAGTTAGGCCTGAATAGGATTTAGCATATGAAAAGCTTTATTGAGTAGAACTACACTTGCACTCATTGGTTGAAACCATGTTTTTTATCGCCCGGCTAAAAAATGGGAAGTTAAGTGGGTCTGATTGGCTGCATGATATCATCAGCATCACAACGGGTAATAAAAAAGTGAGTAAAAAACGCCACACGACCTTTTTTTACAGTATAATGAGTGGATTTGTAGGGAAGATAAATGGAAGCGTGTATGTATGTAGTAAACAGATAAATAGTGACTAAAAAATGCTCGCGTGCTTTCAATAGAATAAAAAAATGATACATAAGTTTTCTCTTTGTTGTTGGTGGTGTTGTTTTTTATCGTAATTTCTATTTTCAACCGCTTTTTGTTGCCCCTTCACTCGCTTTGGGAACTATATCAAATCATGCACACTTCATTCTCACCTTCCCTGACTACTTTCACTGCACTCAAGTTTTTTGTGAGAATGATGATGAGAAAAGGGCCCTTCGTTGATTGGGACATTACGTATTATCCCATTTTATTGGGGTATTACTCGCTGCTTAAAAAATAAAGGAGGGCCGATGGGTACAAAATAGCTCGTCGTAATAATAAAGAACTTGCATTTTTTCTTAAAACCTACACCACTATTCATGGCAAAAGGATAGAAAGGGATTTGGTGGAGAATAATATGGAAGGAAACCCTCTTGAATTAGGCAAGCATGATGATGTCGAGTAGTGCACGAGATTTAGTTTAGTTTAGTGGCTCTCTCAATCTCAATTGATACCTTGGCATCGGTTGTATGTATGTATGTAATGTTGTTGTATGGCACCACAAAAAAGGCTAATCCCATCACATCTTAAAAATAAGTTTTGAATGAATAATGGGCATCTCACATATCACTTTTACTTTATTTCTGGATACGTGAAAAATGGAGAGAAAAAAGTACAAACTGTGACATTCATATGTACTACATAAAAATATTCATTCTGTTGAATCCGAATAAATAGGTGATCCCCTTTACAGTTTTTGACCATTGTTGGCGAGAAACTTTGAGGTGGCAAAAAAAACGAGATATTTTTATTAGGCTGGGGTTGTGCTATTAGAGAATGCGGAGATACTAATCCGACCTCTGAATAAAAGTGTATACATATTTTTAGACGCGTGTTCTCCACAGGGTCCCCCGACAAAAAACTGAAGCTGAAGGGTCTCATTTTTATCCGGTGAGCTTAGAGGTAGATCGGATCGGATCTACTATTTATATAAAACAGCACGAGTGACAAATCTAGTACGACTCCCTTTCTATCCTAAAATTGAATTGAAAAGAGAAGAAATTCTGTAAAAAGAACCTTTGATGAGCGGATGCAGTTCAGACACCGATGTTGTTTTTTACCATATCGCGTTCGCGTGTCAAGAGCGTGTGAGCAATCGATTAAGGGCGGCTCCCTATCAATCCCTGGCAAGATTAGTTTCATGATCGATTTTTTACGTACACTCCCTTTTTATGCCTCAAATGTGGCTGCCATTACCACAACCCCACACACACACACGTAACAAAGCTCAACCATGTCTTCCTTGGGGTAGGTTTTGTGATGAACGAGACCTGTTTTTGCTCGGCAAAGAGCACAATTACATTTCCGTCCATGGATCGATAAAAAACGAGGGGAGGAGGAGGAGGATCTACAAAATCCGCTTTTCAGAGATAGTGATCTCCATCCCCTGTTGTAATTAGTTCTGACCCTTCCTTCATTATCCCTGTAGCTTGCCATCCCCGTCGTCATCGGGTGTGAGGTATCGTTTTAGAATAGTATTTTGCTTCTCTCGGCTCCTCAGTTAAACGAGTTATTATTTAAAACATTTGACTAGAATGTGACAATATGCATAAGAGTGAGCATGATGATCAGAATTTTACTAAAATCCAGGAAAATACAGATGCAGCCTGTTTCAGTTTGAGATTATTTCATATTCCACCTAAGGTCCACCATCAATACTTTTTGGCAGTTGTTCATTCTTTCATTCGTTCGTTCGTTAGTACGTGTTCTTTGTAAAATGTAAATTCTGTGGCGTGGCCATATGATGATAAGTAAGTATAAACTTAAGTAAACCTTGAAGGTTGTTTGGTCGTTCAGTCAGCAGAGATCAGCATGATTTTTACCCAAATAAAAATTCGTTCTCGTATTCATCACCTGCTCGCTCAATAGTAGTGGTTAGTTCTTGCCTGGGACATAACTTATTGCTTTGGCTTGCGCTACAAGGAACACAGGTAATTCCAGCTCTAAACAAATTCAATGTCAATGCAATGCAATAATTTAGGGTTTATAAAGGCAGTATGCAGTGAGTAAGCCACTAGCGAGTGGTACTACTGTGGAAAAGGTGCATTTTTGTCATATCCTCAATGTACCAAAGCGTGTGTCCCTCCAAGCTTGTGCTACCAGCAACATGAGCTATTAGCCAACGGTTATAGATTGGAAATGCAAGAAAAATAAATAAAAACTGTTGGCCGGAGAAAGAATATGACGCGTTTTGTATGCACCGCATCATCGCATACGAACGACAGACTGCGTATATGTGGATCGACACTGGAACTTGGGTCCTCAGAATGAAGGTGGACGTCGTCTATTTGTTGTATTTTATGCGTTTTACCGACTGCAGGAACGTATTACAGATCGCCCCCGCATGGTGACAGTAATCGATGGGTTTTACTCGGATGAAATAAAATCAAAATGAAAAATGATTTTCCAATTTTCAAAAGCTCGTCCACAATGAGGTTGACGTTGGATAGAGATTTATTGAGAGATTTTTATGCAGTTCGGCTCTTTTTATTTTTTATTACCTCTCGTCCGGTCGGCATGTGTCAGAATTTCTATTTTGTTTATACATACATATATCTACGTTTAGGGAAGGTGTGCTTCCCCCACTCATTGAGTCTTATTGATAAATATCCACGGAGAAAGTCACCTTTGACAATATAAACATAGAGATGAATGAGTTGGCATTGGCAGGAGTTACATTCTTATTATTATGAAGCGGAACAAAGTGAAGCGTAGTTATTGCGAACGGTTTGTCCGTCTCAGCACGCACGATAACTTTCGAACGAATCAATTTTTCTTAGTTCTCCTTTCGGATATCGACATCTAATGTTGAAATTAAGGAAATTCGTTAACTGACTTCGTTGGTCAAAGGGTTACGGGTCAAAATCATATCTTTTTTGTTTTGATCGTTTTAGACGGGGAGGAAAATTAAAAAACACTATCATTTCGACCTGGTGACCCTACAAACGAGGTCATAGGTCATGTCATACGATTTTGAAACGTCAAAATCTTAAATTGTCCTACTATATAGTAGAAATCTCGAGTACGCATCTCAATGTACTCCGTTTCCGGGAGTTTGTTATATCTGTTTCTGGAGTTTACTTATTCTTGGTCCCATTTTTTACTGGAACATCAAGCTCCGTAAGAGGCTGGAACCTCCATTATCGTGGAGTAGGTATTACTTTAGATGTGGAAATCAGTGAAACCGCATTGAAAGCCGAAGAATATTTTTGATGAATGTCCATGCCGCACTGCTTCCAGGTCGTCCTATTATTATGGGGCCCTGCATTATGCGACAAAATATACGGACAAAACACTTTGTGGTGGCGAGGAGAAGCATATTATTATTATTTATTGTGAAGTGCAGCAGCCCACGTTTTCAGCAACATCAAATGGGAATGAGTTTGCAATTTCATTTCATCTCTGAATTAGCCCGAAAGAAGGTATGGAATTGGACATACTATATACTCTACTGGAAGGCAGATCGTTCGAAATGAAAAGTAAAAAAAAGTGTAGCCTGCTGCTGGTGGCCACTCATCTTAATACTCTTAAAGTAAGAGGAGGAGGGCGAGGGTCGTCTGGCTATATTATGATGATGATGAGAAGGTCACGAGTTGTTATGACCAGAATGTAAACCGCACACTTTAACGATTATGGCCAGATGATGATTATTGGGATAGGTGAACGGGGAGCAAAGATGCGGAAGACGAAGAAATAAGCGGCTCCTGTTTCTTCCTCCTTCACGTCGTTGTAAAAAAAGTCTGTCATAAACTTCCTTATTTTGAAAGTAAGACTATCGAGCGAGTGAGTATCGAGTGTCACCTATCAGTGTCCATGTGCTTGGGTTGAGGATCTCATTTCAGTGATTTGTTGCCTCATTCCAACTATTTTAACTAGATTCATATCCACCCTGATGGTCTCTAGGGTCAGGATTTTAGGACACTTAGGAAAAATCTCCTTCAAGTAAATCCCTAATGTTGGATGACTTTCTTTTTACTGTACAGGACCATGAAATCTCAATTATAGTAAAGTCCTCGCCTTGTTCTTTCAAATTTCAGATGGTCAGTTGCCAGTTAAATATAGCTATACATGCCTGGACTGCCTGGTAGTAGTAGTGGTGGTGGGTGGCACGCATTGTAGATTGCATGACTTGGTGGTAAGGATAATAATGGTATTGCTCTTTGACAGCACGGTGAGAGTGTACAGCGCATATAAGTACGTTGGTCTGTTTTAAACTGTTTTTAACTGTTAAACACATACCCAATGTCCAAAAATAGTCCGGAAAATGAACACAAAAAATACGGAAACACGATGGACGTATAGAACAGAGTGGTGGATAAATGACATCATTGACCCATGTGCACTCCAGATATGATTAGGGTCAAAGTATGTGACCGGAAGTGTGACTGGTTGGCAGAAAAAGCTTTATTTCATTCATTTATTTCCAAATCCTTCATGGTTTTCGGTTATACCCATGGAGTAGTCGTACTTCAATACGAAGGACCATGATGATTTTTATTCTTCGCCTTCGTGGCGTTTCAACTCTGGCTGAATGGATGGACAATGACTGATTGCCGGAAAACAATTTTAGTAAAAATTAATAAGGCCTTAAAACATGCAATTATACAACAATCAGAGTGAGTGGGCAAGAGTTGCCACACCTTGCCTTACATGCACTCGTAAAGGACTGAATTCCACCAGAACTGTATGCATTGTCATTCTTTGTTATTGTAACAGTATTTTAGGGTCAGTAAGGGAAAGGGTTATATCTGTAAAATAATTGATACGTACACCTCGCTGTTCTCAGACTATTTTACAATACTTTGCAACAGCATAATCCTCTACATTTTCTGTTTTATTATTGACAGTTATGAAACCAGTCAAAGTATCCAGTTTTGGGTTCTTGCCATACCTATCTCAAGTCCGTCCACTTTCACTAGGCGTTGTACAAAAGGGTTTAAAACGGAACTTTGTCATTTACAGTTAGTTTACCTACGCATACTCAAAAAGTCTCCTTCTAAGTTATGTTCGTTTTATCCATTTGTCCATTGTCAGAATTTTTGTTAGTTGTGGTTGTGAAGTCGAATGCGAATGAATAAATTTTTAAAAAATCTGTAAAAATGCGAGTGTGAGTTAATTTCCACTGTTCTAGTTATCTGAGAAGCAACAAAGACTTATTTGTTGGTTTGGTTTGGTTCGTGCCTTACTGAATGTGATACATGTGCACAATACTCGAGACTACTGTTTGAACAATTGTTGTACTAGAATTAGAGTAAAAACGCAGACGAGTGGCACATATTGAGATTAGAAGAAGATCTTGGAATCTTGCAGAGGACCGAGAGTAATAATTTGAAATAACGTGCAGTTAAAACGAGGACCACGACAGTCCAGTTCAGTAACAGCAGAGAAAAGTGGTAAGTCAAAGCTATAAATTTTAACCCCTTTGGTTGCGGAAGCGAAATTCCTACAAAGACAGGCGAGAAAAATTAGGGAGGAACACGGTGCAAGATGGTCATCACTTTTTGTTCTTGCTTTGGGTCTGTACATACATATGCGTCAGACAGAAGGATGCGCTCTTCGACATCAGCACGTGCTATAGAGCTTTTCTCAGAAACTAATTTCTCTAATTCACGCCCAGCAATTTATGATTGACTCAGGAGGGGAGGTTGTGTACTATCAACTCCCGGATCTCGATGCCCTTTGGATATGTTGTAGTGTCCCATGGATGTACAAGAACCCTGAAGTGGTTTGATGCCATGGCCACATTTGCGCCTGCCACACCCACTCAAAGGTGCCCAAAAACCGCTTTCACTCCAGCTTTCACTCACTTAAATTTACCCCAAAAATCCAATTTTACTCGGATTTTCAAATTTCATTCACCATTATGCTCCCAGACAGTTGCTTTCTTATTTCCAACACCAAACTCAACTTGTTTGATGTTTATTTCGCAGGCATAATTAGCTTTGTTGATTGCAACAACAATGCTCATTCAGAATTTTAAATTTTAAAAATACTAAAAAATTTGAAAAGTCGAGTTTGATGTTGGAAATAAGAAAGCAACTATCTGGGAGCATAATGGTGAAAGAAATTTGAAAATCCGAGTAAAATTGGATTTTTGGGGTAAATTTAAGTGAGTGAAAGCTGGAGTGAAAGCGGTTTTTGGGCACCTTTGAGTGGGTGTGGCAGGCGCAAATGTGGCCATGGCATCAAACCACTTCAGGGTTCTTGTACATTCATGGGACACTACAATATATCCAAAGGGCATCGAGATCCGGGAGTTGATAGTACACAACCTCCCCTCCTCAGTTAAGGAGGAATTGTATTCATTCTCCATCCATAAAGTAATTGTGGTTTATCTGTTACAGATTGGTTGCATGTGGGATGGACCAACTAACGGGGTTTTAATTAATAGTTGATTTACCTTGGTCGATAACAAAAAAATTTCCTCCAGACAAATAAACTATAGTTTTTCATTGAGTTAGCCTAGTCAGAATTGAAGCATTTTTACACAAGTGGTTTGGTCTAATTAGGAAAAGTTCTGGAGCAACTTGTGTCAATGCAATATTCATTCGAGAAGTAGTGGGATTGAGAATGCAGGATGTTTTCCAAGAAAGAAAGCTGAGATGTTTTAACTTCATCGACTTTGAGCATTGAGTTAAAAAACACCAACCACCGGATAACAACTTCACAACCAAAGTGCATTCATCTGACCCGGATCCTTTACTGGTATTATATGTACATATGTACATATGTACACTGCGCAATGGTATATGTATTGTATACGTGGAACATGCACCAAATAAATCTTTCTGTTACTTCATTCAGGCTTTTTTTACCCAAAGGCTCTCCACAAATTTCTGTTTTAAAGAAACTTGACGGATGTTTAAGGTGACTGCTTAACTTGCAGAGCAAAGAGTCCTGATTCAGACCTCACTCGTAAATCCAGGCATTTTTCATGCTCAGTGACAGGTTGAACAGTGTTAGTTTCCGCTTTGTCTCTGATGCCCACTTTTTACAGAGATCATTAGAAGTGTATTTTGGTCTAAAAAAGTGGCACTGATGGTGGTGTTATGGAATTAGTGTGGAAAGGGTCAAGTAGGCGCACCACCACACAATTTGGTGCAGAATTCCCAAAGTCCCCAAGGCCAGGAACGGTCTGAATTTCTCTGTTACTTCGAAGGCTACTCGAATGCATGGGATGCAGCTGCTTACACATATATACCTCGATCCCAATAGCCACCACTACTGACCATTTGGTAGCCACATTTTTAACGACGACGAATGAATACAAAATAACCAACTGGCAGATAGAAAGCGAATGGTAACCTTTTGCTGCAGTAAGGGGTTAGGTAAACCCAGTGGACAATATATTTTCTTGGCTGTCAGATACAATGGAAAACTGCTTCCTTAAAGATTCAACTTTAACACCACGGCAGCTTTTTACCTCCTCCTCCTTCTCGCCGTGCTTCATCATCATCAGCCCTTTTCTACACAAATCTGTCTTTTTGTGAGTAAGTACTTAGAAACACATTATAACACTGGCCACCTATTATTCTGCGAAGCCTTATAAACGCCAACGGTTTGTATAAAATGTATCCACCTAGATTCAGAAAAAAATATTTATCTCTTGGGGTAATATTGATAGCCTTCTGTGTCGTACCAAAAAACTGCTATTTTCACCTTTATCGAAGTCAGTCACGATTTAACTGACTTTTCAGCAGGTGCAGAAATAAAATCAAGCAATTGAGTCGAAGATCACTATTTCTAGAGAAATGTCATTCATAATTATTGCTAATGAGAGACATTAGCACCCGGTAACAGGAGAAAGGTCTGAGTATAATCATTCCTTTGATTGAATCAGAAAAGGGTACCTAGAATTTATAAGGTTTCTCTTTTCTGACAATCACACATAATCAGACGAGAAGATTAGTATTATGTAGTGGACGCAGGGTTGAGTTTGTTGCGTGGGGTAGAATATATAGTAGCCTTTTGCCCTGCAGACGTTCATTTAGCGTTAGTTTTCTACTTTGTTTTAAATGCCACAAGATGAGTCACCAGTAAGGAAGGACAGCGTGAGATACAAAGAACAAAAAAATAATGCGTCCATCCACCGGATAGATTTGTTTTGGTCGTTTTATCCTACTACCAAGAGCACAATTTATATATAGTACCTAGGTATATACAAATAAGTATTTTACTACTGCGTTCTAGTTTCGGCTTTTGCACTGGGCACTAATATATACGCGTTAAGTCAGTGTGAGAAAAATCCTGGTTGTGGGTTTTGAATTCATTTATGTACGATGCTACGGTCTAAGCACTACCCATCAACTAAACTCTCATTGCTATAAATAAAGGAAAGTGCACGCTTGTGGTGTTTGTTAAGATGGAGATGAAACGGCGGAGGGGGATAAAACCATGCAACCCCAACATCATCCCTTTTAGTAAAATACAGATAAAGGATGCATGTACACACTCGCATGTTATTGGTGACATTTTGACGTGACCAGTGGTCAGTCGTCGTCTCTTATTCCTTCATTTCCTTATAGCGCTGCTCCTCTCTCTCTCTGCGACTGCTGTTGTTTAATCTGCTCTGGTGACCCTTGGCTGTGTAATTTTATTTTATGGCATTGGGGCAGAAGGCAAAGTGAATGAGAGAGAAATGGCCTTTTTTGTTCTATTTTTGACCCCAAATCATCCCCATGAATGCAGTGGACAGATGAAATGATGAAATTGAAATATGACTAGATGGACATACATACATATGCAGCACCAACCAACTCGCTGGACATGTTTGAGTAAAAATCTCACAGATTTCGGCTACTTTCATTTTATTGTTGTCCATCAAACTGACCAAATCATTATTCTGGATCCTGGGATTTTATTTAATCCATGCAGTTTTTCTGACCCTACCCAAATCCAAAAACTTACCATTTTTCATTTGTGAGACGAAAATGATCCTGATTCGGCGTTGGATCTATAAATCGACTTGCCCTTTGTCCAATAAGATAAAGAATGTAAAATAAAACTATATAATGGATTTATGTGTGTGAATGAGAAATGGACTGACCGACACATGCATTATATTATTATTCAGCCACCCCACCACATCCCAATTTACAATTTAGACAAAGACAAAAACTTGGGGTGGGGGTCACTTTTACTTTGACACAATAAACTATGTCGTTTAATAAGGGTCAGAACCTTCTCATTCAGTAGCGCTAGCTTGGACAATGGACAGTTATTGTGAAGCATTAGTGTGTTGTACAAAAAATGCCCTTTTAGGCTACCCGGGTCAATTGTGTTGTCATTTAAATATGAAAGTGGTTCGATTCTATTTTATTGATCTTTGGCCTGGACATTTTTCATGTGTCACCTTTGGCCTTTTCAAAGTGTGAGAGCTTAATTATTCATGGTCAGTAGTCTGATATCAAGCGTAGCTGAAAGTCATGTCCCTTTTTTCATGAGGAAAAAAAGAAATACGAGTTGGTCACAATTGTGGTCAGAATTTTTATTCGTTTACAATATTTTTCTTATGCTATGTATAATAATTTTAAGTTTTTGTGTATTTGCAGTGTCTGGTGACGGAATAAAACCTTCGTGGGAATTTTGTGCTCCTGAGATCGAGACATATTTATGACTGATATGTTCGAGATGTTGGTACAACGAAGTAATCCAGTCACACCCCTTACACCAGTGTCCACCCCTCCCGGACCCCACCACCATCACCACCACCATGCCTCGGTCGACCTTTCCCCAAGAAGTTCCAACTCAAGTTTTGGCTCTGACGGCGTTCTTCACCACAATGAATCACTCCATTCGCCCAACCATAACAATAACAGCAGCAGCAATAGGACTGAAGAGCTATCGGCCCTTCAGCGTCTTCAGGTTGCACTGGCGAGGGATGGACTATTTTCATCCATGACATTCGAACATGTTAAACGCGAAAGTAATCCGGATAATCCTGATGGAAGAATGCTTGTAAATCCATGCTCAGGTAGTTCAAGCTCCAGTCTGGGAAATAGTCCTGACGAAGATGCAAATGATGGTGGAGAGATCCCTTCACCACCATCTTCGAATGGGTTGAAAACTGCAACTCCAACGACAAGTCCAACAAGCGATGCAAACGGTTCGAACATTTTTGAATGCCCACTTTGTTCTGTGGTTTGTAACTCCAGACATGATTTCAACGAGCATTTGGTAATTTAATAATCAAAATTAATCTATCAAAGCATCAATTAATCAGGTTTTGATAAAAACATAATTGTTACAGGTGACCCATTCTCAGCAATTCGCTTGCCCAAAGTGCACTTTCTTTTCGGATGATGAGACGAAACTGAGGGAACATGTTGCAGAGTCTCATGATGCGAGTGACTTGGATGTTCTTACTGATGACGACGTACGAACACCAAAAACTAATTCACAGGGAAAGGTGAGACGCGTTGGACTTAATTCATTAATTCATTGACTATGGATTAATTATCCAGATTATTTATTCTGAATTGAATTATATATTATGTATTGCAGATGAAGACCTTTAAGTGCAAACAGTGTGGTTACCATGCTGTGACAAAAATGGACTTTTGGGAGTAAGTCGAATGTCATATTACTATAAATATTTTCTATACATTTGCATCTAATTTATTTATATTGTTTTTTTTTAATCTCAGACATACAAAAGGTCACATTCGCACAGAAAAGATGCTTACCTGTCCCAAGTGTCCTTTCGTCACAGAGTACAAGCACCATTTGGAGTACCATCTGCGAAACCATTTTGGCTCCAAGCCATTCCAGTGCACAAAATGCTCATATTCTTGCGTCAACAAGTCAATGCTCAACTCTCACCTCAAGTCTCACTCTAATATTTATCAATATCGATGTGCCGATTGTTCGTACGCAACAAAATACTGCCACAGTTTGAAACTTCATTTAAGAAAATATGATCATAAACCGTCCATGGTTAGTAGCGTATTATTGCACAAGTTTAACTAAATGAAATTATCCACTAATTTTCTCCATCATATTCATGTTCAGTCACTTAATGGCCAATGGTAAATTCAAAGTTGACAGTCTTTTTTATAATTTTGGTAGGTCCTTAATCCTGACGGCACACCCAACCCATTGCCAATTATTGATGTGTATGGAACTAGGCGAGGTCCCAAAATCAAACGACAAGATCCCGAATCCCCGTGTGATATGGGCTCGACCACTCTGTCCCCCATTACCCCAAAGGAAAAATCAAAGAATCAACGAGCCACATCAAGACGCCAAGCCAAGGGGATTGATAGTTTGGGTGGTGATAGCCCAAAAATCAAGACGGAGACTTCCAACAACACTCCACCCATTTCCCCTCCTCAATTTGCCCCTCGCGATATCAAGCAAGAGTTTCCTGTGTCCCCGACATTGTACCAGCATCAACACATTGTTATGAGTCCCAACAACCGGAATAATAGTCATCCTGTTGACGAGAAACCATTCATGTTGAGCAATGAACAAATGAGTGCTAACCTGCTTATGCAACAATTTCCCCATGGTCTCCCCATTCATATGACTTCACAGCTAAATCCTGCCAACCTGCAACAACTTTTGATCCAAAATTCAGTTAATGGATTAAATGGCCAGAATAATAACAACCTGGCTGCACTTCAAAGTCTATTGATGCAAAACTCTGTCAATATGCCGGGTTTAGAACTCCTGGGGAAAAACCCAATGGAACTATATGCCACAGCCTTGAATCAATATATGGTAGCCAATAATCCAGTCATGAATCTATCGAAACTTGTTGAAGAACAAAGGACACTACTCGTCTCTCAACTTCTTCATCAACAGCAACAACAGCAATCTCAAGTAATTAAAACTCCTCCAGCCGAGGCCCCCCAGCAGCAACGATCTCCTCACTTGAAACATCCCACAACTCCACTTACTAACGTGCACGCACTCGATTTACGAAATAAACGTCCGGCTGAGCCGACATCGTCTGAAGCAGTTGCAGCGCCTGAAGATGCGAAGAAGCGCAAGAGGAAAGGGAAGGCTCTAAGATATGATCGGAACAAGGAAGAGTATGACATGAGTAGTAACGTTCACAACCAAGTCTTGGATTTTAGCAATAATAATTATACCACCACAAACCGTAATGTTCACAACGGAGAATCTAATAAGACAGAATCTACTAAAAAAGCTGATGTTGATTCTGAAAATTATATTTGTAAATACTGTGACATTGCCTTTCCCCCAGTTCTCTACGCTTTGCACATGAGATTCCACTCCAGCGATGCCGATCCGTTTCGATGCAACGTTTGTGGAACCAAGTCTTCAGATAAAGTCTCATTTTTTGTTCATTTAGCAACGGCTTCACACTAAACCCACTGAGAGTGGTATAGAAATAAGTACTGTTTATAATTAGTTTTACAATTATTAATTGTTTTCTAGTCTTTTCACTTTGGCAATGTAATAATAATTAGACAATAGGTATAATAGCTATGTATCTGTCACCTTAAGTACATAAGGTGAAGACAGGTGGATAGTCGAAATTTGTACACTACTTGCTCATCTTAATATACAGAATTCTGTATATGCAACAATTTTTGTCGACCAATACGGGTATGTTGGAGCTTAAAAACACGGGTTCGTCGTAAGGTATTTATTTACAGATAGTTAAAAAGTATAAGTAATTGACTTTTAAACCAAGTCACTCAAAGTTCGGTCTTACGGGTATGGACTGTTTATATATTTATGTAATTATATTATATTTACATCAGTAGTTAGTAATTTTCTATCATTTTTATTTGGGACAGTTGTTTGGCAGAAATAATTTGTTAATTTCCTGAATTAGTAAATCTGTAAATCAGAACTCACAACTCTATGCAACTTACTCATCATTTCTTGTAGCTTACCGTTCAACCATGTTATTGTAGTGTAGTTTAGTAGTGTGTAGTCGAAAAAAATTGAAAGGTAATTTAATTATATAATTTGACAACCAAATTGACATGCAAGGACGTAAAAATAATGGTTGAACAGTAGTCTAAAAAAAATTAGTTTTGATAATGAACGCCTCGTCAAAACTGGCAGAGACACATCGAAAGTTCCTATTTTGTGAATAGTAGTATTAGATCAATTAGTATTATTATTGACAAAATATTCTAATAAAATTCGAATATTTATATTTTCAAACTATTTTCATACATGATGACTAAAACGTATTTGTATTTTAGTCGTTAGTTCTGATACGTAAGACAAAGAGATCATAGATATGTAGATGTGTAGCATAAAAGTATTTGATAACTTATATTTGTAAACGTAGGAGTCTGAAAAATATATCCTTCTGTTTTGTGCTAAATTCTTCCATTTGTGCTAATGTATTATGCAGTTTTTGTGCTTTATTTATTGAGTAAGAGTAATGTCAAGTTTACGTGTGAGTCAGTTTATGTTTAAATTGAAATTGGTCGAGGTAAAGGCCTAGTCCGTATTAGCACCTTGATTTTATGTGATTTCTTTTTTTGAGAAATCTAAAGTGGAATCTAGATATGAAGTATAATTATATTGTTAACCGTTCTTCCTTATCAAAGTCTTATGTTAAAACAAATTAATTAAAAACACTGAAACCTATACGGAGGATTTCTATTACGGAGTGATGTCCGTAATTAATATAAATAGCTCGAATATGTAAAAATAAACTCAAGTTGTTTATTCATCAGAAAAATTGTTTCATCACGCGTGTTATTATTACTGAAGCACTCTATCAATCTCTAAAATCTACATAACACACCCATCTAACAACTTGATCACAAAATGTCATTTCTGGAAAGGTACTGATAGCATCTGTAGAGTAGAGGTACATACATGTTTTTTATCATTCAACTTTACTAATTTGCAATATAATTCTCCTCATAAAACTATATATATGCATATGTGGGACTAAATACCGTAAGGCATTTATAATATAGTAGATATATATATATATTTATAAGTAAGTGAATGAATCTTCCATTTACATGAAGAGTGGTCTGGTTATCTATCTCGTTAGGATTTCTGGGACATTGTCCTGGGTCTTCGAACGATTCGGATCAATATTTCCAAGCAGAGTGGAAGAATGATTTTCTGACAATGTTGCAATTCGCTGGAGCAGATCATAATTTATTTCTTCTGTAATGACACTGTCCTGCGAGTACTTTGGATGGGAGGTAACAAATTCTCGCATCCATTTGGCCGCAGTCATGACGTCGCCCTTGGCACGTCGTGAAATTAAGCACAAATATTGTTGAACTGAAAAAAATAGTAAATCAATCACTCACATAAATAAGGTGTAGTCAATCATAATATGCATAAGTAATTACTTACGGGTGCATTGGGTATCTGCATCAACATCCATTGAATTCAAATAGTTTTGAATTAGTGTAATGAGACCAGGAAATCCCTGCGTGGTAAGGAAGTTATGCTATTGTATTATACTGTTCGAGTTTTACAGTCAAAATGCATATGTTCATATTTTTACGCAAAAAATACCTCTTTCCCATTAATGATTTCGTTTACAGTCATCAAAGAGTATGATGCTGTCTTATTTTGTAAATCATTTCTAAACCAAAATTTTTCAGTGGCAATTGCATTTCGCTTCTGAGCATTCTTCATGTTTTCATCGACCTATTGAATAAAATCATATTGATAATATATTGAGAACGATAAACAGTTTCGCAAATGCACTGCGGTTTTACCTTGGATATTGGAATCATAAAGTGTAAGTTGTAAGTAAGTACAACTCTGGTTAACAAAACAACGAAACAAACAACGGCAGCATTTTCAAAATCAGTTAACTGGACTGAAAATAAATAAATAAAATATTATATATATTAACAAAGGCTTGTCAGTTCACCTCAATCTAAATATACATATAATTGTGTATCTAATTATTTTTCATGCAGTTACCTTCACAAGGTCGAAATTCCACACGCCATCCAATCGAGCTTTCTGGAGGTGGTGGTTTGAACCTCATTGTTTGCCAATTGGTAGACTGGATGTTCTGGAATAATCAACTTACACTGTAGTCAACTATTAAGCAATTTGTGTAAGTACCATTGGGTTGATGGGAAACTTACCTCGAAATGGTCAGAGTCTTTCTTGTTGTCTTGATTGATTTTCTCTGAAAAAAGAGAAACCGGGTCTCGGATAAAGAGGTGAGCAATGTGTTTTGCCAAGCTCTTATCGATCCCTCCTTCTGTGATCAAAGACTGGTAGTGGGGTTCCTCATATATTAGAGGAATGTCATTGTATTCACTATTCTCCTCCGACCTATAAGGACAATAAACAAACTCGTGCTTTTACATAAGATATATGCATGTATGTATTTACAAAGAATATGATTCATTGGCACAACAAGAATATCAAGGACAAGAAGCCAAATGTACATGATTTATGTCAAAATGGGAAACCAAGAAAATGACATTTCAAGGTTATAAATACATTTATATCGTTATGGATGTAATGGTTAGATAGTTAGGGACAAGGCACAACATATTGTATGTATTTACATATATAAATGAATGCTCACAAGTATGTATCGACAGAGTCATATCTGGATTTACGAATCACCGATCTCTCTTCAGGACGTCTGCAATCCACCGATGCGGCAATAATATTCCATCGACAATCAACATCAGAAATATATCCCCTATAAAAAGGAGTTGCAGCTGAAATCAAAATATAAAACTTGTTAATGAAATGCAAGTGAAATGAAACGAATGGTGTATGATGCACCAAACAGTATTTTCATATGTACCTGTCAATGCCAGCTAGGGAAAGTACAACAAAATAAAACGACATTTCGATTAAATGAACTTTTCCAGTCAGACATACTAAAACTTATCGATTAACTTTAAATTATACCATTATGGGGCAGAGTGGCGTCAAGTTGTCATATAATTTGAGTGCTTCTGCAATACTTGAAGCTTGGAAAGTAACTTGGAGACAACAGCATCCCATTCCAAATCCCATAGCATCTAGATAAATCATATCCTCTTTCTGTTCTGGAACTCCGGCTTCAACAAATGGTCTCGGCGTATTTTTATCCACAAAAACTAAAATATATTACAATCACAAACTATAAACCTTCATTTACAACAATATTATCGTTATGATCCATAGTCCATGGGTAGTTTGTTCAGTCTATACGAATGGGTTTTTATGTTTCTTACCAGGTATTTGTATATCAATTTTGGAACCTCTTCTTGATCTAATATTTCTTGTCAAAGTTGCAAATCTAGGATGGCCAGGAAATATTGCTTCATCTGGGAAAAAACGAGACATGGAGACGCCCTTCTCTGAAGTGTCTGGATTATATTCAGGGAAGGTAAATCCAGGGCATCCAAGTCGTGGAAAGTTTGCAACGGAGAGCACCATCTCATTTGGAGGAAGGAGCATTTGTGCCTCTTTTCTCCGTAATTTCATGTTTGCTTCAACAATATTAAGATGCACAGGCAAGGCACCGTACGGACAACCTGGCGTCCCCTAATTAAAAAATATTACATCATAACTCAGCCAGCAGTCATTATTTGAGTCTGTAATAAAGTTATGTCTTTACCTCAACCATGTATGCTCCATATTCAGGTCTCCACAATGACTTTGCACTTCTGTAAATATAAGTAAAACATGAAGTTGAAGTCTGTAAATATGCATATGCATAATATAATGATCAAATAAATTCAGTGGGGCTTACGCAGGATCTTGATTTTCAGGCTCTCTCAATATAGGCAGCATTTCCTTTATAGTCAAGAAATTCTCAATTATGCTCAAATATGTATATAAAGGTTTGCACAGTGCCACACCCCTTTTCACTAATATCCCGCCCACAGCCAGTAGTAGCATGAGAAGTGTAGCATTACATTTCATATGAAATTTAAAAAAAAAACTATTAGTAAAATATTCAACTTACATTAGCTCGGAGTGAAACTGTTGCCCGTTTGTTCTCGTGGTCGAATTTAACAATCTACCAATTAAAATTTGTTATTATTATAGCGAATATACATTTTGCATTGGAATTTCATTAATTTCTCTTTGCATTTTAATCAAAATTTAATAGTAACAGGTGCGTTTCCATTGCGTAAACTGCCTACTGTGAATGAAACATTCCACTAAAGCGGTCCACGTATGTCCAATGGCACACGCAGACGGCAGTAGAATAGAAACACACCATATTTGTAATCTAACATCAACTCGTCATGGAATAGCAATCCTACAAGATCGCTCATATATGTCAACTCGTACCAAATACTCGACCTCGTCCCCCCATTTCAGAGAATCTCCCTGTCGATCCTTCAGCCTCTTGTACAAATTGATAAACTGCTCGATTCCATTAGTTTTCACGTGGTTGGCCCACTTCTTGGTCTCTTCCCAGGACAAAGGTGATCCCTCGGACAGCAGCCCCATTTTACGGCACCCTTCAAGGTGGTTGGTTGGTGAGCTTGCACCTACATGTTTCAATTTCAAACTTGTCAACGTCGGCTAATCATGCCAACTGTACAAAGTAAAAACATATGATTTTATAATGATCAAATGTCACTTGGACTTACCTCAAAATTAGTTACCAGGAGGAGCAGCAGCAGTTGCAATCCTCCTCGTGAAGAACTGATGACAAAACCCGATTCGTTCGTGAGACAGAAATATCCTTGGCCCACGAAGGGAAAGTAGTATAAGTTTAGTGAGTTAAGTTTGTATTTTGTATGTACATATGCCTGGAGTTATTAAAGTGGAGCAAGTGCAGAGTTTGCTCTGGATCAGAACGTTATTGCGCAAGTGACTCAGCAATATACTCACACTGTTCTGGAACAACCTGCATTCGCTTCGCACTCCTATTTATTGCTCGCCCAATTATTTCTGCAATGCAATACGGACAGCTATAAATATTCGCAATTCATGAATGATAACATTTGCAATACGTACAAAAGACATTTCCATTACCTCGAGTCAGAACTGAAATGGCATTAATTGGGTACCTCCTCGCCCACTCGATGAGAGCAATAATGAATGGAAAGCACGTTGTCTTGCAGTGATACCGAGTGAACAAAATCGTCAAAGTCGTAGTCAATGTTAATATATGTTTTTTCGCACACAATGTCACGGAACAGCTATGATTGATGGCTGATGCTGTGTTACAAACATAATATCGGGTTTTATTAATCCAATTTTCAGAACCAAAGACAACCACACTCGATCAAATACGAAACACCTGCATCCTCATTCATTGCACAAGGATTTGCATGCAAGTAAAAGAATACGGACTTACAACCACAGACCGGATTATATTGATGAGCCTTTTATGCTGGAATATTTTCAAAATATTTTTAATATCTAATATTTAAAATATTTTTAAACAAACAGATTAATAAAATATAAAATACATTTAGTTGGCTTGGGAAGTAGAGGAAAAGCCCGAGGTTGGGTTGGGAAAACATCTACTTGATTCGGGCGTCTGAGATCAATGAGATCACCATTCGGCCCCTCACAAGAATTTTATAAATAAATGGACATATTGTTTAAAACCTAAAATGATTGTAAATAAGTTACACTTTGAATAAATTATGTAATCGTAATAAAGCATGTGTTAAACGTTATGTGTATGTTATGCATACAAAAGCACGCCATGGGAACTTTCTGGTTGAGAATCTTTTGGACGGTGAATCGCTTCGGTTGATGATATCAATAGCAATTCCACGGACTAATATTTTAATTAGTTGATTTTGAGTAATTTGTTATTTTAGCAAAATGGGTAATAACTCGTCAAAAAGTTACACAAGTCTCAATGCTGACACAACTAACGAGCTTAATAAACATGGAATCGCAAGATCGGGCAAGGGGAAGTCTTTGACCACATCAGCAAGAGAATGGAGACGACAGAAAATGCAGACGGCTTACGACTCTAACAAGAGCTGTTCACCAGATATTTCAACTCGTGTCATCAGTGCTACACCCGTTTCCGCTAATGTTCCTCCAACAACAAGTAGCACAAGAAGTATAGCATTGCATTTCATCAAATCAAAAATTAGTAAAATATTCAACTTTCGAAAACCTCCTACCACTGCACAAAGTGCTACTGAAATTTTGGATGTAAATGTAAATCCTCTCACCAGGAGAAAGACTTCAACATATGAGAAAATTAGCTCTGATCATGGATTTCCACGTCCAATTTTCCCTGAGACCGTAAATATTTATGATACTACTGCCATCGCCGTTTTCCCACTTACCGTCGAAGACGGACCAAACCCTAAAAGTTCCCGTTCCAATCTTAGTCATACTCCGTCAAACGGTAATACCGAACCCAACGGAACAACTCCTAATCTCAGTGATACTCCTTCAAACGGCAACACCCAAGTTAATACTCCCAAAGACACGGCGCACAAAAGTTCAGGAGATTCGCTCCAAAAGAGTTCTGATTCTTCTACAGATTCAACTTCAAGTTCCTCGTCTTCGACGCCACCCCCTTCAGGATCTGTAAGCGCACAAGTTAGCAACAATCCGGAACAATCCCAAACTGTTCCTTCCACCACAACAAATCCACCTCAAACCGTTCCGTCCATTATTACAACTAATCCACCTCAAACCGTTCCGTCCATTACAACTAATCCACCTCAAACCGTTCCGTCCGCTACAACTAATCCCAATCCTAAACCTTCTAGTAAAACCACTCCAAAGTCAAAGTCCAACCCTACGCTCTCGAACAAGAATACAAATTCTGGTAAGGCAACTGGTAAGGGGGGAGGAGGCGGAGGAAAAAAGGGATGTTGCCATCCTGTGGCACCACCAGTGTATCTCGACTATGGCTCATACTGTGGTTCTGGAGGAGGAGGAGGACGAGGAAGTACGAGCAGCAGCGGAAATGCAATTCTAAACAGATTGAAAAATGTTGATGTCATAGAAGAACTTCAATATCACGTTCCTGGACAAGATTGTGGAGATAATACTTCTGACTCCGAATTCGATTACTACTACCAATGCAACGAGTGCGGTGAAATGGAATTCTGCAAGGATGGCGGTGGGGCCGGAGGAAACAAAAACGGGAAGCCCGTTGTGTACAGCAGGAGACAACGATTCAATTTTGGAAATGGCAACAACAACAACAACAATCAAGGAGACGATGGACCTCCGTTCTCTTGGCCATACTCTTGTAATTGCCTCTGCTGCAGGGCTGGGCTTCGTCGAAATCCCAAGTACGACTACTCTAGAAAGTTGAAATTTTAAAGTGGCCATCACGGTGATGCATACTATGTACTACAATGTTTGATATTTAGCTGTCAGTGCAAATGTTGTTCCAGCAAAGGGATAGATAGAGTATCCAACTCATTTGACGAAATTCCAGTCGGAAAAAATCCAGAGCCAAAACCATGTATTTGTGGGGACGACAAGGAACAAGAAGAATCAAAAAAAGTGGCCAACCCCTGCGAAGACTTGCTCCCAAAAAATAGTGGGGTGTACTTTTATGATGCAGATCAAAAGAAATTTGTTCGTCAGGAATTAAGGACGCCAACTCCAATAATAATAGAGGATGATGTGGAGTCAAATCCTTATAGTTGTGAGGATGATGATGACGATGAAGGTGAAGACGAATCAGTCGTAGATCTTACAGAAGTTATTCGTTGTATCCCGACAATTGCGAACACAAAGAAGAATATTGCTCCTCCCGAGCCCGTCATACTGCCAGCGATTTACGGCGGCTGTTGTGACATGAATGCCATTGTGCAGAACCTTGAAGCTGTCATCACTGGAAAAGGTCTCGTGCTGGCTTCAAAGCCCGAAATTGAATCTAGTGGTACTACTTCCAGTGATAAAACTAGTACAATGAAAAATACAGGGACTATCCCTTCAGAAAATAACACAAATATCAATTATGGCGATTCAGCAACACACACGAGACGGTCTACACATATGACTCAGAATCCAGCAGAAACAAATGTAATAAATTTAATCGAGCAGACCCAAGAAAATAATAATAAAGAGGTTGGAGACGAAGATGTGGATGATTCACTACCGGAAATCAGTTCCAGTAGTTCAGAGAAGACTGTCAGCTTAGAGTAATGATTCTCTAACTTGAAATTATTTCTCACTTATCTATCTTGCAATTAAAGCAATAAAAAATAAATATGATGAAGTTTTGGCATATTTTTAATATGGTTATTCAACTTCTTATAGGAGACATTATCATATACATAGCTTATAGAACACAAGTATTTTCATCAAGTCAAACGTAATATTACGCACTTCTTATTAGGACTTGGATGGATGGATGTATATGTAGTATAGAATTATAATAATAACTTGCGATAGTTATTTACAAATGTTTCAAAATATAGGATAGAGGAATGTAGAGAATATATGCTGCGTTATTATACATAAAATCAATTAGCAATGATTATGGTTTGATGACCAAAGGAAGGTGCAAACTTAACGTATTTGATGCCACGTCAAATTCAGCTTTTGACTCTTCCTGAAAAAAAGTTAATGGATAACCTTTAGGTTCAAAGTGAACAATCAATATTTGTCAGCTATTTAGTAAGCGTTTTAATATTGGTGTGATATTTTTTTTACTAACTTGATGAATATCTAACGGCACAAATATATCCAATTGTCCAACAGGACTGTCTACAATGATCCGGTCAGCTCCGAGAGTAACAAACACTTTTGCTGTATTTTTCTGGACAGTAAAAAATAAATATTTTATATAAATATCTAAGAATTGACTAGCACACCATACAATAAATATTAAACAGAATACCTACCAAGTTTGGGAGCTTTATTTCAGCTTTGGCTACTGCTTGAGAAACTTGAGTAATGGTACAATCTAATTTAAGCTCTTTGGTTTCGATTTCTTCTACAAGCGTTTTCTTGATAGTGGGACCAGTAGAAGATTTGGTCAATTCAACATCAGTTATTACTCTTGACGACTTAACTTCCTTAATCCCAGGTTTATTTTTAACCAGTTGAGGATTGAGTTTGCCAATACACTTTTTGTGTTGCAGAACTAGATAATTATTTTTGTCCAACTCCATCTTGAATTTTTCTTCAATTCCTTCAATGATAATAACAATAAGGAATGTTCGATAGAGTTCTGATGGTAAAATCTTCGCATCAAAGAAAATTGTATTGATAACCACTTCAAAGACTGGACATTTTACCCCGTCTATTAAAGAAATGTAAAAATGTGTGTTGCACAATTTAGATGATATTGATCACACATTACAGTATGTATAACTTATAAAATTGCTCACTCTTATCACTTTCTATATGCTTTTCTCCCAATGACATTGGTAATCGGATGAGGCCAACTTCTTCATCAGACCCATTGGCAAGGATATTACTGAGCTGTTCGTCGTCGAAATACTCGTCAGGTTCTGGCACGTCATCTGACTTGCACAGATTGATAAACACTTTGTGATTAGTTATCAATTCTCTCGTTTTAATGCACAATCCTATTACACGTAAATAAATTAAATTGTCAGTTCACTTAAATTGGAGTTAGCTGTAGAACAAATTCTTCAAAAACTCACCTGGTTGTGGAATGATAAACTTGCACTGTGCTTGTTCTTTACGTTCACTGGGAGTAAGAATTTGTGTTCGGTAATCTGTCGACGAACCTCCTGGATCGTTGTCTGTCTGTAGTTAAGAAATCATGTGTTATGCATGGGCAAACACGCTGATGAGCTTCCATAATGGTATACTTATTTATTTGTGCTGTACTTACCTCTGGGAGTGAGATACCGCCCAACAGTAGGTTTTTTGCAATAATGGAATCGTCGACGTCCAAGAAGTTAGACATGGTCTGTAATCACGACAGTCTTTAATTTTATAGCTTGTCAAGTATGAATTAGCCTGCTGCAATTTTTTTCAATAAATGACAAATGGTGAAAGGTCAAAATTCAAGGTGATCTTTCTTTAATATGAATGAAACCTTCATTAAACAGAGTACTCCTTCATTATGAAGGAGTACTCTGTTTAATGACTAGCGGATTCCTTTCCTATTTGTATAAATGAATAAATGAATATTAATTTAAATTTATCAATAATAAATTATTATGCTGAAAATTATATTTATTACAATTTTGAATGCCACGAAAATTTTGACAACAATAATCTTCCAGATTAACCCAACTCCAACCAACGCTGAAGACGAGTGAAAGTTGCTTTCGCACATGCGAGTCAAGCCCCGCTCTCTCATTGACTAAACTCTGCTGGGCATCGTGATCAACTTTCTCCCCTCTTTCTCCGCCCAAATCTACCTTTCTGTCATGGTTTCTAGGCTAGGTAGCATTCAATTTTTGATTCGTGCACACGATCCCTGGTCACATTTAAAAAACAAAATATCCACTCAAAATGTGTATGCATGTATGCAGTGTACTATATAATGAGTGTACTTCCGCTCAAAAAAACTAATGCTCCTATTTCTGCGTACATGCATGCAGAGTATGATTATATGACCTGCAAACAACGTCCAATTAGATTAAGAAACACAATTTTATTATTGTTCAAACTTCCGTGGTACAATTATTTCTTGTTACACATCAATGCTACACAAAATTTATCATCTGGTACTTTTTCATCACATTTCTCCCAACAAATTATACAATTCTTAATATTAGTTACAATCGCTCATGTCTTGCACACTCCAAAATAGGGTTTAGAACAAAATCGCCACACCGCTCTCAGTTATTGGAGGAAAGATGGTGTACGTATTATACATAGGAATAGAGGAGAGTGATGAATCTGACAAGTCCACTTAAATAAGAATAATATAAAAGACCAAGGTGCATGCCGTGCTGTTTGTTTGTTGAATCGGAAGGTCGGAAGTTATGGATTTGGGAATGGCCGTAGACGAAATCTTGGAGGTCATTCAACATTCATGGGAACCTCGTTGGATGATACGGTGCTATCAGTTTGCACAGAATCATACATTGTTTGCAAATCAGTACTGCTTCTGATTTGAGCAACAAACTCCATGAGTTGCATGTTTTTGTCTAAAAAAAAGTCAAGTAAATACATTCTCATTTTTACTAGGACTATAGTTTATGATAATTTTTAGTAAATAATTAAAGATTAACTTTATACCTGCATCAGGAATAACGCTTAAAGCACTCACAGCTGAAATAAAAAATTAATTTTTTTAAAAATGTAATTGACATGCACGCTAAAGAGTTTCTTATTCTTACCTCTCAATGCAGCGCGTTTGAGTTCGTCTTGTTTTTCATATTCCTGCTTAACTGAATTAGCCTTTACTTTCAGCGTCACGGTGTTTTTTAGTGGTTCAATAAGACGGTCAAGGCGTTGAATTACTTGGGAAGGACACAATGAAGCAAGTCGTGCCACCATCAAATACGTCAGCATTTTGATATCGTAATGGTCTCGAAGTCCATTTTCTACGTGCGTCAAGAAGGTTTGAATGTCGAGACGATCGAGGCAAGAGTCTAAAAGTGTGTACATGCATTCGAATGCAGCTTTTCGTAGATCTAGTCCATCGTCAACAGAATGTTTGAATGGTCCCATTTCTACCTCACGAATTAACTCTTTCTACATAAAAAATAAAACATAGTATAATCAGAATAATATACTTGATATACTTTGACCATAAGAAAATAATTTGGCTGTCGCGAGAAGATTATTAGCTAGATTATTCGTGACGGTTAAATTCACTCACCCTAACTAAAGTTTCAATGTACAATTGAGGAAGGAGTTGAGGAAGCAAGTCCCGGATCAATGCTGGCTTATTATGAGCTGCTGAATTGAACGCGACCAGGGCTAAGGAAACAGTCATAACAATTAGCATATTATATTAAACAAGAATAACACAACTTAGGATGCACGTAATGTAATTCACGAACCAACTCGTCGAACATTTAAGTCTGCATCAGCCAGACTCTTCAAAAATTCTCCTATTGTATTCTTCAATATGGGGTCGATTGCTTGGGGTTGGTCAACAATTGTAAACTAAAAAAAACAACACCATGAGTTAAGAAGGATGACAGCTTTGCAAATGCATACTTCCTTAGGTGATTAATGATTAACAAAGAGGGTCTGTTTACCTTCACAGCTGTAACAACTGTTGTTCGTAAAAGATTAGAAGGCGAGTCTAATGCTGATTTCAGTCTTGGTAAAAATGTTTCGGGGTTCGCCAAAGTTAAACCTGTAATCAAATTCACATGGTTATAACCATACTGCATACATCATTTGTTGAGTCAAATATTAAAGGTCGTTATCGATGAACTTATTGTTTGTTTCAATTATTGATAGACATATATAACGGTCTTACGTCCCAAACATTCTGCAACAACATTTCGTGTACCCTCTTCCGGGCACTCGGCATGAGCAAACAAAGCCACCCATATGTTTTCAGTGTACAATGAGATGTCGACCTGAAATAAAATATTTTTATTAGTCATTAATGTCGTACAATTATTATCATCATCGTCCATTTGACTTTTGTATATTTATATTGTTTGCTTTGATAATGGTGTTAAGTTTAAATGAAACAGTATGATCAGAGTCAGCCGCATTTAGTTTTTTGTATGCCACTTCAGACCTGATTGAATTTATTGTTAACTTGAATACGATCGTATTTTATCGATACAACATGGAAGATCAAGAAGAATTGGATACTTTTCAAAAACGAGACTTTGTCGAAAATAGATTATCTCATTGAATCAGTCGAGATAAGTCTCACTTAAATATTCTTTATTAAATATATGTATATCGAACTTGGAAAAGTGAAAAGTTGAGATGCAAGACGCATAGATTCATTCCATGGTTTTGCTCTGGAAGACTGCGTTATGTTTAGTTTTAATTTATACGTAGTAATACATGTACACTTATTTCTGAAAAAACTCAAAGCTAAGTTAGCAATTCGTGAGACTTAAGTGTATATTTTGTTTAGCTACCCAGTCCCCACAAGTAATATAAAATAAATGGATTACTCACAGTTTGTTGTGCGGCGATAATCTATATTACAAAGAAGGGAAGATGAGATTACACATTTCTTAGTGATATATTAGACTTTTTCTTTGGCATTATTATTTTAAATTAAAACCAACCTCTTTCAATGCATGAAGAAGCAAATACTGTTTCTTGGGTTGTTGTTTCATTTCGGTCAAGAGTGCAGGTAAAAATGCTGATAAATTTCCAATTGCGACCGACCCAAATGCGTATGCTGCCGCTGTTTTAACTTCTTCTGATGGATGAGAAAACATGAGCAGGATTGTTTCTCTCACGTTTGCAAGATTTGACAAATCACTAAATCGATAAACATAATAATTGTTCATACCCAATTTAACCCAACCTTAAAATACATATTATTACACTTATAATTAAAATAATAAGACTTACACATATCGTCCAATTTCACCGACGGATAGTAATGCGATAACGATTTGAGTGTCAGTCAGGTTGCCAGTTTTCAGATCACCAATAAACCGACTGGCCACGTTCAAAGCCTCGGTTGGACCAGAACCAACGCTAATGACAGAAATACATTTCGCTGTAAAATGGTAAAAAAAACAGCTATTACATTATTATAACATAATAGATAATAGAATCTCCTACGCCATGTATAAATGTACCAACCTAAACTGTAAAAGCTCTGCTTGTGGTGTGATGTTGCAATGTCCACTTTGGTTGGTGTCGTGACAGCTTCTTGCTCCAGAAAGATTCCCAGCAATCTTGTTGAACAAAATGAGTTGATCTTGGCTTTAACTAGGGCCCTGAGGAAGTCCATAAGTGCAAGTAATGCGGCACCTGTGCAATAAATGAAAGATGCAGTGCGCATAATATAACTTTGCTGCTTTACCCATCGCCTTAAATTTGTATAAAATTATTAACATTTTAACACATAACATTAACTGACCTTGCATCAAGGGGGAACGAACCAGAATTTTAAGAGACGGCATACACACGATCGCTGTGCTTTCGAGAGACTGTGGTTGATAAACTGCCAAAGAAGTCATCAACTGCAAAGCTTGTTGAGCACAGTGCAGGTCTGATTCGCTAAGAAGTGGTGACAATTCTCGAACAATACTTTCCAATAGAGCAGGATCCATTAGCCCATATCTAAAAAAGGAAAATTCATTTGCTTTATCAACCAGTTCATCTACCGTTTCAAAATCCTATCCATCTAGTTACCTCTTTACAAGGGTATCAAGTAGACCCAGAGTGGCAAGTTTCAAAGCTCGCTGGTTCTTCCTCAGGAAGGAGGAAAGAACAGGAATAGCTTCAGAAAGAACGGAGCGTAAATCCAAGTCTACAATTTGTGACGACGCCATCAGATTTAGAGCTTTGACGGCTTCATAAAATAAAATAAAATATATAAGCAATATATATTAAACATACATGTACTTATGCGTCTAGCTGGTCATTTTTTGAGCATGATTTATTGAAATGTTAATACTACTCTCAATCAATAGTAATATTACTTTTGAAGATGCATTTTTAAATTGACACTGCTGTTGAGCTTACCGGTCAGTCTCGTGATTTCATTTTTCAAGCGCTCCAAAAAAATTGGGATACATACAGGCCACTCAGATTGCAAATAATTTCCAAGATGGGCCAACAAACTTGCCATGGTGGTAATAGCGTTTTCTTTCACTTCTTGGTCTATATCTGTAGCTTTCAGGCGAAGGAGGACGACAGGATAAATTTGTCGTGCAATCAGTTCAGCTTGTGGGTGTTCTCGACAAGTGGGATCTGAACTTCGCACTACTTTCACTAAAACTTGCAAGGCTGACAGGGCCTCCGATGTTACTTTGTAAAAACTATCACTAGCGCAATTGATCAAAGCAGGTAATAACAACTCAATATGAGGTTGGACAACTTCAGCTGGATGAGACGATAAAATGCAGTAGACGAATGAAAGCGTGTTTGTTCGAACATTAGATGTAGAGTTCTTGTCTCTGTATAATAATAAAAATAAAATAAATAATATTTAGTGGAAAATGTTTATGATAAACACATCAAATAATGGTTTGGACTGTCTACAAACGCAATTCAATGACTACGTATGTGTAGTGTAATAAAATTTCTACTTACGATAGACATACAAGAATCCCGTTCATCATATTTGCAAGAAATTGCGACAAGCATCCGGGAAGCACCCCTACCAATTCTTGGAGGAGTTGCAATGCTGCTTGGCGACTTTTGATATTCTTTTCTTTAAGTTGCTTTTGCACCATTTTTATCTGAAATATTGTGTTACTCATTGCTGAATCAAATTTAAATTACGTAAAATATAAAGTATGTCAGACCAATTGTGGAATTTGCCCGTTTAGAGCTTGAACTGCAGCCGTTGCATCAGGGCTGGGAGGGAGTCCGGTGACTCGCGATTCATGTATTGAGACGACGGCCGGCTTTGTTGAACGAAGAAGGGATCGATACGCGCTAAATATGTCGCAGCGAACATTTTCTTCTCTCTCTCGGAAGCGAAGAATCAACATTATAGATACGTTTTGGTAAACATACAGCAAGACATCTGGCCGAGACGTAATTACTCCTTCAATACATTTAGCAGCCGCTCTTCGCACCTGGATTTCACCAAATATTAAGAAAACTTTTCTTCTAGCTCCGATTTCGTAGCATAATACATATTAAATTAACTATTTATAATGACTTACCTTCCATGACATATCGTCGTCATCAGAATACTCATCTTCTTCCTGATCTTCATCGTTTTGAGCATCATCGTCTTCATCGCCCGTTGTAGTATCCATGCTCTCCTCGTTCAATGGATTGAATCCATCCTGTTCGTCATCATTGTAATTTGGATCATGAGAAATAAGTTTCACGCAAAGTTGAAGCACGCCTTCAATGTGGCCAAGTGTACCCATTTCTTGAGGACATCGAGTGACAAACACTTCGAACGCCTAATTAAAAGAACTGATCAATGTGTGCAAATTTAAAATTTTATATGCATTTATTTCAAGTCATACCTGTAAAGTATTTTCCTTTAATTCATCATCATCCGTGACCTTGCAAGCATCCATCAGCATTATAACAACTTGATTTAAATATTCGGCAAATCTTTGTCCCGCATTTTTGCAAACCGTTGCGCAACACTGAATGTAAGTGTTCGCGTGGCCTGTCTGAAGCCCCTTACGCATCTCTTCCACCAAAATGCCAACCATTTTCTGATAGTGAACTACGCCACAAGAACTAGAAAGATATCCTAAAGCGACAACTGTCCGTTTCCTTACAGCCTGGCGACCAGAGTTTAACTGAGGTAGCAAAGCATCCAATAACATTGCGTGGTATGGATGCAATATGGTTCCAAAACGAGACAGCAAGTCACTCAAAATATCAAGAGCCTCCAACTGAACAGTTACATCCTCCTGCTATTTAATAAATGATAATTAACTAAACTTCCTTAAGAAAATGCAGTATGTTCATATTTGAATATTGCTGCAAGAATACCTTGGCTATGGCCACAGTCAACTTCCCAATAATTTTTTTGCAAATTACGCATGCCAACTGCTGAGACGTCAACGGAAGCTCAGTAATTACTGTCTTGAGACCAATTGATGATATATCCCGGAGTTGTTCCTTGTCCCCCGTCATGTTGGTACACAATGTATCCACGATGGTTTCGACTTGCGGCTCCTTCACTTTGGCTACAAGAGGTCCCAAACTAAAATCATATTAAAAAATACTAGTTATTGTCATATTCATTTCCCAGACTAAATTTGCATAATTTGTAAAGGTAACTGCATCTCACCATTTCACGGCCAGATTCTGAACTTCTCCATTTTTATCCTCAAGTAGTTTCAGTAGCATCCGAACTACTTTTCTCTCTGAATCATCATCCAGCTTGATGGAATCCTTTTGGAGCTCTGACATCAGGTCGTTAGTAGCCATGAATCGAAAGTCCTTGTCGCTGGACGTCATCTATTTCATACGATATACGAAGAAATATTTAATCGAATTGACCAATTACTGTAACAATTCACACTCACCTTCTCCAGCAAATTTGCGATATGAAAAGATACCGTCGACATTTTGTTTGAATTTTGAATCCAGTGATAATGGTTAACGATGATGATAAGCCAACTGGATATTAAATTGGGTTGCGACCGGAGGAGACAAACAATTCTTGCCGACAAATAAACCTGACAAGTTCGTTGCAATGCACTCGCTACTGTGTAGAACTCTCTGCTTTCACCACCCTACCCCGGGCACAATTTAGTCTTTCATTTAAGGATGAAACGTGTATTTGTCCATTGTTGTAATTAATAATAATTAATATGCATTATGTATATTTTGTAATTAATCGGTCCTCTTGGTGTTTGAAATTATGTACAATCACCAAGCCAATACTGGCAATGCTGGAAATCCGTGCACCGCATGAACATAAGAAAAAATCAAATAATTTGTCACCACTGACTAAATAAGTAGGTGACGCTAACCTTGTGATTTGAACTACGTAACGATTAGCTTAACGGATGGATGTATACAAATATCTAAAAATCTGGGTTCTTAATGAAAATATATTTTGATATCAAACACAAAAAAATTGTACCTCATGTGCATGATTTATTTATTTCATGAGCGAATTTACATACATGCATACGCACCTTTCACTCAATCTTTCTAGTCACAGTAGTATCACACAACTTAAGCTTAAAGTATAGAATTGTCTTTTATTTTACATGGTTTTACTTAATTTTGGACCAGCAGGAAAGGCACCACGTCTTCCTAAGCCGTATGGATATGTGGATCTTGTGACCATGTAAAACTTTCCTTTTGCTTTTTTCGGACAAGAATTTCCAACGTATATCATTTTATCCGTACAGTCGCATTTCATTCCTCGGAAAGCTATCCAAGAATCACAACTGCAACCGATTGTACTCTCTTTGTTTTCAACAGACTCCACAAACAACTGTAATGATCTAATATGGCTGCAGTACATATCTAACAAAACAACAAGGAATAGAAATGACCATACGTAAATACATATATACTGGGTATTGTTATATAATTTTACGATAATAGTAATGTCACAAACCTTCGTACGAAGGCAGATTTGGTGCAGGACAACCTGGCTGAAATATGCCCTGATTTACATAAACGTCAACATGTCCCATTATGTTCCCCATCCCGAGATGATTTGCGTGCCAAAAAGTATCACCGCCATCACTGTGAAACACATCGACAAAACTTGCATCTTCAGAATCAAGTTTTTGGTTGTCGGTAACCATTCGAAAAAGTGGGAGGGATGGGTCTAAGCCTGCATTTACATCATATATCTTCACATGTTGCCATATAGTGAATTGCATCACATTAATTTTGATTGCACGATAATAAGTAAAGTGTATTTGTCTCAATTATTTTCGCCACCTGTAATTCTGCTAATTTTTCCATTCAATTCGGAACCCATAATGCCTGCTGCATGCTGTACTTTCACCACGAATCATTTATTAGTATCAAAACTGAGCGTAACAATAATCGTAATAATCATGTGATAAGTGAGACTGAGCTTACTGCCCCCAGACCGAAGCCGACGACATGGAGGAGTGAGAGGTCAGCGTCCAACTCTCGTACCAACCTGGCACACATCACGCCAACATATTCGGTGACCCTGGCTGCCACGGTGTACGAATATCGACGAGCCTGTACCCAGTCCACGAGTATAACGTTCAAGTCCCCATGATGGAGATAAGCTGAAAGAGAAAGAGATAGATAACTGCCTCTTACTTTTAGTTTAGTATTACCAAAGGTATAAAGATGGGTGTGTCTACACACAGATATTACAATAAGTAAAATGCATAAGTTGCATACCATCTTTTAATCGGAGGAGTAAATTGTCACTATATGTTTGATTGTAATCATGAATGATTAACTTGGTTTGCCTGGTTTTGCTAAACCTTGTAGAGTTGGTTGCATTTGCGACGAGTAAAAAATCCGGTTCCTCCACACTTTCCCTGATGAAATGGAAAATAATGAATATTTATCCTCAATTAAGAAAGTCTTCATGGAGGTTTTGCACACCGATTGAAAAGCATGAATTCCACAAGATATGAGTCCGATGCCATGTCCCAAATTCTCGGAATCTGCCTTTTACTAGTCATGGAATTTGATTTCACTACTGCGACCGGATTTATAAAATAACTATTCCGATACAGTGGACGATTATCTCTTTCCTGTTGTGCAGTAGCTTCGGTTACTCTGTTTACCAAACTTGATAGTAGCGATGTCATTGAGTGAATTGCATTTGAAGAAGTCATGGATTGTATGGACTTTGCTGTGTTAATCATTCCAGAAATTCCAGACACAAAACTCCCAACTTCACCGAGACCTTAGACCCCTCAAATATTAGTACCTATTTATTCATCTATTACTACGTATATGTATGTGAGTATTAGGATACCTTGGGTATGTGATAACTGTGGCACTGAAGCAACTATGACGAGTAAAGATAGTAATAAATATGAGACTGACCAGGTGAATTCCATGATGCTGGATAGAATTAATTGTTCAGAATAATCCGATGTGCGTGAAAACTATGAATACACTGACCAAATCAAGAACGGACTCCAAAACAAGATCTGAAACTAAGCATGCTTAAATTCATTCAAGAATCTTAAAACCATAAAATTACATATTGCTGCGATGTAAAAGTCTTAATAGTGGAAAGCTGCGAATCAACCCACAAAAACGAAGGTGTGACCTACTCGTGGTAGGTTGAACTAAAAAAATTACCGACCCACGACACATAATAGAATGATGCATTAATCTATTAACAATTTTGTAATGACTGCGTTTTAAACAATTTCTCTTGATGCTTGAAAGACCTTCCTCAGTTAAACACAATCACAACAGTCATCATTTTGCTTTGAAAATGATGCATTAAGAAACTTGTGTACGTTTAGTTTTCATGATAAGTTATATAAGTTGTCATAAAGTGACACAGCTAAATAATTATAATTATACAAAATGGTAATTGTATGCAAAATATGAATACCATGCATATTACTTATACATTTCGTATAGAATTAAATTCAAGTTCTGCATTTGCATACTCACATCACACCATGATAAATAAACATCATACTAATAGAATTGAACTTCTACTGCGCTACAAATTACTAATCAGTAATGACCATTATCCAAAATATTTATTTCACTATTATTTATTGTCCATTCATCATAATTCGTAGGATCTGTTGTCCACCATCATGTCCAGAAAGAAAGTGGATCTCATTTTTCATAGCATTGCATGCAAGTTATTGCACCACGTTGTTTTTGGAATGCTGGAAACGTATTGTTGTCGACTACCTGCTACACAACAATGAGCCATCATTGCCCACACCACCAATTGTTGAAGGTGAGAATGGACTACCTTGACTTCAAGTTCAGTTCATTGCCACCTCAGGTATGGAGCTCATGCATGAAAACAAACCGTAAGTTCAATAGCATGGAAATGGGCTGCATTACGAACAATTGTGGCCAATTCATATCCGTCAAACTCTTTTATTCGTCTATGCCATACACTTACGTCGTCGTTTGAATAGAGATGAACGCGTAGGCAGAGCTATCCTCTCAATACACCGAGATACATCAGATATATGTGTGTATATATCTCCATTAAACACGTTTCTAACCAATTTTTTAAGAGAGAGTGAGAGGGTGGTTGACGGGTTCGGTGGTTGTGTATCATGCCCACGGGGGAAAAGTACGAGGGTAGTTTAGCTGATCATCAACATGTTCATACCATCCATCCATGTCTCATCCCATGCATTCAACAAACATCATCTTTCTTTAGGGATGGAACATCCCGAGTTCACTTACTCCTGTGTACTTGCATGCATACATATCTAGCCAGACTTTTACATCATGACATCAGGACAAGCAGAGTGGATTCAAGTTCAAGGAATCATCCATACGTTCTCACTAAATACGTGATCTTTCACAATCACAGGGAAGACCTCATCAAGGGTGGAAGGATTCTGGGCTTGCTCGCACTAACCATGCCTCCTGGAATTTTATAGAAAGTGAAAGAACAAAAGTTATCGAAAAGTGAATTGTGTGAGATCCAGCAGAAATAAAATACGCAATTCGTGTGCGTGCGAGGGGAGAACGGAAGTTGCATAAGGCGGAGGTGAAGAAGATCTCTAGTTCGCCACCACCACAACGCATTTCTTCGTTTCATACTGCATCAAATGCGGAAGTAGTCGTATTTTTCAGGTAATTTTATTAACTTGCGATTTTTTGTGAATTTTTGAAACTAGCAAAAAGTTTATGCGCAATGAAATAACACTAATGAAATTCACGGGCAATTTCATTCTATGCACTGAAAAACAAGCACAATAAGCATGCACGTACTTTTTTGTGACTTTTCAAACGATTTTATTTAATGGGTTTAATTAATTTTCCAAAAATTGATATAAATTGATATATACTAAAAGATAATGGTCGAATTAAAGCAAAATGAAATTTACAGAATGGACGTTTTCGAAATAAACACTGTGCTAAGTAAAAGTAAACTCGAAGTTGCTGCTGTAATCAAAGCAAAATGCATCCATTCGGAACAGCAGCATCTGAAGTTGCTCTTGGATCACCTTTTGTCCCCTTCGAATAACTCAATTGACGACGAGGAAGTGCTTGAGTGGTTATCGTGGCTCGTTGCTGGAGGGTCAACCCCGGAAGAATTCTCGTCCACGGTCCGTCTCTACGATAAGGCCACTACTTGCGGGTTGGTGTGGTCAGAGAATTTTGTCGCTTACCGATGTCGCACATGCGGCATTTCCCCCTGCATGTCACTCTGTACAGATTGCTTTCACCACGGAAATCACGATGGTCATGATTTCATCATTTTTCGAAGTGAAACTGGTGGGGGTGAGTTGTGTTTTTTTTGCATATCCACATACGTACATGCATATAAATGTAAAGTAGTCGGTGAGTGTAGAGCTATCATATAACTAACTTGTACGTATTTATAATTCGTCTCTAGCATGCGATTGTGGGGAGATCAACATTATAAAAGAATCCGGTTGTTGCTCCTTTCATGGACCACATGGATCTCATGCCCATCAAAGTCTATCCGCCTCACCAACGACACCACGGTCAAGATCGGACACTTCAACGTCGTCAAATAATGAACAATCCGCACCGGCAGATCTTTTATGTGTTGCCACCGGAATGATGCCTCGCTTGTTTAACAGATTAATCATAAGCATGCGAGACGAGCACCAGAGGCGGATAGATCAACCCTTAAAGCTCAGGCCTATCACAACTTGTAAGCACAACGTCGACAACAACAATGATCTGCATTCCAGCTTACTGACGCAGGGGCATAAATTCATAAAAATGCTGCAAGGATTTGCCGACATGGGTGTGGCAATGCGACAGGTTTTGATACGCAGTCTCACCAAGTCTCACGCCTACACCAGCCTTGTCCTTCCTCTTCAACCCCCAAACAACCGCACCCAAGATGGGATGGGACTACAATTTAATAACTTCCTGGAGGAGCTTGTGTACTGGACAGTGATCTTTGAGTTTCCAGAAGATTTAATCTGTTTACTTCTTAGCATGAGATCGGATTTTGGGTAAGCTATCTGGAGATGTTTGTATAGACGGATATTTACCCGTGATTTGTCTGAAGCTGAAATAATTTTTTTGCTTTAGATACAAGGAGGACTTCACAAGAGCATTTATTCTGCAGTATTCTACAATCTCAGAGACAATACTACGATCAGGAGATCCCGAAAAATTGTGCAAACACGTTGCTGCCGTTTCCGTCCAACTATTTTCTATAGAGCAACTAGCTATCCAAATGGTGGAAACTATGAATCTTTTGCCCCTTCTGGTAAGAGATAAAATTTAAGATTATTTAATGAACAATTTCTCTTGATTTTGCAAGCAGTTTATTTGAGGCCCGATAGATAACAATATAATTCATTTAGCGTTTCATTTCACAGAGTAACAAGTAACAAGTATACGTAGTGAAAGTTTGGATTTGATACATGTTATGTTTTTAGGTGAACACGCTGCATGAGATGATAAATCAAACCGTCTCAACCGTCCCACACAAGCACACCAAGATGAAAAAAATTATAGTAGATTGTGATCATGACATCATGAAAAACAACTACTACTGGGTAAGCTCCCAATGTATTTGTAATTCATAGGATAAGCAACATTGACTCTTAAAATGCGCCCAACGAGATACATGCATTATAAATGAATCTGCCTCAATTAAAGAAACTCAGATCATAATATAGCAACCTTGCTATTATGGTTTGATTTTTTTTAACAAGCGACTCTTTTGCATGTAAAACATATGGCGAGCAGTCTCTTCTTTAAAAAAATCAAGCCATAGCAAATGTAAGAGAACTTTATCGAGAACGTTGACATTCGTGTATAATTGACTCCGGGCTGTTTGTGGTTCTAAGTGTCCCACGAAATGCTTTACCTTTCAAACTTGATCTCTAATTTCATTGACCTACATATGTACATATATTTCATTTTCAGCCCATAAAATCCGACCTGAAGGAATTGTTATCCCATCAACCTGTAGCTTCCAAATTCTTCCAAGATGAAAATTTAATTAAAACTTGGTTCCAATTTCTTTCTCATTTTCAAGGAATGAATCTAGCCAAATTTATTAAGAAAGGCATGCCACACGTAGAGCAAGAAACTGAAACACACATTGGAGCTTTTACCGCAGGTAAAATTTATTTTATGCAACTGATATGACCAATTTTTTTAAGCACACTAAATATTTTTATTGAACTACTCTAGAGTTGGAAATCAGTGCTACTCCAATGTGGACTCTATTGTCCCATTTGAAGGACGCATCTACTGCAAACTTTACAAAAAGGATTGTGTACCATTGTTTACACAATTTGTTAATGTGGTCAGATTTTGGGTCAGTGAATCGTGGCGAAGTTTCCTTTCACCTTCCGCTTCATCGCAACCTGGCCATGTTCATTCGCCAAGGTTTGTTGTATCAAGGAATTCCTCTTGAGGAGCTGCTACCTTCCGCACAACAACAACAACTCGCTACAATTGCACAACAAATAGTTCGACTACAGTCAATATTTTACCAAATTCTTGGCCGATTGTGGTCCAGAAATGGGACCGAGATATTAAACCAGGCAGAGTCCTACGTCAATAGTTTATGTTGCAACTCGATGATCGACGCTGACATTTTCCTTCTACAAGCCATTGCTGGCAGTATTCCAAAAAACAAGTTTATATCCCTGATTTTAGACGAATTTCAAGTTTATAGCAATTTGGAACATTCTTCCATCGATCCTGAAGAGCAAAATATAATGATAGAAAGTTGTCTTCTATTCTGCGCTACATTAACATCATCCCGAATCAACCTTGGGATGTCTGATGAAAACTTGATGGCCGTGGAGATGTCAACGCTACTCTGTAAAGGTGACAAGTTACACAGTGAACTGATGGAACTGCTCCCTGAGAGATGTGGGTCGGATTCTCAACTCAAAAACTTTGAGAAAGTGTTAGCTCAAGTTGCAGATTTTCAAGCTCCTCACCATTTCCACCAAGGTAAATACGTCCCAAAAGCGACAGTTTGGGAGAATTTGTATGACCCTATTCACACACTGATGAGGTCCAGCAATCGATCAGAGTTTCAAGTCTCTCTCGATCGGTATCAGGAATTTGTAAAGAGGTCAAACTTGATCTCATCGACAGAAAATCTTTGGCCCCCATTTCGAATCAATCAGTCAATTCCACTGGACGATCCAGGACCCATCCCAGATCCCCAATCACTCCTGACGTCAAATCTTCTTCTGGAAGTGTTATTTGTAATTTTATTCAGAGCTGTGCATATGGGAAATGTGCCAAACTTCACAATTGCACTGTCTCTGTATTTAATAGAAATGGCCATTTCTTCTGTACAGAACAACAGCATGATGCTAATTACAGATGATGATGATGATGAGCAAGAACTCAATATAAATCAGACCCCTTCCAAATTGTCAATTTATCCAGGCACAGACTTTGTATCCAACCTGACAAAGAAAGTCAACTTGTCGGTTTGGTTGAACAAGACGTACATCAACAAGTCGGTTCCAGAGGAAAGCATCATTTCACTTCTTCTTCAACTTTACGTGCAACTCCAAGAAAACTCTGCAAATTACACAATGACGGCTGAAACTATTACCAGTAGTGGAGCAAACCGTATCGGCGATGGAGCATACTTTGTGGCAAATTTACTCAACAAACTTGCATCAGAATTCCCTTCAGTCCATTCCCTGCTTGTGTCGAAAACGGCGGTGCAGGACACAAGTGGGGAGCAGAGGGAGGAACGGGAGAGGGAGGAGCGGCGGAAGAGAGCCAAAGAGAGGAAACTCCAACTAATGACAGAACTCGCTATGAAACGTCAACAGTTTATGAAAATGAATGAAGATGCAAATTCATCATCAAGTGAACATTTCTCGTCGTCTTCTAGTTCACTTGGAGAAAATAACGGTGCTGCTGGAGAGTGCGAATTCGAATGTGTGATTTGTATGGAGAAGGGTGGAAGCAAGTTTGAAAATCCATACGGACTCATCACCTACTTGATGCCAACGTCAGTGCTGTCTCACAGAAAGTCACATGACCCCTACGGCCCAGTTGGAATATCAATAGAACCATTTGGGACTTATTGGTCCTCCAATGTCTACCAACTATTTGGGAAGCACTTTGACGAAGGCTCGATTCGATTATCCTTGCCACTTCATGGCGGAATTGGAGTTAGCATACAAAGTTGTGGTCACTACTTGCACACCGACTGCTTCAACTCGTACATGAACTCACTCAATAAGTCAAAGTCTTGCCCGAATCAGAGAGATAACGTTGTGCAGCTGAATCACAGAAAGTTCTTTTGTCCCCTTTGTCGCCAACTGGGAAACTCATTTTTGCCCATCATAAAAGATGCATTGGGATTAAGCTTGTCGTCGCCCGAATCTTCCGAAGAATCTGATGAAAATGAGCTGGTTCGCGTTCTCAGAAAACGGACGACCCTGGTCCTTTCACCAAAACAGAAACTGGGAGTAGAAAAGTTTTTGGATGATGTTCAAAAAATTGTGACTTTTACTAAAATATATGAAGTTGATTCTACCAGTAATAGCTGTTCAAATAATATTGCGTCTTCTTCACTGGTTACCGCAACCACGGCTCAAGCGCTGAGCCTTGTATTCCTAAACGCTTTGGAACTTGAGTCTCTAAAATGCAAAAATATTCCAAACTTGCACAGATCTTACATCCTTCCGCTGTACTCGGTGCTACGATACTCATACAAATCATTGCCTATGGGACACAGTAAAAGGATTTCTCAGGTTTGGGAAGCTATTGTTGCAAATACTGCTAGGCCAACAAGCCCATCAACTAGTATTGCAAAGGCACCACAGCGTGAGGTTCCATTGCTATTGAGGGACTTGAACGTGGTTCTGGTACACTTGATGCTACAGCTGCCTTATGGAACAGAGAAAAAGTACCTCAAGTTAATAACTCGAAGATTATTAATGCTGAAATTAGCCCAAATTCTGACCGGACTATGTGTTCACTTAGATCATGAAGATTTGATTTCATTAAAAAGTTCAATTATTCACCTCACAACAGCAGCACAGCCAATGATTCACATAATCATGGAATATCTTTCGAAATCGTCGTCTGCATCAATATCTCCATTTGAGATTGGGCAAGAAATGAACGAACTTTCTCCAAGTGTAATTTCTAGTCTTTTACGAAATCCGCAAGAGCTGGATAATTTTATAACAAATCGAATGAGACCTTTTGTGAAGAAAGTGCTGGACTGGGCTTCAATAGTGTCACGAAATCCCATCACATTTATGAATGAAGAATCACACGGACCATTTCATAATAATGATGATGATGATTTGCACACGTCGCTGGACTACTTTGGACTAATTGCACATACTCCATTTAACACAAGCTTGTCGGCGTGGTTAGGAGAACTACTGCCACACCGAGGTGTTAACAACAACCGGCTTTCTGACCTATTCATGACTCAGCTCATCTCCTGGGAAGAGCCTGCCTTAAAGGAAATTCCAACAGAATATGACAAGATATTTCAGAGCTATCGGAAACTCAATTGCAACAATTGTAACTCCATCCCTAGTGAGCCAGCCCTATGTCTCCTCTGGTGAGTAGTTGAATATTCTTATTTTTTACACATTAAATAGTAACCAATTGGGAAATTGCAACTATAGTTCATGTTTCCTGACAGACTTTTGCAGTTTTGTATTCATTAGAGACATAATTTAATGCACTTAAAAAAGACACAACTTAAAAAAAGTAGCGTTAGTTGTCCCTACATACCAAAAATATTAAATAACCTAAGCCTTAGTCTAATGCTGAATAATGATATACAAATTTCAATCTATATTTTTTTTCAGTGGAACAATTGTCTGTCTGAATAGTTTCTGTTGTTTGGACAAACAGTCGAAAGTTTCCGAAGTAATTCAGCACACAAACGAGTGCGGGATGGGAAGTGCAGTTTTCCTCTGCATTCCTTCGTCTGCAATTTTGGTAGTTGTGGGAAAAGAAGCGTGTGTTTGGGGCTCCGTGTTCTTGGACAGTTTTGGTGAAGAAGATTTGGACTTGCGGAGAGGCCGACCGCTTTTCCTTTGCAAAGAACGGTTCCAATTTTTGCAATCACAGTGGAAAACTCATTCATTTCACAAATATGAACTAAAATGGTTTGCCCATGATAACATGTTGTAATTTACAGGGAATGGAGTAAATTAACAGTGAATGTAACTTTAGTATTCAACAAATGTTTAGTTTGCATACACTTATTTAAAGTGAGCAAATTAACCGTTTCAATTTTATAGTGAGAATGAAAGTTGATGATGTGAGCTTTCATTACAATTATACAATCATATAGTCTTCGTTTTATTGGAAATATATTTATCAATAAGGACAGGCATAAATTAAAACAGGCACGTTCACAGACAAAAGTGAAAGTAATAATTATTGTATATAACATATTTAATAAACGCTATTTATAACAATACAGATGGATTTCAGAAGCGATGTAACATACCGTCGTACGTGTAGAGCAAAGAAAAAAGCTAATCATTCCATTTACTTGCATTAATAATATTATATATTTGATGAAATATCTGCTAATAAAATTTACAATACATATTGCGAAACATTTTTTGATGTACTTAATCCGCATTATTAATGATTTAGACACGTGGAGTCAGTTTCACTAGATGTGCAAGAGTTGGGCGTCATTTATAGACCGATTTTATTCCTGTCAAATCTTTGAGAAAGTCACCCTTGAGAGATATGAAAGAGTCTATGCATTTGAAACACATTAAAAGGTAGTTCGTTTTATGCAAACTTTTACGCATTTTTTATATTTGATTTTGGAGATAAGTTCTTCATGCTTACTAAAGGAGAAAGTCATAAATGCAAACAATGGGACACAATACGATCACATGCAGGCAAAACTTTACTGAAAATACATATATGCCTAATTTAAGCAAGATGGTATGTAAAATTTTGTAAAAATTCATAACCGGGTATTTTCCATACGTAGCGAAAGACAAATTGACAGCCAATAAACCCAGCTCAATAAAAATGTACTGCTGATGAGCCAAAGATGTTAAATGTTTTGTGTTTACTATGAACTTTATTTTTTTATAATTTACAAATAAATAATAGTGAGACGAATATTTTTTGGGTATATTATTCCAAGTTGAGAGTAACATGAAAAGCACATTGTAACATTTTGTAATAAAACTAGATGCTGAAACACTATTTTTTCGTCTAATCTAAAGATGTAAAATAATCACGAGAATACTTAATTGTTTTTTAATACAACAAAAAAGCCACGGCAGGAACAACATTACTGCGAGATCTCGACTGCATTAAAGCAAAAATAACTTACTAAATCTAAGCCTTTAATTGATCACTACATGTACGAATTCCAGAATATCAATGAAAACAATCAATAATGATGAGCAGTATACGGTGGTTATTGGTTTATTAGTATTATTGCTGTTGTTTCGTCGTCATACTTGATTTCAGACTATTTATAGTGGGACCACATAGCGGAGGACTTTTTCAATGGTCAAAGTTTGTTCCAAATGAGCAAAACCATGGGACATCTAGGAGGATAATTCCGTCATTTCACGGGGATGGAGTGGCTGTGGAAGGTGTGTCTTGGAGGGGATGACCTTCTTTAGAGTAGATTGACTGGCGATTTCGGTTTGCCTGCCGATCCTTCCAAAGAGGAAGGCCAATCTCCATGCAGTACCAGATCAGAGTACCCATCCCTATAATCCCCAAAATTATGGCGATCAGGCCAAACGCACTCATCCCGAACCCGTCACCTCCTAAAATGAAACATGATGACGATGACACAAAATGGATATTGTTAATTTATAGTCTACGTGTAATTAATCTTACTGTTATAATATGAAGACTCTTGAAGTTTGTAATCCTCTTCCTCTCCGTCGGAAGTTGCTCCTCCACCCGAGTTGAATGCCGGATTGTCAAGTGCTAGATAGGAATAATTACATGCAGATCAAATTCAGAAAAATTTATAGATTTAAAATCACTAATACATAAACTACAAAAAGCTAGAAATAATAGAAAACTTACAGTTTGAGTGGAACCTGTGTGTTTTCTGTTGATTATGCTGATGCACCGCGTATCCTGCCACACCCACTGCGGCGGCACCCAAGGCCAACTTCTTGCCACTTATGCGACCTCCTCCTCCTCTGCTCCCTCCACCACCGTAAGCGTAACTTCGTCCTCCACCGCCGCGACCACCTCCGCTCCCTCCTCCCTTGGCTTCAGAGACCACGAGAATCAAGGCAAACACTGCAAACGAGAAAAGGAGTCTGAGTTTTACACTTCACGTAGTCCTCAACAAGCAATAATTGGAATTCGTCACTTGACGGTTTTGCGGATAATCAACCACAAAAATTGCATGATAACACAACTCCACCAAAGTGACAAAAAATTCTTATCGGTCAGAGCGTATTCAAGTCAAATAGAAATGCAATCTTAAAGCAAATTTGAACAGTTTGACTTGTCACATTTTGTTGGAAGTTGGTTGGACTGCTAGCAAATATTGCTGACTGAGGAACATCATGTGTATGCATAATATTCAGTCGGTGTGAAAACAAAAGTATGTATCATGAAGAATAATAAGCTTTTGATGATGATGCTGCAGTAATTTGATATTTTTTTCCATTCTCTGGCATTATGTAAGTATGCATGTCATGACTTAAATGTGTAAACTGATATTCACAGCTAAGATGGTCCTCCGTCCGTAGGCTACAAAAATGCATGGAGTCTTGGCTTTGGTTAGAAATAATAACGGATGGAGTGAATTCGATCCTTTCTTGCAAATCATTATGTTCAGCATACATACATAGATTCAAAGTACAGAATTCAAAGTACTGGATGTGTCCTGTCATACATTGAGGTCAAAAATTAAATAAATACTCTATGTACTTATTGGTATTATATTTGCAGTTGGTTGATCATAAGTTATTTGACGAGTGAGAGTGAGGTGACGCACAGAAATTGTTATTGATTTAACCATTCAAAGTTATAGACTTGAAAATGGAAACTATTTAAAGACGAAAATATTTACTTAAGATTTTCTCTCTCAATTCAAACGAGCTCTTTATAGTGCATCAGTCTGAGCTTTATTTGTTGTGGAAATAATTCTCAAATGTCAAATATGCTATTTAGAGGATATGCGATTCTTATCGCCTATGTCTGCATTTATACATACGTATGTATGCTGGAATCGTTCCTTTCCTTTATCTCAGCGGAAACTGAACCAACTAAAAGTAAAGTGGCGTCTTTGTCTTTACTAAAAAATAATGTCACAGTTGTTACTGTGATGATATATATACATACTTCTCGTGATGTAGCTTTAAATTAGCAAGAAATCAAGAAACGTTCCATAAATCTAGTATTTAGCTGTGCTTATCGTTTTGTCGTGTTAACTATGGGTTCATGTACATTATTCTAGGACTTGGATGTTGCCATATGCATACATAATAGCGAACATAGCAGAAACAATCAAGTTTTCAAGAATCTCACCTGCACAGAAGCAAGCCCAGAAAACCAGTGATAGTTTGTTTCTTGTTCTTGCCTTCTTCGTCATTGTTCCTCTTTCCTTTAGATTATTGGTCTACGCCTAGGTGCCGTCAGTCGGGAACCCGATCCAGTGAATTTTTATCAAACAACACTAAATTAATGACTAGCAGAATCCCTTGTCTGCAAGGTCTGCAATTTAAGTGTGACAACTATTTGTGATGTCAACAAACTATTTAAGAGACGATAAAATCTAAAACTATATTGATATATGTTAAGTATATTTAAAAAAGTTAAAAGCAAATAACCAGTTAATTTTGATATACGATATTAAGTTATCTCTTTTGCTATACGTTAAAACTGATACTATTTCAGCGTGTCAAAAATGCACCCACAAAAAAAATCACTTTTGCACTATATTATTGGCAGTGCACAGACGAGTGTGATTTTCGCATGAGCGAATCAAATGTTACTTGTAGCGTCCTTGAATCACTTTATTCCAGGCGAGACAGCGTACGGATGGGTGATGATGAATGATGGAGGTAATTTATCCAGCAGTGAATCTCAGCTCATTATGTCGTCGTAGTGCGACTTGTAATATACTTGCTGGAAGCTAATCTGTCTAGTGTCTTTTTACCAACAAGAGCCAAATTGTCAAAATAAATGTTTCATCTGTTCAATAAAAATGCACGCCAACTCCTAAGCTCTTAACCCTGTTATTTTATTATTATTCCTGCCGTGCGTAGGATGATGACGAAGAAGACCTGCATCTATATCACTCTTTTCTTATTCTGTATGCAACGAAGGAGATGCTTTTGCTATTAACTCTGTCAGAGGAAATAGATCTTCTAGTTCAGTCTTATTACTCCAAGGCGTTGGGAGTCGTAGTCTGCAGCCGAGGGGTAGTTTTTCACGCCTAGGTGCGTTTTTTACCTTGGGCAGATGCTTTCCTGCCGCACCAACAACGCTGGGATACGAAAATGAAAACGCACCATAACAGAACGAGCTGGCAACCCTCCTCCCTCCGAAAATAAGGAATGAAGAGAAAGGAATGTGCAGGGTTAGCTTTTCTCCACTATTTACCAGCGTAGTACACAAATACGAGGCCTAAGGGTTGAGTCAGACGAAGGGGTGAGTGTGAAGCATACGTACGTGTCTGAATGCATGCAACCAAGGAATATCGCGTGTGATGACATGCCCCCTTCCTTGATGGTCAATTGACGAAGGCTGTCGGTGTGTGACGAAGTCGTGCATAATGAAATGGAATTTATCAAGTGAAGTTTAGACCGTCTTTATTCGTCCAGCTATTTTACAGTGAGTAGTATTTAACATGTATCCAGCAGATCATTAGACCTACGGATATACAAAAAACTATACTTGTATGAGACAAATGCAGTTGTCTCATTTTATTTAAATCATCATTTAATAGAGCATTCTATTTTTAGGTATTATGCGATCCTTTGAAGTATTTTCCCTGAGAATACTGAATTATGTTTTAATTATTGTTAGTATGTTTATGCATCAAAGTAATTCATGTCTGTAAAGAGATGTCAACTTTTAGAGTAGCGTGTATCTACAATTACGGATGACAACAAATTAAATACTAACCGGTGCATCCGGACTGATTGGCAAGATAAATGCTGCAGTCAAAATTTAAGACAGGCAACATTAAATTATTCATTCATGTTGAACAACTAATTTGCTCATCACATTATTGTACATGTAAACGGCTACTCAACTTTTCAATTGTGATGTCACGTCGTAGAACCGGAAAACATCAGTTTACTTGGACATGAAAGGATCCATATGCGGGTATATAAGGGACAGATTAAGATTGAATATTGTTCATTCGTTTTCAAATTCATTATTAGTTCAGTTCATGACAATTTTTGAAAAACGTGTTTTGGTACCATGAATTTCCGAGGTTGTATTTTACTTGTAATCGCTTCTGTTGCATTGTTTGTGCAATCTGATGCTTGCATGCAAAAATTTAAAAGGGCTGGCGATATTGACACCTTTACAAATAATTGCTTCACGAAAGCTGGATTTGCTAGTGTTCCAACTCACGAAGACATGATGAAACCCGATTTTGACTTCAAGGTACATTCTCGTAATATTTCTAATTTGAACTAGTAATGAATCGTATTGCTCTTTTGTAGTGTGCAGCAAAATGTATAATGGGGGCCATTGATATCGTAAGTTATACAAAATAAGGACTTAAAGACACGTCACGTAAATAAACATTTTACAAGTGGGAAAAATTATTTTCAGATCGACGACCAAGGAAAAATCGATAAAGACGTTTTGTCTGATTTTTTGGCCGAGAATGCTCCGGAACAGACTCTCTTGAAACTGACAGAAGTGTCGACGGCATGCGTAGATTCTTCAGGTTCGCTCGTTCTGTTAGTGTTCAGCCTCAATTATTGGAATTCACAATTCCCCATATATTTTTTTTCTTCAATTGCAACTAATTGTGTAGAGCGAATATCGATGAATAGAACGATTGTGGCCAACATTTCTTCTTGTATGTCAATAGGCAGTGACAAGATCAGTGGCACAAAACAAGGACAAGGAACCGAGGAATGTCAAGCCATTGGGAAATTTTATTCGTGCTTTATCGCCGCTTCGGATAAAGTAATGCATGGACTTCCAAATCATAAATATGCAATGCGATGCAAAATATAATATGCATATTTTTGTTTAGTTTTGTTGAGCTGACCATCTTCACTACTTCACATCTTCACTTCAAAGTGACCCACAACATGTACCCGACGACGCAAATTATGTATAAAGATTTTATCAACATGTTACTTGTTTATTCTCAACAGATCTGGCTTTCACTCGCACATAGTATGTAACATTTGCTGGTGTATAATTATATTTATGGCTAATTAAATGCACATCGTCAAATAAATATTGCAAGCTAAAAAAGAACGTAACGAGAATTAAATGTGTCTAGAAAGAGAAAAACAAGCAAGCAAAACAAACAATAAGTACCTAACCTGAGTTGGTTACAATAATAATTGATATTAAATACATAAAGGCTTAGGTATGCAATTCATCGGGTGTGAAAGTACTTAATTTAGGGAACGCTATTCAGTGTACAAAATGTACGGAATCAGGCTATGAGGTAACTCTGACCGATTTTTCTCTGTCCAATCTTCGGTAAAAGGTCCCAAACTGGAACACAGAGATTTTCGTGCGATTTCCATGAGAGACTTGGGGTTTTTCAATCGTTGTTGAATATCTTTTCTGAAGGAACTTTTGAGGCGCTGAAGTTGTGGATTAAGGCGATTCAGATCTTCCGTCGCACCACCGTCTATTAGCAGGTGAGCAAACTCAGAAAAACCTACAAAACGTTTGATGGATTCATAATATGGTATGTCTGGGAGAAAAGTAGCACATGGTAATCGAACCCATTAAATAAATAGTACCATTTGTTATACAGTGGCTCAATGGAGAAATTCCAAGTCGATCAACCGTATTGACGTTGGCATTGGCTTGAATAAGAATGCGAAGGGATTCGATGTCCGACATAAGGCAGGCAAGCTACAGGAATAACAACATGTTATTTGTTTTCCTCTGATCACTCGTAAATTTTAAGGAAGGATTAAAAAAATAAAATAGGAACATTTACATGCACTGTACTTTGCCCCAATTTATTGCACTTGTTCACATCACATCCACATTTGAGCAAAAGTTTGAGACATTTCCATTTCCTGTAATAAAACATAAAATCAATTTCGTAAGAATAATATAGAAATTGTAACTTGTATACTCGAGATTATTGCTGAGAATGACAATCTGTAGTTGTGTATTCCCTTGTCCTGTCATCAAGTCCAAACGAGATCCATGTTCCAGAAGCAGGCGTACTGTATCATACTCGAAATTTGAACTTAATAGGCCCCACATTAGTGGGGTGTATCCAAGAGAATCGAGATCATCAGGAAATGCTGTCAACATGTGTCAAATACTTAACCATATTTGTGATGAACGTAAATAAATACAAAATTCTTACCCCCATTGGCAAGTAATACTTGAATTACTTGCTTGCGGCCGTGTTCGCAAGCGTAGCTTAAAGCAGTTCGTCCCTTATCATCCTGCTTATTTATATCACATCCATATGAAATTAGACTGGAGACAGTGTCTATTGTGAAAGAGTCGTTTATATACTATTTGAAAATTAAATTTTTTGTATCATAATTTTCACTAACGTAATGCACCACGTTTGGCAGCAATATGCAAAGGAGTGACCAACTGATCATCCGCAGCATTTACATCTGCTCTATTTACAAGAAGTAAATCAACAATGGAGTCGTACCCCATTTCCACGGCCACATGTAAAGATGTGCATCCTTTTGAATCTCGCCGATTCACGGCCACCCCATTTCTTAAGAGAAGTTCAACTGTGTAGTTAAAAAAATCATCCATCATTATCATACGCTCAACTATGAATATTTTGTCGTGGGAATTGAAAGCGTTTCAATTGGATAGTGATTTGATAAAAGTTTACCGAGATTGTAAGCTCCCCTCTCAACGGATCTGTAATGAAAATTGGGCATAAACGATAAAAAGCGATTAAGGATGTAGTCTATAGAAGTCAAACGTTTTGATGTGAGTCACATCATGTGACCTATAATTCGAACTTACAGGCAGAGGGCAGGTCTTGTGACCGAGTTGATTTTGAAGGTTTGATCGGCGTCAGCTCCAGCTTCTAACAGGGCAGCACATTGTTCAACATCCCCGTATTGTATGGCCACCAAGTAGTTCCCATTCAGCTGCCAACTGTTAAGTCCTCGCTAAAAAGGTAAATTACGGATGTTTAGCATTACAATTGTTCGGAGAAGACGTGCTCAGTTTTTTTAGTTTGGAGCTATTGATAATTATATCTTTTAATAATACCATCATTTCTCGTGGCGTACAGGTATTTCTCGAGTAAGTCTGAAAATAAAATTATAAAATGTAGATGACTCAACATGTAATGTAAGTAACGACGCCTGCATCGTTTAAAGATCGAGCTTATATGCATTTACGGACAACTTTTTCAGATTATCAGTGCCAATCACGCTAAATTTGACTGTACGACATAATGCATTGGACGACGACTACTATGATACATATGCACAAAAACAAATGTCCTCTTTGTCAATAAATAAACCACAATTTGACACATTATACGTTGCGGTTGTGGGCGTGTGTGGCTTTATTTCAATATGCTGGTATAGCGAGCAATTGATAAATATGACAAACATGATGATATTTATGATACAGATTTACATAAATAACTGCAAACCTAATTGCGTGTGCAGAACGTTACACGTCGATTATATTATGCAATTGACTCGACTTGACTTGAGTACAAACCTTGCTTTCAAGCAAAATCCTCAAGATAACTTTGTAAAATCTGTTGGTAAAATTTTACCGTAAAATTGTGCACAAATTTGGGTGATATCTGCAGAGTTGCTTGTATCTTAAAATAATGCTGATATACATATATGATGCGACTGTTCTTTGTAACTAGAAACGAACTAATGGCTATGCATTTGGTAGTGCCATACGACAATACAAGGTCGATGATATTAACGTTCGTTATTGAGAGATAAAACAGAGTTTCAATGTTGACATGTAAAATACAATAACACACGCAACCTAGACCAATGTTAAATTCTGCTTTAAACAGGCTGAGTGAGTTATTATTACTATTTACACGGTGCGTTGTGACGTAATTACGAGTCATTATAAGAATAGTAAAGGGACGATGATAAACACGATATACAAAACAAAGACTCACTCACCGACTTATCGGGAATTTAGTAAGAAGCACCCACCAAATATATCTTGTGACAAGATTCTTGTCTACAAAAATGTTGGAATTAATTGCTGATGTTTGCCACGTTTATTAAAGACAGATGAAGAAGGCTCAGATGTTATTGTGCATTGTCTCCAAGTGGAATTTGCAGTCAATTACTTAGTTATGCACTAGTCCAAGTCGAACTAAATTATTATCCAAACTGACGCTTAAATATTTTAAGAGAGGCAACGAACAGCTCAACTAGGTGTGTATATATATGTAGCTTGATTGACTTTTATCCAGTGATGACGTTCATTTAAAATGTGGTTTAGCTAGTTAGGGTTTGATGGTGTTGGTGGATAAGAAGAAAGATAGCAGGGCTACACAAGTGAACAAAATAAAAGAAGGTGGTTTTTGAGAAGTAAAAAATGAGGAGTACTATCCAAAAGCCCTCGTCGGTCGACTCTAGCCCAGATTTATTTCATGGAATTGGAGCATCACTCGTTGTTTAACCATCAGAACATATCATAGCGTATGCATTATGCATAGGCATCAATGGTACATGAAACCTTGCCCTCATTTTGTATGGCTTCGTGAGTAAGTAAATGTTACAACAAAAAGGTAATAACATTATTGATCTGGTTCTGCAGGATCCATGCAAAGGAATGCCCACAATAAGAGTTTGTCAATATAAATGGTAGTTGGAAAGGTATGGTGTCTGGTGAAGTGTATTTAAATATAAGATGAAAGAATCCGGAAGAAAACATTCCAATCCGGTTAAGGGCAAGGGACCAGCAGCCGAAGAAAGGGTCTACATCCTTGAACTTGTAATGTCACCTAGACCAACCTTTACGTTTATATGAAGTGGGTCATTTGCCTTGTAATAGGCAGGCACTATAGCCGGCGGATGGATGAGGTTGCACGGAGACACAGAAAGTAATATGCAGTTACGCTGTATAGATTTTAGTATTTCATGGCACTTATAGTAGTTATAGTACTGCGATGCATTCTGTCTGGCTAAGGGACCAAAATTTGACAAGTCTACCGTTGGTAGTCTTGTCTATCCAAACAACCAAGTAAACCTAAACCTTGTGCCCTTATCGTAAAATCATGAGATCACGAAAGAAAACCATGAATCCAGTTTTAGAAATTTATGCGTGCACATTCCGAACAACATCAGCGTGTCTCGCCCTTAAATTTATACTTACAAGTTTTATTATCAACATTAAAGCTAGAAAAATTATTTTAAAGTATCAAAGGATATAATGATGTTTAGAATAAAAAATCATCATACATTTTCAAAGGGTATAATGTGACAGTCGATACGCACACAAAAAAAACATATTCATAAAGCATAAGTATCCGTTTTAACTAACAATATCGTCCTTAATTTTTCCTAGCTTTCATTTTTTGCCGATTATTTTTCCCAGGCCGTTTTGTACCACCACCAGCACCACCCCCTGGGTTGCCCCTTCCGCCCCTGTTGCCCCCAGGTTGTTTTCCACGCCCAAACCCTTTCGCTGACCCCTTTCCTTTCCCACCACTCCCACTCTCAAAATTGTCTAAACTATCCCTCGTGTTCCATTTCTGGCCTTTCTTCTTCCCACCATTGCCGTATTTCTCATTCTTATTTTGTCTCCTATAGTTCACCCTCTTCTTGTCATCCCCTCTCCCACCTCCCCTATTTTTACCCAAATCTCGAGTTCCCTTCTTTTTTTCTTCCAAAAAATCTAAATTTCCTCCTTGTTGTCCTTTCCTATACTTTTTCACACTCTCAATCATATCTTTTTTAGCCTTTTGTCTTTCCTGAATAACCTGAACTTGAGTCTGTTTAGCGAATTTCTTTTGTTCCCTCAATTTCCGCACTTTCTCCGCTTTCTCAGTAGAAGTCTGCTTCTTGAGTAGAACTTGAGCCACTTTCTGCATATGAGTATCCGATTTAGCCATTTCTGCAAAATAGTCTTCTGGTCTTCTCGTAGGAACTCCCATCTCTCGTAGTCGCGGAAGGCACTTTAAAACAGCTTCTTGTGCTTGGCGATAGAATCCCATTTCCCGAGCAAAATCATTATGAACTGGATCATCATCTACAGACTTTACTGAAGGGCTCGCCGTTCCTTTCGACCTCCGTTGGCTATTGATTGACTTGATTTCTCTGGACCGCTTTCCCTTATGTTCATCTAGCTGAAGGGCAATTTCAGGTGCGAGGGGGGCCACGTTATTAACGATATCTAAGCGCTCAATCCATCCAAACTTTTTGGGCAATTTTATTTTTTCAAGATGATGTTGTATTAGTGGGATATCATTAATAGCAGCTGCTGGCTTCTGCTTCTCCAGCTCTCTTCCAGTCGTATTCACAACAACCAACCCTGGCTTTAATTTTCCAGCCGCAAATGCTTCTTGTAGTGCTTCATCAGAATCAGCGTCCTCGTCAACTTCAAATTCCTCATCTGACGAGTCTGAGAAATCAACTTCCTCTGGTTTCTTCATGTTTTGCAAATGCTGAATCAACGATCACAAATAAAGATGATGAAACTGTACACCTTTCTGTATTAAAACAAGAAAATCGTCACATAAGTTATGTGCATGTATTTACGTTCAACTTTGTAAATACACTGCATACATGCACTAAATAGTAATATAATGGGTTTATTCTAATACAAATCTATCGAAATTTCAAAATTGTTTAATGCAATATCTTACCTTACTATCGCAAAGGTTATCTTCCTCTTAGGGTAAGTACTTATCAGACGTAAATTAAATTTTTATTCCTCACAGCAGCCGTTGACGACTCGCTGAAATGATAGAAATGTGCTTCTGCTCTTCTACACATGGAGGGTTCGAGTTTGGCTCTGCACTCCATTCTCTTGCTGGGGCAAACTGCTTGTCGCTCTCTCGCCTTTCTCCCCACTCACTTTCATCGCTTTCACCAACACCCAAATTTACTTGGTTCCTCTGATAATCATCCAATTCATCTCCTTAAATTCCAATCACATTCTACTGAAATGCAACACAATGAAATTTACATGCAAATGAAATTATTTCTGATGATGGGCCAGTTCCTCCGCCTTGAGTTGTGGGTAGATGGCAAAGTGGAGTGTGCAGCTGCTGGCTGAAGAATACTTGTCAGTCTTGTGATCATGACATTTCACTTCCCAATGGTCCACTACACTACTCGTCGTATATAAACAGACCAACCAAGTCGTCACAAATTCCAGTTTTGTCTCACTCATCATCATCACTTTAGTAGTATTGAATATTAGTTAGCAACACTTTCTGTTGGTTCTTGAACTGACTTGAACTTTTGTATAATTTGACAAGTTGTTATCTCGGGTGCCGTAGTTCATAGAAGAATAGATTGGTCCTGGTGAAAGTCCTTTTCTATTTGTTGATTGAAGTGAGTCAACAGCAGGCGTAGTTCAGAAAAAAAGGACATCACAGCTGATTGGTCCTTCCTCATCATAAAGGTAATCAGGAGAGAGTTATTTGTTTGATAATTGCTCAAGGGGAGTGATGGGTTGATAAGCCCGTGGAAGAGCGTTGTATTGTACAGCATGAAGTGATGAGTAATCGATGAGTAATTTAAGTATTAGTGCATCAATACTAATTTGACGGAACTGCTTTAATTTTTACAGTGAGCAACATAAGATCTATACATATAGAAGTAACAATCAATTGACAAGAGGCGAAAGTATTGAACTACAATCATCAAGGCAAAGAGATTAGAGAATATCGACTATTAAACTCTATTGACTGAATCTCAAACGCTGAAAAATACCATAATCAACGCTTCCAATGGGCATCTTTAGCAATTCATCACCATTCGACGAAGTCGTAGGTTAATACTTTGAATGTCTTTTCTTCCTCCTTCTCATATTCTGGTTTATTGATTTGATTCATAAATGTCTTTGTTGTTACGTTTCTGCAGGGAAAGCAACACTAGAGACTAATACCAAGGAGGACTGGTCTTTGATACTTGATATTTGTGATCGAGTAACAACTACTCCAACAGGTGCAAAGGAGTGTCTCAGGTCAATCGTTTCCAGATTGAATCATCCAGATCCTCACGTTGTTGTGCAAGCAATTACTGTAAGCTAACCCCAGAAGAAAGTGACACATTATTCTTGCAGGACGGCTCCTGTAAATCTTCCTAATTGCATAACTCATTGGGTACATATATTTTATATTATTATTCCAGCTTTTAGATGCGTGTGTGAGTAATTGTGGACTACCATTCCACCTTGAAATCGCATCTCGAGACTTTGAACAAGAGTATTGCAAGTTACTTACAAAGATTCAAGAGAAAACTGTCCGTGATAAACTTCTTCAGTGTCTCCAAAAATGGGCAGAGAGTTTCAAATCTGACCCACAACTTGACCTGATCCCATCACTTGTAGGAAAATTGAAAGCAAAAGGAGTCCACTTCTCTGATAGCCCACACAAGGTTGGATTTTATTTCCAAACGTATTTTGTTCTATTAACAAATGGAGAAATTCTAAACTTCATTATTCCATAACAGTCTACTAGAAAATCCAGCCATCATCATCATCATTCTTCTTCTAAAAACAGAGACATGTCATCATCATCGGCAGTGCCTGCGGCTCAAGAAGATGCAGACCTTGCAAAAGGTGTAATAATTAAACCAACCCCATTCAAAACCTATTAACTCGTTAACTGCTGGTGATAATTAATATTATTATGAATCTCTTTTCAGCAATCGAACTTTCATTGAAGGAGGCCCAAACTCACAGCCAAAATAAAACGTTGTATCCCCAAGCGTCATCGTTAGCCAGCGGTTCAGCTGAAGAAAAGGAACCAAAGAAAGTCAGAGCCTTATATGACTTTGAAGCCGCTGAAGAGAATGAACTAACATTTTATGCTGGAGAAATAGGTTATTACTAATTTTCTTATCATGTAAATATTTGCTGAGCAAGCAATCAAGGTAATAATTATTATGATTTTGGTCATGCAGTGTTTGTAACCGATGATAGCGATACCAATTGGTGGCAAGGAAGTAATCAGCGTGGAAAGGGACTATTTCCAGCCAATTTTGTGACTTATGACTTGAGTGCTGAGCCCACTAGTAAGCAAGAAGGATATAATAATTATAACAATAATAACTACTTTTGCATTATTATCAAGTAAATCATGTACACTTATTTCCGCAGAATTTGAAGTAAATTCCAAGAAAACAGTACAATTTTCTGAAGACGTTGAAGTACAGTCCATCGAGACAGAACCTGAGATCGTTGAAATTGACGAAGGCAAAATCGATAAAGTGTTGCATGTGCTACATGAAGCAGATCCAACCGGTGAAGTCGAAGATCCAGCAGATTTGTGCGGATTAGAAGGTTTAGCATATTTTTTCAGTTTTCACCCACAAACTATCTTATCACCTAGTAGAGAAGAGGTAGAATAATAATGATATAAAGTGTATAAATATGTACTTCATTGTGATATTTCAGAACAAGTAAATCAAATGGCACCCTTGATTGATCAAGAACTGGAGAAAATCGACAGAAGACATGCCCAGTTGACACGACTGGGTGGAGAGCTGGTGGAAGCCCTTAACATGTACCACAATTTAATGCGTGAACCGGTTGCATCAACGATGCCGTATGGTATGAAAATGGGCATGAGCGTCGCAGGACCTACCGTATCTATGCCCCACTTTTCTCAAGTAGGTGGGCCTGTGCAATACCCTGGGTATCCTCCTTACGACCCAAATGTACCTTACTCAATGATGAGACCACCACATTCCGCACCACCGGCTGCTAATGGGGCTGGATATAACTCCATGCCTTATCAATCACAACCTCAGAGTAATGGAATGGGACAACAACACATGAACCAACAACAGCAGATGGGGAATTTGGGAGGCGTTCCAAACGGTCAAATTGGGGGGCAGCCGCAAATGCCCAACTCACCTCAAGTCAGTCAACCGGTTAGCATGGCAGGAGGGCAAATTCCTTATTCACAACCCATGATGATGCCACAAGGGCAAAATATGAATATGCAAGGAGGATACGAGTCAAACCCCATGAGTCAACCGCAGAATATGGGAATGCCCCCTCATATGATGTCACCTCAAAAGTATGTTTCATTTCCTCTTTTAATATTTTGTTCGAGTATTGTAAAAAAGGCAACAACAATTACAAAAATTATAATTGTTATAATCTTTTACCCTACCTACAGTGGACCGTATGGACAAGGATTGCCTCAAGGGGGGTATCCACAATCATCCACGGCCCCATCCGGCCCAGCAGTCTAAAGACCTCGCGTTTGCTTAACCTTTTACTACTTCGATACGTATATATTTACATATTTACTAAATATGATCATTATTGTGCGTAGAAAATGCTAGTTTTGCATTGATAATGAATTCTTTACGTCTTATTACTTTGTGCAGGCACATTTTATAACCTGCAGCAAGTTTATGATCCATTGTCGTCGTCTGCCATCGCTCTGCTATTTCAAATATAAAGAATAAATTATTTGCCCTTCAAATTCGGCCATTGAATAATAAAAACAGCTCCACCACAGTACCACACCACTACTATCACATGCTTACATAGTTACGCAGTTTAACATACACACGTTCAAAATAATCATATGCACAATGCACATCATCCATCAGTGTACTTGATAACTTTATCATCCGGTAGTTTTTGTTTTTGGAGTTAGTTAGCTCTCTCTATATAGACTTATACGTACGTAGGTAATTCCTGAGAGCGATTATTAACAGGCATTCTTAATTACATGCAAACCCTAAGCATATATTATGTAGCTGTTGACCATGAGCCCATCATCACCGATCATTCTCATTATAGAAAGAGCCCATACAATCTCATTCAACAACCACTTGTTTTTTCTAACTATTTAGTTGCCTGCTATTCACTCGATTAAGGAATGTACAAATGTACAGCTATGTGGGAAGTATAAAGTCGGTCCACTGCTGCTCCGTGTTTGGCTTTCTCCCAACTTTTACCCACTCTTTCTCCTCGTTGCAACTTCTGGAGGTGTTTCTGCTCGAGATTAATGTGCTGCCTAAAAATATCTGGGTATCAAGGCTGAGAGAATAGTGGTACTAATTAATTTCGAGGGAGGTGAGACATGTTGTTGGGTGATTTAACAACCTCCATAAATTTTTTACCCTCTGTTGGACTCTCAACGCTACAGATAGATGTGCACGTTAATTAAATAAACTGGATTAATTGTTGGGAGGGCGAGAAGAAGGTTGAGCAGGGTAACAACTCTGGTTCATTACTACAATTTAACGATGTGTTAATAAATTGGCGAGTGACGTTGAACGAATCGTTATGGTTTAACAGTTTGACAACTTATTTGTGACGACTGCCATATATGGAATAGAAAGAGCTCACACGACACGGAACGATGACTTTAATAAGGACTACCGAAAATATAAGCACAAATACAAGAACAAATATTTATAATTGAATTTTTTCTATCCTCAATTTGACCCGAGAGAACAAAGTCAAGGAAATTCGGGTGGACATGGCAAATTGTATATGAACATTGTGTGCTTAATTCCTTCACTAAATACCAAAGTCACCGTTACAACTTACAACTGGAGAAAGTCACTGCTCAATTCACGCGGACGGAACAGACGAACATCAAAATGTCAAAAATACCTTATGAACAGTAAGTCAAGAATTTAATATTTTATAGATTATGCATTGCATGACCGAAAATATGTTCGCATAATTTACTACCAATTACATAATTAATGGCACTAATAATAGCTTTGACCAAGCGTAACATGGATTACATAATGTAATTTACATTTAGTCAGTTACATAAAACATGATAACGATATAAAGGATATCGACGTACTCAATAAATGGGAATGATGGGATATTTTTGATAAAGCTAGCACGCACTGTACTCTGTGCATGATGATCAGTGAGAAAGTTCAAGAGGACGGTTTATCAGTTGGTGTCATATACAGAAGCTGGATTATTGACAAAATATTCCATTCAGGTCATGGGTGTGTGGTGTCAGTTTGCCTCAGGGACAAAAGTTCAGGATGGGGCCGAGTGCAGAGAAAGTAGTGCAGTGCAGTGGATATGAAATCTGTTTCTTCAGAAGAATTGTCCATTCTTCTCAAGTGACAGATTTATTTCTACACGTTTTGTAAATCCTCTCATCCTCAGATTAACTAAAATCTACTGTAACTTCGCATAGCCCGAGTGAGTTCATCAGTCGTTAGACTACATATGTAATTTTTATACATGCCCGTAGTATCATGTAATTGTAATAGGTAATGCAGCAATTAGGGGCAACCAGCGTGTGTACATGCATATGTACCTACAACACACTGACAGACAAGATGCGTACTGGAGTCAGCATGTATTTTCCACACTAAAACTTTAACTTTCTTTTGAACTTTTTTCTAAATAAATTCAGCTTAGAAGTTCACTACATAATTATTCAAAAACTTATCGGTGTTCTGAATTCTAAATAAAACCCAATGGGAATGTTCCGTTTTAAAAATCGTTCACTCGTCGGACCCCAAATTTCACAAATTGGAGCAAATATTTATTTTACAATCATGCAGAGCCTTGCCCCTCTTTTTCTTATGCTGTAAATATTTATAATCCATTTGCTTCCCTCACATGATAAACATGATAAGCTATAATGCCTCCCAAGCAGGGTGAGTTATTTAAACCTACTTTGGTTGACGCAATTTACAAATTGCTGTGTTATGCAAAATTGTTTATTCTGGTATAAACGTGTTCCTTTAGTTATATATCATGTCAATTACATTAAGACATATTAATATATTTAATGTGGTATTGTGATGCATTTTGAACTCTTAGGAGGGGAGCTTGCGAGGTTGATAATAACAGATCCTGATGCCCTTTGGATATGTGGTAGGGTCCTATGAGTGTACTAAAACCCTGAAGTGGTTTAACTCCATGGCCACATTTGCGCCCGCCACACCCACTCAAAAATACCCAAAAAACGCTTTCACACCAGTTTTCACTCACTCAAATCCACGCCAAAAATCCAATTTTACTCAGATTTTGCAATTTCTTTCACCATTACACTCCCAGATAGTTGCTTTCTTCAATCCAATATCAAACTCAATATTTTCGAAATTTTTAGTATTTTTAAAATTTAAAATTCTGAATGAGCATTGTTGTAGTAATCAACAACGCAAATTATCCCTGCGAAATAATCATCAGCAAAATTGAGTTTGATATTGGATTGAAGAAAGCAACTATCTGGGAGTGTAATGGTGAAAGAAATTTCAAAATCCGAGTAAAATTGGATTTTTGGCGAGGTTTTGAGTGAGTGAAAACTGGAGTGAAAGCGTTTTTTGGGTATTTTTGAGTGGGTGTGGCGGGCGCAAATGTGGCCATGGAGTTAAACCACTTCAGGGTTTTAGTACACTCATAGGACCCTACCACATATCCAAAGGGCATCAGGATCTGTTATTATCAACCTCGCAAGCTCCCCTCCTTAGCACATTTATTTGTAGTATATACACACATACATATATCTATTACAGAAAAGTTTGAGACATCAATTTGTAATTTCGCGACGATCTTGATGAAACTATAAATCTCTACAAATTTCGAAATTGTTTTGCGTCATTTTCTACCTAATCTCCAACTAATCTTGGATGAGGGATTATTATGACTGCATGACAATTGCATGTTGGGCATTATCCTCGGTCTGTAGACTAGTTTTGCGCTCATTCAGAAGAAAGCCGGGTGCAAAGCAAATTGTTATTTCCTCTCTTGCATCAGGCTTATCTTTCCCCTTACAGTTGACAGTACGTACGTACAATCGTTGTTATACTGCACGATGTTACTCACTACTCCCAAAAAACTACGTAGATGTGGCTGCCTTTTAAGCATATGCACTCATTTCTAACCGTTATACATACGTACAAATCTGTATATCACTCTTTATTGTCCTTCTGAAATTGATTGTACCAGCGGAAATGTTGCGTCTTCTTCATTGTGGAAACAGCGACTTTGATATGTATACCTATGGTATTGTAATTATGTGGGTTCGATCAACAGGATAAAACATATTCTCAAATAACTAACTGTCCTCCTGCTTGCCTTATTGTAGCCATTAGTATTGATGCATTCTCATTTTGTGGAGGTTGGAGAATGACCCGAGAGTTGAACCTGATGAGCTGTAGATGTGGTGAACCAAATGTAGTAAATAATCCGCCCTGACTGGATATACATAGATACGAAATATGCATGCACGAGACGAGATAATGACAGTTGAATCTACGATATCAAACTATTCAGGGTTATTAGTACTTCGAGTCAATTTAAAAGAGCAACATCTTTCTGTCAATCTCTGTCATAGTCTTTAGTCGTCGTCATAAAAGTCAAAATAATTTTTTTGCTACTTCTTTGCTACTTCTTTGCTACTTTGTATATCATCATACTAAAAATCATCCGTACTCAATTGTTGCTAAACTAATAAGTATTTATAAAGTTCGTGGTTTCACCAGACAATGAGCATTATTGATTGTTGACAGTTTAAAATAAAGCTTGTTAGGTTACATGGTTAGAGAAATCTTGCTTGACACGAGTTTGAGGAGTGTATATATATAATTTGCCCTTTTGACCATTACTTTTTCACTCTGAGCAGCAATTTTGCACTCAACCCTACATTTTGTGGTCTATTTTGAACATTTTTTTTACATAATGCAGTTTAAAATATTCAGTAATATGTGGTGCACGGAGTAGTGGTTAGACCTTTGAGAACTTGGATAAGGAAAAAGGTGTGTATCGTAATTATAAATACGTCGTCTTGCGTTGCGTGAACTTCAATATACTGGAACGCCAACTCCGTTGGAGACCACCTTGTTCAAGTCGAGAAAGTGTTAATTGTTCCATACAATCTGTTATTGTAAAATGTAAAACAGCAGAGAAATTCTGTAATGAAGAAGATATGTTGCGGTTCAACATTAGTAAGAACTAAAAGTTTGCCACTGAAATTGGATAATCATCGTCGCATTATATACATGCATACCTGAGATAATTTAGCACCTATTACCAATACGGCGTCGTTCAAAAGAAGGAAAGACTACTTTCAGAAGCTAACAAAATGACCCGCAAGATGAATGAGCAAAGCCCGTTGTAAGTTGTTGATATATTGATGACCAATAATTTAGATTCGCCATTTTACGTGGACGTGTGGGGGTTGGGTTTTCTTTCTCTACACATTTTTTTCTGCTTGACCATCGTACCTAGGGGTTTGGTTCGAATAGTATTTTCATAATTGATGGGACGTGGTCCGAGCCACACACATAGATCTTAAGTAAGTTTGCAATTTGATCGCCTGAAAAGGTGCTAATTCGAGCTTATGTATCTGGCGACATGTCCATTTTGTTTGTGCCCGTACACATTGCAAACTTATGGTTCGTATTATACGGCGGTGATTTCCTTATCCGGTGATGTATAGATAGCCAATCAATCAGTCAGTCAATAGATGCGACAAACCTCCTTTTGTGAGTTAAAATTCTCTACAAGTACAGAATTACAAAAAGTTGGGTCACCGGTCAGCCAGGGTTATTATTAGTGCAGGCATCATCTATAAATTATTTAAATGAGCCCTAATCCATCAACTGTCATTAATCACAGGTAACTTTCTGCAAAGGCATCCCTCCCTCACACCAACTAAAGAAAATGTGATATATTCACTTATTGTTTTCGATATACTTATGTATTCCACTCGGAAATATAGGCATTCATGTATAAATATTTTCACACAGTCGTGAGCTACTTTATCATTCTCACAAGTTTTTAATAAATTACAAAACTGGTTTGAAATGTACCAGGGTTTATATTTTGTTGCAAAATTATTTTTGTGGGTGATATATAATGTCAAGAATGAAGGAAGTTGTACAATTTGTAATTATTTTTATTACTTATTTTATAAGTAAAGTTTGATCAAGAAAATCAGTACTAAATCTGACTTTACTAATTGCCCTCTTTCTGAAACGTGCACAGGCTGCAAGACTCTCACGCGAGGATGTATGGGGACAACACGGCGTCGAGTGGGGTTCTGGACAATGGGGAGCAACGACCACCCCACCTCTGCACCTGCCAGGGCGACACACCACCTCGCAGACCCTGCGGCACATGCAACACCTTCCCACCCCCCACCCCCGGCCTCTCCATCATCATCCAAGGTACGAAATTCATGCATACACTCCACACCACTTTTAGGCATCCATGGGAACTTTTATCCAGATTTTTGCATGCAATTAATCAACATTCCTTCCGAATTTAATGGAAGAATCGGTGCACCGGAGTGGGAGTAATCCTTCCTACCCGACATTTTTTGTCTTTAATTCTTCAACATAAACAAAATTTATAATGACAGCAGTTTCTAGCAAAACCAAGCCGATTAAAAAGATAGATCTAAATTTGAATGCATGTCCAATATTTCCAGATTCTGGTGAACACTGCCACGATGATGAGCAACAGTTTAAAACAGACAAGGTAGCGAGGAGAAAACTGTGGATTGCCAGCGTCTTGTGCGTCGTTTTCATGGTGGGGGAAGCGGTTGGTAAGTTTGTACAAGTTGGAAACAAACTAATTATAAAATTAATAGATATAATATACATTTCAACGGTAGGTAATAGGTATACATTATTATTAATTTATAATATTTTTATAATTTCAGGAGGGATGCTTGCAGGCAGTTTGGCTGTGGCTACTGACGCTGCACATTTGCTGACAGACTTTGCCGGATTTATGATATCATTGTTCGCTCTTTACATTAGTGAAAGACCTGCAACGAAAAGACTAAGCTATGGGTATCACCGTGCAGGTAGAAATTAGGAATTTCTTAAATACATATGTATATAATACACACTGTTCAAAACAATCACCCAGGACCATATTTACATACAATGCACATGTAAATATGACTCCATGCGTAACAAAATTAGTTAACTATATTTGCTAATAATTATGATTTTTGAGCAGAAGTGATTGGTGCACTAACATCCGTCCTCTTGATTTGGGTCGGTACGTATTATGGAAATGATTCGCATATATTTTATTTTCTCAAACAAGTAATTATTTTACAAATTATTAATGTTTTTGCTTTCAAAATGACAGTTACTGGGATTCTTGTATACTTGGCTGTTCAGCGTGTAGTTCTACAAGAATTTGAAATTGACTCATCAATTATGCTGATAACTTCCGGAATTGGTTTGATTGTCAATGTCATGTAAGTCGTATAAATAAGTTGAATGAAGGCATAAAACGTTCTACTACAACCCAACGCTTTTTGTATAGAATGGGTTGCACACTTCATCAGCACGGTCATGGTCATTCTCATGGCGGGGGCAGTGGCGGTGGGGGGCACACTCATGGTCATTCCCATGGCCCTGCGGTTCTACCTGCAGATCAAAAGTCTGCGGAAGTGAAGAACAACAGTTACGTTCCTGGGAGTGTAGAGGATCTTGAACGGGCGGAAGAACAGGCGAGTCATGCGAGCAGTGGTGAGCATGACGAGTCTTCCTGCAGCTCAAACTCCACCCAAGTCTCCATTTCGAAACAGCAGAACATTAACGTCCGAGCAGCCTATATTCACGTGATCGGAGATTTCTTACAAAGCGTGGGTGTCTTTGCGGCCGCGTTAACCATTTACTTCCAGGTTAACATCTCATCAATATCATACATAGTTATTTTTAATCTGTTTGCAACAACGAGACACTGATTTATTTGTTTATTATCTATCTATGCAGCCAAAGTGGACAATTATTGACCCAATTTGCACATTTTTGTTTTCAATTCTGGTCATGGGGACAACCTTTGCTATAATTAAAGACGCGTTAGTTGTTTTGATGGAAGGTAAGATGCTTTAATTATTGGCTTTAACTGACTGGAAATTGCAACGTGCAAGTTTTGACTAGGAATTTTTCCTTTATAGGAGCTCCAAAAGGCATTGATTTTAATGAAGTAAGTTTCAGTTTACAAATTGAGATACGTCATTCAAATCTTGTTTAATGACCTGAATTACCTCTCTAATTATTATAGGTAAGGGAAACCTTGTTAAGCGTACGAGGTGTATGCAAAGTCCACAATCTTAGGTAAGATTTTTGTATGTTTTTAGAAATTTAGAACTGAGTTTAGACTGCCCATCCCGTCGTGAAAGTACTTTTACATTGTTGGAAAACTATGTCTTATAAATACTCTCGTGTACGTGTACGTGCCACGTTATCGCAATAACTTCAATTTGTGCAATATATTCGAGAATGTCAAACTCTGCAATATTGTAATCAGTGCCCTTGGGGTCCTGTAATCTTGACCCAATTTAACAGAATAGACTGATTCACATTATTACATTACATTATAAAAAATAATCATTGTCGTTGGAATTTTTTAATTTTGACTTTTAAACTGAAAGTACTCTTCCTCCTTCTAAAATATCTTAAAATATTTTCATTTTCTCTTACAGGATATGGTCGCTATCAATGGACAAGATTGCTGTGTCGGCGCACCTTGCTGTTGGTAAGATTTTGCATAGAAGAAAGCCCAAGCCCGATATTTTGAAGTAAATCCACAAATATGTTACAGAACCTGGAAGTCACAGTGCAAACAGCATTTTACGCAAATCATCTCAACTGGTAAAAACGAAGTATGGTTTCTGTGAAGTCACGATCCAAATTGAAGATTTCAATGAAAGCATGCAAGACTGCCGGAAATGTCAAGAACCCCGAAATTGAGATTACAATGAATGTCCATCCCCTCGGTGCCTCAACAATAGCAACGTAACGAAATAATGAGTTATAGATCTTCCAGTCAATGGAACAGAGATTATTATTGCCAACTCAGTTAGTGCAGATTCTTTTTTATCTTTCTCACTCGAGACTTGCTGAAAATCGGCTACTATGAAGTTACTACTTATTTTCTAAATATGAACAATTGTACAGTTCGCCAAATCTCTAGTAAAGAAAATATGTTGGATAAGCTACGCCCGTCCGGTATAAAATTAAGTAAAGCTATAATTCTTCCAGGTATCCTTCTTTAATGACATATCATGTTAAAAGTATGTAATGTCCAGTCATGATAGATACCAGTACTAGTGTAGTCAGGAGGGGGTCATTCCACGCACACACTCTCTACATACAATTATAAGGTACATATCTTAACTAGATATCTAGTTTTCACATCCAAAGTAAGGTTATTCCATTCCATGCGTGTCTGTGATTTTTACGGAAATACATAGTCGTAACTATTATATATAAGGACCTTTTTGTCATATGAATAATATCTACAAGATATAAAAAAATAGACAACATTTATATGTATGTAGAAATCCAAAGTTAAATTAATGAATATGTAGTTGTAGTAGGCATCATGACATGTCAAAAAGTCCAATATATATTGAACAACTGATGCATAAAAACCAGAATAAACGGAGATTCTCAAATTCTTATACCTCCTCCACTAAAAAGTGCAACATTTACTTGTATAAAAAGCGAAACTACATATCTGAATTCATTATGCATTGTCTTTCCGAATTTTGTTTTTCGTCGAATTGAGAATGATGAGGACGACGAGAAAAGTGGGATAGATAATTCACTACATTTGCATGCAATGTGAATGCTGAATGTGAGAGAATGCGGCATTCAACTTGGCATCTTGGCAAAAAACTGAGACAAGGGTTCCTCATTACAAGGATATTATCCAATCCAGAGGATCAAGTCGCAGACCAGGTCCAAGAGGAACGAAGGCTACGCATTGTTGAACAATGCAATGGAGCAGATGAAGGACTGAATGTGGTGGTTGAGCATGCAAAGTCGTCCTCCTCTGAGGAGAAAGTGGTGCGGCGGCTGTGTCGTGCGAAGTGCATGGAGGAGAGACGTTCTAGATTTAATGAAATGAAAGAAACAAGCGAAGCGAATTTCACCACTTTAATTCTTACACCAACCAAGCAAGCCAAGTCTTGTAACGCATACCTTCCTGTGTGTATGGCTGCTTAATAAGGACGAAGAAGAAAGTCGATGGATTTCTTCCCGTGGTGACTCAAGTGTGCGAGGACTGCTCTGAAATCCGGTTTAAAGAAGATTATTTCATGTAGATGAAAAAGCCTGAATAAGTGATCGTTCTGTAATCCTGCTTTGAACATGATATATCTGCAATGCCGTGTTTACGACAAGAGCTTCATATTTCCATACCATCCTAAGTTTTATGGATCAATGAACAACTAAACTGGACCCAGCAGCGGCTCGGAATTTGTATTGTTGAGTATTGTTTGTACATCTGCATGAAGAGCAGAAAGGATTTCCGTGTCTTTGAAATGAAAGGAATGCCATCCCACTTATCTTCTCAACTCATGATATCCACATTACATCCATGTTTCCTCTTCCTTTGCTAACATTCGAGTTGCGGAATTTGGCGGAGAAATTTCTGAAATGAATGCAAATCTTGAAAAATTAAATTCTTAGTAAGTAATAAATGAAAATGGAAATAATAACAAAGGAGAATGGTAGTTTTACAAGTATGTAAACCTACAACGTAAAATGTCTGTATGGTGACCAGCTAGACTACTTTTCCTTTTGGTTATTGAATGCATCTCTCCGTTATTTAAATAAGTAAGCAGCAATAGGTCACAAGGGGGAGACGAGGAAGAAATCAATCAAAAATTGGCATGCTTTATGTAAAGCCCCTATCTGTATTTCTTAGAAATTTAATCCTTAACCTCTAAGCCCAAGATTCATGACTTTCACAGCTCTGCATAGATCGTCGCATAGTTGTGGTGGTGAGAATCAGGCAAGGAAATTCTTTAATTTCAAGGACGAAAACACGCATTAGCGGTAATTATTAGCGTGTGTAATCCTGGAAGGAGTCAGACACAGAGAGAAAGCGGACAGAGTATGTAGGTCATCGGAAGTTGAAACTTGTTGAATGACGTCATTTTATTAGTTTATTGCTACTTTTATCACCGCATGTCACACACAACGACAATCTTTGATGTATTCTCGGCGTAATGGGCAAAGGATATGGACATGAGAACACAAGTTATTGTTCTGCTTCTCCCTTTGCCGCATTAAAACTTTTGTTTTAGTTCCGCGTCACATTATTATCGTCCATCCGCACTGTTCCTCATCGCCAAACTCTGACGTGAGCATCATATGCAAAGTACGTCTGTCCTTTCCTATTCAACTTTCTCTACGTTCGGTTCAACTGAAATGCACTTGAGTTGTGTGTTGATTCAAAACATGCGTACGTATGTATGCATACTTGCCTAAATGAGTCTATCAGTGCCATATGTACATATTTATTTTGCTTAATTACCTATTAAAAGTAATCAGCGATACCGATACGATACGATTATAAATATAGTTTTATGAAATTTATTATTTTCAATTAAGTATTAAATTAGAGCTGGGTTTTATAACTAGTATAATGACACTGATTTCTTGTCCACGGCGGAGCGAGACAAATTTCAAAGATGTGGTAATCCGGAATCTAATTAAGTTATTTGAGTTGGAAATCAAATTCTGCGTTCAATATTTTACGCGAATTCCAAATAAATTCCCATTCATCTCTTTGGGTAACTTGAATCGTTTTAGAACATTCATTTGATTGAAGAGTTGTGAAAGTCAGAATCAGCTCAAATGCAAACACAAAGTCAACGAAACACGTTTTCATGCTCATCGCCCTTTTCTTCCTCCATTCTGTTGCGCCACTACTCTGTTGATTCCAGAGGGAAAGAGACGGAAATAATGAACAAATATTTGTAATTCGCTTGATCCATCAAGAATCAGTCAAGGTTGTTTGAATATATGAACGAAGGCTGCTGGTTTTCCGTGGGTTGCGGGACGACGATGAGTGAATCCCTGGATTCGATTACTTTACTATTTTACTAGCCAAATTCATGGGCGAGAGAGGAAAATTATATTCGTCCTCTGTTTACTCAGCCCACAGCCAGCACAGAGGCAAATTAATTTTTCTGTGGAGATCATGACGGCAAATCGATAGTTGAAGCATGGCGTTGCGTTGAAAAATTTTCCAGGAGTAGTGATAATCGAACATTTGCTTACTTAGTGTCGGAACAAGGGGGAGGGTTGTGTGGCTGATGATGATTATGACATTTATTGAGATCGGCAGATGGATTGCTTTCATTTCGTAGGCCATGCATGACTCATTCCTAAAAATATCATGCACGTATCCGGTCTCAGTTGATGCTGGGTCAATGTCACAAAAGTTATCATAGACTAAAATAACATTTCTCAATCATCCACTTGGTTTATCTTCGATTTTGTGTAGATAGCCACTCCTTTTCAGACCTTTGAGAGATTCCCACCCACGCCTGCCCACCTACGTGTTTGATCATCTTTAGAATATTTGTCCAATCAAGGGATTCTAATCAAAGATATTTATACTTCTATCCCACGTATGTAAGAAATTCATATCGTCTTGGAATAAAATATTGTAGAATGGAAGAGTAGAAAGAAATAGATTTCCAGATATTTTTTTATATCTCGCATTAAAATATCTGTGGCGTAATTAGTTCCAAGAATTATTGTTAAGTACAACTAGAAATTCATTACGCACGTAATATATCGAGAGATGCATATGTCAAAAGGAATGACGATATTTTGTTCGCCTTGGGACAGTCGTGGTCATAAAATACGACATTAAAGAATATGGAGGTACAATAATCAAATGGGTAGATTATAACTTCCTATTAAACTTCATCATGCATGCGAGTCGCGAAATTGCCATAATCCCGATAATGTTGTCATATTTTGGTATTATACGAGTATTGCGCGTCAGACGCCAGGATTAGAGCTCTCCCCAAATGAACAATGTTGCATACATTAATGAATAAATTATTCGACATGTACAGGAGACTTCCAAACATTGAAGTCATTGCACTCAAATTAATAATGATTTTACATCGTATTCCGCTGTCTTATTGTCTCTGTTCATACGGCATATGAATTCCAAGTGGCATAGAATAGAAATTCGAAGGATTGAGATTAAAAAGCGCATTCAGGTCGAGGCCAGCTCCGTATAAATTCTTTTCAGTGAAATCTAATTTCGAAATTTATTATGCCAGACAATCCATGCACATAAATATATATCTGAAATTGGGTAATTAGAACTGGTAGTAAACTGTTTCTTTGTTCTAATGTCAGAATCAGAAATTAGAAATCCTGGCTAGTCTAATCACAGTACAAATGGTAAGAGATTAGAGCAAAGTGACATCAAATCAAGTGGACGAATAATCAATACGAGCTGGTAATGAAAGCAAATGACGATGATTATGATAACCATAACTCTCAATCCAGTGTATTGTGCTAAACTCCTGGTCTGAGAATCTTAGGAGACATATTTATTTATGAATTGGATGAATATGTATATGCCTACCACTCCCCTTTGCGAACTAAGAATATTACCAGGATTACCACCCTGTTGGCTTTATAGTGACATTGTTATTACTTTGGCGAAACTACAGCCTGTTTAGCTTATTTAAATCCTTATTTCACCAGATTTTAAGTGCCCACAGACTTATCGATAACCCCGCCCGCGAGTCTGGTTTTCCAGCCTACATCCAAAATTCGTGATGCCATTGAGACCGTATTTAATAAGTACTGTACGTTTGCATTTCTTTGTGATCAGCAGCATGCGCATTCATTCAGAATAACGATTAGCATTATTTTTGATTTGATTTGGTATCCTTTATTCATGTGTCAATAGATATCAGTTATTAAAACTGGTTTACAATCCGTGACACTAAAAGCTAATTCTCTATATAAGCATATATCTATATTATCTATTATTAGTAGTAAATATATTCTTCGTTACGTCTAGAAATTATCCATTCACGACTCAACTGAATAAATTTAGGATAAGTTAAGTTATCATCCCAGTCGCGTGGTAGCGAATTCCATAGCTTAACAGACCGATAATTTATGCTTTTCTGGGAGAAAGTCGTTTTGGTTCTGGGAACAGCTAAGAGAGGAAAAGTACGTCTAATTGAGGATATAGATTTAAGATGTGACAGGTTCTTAAACGCATATTTAAGTAAAAAAAGGTCTCTCCTCTCCGTTACTGTTAACATATTACATTTAGTTCGTAAATCTACTATATTTAATTTATGTCTGAGGTCTTTGTAGTGTCGAGATTTGCGGATACGTGCTTTTTTCGCAATAATAGGCAAATAGAAATTTAATAGGTAATTGTCAACTTTTCGTTGTATAGTGTCAAGTTGTGGAGTTGTTAGCGTTGCCCATATGTCAATGCAGAAATCTGCAACCGAATGTATATGACTATTCAACATAACCGTCATTACATTTTCACTTAAATAACGCTTTAACCCATATAAATAACCTAAGTTACCGGAAATACGCTTACTTACTGATTCAAAGTGTTGTTTGAAACTCAGTGTCGAGTCAAGTTCCACACCAAGATACTTAAAACAAGAAACTTGCTCGATAACATGACCGCTATCTAACACCAATGGCGAGTTCATAAATTTGTCCGGGATGGGGTCTCTACTTTTATGAAAAATTTGGTATTTAGTTTTGTCGTAATTTAGTGTCATATTATTGTCAGTATACCATTGTTGAATGCGAATTACTTGGTCTTTCAGTGTTTGTAGTAATAGGTCCAAATCTGTTCCTGCAGTGTACACAACGAGATCATCGGCATATAATAGGAACGGCAATGTAATTATATCAGCGATATCGTCTTGATAAGCTCCGTAAACAATAGGTCCGATCGTACCACCCTGAATTATACCAGTAGAATTGATGTAGTATTTATCACTATTTTTAAATCTAAATAATGTATCGCTAACATAATTATGTATTGTTTTGATATAAATGGGGTGTAACTTATACTTAAACATTAGCTTTTTAATTAATAAAGATCTGTCAATACTATTGAATGCAGATTTAGCGTCGAAATAAATAGCTACACATTTAGTATTCGGATTATCTAACGATTCATAAATGAAATTTGAGAATTCAGTTATGGCTGTATGACAAGAACGATTTGTCCTGAAACCGTGTTGCTGATTACAAAGTTTCGATTCTAATCTAATTTGTATTCTATGAAATAGTATTCTCTCGAATAGTTTACAGTATGTGATTATACAGATTATTGGTCTATAGCTACATGGGCTCAAACGCGGGCCTTTCCCTTTATATATAGGGGTTACATATGTTGTTTTGAAATCGCGAGGAAGTTTACAATTAGTGAAAATTATATTAAATAAAATAGCTATTTGGAAAGAAATAACATTGTAACAGCGTTTGAGAATTGACAAAGGTACAAAAAAATCTGACTTACTATCTTTCTTTGTGTCAGAAATAGCCTTATTCACTTCCTCGACAGTAACTAATTCAAATTTGTCAGGTGATTCAGAGTCGTTATAACTATTCTCATAACGTGTGATCTCTTCTAGTAAAGTATGTTCAGGGATTAAATTATCGGAGGTTACAACAAAATGTGACGCAAGTGCATCGTTGATAGTATTAGTGGTATCATAAATAACAGAATTATCTGGATCTACTAGCTTATTAATTGGTGTATAATTAGATTTACGGTAACCAGTGAGTTCATTAACATTTTCCCACAGGTTTGCAGTATTTTTGCATGAATTTACAAATTCTTTGTTAAAATATGATTTTTTAGCATTGGTTAAACTATTATTATAATGGTTGCGAGCTTTTGTGTATATTTTTTTATCGGAAGAGGATTTGGAAGTATCGGATACAGTTCGTAACCTATCTCTATATTTACGTAATTCTGCAAGCCTGCTGGTGTACCATGGGTTAAGTTTAGGCTTAATTAATCGCTTCTTAATAGGAGCGTATTTATCAAGTAATTGCATAACATAACTGTTATATCTACAAAATTCTAAATGTGGGCTAGAATTAACATCAAAATTATAAGTAGCAAGTTCTTTTTCCAGTTCCTCGAAATTACATAGTTTATAGCATCTATAAGTTAAAAATGTAGGTAAATATTTCATATACTTAACTTTTCTTATTACAAAGGTGAGGTCATGGTCCGAACTAGAGTAAGGAAAGTGACCTGATGTTATTACATTGTTTTTTATATTTGAGTAAATGTGGTCTAGCTGGGAGGAGCCCCGAAAAGTTGGACCAGTTATGTGCTGCCATAATTTGAATTCTCTACAGGCAGTAAACAGTGAAAATGAATTTGAGTCAGTTTTTAAAAGATCTAAGTTGAAATCACCTAAAATATAATATTCGTAGTCAAAGGATAAAAGAAAGGTGTTCAGCTCTCGGAAAAAGCTGATTAATCTAGCTCCAGGTACTGATGGATGGCTATAAAGTACAGTTACTAAAATTGGTTTACAGTTTTTTAAAATAATTTTGAAAATTTGACATTCAGATTTTGCATAAAGTGGAACTAGACATTCTATATGTTCAAAATTAATTTCAGTTTTGATATAACTTATTATTCCCCCACCTGAGTTATAATTACGGTCTGTTCTCAATATGGTATAGCCATTAACAATATACATACCATCTTTGTCTCTGTCTGCATTAAGTTTCGACTCCGTGAAAGATATTACATCTGGTCTACAGTCAGAGAGCAAGTTTAGAATGTCATCAAACTTATTACGCAGACTATTAATGTTTTGATGGCATATTTTTAGTCCTTTCGTCGACTTGAGTGTGTTGTAAATTCGTGTAGAGTTGACATTGAGTTGAATTGGTCGACGAAGCGGTGAGTGGTCGAATGTCGAGGAAGAATTGGGGTCGGATGTCGAAAATGGTAAAATGGGAAGTGTAGAGTTGTGTTGTGCAGTCGTTGCTAGATGTTGTTGGGAAGATGGGATACAAAGCTGACAAGTCCATCCTTCACGTTTTAATTGGGAATATATTCCACCATGGGGGATATGGGCGCATTTTTTCCAGTGAAAATGATTGTAGCAAAGTTGACATTGCAGGTAGTAGAATCTTCCGGTGATGTGGTTTTTACATATTTGGCATATCATCCTCATGGAAGTTTAAGAGGAACCCGTTAGAGTTTGAAGTTGCTCAAAATAATGTATGGTATTATATAACTTTAAATAACTTGCCTGGCCTGTTGGCCAGCTAAGGTCGCAGCCATTCATAAATAGAGGGATCTAACTCGTTACCATATTTATGTGGCGCAGGGCGACCTCAGGGGCTTTAAGATGTGGTGCGCGGGTCGTCCTTATCGAGTAATTGGGGGAGTTATGATGTTCAGAATATGATGTTCATTATGTTCAGACATGTGCTTGTAGAACATATCCACCATAATTTTGAAACTCATAATTTTGTACGCTTCAAATTTATGAAATCAAACTTTTCCCCACGTACGCCTCTCTTTTGTAATAAATCTCTAAAAATTAAAAGTTTGTAGACTGTAGCATTTGGGCCAATTTATTTATTTTTTGCCCAAAAATATTTTTGTGACGCATTGTTGTTTGTAAGTATCGTTCGTTATATGTGCTTGGAGTCTTGTGAGACCGAGAGTATTGTGAAGATACGTCTCGTTGGTTTATTTGTCCATGTTCACCACATTTTGTTTTATGCTTTACTTTTATTACACACGCAACACGCTTCTGGTGATGGGATGAGACTAGAAAATGGGATGAAAGTTTCTCAATCATTTTCTATCTATCCTTGTCCACACAATCCAGAGGAATTTAATCTTATTTTACACAAAAGAGGATTTGAAAAAAGTTTCGCCCCAAAATTTGATTTGATTTATCAACTCATAACTTGATAATAATAGCAAGTTTTCACAAACTACTAGCACACACAAGTTTTGCTACCAGATTGTTCAAGAAAAGTACTCAGCTATGAGAGATCTGTATGGCTGCACTGATTATATATGTACTATACGCAGTGAGTGAGTGAACGGCAAACAAATAGATAAATGAACAAGGCAAACAATGCAGAGTCCAAATTTTGAACTAGAATTACTTGCGTGAGATAATATTAAGAGACAGTAGAGTCTAATAATTAAATAGCTGGTTGTTTCACCTCAATTCCTTTTCGTATATACAAGCTGGTCACTTGTCTAAAAAACCTGGATGAACAATGGGAAAGAAGATAAGTAAAAAGAAGTTTGGGGAAAACAAACGACACAAACAAAAAATCGAGAGCAGGACAGGAGGGACGATAAGGGAAGAGGAAGTTGCTGGCCATTGAACACAAAATATAAGTCAGATTGACGTCAGATTCCAAAGAGCCAAAGCTACGGTTCTTGAGAAAGTTCCCTGTGTTTTTCTCGAGTAATGTGACCAACTCACTTTCACCCTGTCTCTGGATGGACTACTCTCACCGATATGCAATGACATTACAATTACAAACATACGCCCAAAATTCATTTCTATCCAAAAAGTTCAATTATTTCTTTAGTCATAATTAATAGTTTTTTCAGTTCGTCATAAAAATGATGTGGAACGACACGTCGTTGTGATTTAGAAGTCTAATTATTAGAAGTACACATTCCACAAATAAGAAAATAGAATCTACAGTAAAATATCTATTTTTAGTGTTATAGGAGTGGGTAACCCTAAATTGGAGGATATATGTATTTGTTAAGCCTTATCATAATCTAAGCAGAGCGGAAAATAGTTCTGGCTGCCAATAAGTGCAGTGCCAAGAGAAATTGGACCAATTCCACGACGATTCTCGCTCGAAAACCTTCCCCGCCCGCTGATCAGAATGTACAGAAATTTATGTATCACGACGACGAGTAACATGTTTCTGGGTGAAATTTCTACCCGTTTGTCAGTTGTACACTTAGGTAATTATTATACAGCCAAGGGGGAGACATTTAGCCAGAAAAAATCTCTGGAAAATAAGTACCTTTTCAGTTTTCATAATGCTTAAGGATTTATCGGTACATGTCCTCTGGCTATTACTTATCGTTAGCCACATCAACATCGTATCTCAACAGCGTTGCAGAAATACCTTGCTCGGAATCTTTTAAAAAATGGCTTAGTGGAAAATTTTTGCAGATATCCAGATCTAAACTCTGTAGAACAAATTTCAGGCGTCTTATGCATTTGCGGAGTAAATGTTTTATGCCACTGGCGAAATACGATTATATCCCAATTGATTTTCTCATGAAAGCCAGGATTTATTTTTTCTAAAGAAGAAATGAATTCAAAGTTTGGATGGCTTATTTTCGAACTTTATTCGTTTCACTATGTTACATTTTTTCATTTTTTGGTGTAAGTAATATATTTCGTTAGATTTCAGTAAGTTGCATAAAGGGCATTAATCTAGCAAATTGGAATAATATTCATATATACATAACTTATTTACCTCACCTTTGCTTATCAATTTTTGAGTTTGTAGTTTAACAGTATTTAGCTTGTATCATATTTTGAGATTATTTATGTATGTATACATAAAATTGCATATTTTATCTGTTTATTTTCTGTTCGTGTATGATATTAAAAATTAATGTATATATTTATGAAATGCAAAAATTTATACAAAGTTTTCGAAAACTAGACAATTTCTAACCACCATTCTAACCATCACCCGTACTCTCATGTCAAATGGGATCAATTAAATAAAATTACACGATGCACAGACAATTAAATTCATTGAAGGTTCACACGATTGTGTAATTATTGTTAGAATTTGGTTCGAGACTCCTAAAACTTAAGTTGTGTAGTTGTGATTTTGCTGTTGTTTTTACCAATAATTTAAAAAGTACATAATTTAAAATGCTATTGTACATACATACTTGTGTGTTTTTACCTGTTGCGAGTGTGCTACAAAACTATATATAGTGCTAGCCTATAGGCCTTCGAACATCTTCATTATTACACATTTACATAATATGTATATCCTGCATAATTTTATAACTTTCACTAACAGGCGACGTTGTTAACTCACTTGGATAAGTTGAGACCTGAGGTACGTATTGTGTTTAAAATAGCCAAACGTGAAATGTTATGTAAAATGTAGACAACTATGTACGATTAATTCAGTAGAGAGACGACATTCATTAATTTTAGCCCGAACCAGTACTTACGCAAATACGTTGACTGAAATTAAGGGGCCGACCATGCTCATTCATTGCACTGCTCATGCAACCTATCCAAAGTGAAATTTTGTATGACTTACCAAATAATAAGTTCAGAAGGGGGTACAAATACTTAGGCGAGTGTTGCTATTGACGTTGCATCCCTAAACTAGTTTCACAAAGAAGGAGAGAGGATGGCCCCAGTGCCCCAAAAGTTTATAATGAATGCTGATGAAACTTGTCGTGAAGTTTGGTTTGAAATAACTCTAAAAATTATGGGTAAATATTTTGAGCTAGGCAAAGCATAATGCATGATGGAAGGATTTCATAGAAATACAGTTAAAAATTATTAAAAACAAAATACTATTTATCACTTAAATCCTGGTTCGGGCTAACCAAAGCTGACTAGGTGTCATGTATAAGTGGACAAAGATAAAAATGTCTTTTTTGAAATATTTCTAATTTATGTATCCAAACCGTGAATTTGAGTCCTTACAGAGTCTTTTAGTCTTAAAATTATGTTTTATGACGTAGTTGGCCTTTCTATTCTACAATTGTGTATTTTTTTAAAAACATGGGTCAAATTATTAATTTTGTGGGACGCCTTGAAATTGGTCTTCGAAATCTTAAGAGGGTTTCCTTCATGGTACAATTATGGGAGTAATGAATTCGAAGTGTATTTACATATGTAAACAAGCAGCGATACTTCAAAAAATTCATTACACAAGGCATGGACATCCTTTCATAATTAACGTCTGGATTTCGTATTTATTTCCAAATAGAGAAAGCCAACCCGAGTGTAATAAGGTGTGTGATTTTTAGCATACGACCCAGCATTAGCCAAACATAGGCTGAATAAACATGAATATGAAGCAATCATGGGCAACGAACTATTGATGGTGAGGAGAGAAAGCAACCTTCCATGCCAAAATCTGTGGTCTGTAGAAAATAAAATAAACTCGTGTGTGGCGATCCGAATTCGCTTGACTTAGAAAACTTATTATTATCCAATGCCACAAATTTGTGGGTTGGGTTCGTGGTTTTGGATGTAATACAGACAGAACTACGACGACGTAGCCAATCAATACTTTACTCGGTCGTTTTGTGCGAGACTGGAAGTCACAATCTGGACAATTTTGGATAATTTATTGCTCTGTCCTTTTCCCTGGTATCTGGTTGGCTTCGTTGTCGTCGTTGGCTGTACTTGATTTGTGTATGTTTAGCATTCTCTCCATACATCTCCCATCACATTTTTCCCTGTCCAGTAAGGATGATACATTACATTACAATCCGGATGGACTGAAATTATGCTGTGGCCACCACTCAAAATGTATTTACAATAGATAATTTATGGGCTCACCAAAGAAAAAAAGAGATAATATTGGAAGCCAAAGTATGCACACTGGTTGCATTAGATAAAAGCTGGTAACATGTACTCCAAGCTTAATATACATATACCTAAGATATATATGCACAAAGTGTCTACGCAGCCAGTGTACATAGCTAAATGCGAATTTATCGTTCAAATGCACCGAACTGAAAAGTTTACATAATGGAACAAATTTCCATCAACTTTAAACTTCACGTGATCCTCCCCAAAAATTTCTAGAAATTCTGCACAGGCCTTCAAGAAATAAAAAACCTTTTAAGGCAGTGGATGAACAGAATTGATGCAAGGAATATTAAGTCTGTCTGCAGCAGCATCTGCATCATCAAGTGGATTTACATAGACTGCTCGCTTGGATGAAACTGGGAGAAAGCCAAACCAACAAGTAAGGACTATGCGCCTCATGTCACATGTGTTATGCAATTGGTGATTATGTAACTCAACTTTCATAAATGATGATCGTGGTGATGAGTAAAATGTTCCCAATTTAAAATGCGACAAGTAAGAACATCTGGGGAAATGCAAGTAAATAATAAATGCAAGAAGGAAGGGCTATTTTTTATTACATTGCCAATGCAGTGGACCTTGCACCTCAAATACGACCACCAACTTACATGAGAGTAATTCAGTCCCTCGTAGTCTGCGACTAGCAGGTTCTAGATTTGCGTTTCGTTACGGGTATTTGCGTTACATATGAGAAAAGCATATTTTTGCGTTACATAATTAAACGGCCCCGGTATTGTGATGAGTAATACCGGGGCCGTTCAGTAAAACTTATGGGTATTAAACTTTTGTCATATCAAATTTTTACGTACCGGTATAAAATTTGAATACCAAAAACAGTAACAACTTTGATACCGAGAGAAATCAATTTCATGACTAAATTTCTAAAAGTGAATTCAAGAACTCGTTTCACAAATAATTTGTAAACTAGCGCATTAATCGTACCAAAACGAAGAGAAAATATCCATTAAACTTATCATTAAAGTAAACGTCATGATAAGAGCGACAAAAAAATCCTCGAAAAAAATGCCCCCTGAGAGAATTGAACTCCCGACCTCCTGTTTACGAGACAGGCGCTCTACGACTGAGCTAAGAGGGCTGACACAGTTAAAAGGGCGAGTCTGACGGGTGCTTGTTCCATGTGGAACTTGTGTCGGGCTGCTGACTCTTGGAAATTGCTCTATATGCAAACGCTCATGAAAAAGATTACTCTCATGTAAGTCCCTCACGCATGGACTCGTTCTCCGGATTCTTATTAGACGGACATCCGTTTGGAGGAGTCCTTGAAGGGGGAGTCGAAGAGCTCGAGGATGGGGGACGGGGTGCGGGAGGGGCTAAGGTCGAAGGATTCGGAAGGCAGCGGGACTCCATGGTAGCGAGAGGAGGAAGAACCGGAAGTCACCCCACCGCTACCGGCCATCGTCGTCGTCGTTGTTGTCGTTTGGTAAGGATGACGATGGTAGACTGCCACAGAGACTGACTTCCTATCGAATGGCTGGATGTGGGTCATTTTTGCCGGAGACTTGGTGAGCGTGAGTCTTCGTGGGGGTCGAGATGAAGCTCGACAGAAAGGGAGTCGAAGAGGACATTTAGGACATCGACATGAGCACACGGACGTTAACGACCCTCCCACCGATGTGGGTATTTCTTGAGGCATGTGACCCGAAATTATTGATCCCTGTTGGAATCATACAAAAGTAAATCGTGCAGATAATTTGAAAATCAAGCGCATTAAAACTGCATGAACCAAAGCAAACTCGTTTTTATTTTATATTTCAAACTTACGTTTGCCGTGATCACATCCCCCTCCAGGCGTATACTAAATGCTGCAGCCTGTTAAGACACAACAAGAAATAAAATTAGGCGAAATGTTGAAACAACAGTAGTTACTTTGTTAGACATTCGATTTTATCCAGTGTTTAAGCAAGTTTAGGTGGAATGTGGGGAACCCTAATTGCCCGACAACACGACCAAAGTCCAGGGTAGAAATGATGATCTAATCATTAGTGGGACCAAGAATGGGGTAACGAATAACCAACATTTCTTTCATAAGTCCTCCATACATACATTTATGTTCCCAATTACAGTAAATTGACCAGCGCATGACGATCTTTGCTCATCATGATTTCCCTGAGAAATTGCAATTGTGCAAAATTACAGACAGCGCATTGACATCGCCGACCACAACGTTTTAGATACGCGTTTCGATATCCTATTTCATAAATCGTACCATTATACTGAATAATTGGAGCTGGTTTTTCAACTTATTTGAGATAGTGACATTATGGTTATGATAATTCTGTAAATGACACGTTATTTAGGAGAATTGCAACCCTTGCTATGTAAAAATACATGATATGTAACCTCACAAACCAGTGCGAATACATATAAAATTGTCATACTCCAAATTAAAATAATACTCATACTGCCAGCACTTATCCTAAGCTACATATGTATGAATGAGTTACCACTTTCGTGAGGCGAAATTAGGCCAGTTATAAAGTTTAGCTCGAAAATGTAAACTGGCATACGGTGAAATGACTGTAAATTATGAACTTTTAAGTAACTGCTGACATCCCCAAGCGACTTAATGACCCATAGTTCGGCACCATCCGCCCGGTTTCTGTATGTTCCAGCCCATAAATGAAGTTTGCTGCTGGTCTGCTCTTTCAGTTAATGCAAAATAACGAGTTCATAAATGTCAAAAGAACAAAGTAGAGTAGGAATATTTGAGCAGCTTGTGAAAAATGCACACGCTATAAAATTCCTCCGGCTCCCTTATGGGGAGGTTTGAATGCCCATGGAGAATAAATTAGAATCCACGCAGAACCCTTTGTAGTTGACCTCACCAAGTTGCTCCCTCCTTTAAACATCGTATGCCTACTGGACTGTGGAAGAGGCTGCTGCTAAACTTTATTTCTTTTTACACAAAAACTTGCTCAGACCTGCATCTGAGGAGCGAAATGTGCCCATACGAAGCAGCCAAGAGAGAGCTTTCCTGGACAAGGAATCTAATTTATTTTAGAGTTCATTATCGTACTATCGTACATCAAGGGAATTGCACGTTTTAAGAAATTAGACACGGTCCAACGTTTATTCCATTACTTTCTTTTGACTTTTACTAATTACCGCTCTGAACCACTTTTAGAGTAGCTTTAAGATATCATTTTTCGTCGACGAAATAAAGTTTTAAACAGGAAATTCAAACAACTCCCTCGCAATGTTAAATAGAACTACTACACGTATTTGTACTCCTCACGTTTCTTTCTGCTAAGCTGCACTGAATGTGTATCAAATTCTCAAATACGACGACTTTACTTGCGATTTCTTTCGATTTATGATTATCCGCTCTGAAATTTTGGAATTAGAGGAAAGTATTTTACTTACTTGTAAGGCTTCTGCTTCATCACGTCGTTCGTCTGAAAATACGAATTTCGTTCATTAACGCCTTTACTTTTGTAATGGAGAAAGCACGGATGGAGTGAGCATACTGTAAATACAGTGGTTCGGTCGGAATACAGTGGTTGTTGGTCTAGTAATAATTTTTCTGATTTATTGTAGTATTTCTGAACGGGGCTTCGTCAACTACTGTGCTACACAAGTAGGATGCAACGAAATATGCAAATAAGCAAGTACACGAATTCTTTTTACCTTCCGTGTTCATTGTGATGAACCTCATGACCAGGAGATTAAGACAAGCGGCGACCACTGCGAGACCGACTGTGGATCAAAAAGACAACTTTTACCTTCCTATACTTTTCAAGTTTTAGTGTGAACGTGGCCTAGATAATGCTCAAATGAGTATCGTATGCCATTTTTAAATGACTTTTTCTTACACAATATAAAGATGAGGGAAAAGGCTACATATTCCGGCTTCTGGTCTAAGGCTCGATCTTTCTGAAGTGCGACCATGTCCCCGAATCCTGTAAAAAATTAATATTCGTCGCAATTAATTTAGACGACTTCACTTTAATGATTTTGTGGACCTTGTAACGCTGAAATCTTGTAAGAAAGTTACCTATGGTCGTTAATGTAATAAAACAATAGTACACAGAATCAAAGTAGGTCCATCCCTCGTAGTGACTAAACGCTGGAGGACAAAGAACAAGAACAAAAGAACGTTGAGAGTGAATTTGAACTCTATCGTTTTTCAATGCTTCGTTACTTACCTGCCGCTCCCCCCGCAATAGTTATTGTGCTCAAAGTGGTCACCACGCAAATTAGATTAGTTTCCGTCGCATCGGTGCTTTGAGATCTGTAAGAAATAAACAAACAATAAGTATCTTGAGTAGTGTTTAGGATTTACATTTGAAAGTGCATATGTTATATGAGTGGGTTCTTTTAGGAAGGGAAATATTGCATGTACATACAAGTACTGTTTAGGAAGCATTATCAAAATCATAAGGATGTATTTATTCCAGGTGCAAAGGTCCTACGTGAAATTAGCAGAATTCAACCTGAAGACGGTTCATGGAAAATGCAGAGAACAAAGACTTTTAGTTCTTTGTGTACCAACTTTTCTATTCTAAATTTACAAATTCAAGCTCAACCCGTCCAATCTCGTCGTGATCACAATACAACATTATTTCTTGTTTTCCTTCTGTTTTGTTTTCTAACCATTATTATCCCGACCTGGAGCGAGAGAGGCATGTCTTACATAAGTATATGCCCATGCATGCATGCCTGGAGTGTTTACTATTCTGAATAATTCAAAAAGCAATTTGCATACCAACTCCCAAAGCACTTTTCCGTGCAAAACGTCTAAGCCGAATGCACTGCATCAGTTCCTCTCTAGCAAACTTATTACCGTAAACAAATACTGGTTAACTTGAGGGTGAGGAGGTGAAGGGAAGGTGACCAGACCAGTTTAGTCAGCTGAGGCATCCGGGGGGAAGAACATGGCAATCCACTTATGTTCAAGGGACAGCTGAGTGGTTCACCTAAACATAAACTCTCACAACCTCTTACTTTCCCCAGGCCAACAGCGTCACCATCCATCCTCATCCTCATAGACATCTTTGCATTATGTATATCGGAGTCATCTTATATCGGGAATCATTACCAAGTTGTACCTCTCGAAACAATAATTTTATGCATAATATTTTCTCAGAGTTTGAATTCTGAATTGCAAACAAAAAGCAGCAATCCGTAGGAGTAACATTTTCATAAAGTAGAGTGGAAAGTAAATGAAGTTTATGACCGCAGTATAGTGCCTTTCCTGCGCGTGAGGGATATTTCAAATCATCTCGAAATGAATGAACGGGACCATTAAAATTGCCCACACGAAGAGTCTGCGAGAATTGTCATTACACTTCCATTATTAATCACTGCGAAGATAGTGGTAATTAATGCCAGGCGCGGAATTTCGTGGACACTTTCCCTGCAGTCGCCAGCCAGCGAGTGGGCATGTATTTAATTGCGAGTGAAGTCGTTTCAATCTTATACATACGCCAATGAGCGCGTTCAACCTGGTTCCGTCCTGCCTAATGATCAGCCATTGCGACATTCTTTAAGATTAATGCCAGCATCCACTTTGGTGTGGCTATTGACCTTAACGACGAGAGACTCACGCTGTCATTTGGCAAATCCAAACTTTCATGAAATGTCGTAATCATATCTCTGGTCCTCAGGCTTGTACTTTGTGGACTATTAATTATTCTGATGCAATAAACCTAATCCATACGATTTCTCTGGTATCAGATTAATTAAAGTTTCGTCATCCTGTTATAACCACGTTTTCCACCATTACCAATTCGTTTTTGCCATTCAAGCACTAGGAATTGCTTCAGCGTTCCACGTACATAGAGGGTACGCAAATTTTAGATGGCATCAACTTATTTTCCCGTTTCTTCATACTTATTAAATTTATTAAAGGTTAAACAAGTATGAGATTAATAGTGTTACGTATTCAATATTATGTATGTAGTTGTTGGTGGTTCCTAATACAATACATTACACTGCATTGAATAAGATTTTGCTGTGGACATGGCCTGTTGTTATCCACCTACGTCAATCTCGCTCCCTGTGATTGATGACTTGCCAAGCAGCCCGTACGTACTTTCTTCCTTTCCCACAGCGCAGCAGTCACATTCGCGGATGGGAGATAATATTTGTCTGCTTTTGAAGTTTGTGTGTTCTGCACGGTGGAACTTTCTTTTTGTCGATTTCGTATTTATCTTTCTTTTCCCTCTTGACAGTTCTTGACAGCCGTTTGTTTGTTACTTATGCTCATTTTGAGCCCCTTCGTCCTGCCCATTTCTTGTTCCCATATTTCACTATTCCTATTTCTACGTTTCCGAAATGACAGTCATATCACCACTTCATCACTCACAAGTTATTTATTTCACCCCATTACTCTCGTTTCCTAATAAAACTCACCATCATCCTAGCTGAACTGCGACTTATCACGGTTTGGATCTGCTGACAACTGTCTCATTTTCCCAGAGTGACACTTGGCCCATGCGTCACACATGCAAATATTATTAAACAAAAATGCATAATTTGAAGAAAAAAACTTTATACTTTTTTATGCTGCTCATGACATATGAATCTCATTCCAATGCGTTTCAGCAGGGAGGATGAGTACTAATACGAATACAATTGCAACTTGTCCATCTACATATTGAGTTCCGAAGTTTTTTTTATCTATATATTGACAGACAGCTTTTTATTGCCGCTCAGTTTACGTTGAACATAAAAGTTTTTTAATCAACGTGCTCAGAGAAGTTAGTGTTTGCGATGATGCTTGTGATGGAGAAAGCTGCCACGTTGAAAGGGAGACATCAGACTAAATAAACCAAGTTAAACGGACACAACGAAGGGGTGAAATAATTGCGCAGTAACGAGGTCATCGTAAGGCGAAAATATGCTGATTTCTGAAATCCCCGTCCACAATTAAGTCTAAAACGACCTTCCAAAATACTATGAAATTGACACCTTACATGGTTTGTTTGGTTGATGGCTAAAGGTCGACAGGACGTACGGACCGACTGGCGGAACAGATGGACAGACTGGATGCATAGAGGACTTTTACTCCTTAATAATGGGCCTTTGCTCATCACCATTAAACGAGCTTAAAATTGCATTAGTTGAGTTATTATAAGTGCTTTACTCAACACGTAATGGTGAAAGCGACGCCGTCGTTGCACTAACTGACTGACTGAGGAAGCAGAGAAAAGCGAATCCCTGTAACGTAAATGTAATTGAAATTGATGAAACCCAATTAATCAATGTTGCGCTGCTGAATGGCTGAAAATGTTAAAAGAGGAGTAGTCTCTCAAGTCCCGTTAATATTAGATTACTTCACCTTCTTTCCCTTATGGAGAAAGCTACATAATCTCAAAATAATGATGGGACACGCCAACCAGCGCAAACCACACACACACATAAGTGGTTCGCCCATCATTCACCTCACATAATTTAAACAAGAAGCAATCACCACCATTTTCAATGACTTTACCAAAACAGCTTAATAAAATGTTTAGTTGCTCGGTAAATTATGAAGAGAATATCCACCCTACTCGCCACCTAAACTTGCTAATGAGACAACACATTATATGATTATCGTAAAATCAAAAGAAACGTAGTCAGCGCTCACCCTCAGTAGAATATCAGTTTCCTTATAAATTTACCACGTATGTATGTAGAGACGTGGCGTGGTACATATTATACAAACGTCTGCATGTTTACAATTTTTTAATTTATGACTAAAATAACTTAATAATAGCATTAAATTCTGAACTGTGAGTGAACCTTAAATTCTGACAGTTCCAGATGCACAGATATTAATAAATTGACCTGTGTCGGTCAGTTACAAGAATCTACTTTCGCTCGAGACTAACCAAGTCATTTCCTCTCGGATACAGCAACGACAACAACGGAGGCACCAATGTTGATAAACTGCGCCCGCAAAAAAACAAGTCGCCACATTTTCTCTTTGATGTTTGTTCCCGTCAAATGCTCGCACTTTCTAATAACAAAGGATTCCAAGAGTAAACGCTGAATTTTTCCTCCTCTGCTTTCTTCATTTTATTTCTTCGATGGGTCGGTCTGCTCATAATTTTCTTTCACTGCGCTCCGAGGACTGTGAGAAGTGTGCTGGATGTTGGATTGGGGCTTAAGGCCTGATCCTCTCCAAAGTGCCCCACCATTATTTAACGTCGTTAAGTTTCTTTAGACTTGGCCATGATGCATTCTCTTTCTCTCTCCTTATGTTCATACACACGTTCCCTACCTCATCTCTAATCCAACAATAAACTGAATTAAATAGGAGGCACCAGCACTCAGACTTTTGTGAGTGAGTGCATCCTACCACCTATCGAAGTATTCTATATTTTCTATTCTATTCTTTGCAAGAAGGAATCCTTGCTAATTTTGTGTGTGCTCAAGTCTAATTTCTTGTGAAGACAGTCAGAGCACATCCTCTTGTCGAGAGAGGGTTTTGTTTGGAAAGAATCTCTGCTCGAATTGTAATTGCTTTCAAATTGTGGTCCAATGCTGCGCATCGTTACGACAATCTTAAGCAATATCGTCTCATTACTTCCATCTATAAATAAACCAAACTCCAGCCAGAGGTCGGCTAAAAAAATAAACCTTTATCTTGCTAGATTTCCTTTTTCGCTGTGTTTGGCAGTTGTGATTAGAGAGAGATCACAACGATTTGGCCCGTTTATGTTGCTCATGTAATCTGGCCATGTTGTGCTTAGAAGAGTGTTTATTTTTTTATTGGGAAATGACCACAAGATACATTGGCCAATTATCGCTTAGTTGATAAATATATCACGCAACCGTTCAGTGCTTCTATAAAACATGGTTTCAGTTTATTTATAAAATTCCCATGCATCTATATGTATAGTCCGAGCCCTGTGTTGGCCATCCAGTGCTACACGAGCGATTTGCGTCATCCAGTTTCCAGAAGTAAAAAGAAATTACACAATCACGCAGATCCCCACATTTGTCAGGGTTAAAAATGCCGACGTGGATTTGGTAGTAGGTATGTTCTAAAGGAAGATCAAGAGACAGTGCAAAATTGAAATAGTCAGTCGGTATAATTTACTTTCCAAATCAGTCGACTGGAAAGCCGCTTCATACGATCGATTTGACGTAAATTGGATATGGTTGTTTTGTTACTTCTGTCCCAAATAGTCGCAATCACGCTAAACCGGCAGCCAGTCAAAGAGTTTGAGGAGAAGATATAAAATATGTCACACAAAAGGACGAACAATAATAAGGGCCCAATGTTGAATAAAATAATTCTATAAATGACTATCCAAACTCTTTGATATTTCTTTGCTGCCAAACAAAATATAGTATTACCTAAACAAATAATGTGCTTGAAGGGTATTATTTCTGACGGATTGTTATCTGTTATTCAGAGGAGCTAAAGCCTTGACGTAAATTGGCTTAATGAACGGATTTTTCTTGAAAGTCTGAAATAAAACTTTGTCCTACTGGCCATGATGAATATATGCAAGAAGGCAACTATGCATGTGTATTGAAGGAGGAGAAATTTAGAACCCGTGAAAAAGACTCGTTTAGTGAGTGAGACAATTGGCAGGGCAAGTGGTGAAAGTTTGGTGGAGTGTGACAAAGACGTGTTATTGGACTTACCCTGCTAACTTTTTGATGTTCCGTATTGCGAAGGAGGAGAATCGATTGAGCCTTTCACCTATGCTCTGGAACATCACCAGCCCCAGAGGGATACCTGGAACAATAAGATATCAGATTTTAGCAGAGGCCAACTCCAATCCGAGTTAAACCTACCAATAGCTGCGTAGCACATGGTGAATAATTTACCACCCGTGGTTGTCGTTGTCGAGTGACCATAACCTGAAACATTCAATAAAATTATAAATTTGTTAACGCACCCAGTTTCTTTTGAATCACAGTTTAAACAATCCACAACTTGTTAGGCAACTCGAGTTTGCGACTTTCCATTTGTAAATATGCTTATCTTTCTTTTCGGGAAAAATGTATGATTTTATTTTCATCAATTTAAAGTCGTACATAAGTGACAAGATTTCATAACTCAGGATCACTGTCAAACATTCTTCAATTATTGGTATAGGATTTACAGCCAGCAGAAAAGGCATTCCATCTATTCGGCCAAGTTTTAAACTAGTGGCTCACTTTCTCAACGACAAAGTAGAAAAATGTTGAGGCTGGAACTAAATAATAAATCTTAGCAATGGTCTGAGTAACGACGCTTATTGTAAATTTGAGGAACAAGTAAAACTACGGAAGGCAGAACTCGTGTATAAAAACAGGGGATGAAATTGCGTCGTCCAGAACGACGACGATGTCAAGTACCTCTTAACATAAAACAAGTTTCGAAAATAAATCATTGAGGACCCATTACGCTGCATGTCGCTGAAAGTAAGTTAATGGTCTCGATCCTCGTTGCATTTTCCAAATTCACTCCACGTGTGGCACCCTTAAATCAAAATGGAGTAACGGAACGAAAAATGCCTAATAGTCCTGAAGATGTAATGGTGGTCGGGCGTGTAAAAACAAGAGTGGATTACGTTGGAAAATGCTTGGCCTCAATAAAATCAATTTCCCATGTGCAACTACAATCCCAGACAAAAGGACAAAAGTTTTCCGATTCTGTATCTGTTTTTTGGGGGCTGGTGGGAGAAACTTAAGAGAGGAAAGCCATTTTAGAAGAGCTAAAGTGGCTGTCGTGTTGCAGCAAAGTATGAGAACCAACACTTGTAACGAAGAAGATGGATTAACGCACAACGGGCAGAAAGGAATTCCTGAATAGATTTATGTGAGAAAGTCCAGGTCCTTGGAATGATGTTAATCCTAGAACATAGGGAACATGGGTGTCATTGTCGGGAGGTTGAATTAAATCCACCTGAGCAGGAAAGTATTTTGGGATGAAACAATCTGGCAACTGGAGAGGCTTCTGACCAACTTGCTGGTGACTTTGGTTTATAGTCAAACGCTGCTTATTAACTCGGTTTTAATATTCATGACCAAAAAGCCAACAATTCCTGACCTGACTTAGTAAATGAATGCGTTGTATTTCCATAAGTCTGTTTAGAAAATTCTCACGATGATTATCATACTTTCATTAAAACAGAAAATTTTGCTTTTATGGCACCAATTACATATTAAACTACAGAGTAAATAAAATTTGGTGTACTAATAAATTTAAGTACCGTTTGCTTAAGTGATACCCATGATTGCTTTCTAAAAATCCCATGGTTCTCAACATTAGCAGGAAGTGGAGTCAAGGAGAGTTATCCAAAATCCCCACAACGATGAAATCCGAAAACTAATTTCTAAACAAGGGTGGGACTGGAGGATCTTGTTTCGCATCACCTTTGTCTGAGCAACAAACAAGTTGATCCTTATGCAGTCGTCTACGTCCATCCAGCATTGTGAAAGCATTGGAGAAAATTGAATGAGAGATGAGAGAGATGAAAGTATCTTAAAACCAACATATTTGCTCACGGTTCAGAGAAAGGGAAGCTGCACTTCAAAGCAATAGACCTCCCCCGTTTTGAACCCTGTTTGCTCTCCTATAGACAGGGTTTAGTGGGCACGGGTTACATCCCAATGTGAACAACAGTAGAACTTTGTGATCAAGGAGAAAGAGCTCTCTCAGTCGTATAATTCCAGCACCCGTGCTTTTGAAGTATCAAAAGTCAGACTTTGTATCTACGCAGATATTTGAGTGCAACATCAATGAGCCAGGTTTTCACACGAAATGAAGGAACCCACCCATGAAGTCTAACAATAAACAAAATGACAATGGGAATAAAGCTGGATTTCCACTGCCGTGAGTCGTGAGCGACCTACGACGGAAAGCGTCCGACAGCGTCCACCTACATTTTCCGCTCCAAGTCCATTTCCACCAATGCGCTACCTTGGGCAGATCATCCGCTAACGGAAGCGGACGATTTGCTGTCAAACAATCCGCAGCGTAGAGCGGACGGGTGGAAATGCTCGTTCTTTTATAAAATTAATCACTAACCAAAACATAGATTTTAGGGGAAAATGCAGACACATATTTAAAAACTTAACCAAATAAGTGAATTCAACTGTGTGATGAATGAAATAATTTAATTCGAGCACGTAATCAAATATTTACTATGTATGATCAAATTTTAATATATTTATAATACTTGTAAATATAAAAATCAATTCAAGGTGATTCAATAAATAATTAGAGAATTTGTATTAAATTTTATTATTTTAGTTGGGGCGCCCCGGTTTCTGGTACAGCAATTTCCTTTCAAGCTTTTTCTTTCGAGCTTCGTCGGTCAGGGGATGATTTATTTCGTGCATCCGTTTAGCTATATCATGAAGGGCCTTGTTCAAATTTTTATCACAATCTGGGCGGTGATGAAAGGGATGTGCACAATTCCAACAACCTTCATCAAAGAAGTAGAAAGCAAAGGCAAGTTGGACTTCTTCTCGACTCAGCTTGACCTTCAACAATTCTTCATAAAAAGAAACCACCTCTCCTGCCGGGCGCCCAGGTAGTCGCATTTGAAAGGAATATCTTCCTACAGGTTCATATTTCCCGTGGGTTGTTTTGTCTTGATTTCTATATAAAGACGAAAATTCCTGATTATCTTCACGTTTATGAAAAGAGAGGTTACAATACCTTACCTAATAAAACATTGAAGTTTGCATTCATTTGTAAAATGTGAAGCACTTTCGCAATTAAAGCAGGTGGAGTCGTCAAACTTCTTGTTTCTGGAAATTCTACTGCCACCTCCGCCAACTTCCAGGGCGTCCAATTTTTTATTCAGTTCTTTAATTTGTTCTTCAAGACCTCGATTCGTTTCCATCAAATCGACGGCGCCGTTTGGAAACACTGGGTGAATCTGTCGTTTGAGCTCTGCAAGTCGCTCACCCCTAGCTTCTGGCTCCAGGTCCACGATTTTGAAACGCTGGGACCGACTCCAGTTGAGATCCAGCTCAACACACCGTTCCAGAGGCCAAATGAGTTGTGTTGGTGGTGTTTCCAACCCATTGGGCATTCGGAGTTGCATTTCTTTGAGCAGATCCGGAAATATAAATCCCCGTTCCAGCACCTCGGTCCGCTTCTGAGAAATATGTGTAAAGAATCCCAAACGCTGTCGAGCCTCCACTCCCATCGCATCACTTTCCTCCCACAAGACTGGTTCAATGTCGCGCTTGGCAAGTTCTTTGGAATGAGCCGAGTAATTCCGTTTAAGAATTTCTAATGCTTTCTCTAGTGTTTTGTACATCCATTTTTTGCATTGTTTCATAGAGCAGTGCACGATACTATCCGATGTATTTTCCTAGGCAAGGAAATTCACATTATTATATCACTATTTGTTGAAGTGGTGCAAATTAGGAGAGGAATAATTTTGTGGTAGGTTTTATGAAAGTACATACGCGCTGGTGCCAGAGACATCCGAGCCGAAGGCGTCTGTCCAGTGATGAGCTGATATCAAAACTGTGAAGGGTAGCGGTTGCGTACTTGATGGACGCGACGTACGCCAAGTTTGAAATTTCTGCTGGAAGAGGACCATCTTTGGTAGTGGTACTTTTCGCTTTACCACCACCCACTCCGGTACCTACAGGATCACTCGCCTTCACCACGGACCCGGTTGACTTCTTGCTAGGTCCCTGCACTTCCTGAACCACTTTTGCTTGTAGGTCTATGGCGCACTGCCTAATATGACAGGTTCGAAATAACTCTGAGACGAAACGTTCCATTGAGAGAACGCGCATCCGAGGGTTGCTTCCTAAATAAATATAAAGAGGAACATTTGGCAAACTCGTATATGATTATTTCTCGAACGGAAATTTGCTCACCATGCTGTGCCATCAGCCAGGCCAAGCATCCAACAGCTATCGGGATATTATCTTCAGCAGCGAATACATAGTGGTAGGGACGCCGTGGGGTCTCGTCCGACAGCTACAAAGCAAGAAGAGTGATATTTACATTACAATACATATCCTTCATTTATGTTCTTGCAATGGAATGCTACACAATTGCTAATGGCTAATAATACCTCGAACGTTCGTGATTGCTCCAAGATTGACTTGACGACCTCGTCGTATCGGTCTTCCCCCACAGAATAGGCAAGCCCTCGACTGTAGGTGTAGGGAGGAATTGGAAGCGAAAGTTTCCTGCTCTGTTCTTGCACCATCTTCCAGTCTCCAAGCTTGTCAGAACCTGTTAAATGTGACAGATAGATACAACATAACAATACAATATACTCAAAGTAATGCTTTCCCGCATTGTAAAAGACCGAAAATTTACCAGGATCAATTGGTGACCCCCCAGAGCTTAACACCATCCCATCCTTAAGGTTCCAGGTGAGGCAGCAAAACTCTGCAGGAGCAGTAATCTGTCCTGGTGCAGGACAATAGTTGTTAAAATGGACGTAAGCAAACGTCAGTTCAAGAAACTTATCAAAATCCAGCACGGCTGCAAAATAGTCCCGAATTTTTGAAAATGCTTCATCCTGGTCGTGAATATTAATTTGAACATTCTTAATCGACCAATCGGGAAGTGTTGTTCGCCTGGGACAACATTAAAACCATCACTCACAATAATTCAAAGTCATTAATAGATTTGAAAGAGAGGTGAATGTAGAATGTATAAATGTTTACTTGATATTATGGGGACCAGAATTTTTGAAAACTGCCATTTCCGGTGGTTGAAATAAAACAGAAGTTGGCCCTGGCTCCTTTTGAGTTTCTTGTGCATGTTCAGGTGCTTTCTTTTTGGATTCTGGTTTAGAACATTCCTTTACTTCCACCTTGACTTTCCCTGTGGTTTGTTTGAAGAGAGGGTTAGGAAGAACGAATGGAGATGAAATCGATTTGGGTCGACCAGGTAAAGACGACGGCACAGACAACTGTGAATCCATTGGTTCTGAACCTGGTTGAGGGAGATGATCATGTTGACGCATGTGTTTACCAATCGTATTTCCAGTTTGCAAGAGTGTATCACGAAATGATCCTAATTCTTTCTATAATAAATCATAATAGAACAAAAAATAAGAATGACTCATAAAATAAAAATTTCTAATGAACGAATGAATTTCTATTACTCGTATTACCGGATCAATGTTAAGTTGCACTTCCGGTTTCACCAAGTCTTGTTTCTGCCCTCGTCCATTGGCTAATCTTTTACCTGCTCGTCCACGGAGGAACATATTTTCTTCTCCAGTCGGAACAACGCACGGGACTTCTTGTCCATTCCCAACTGGGCCTGTTGGGGATAAGGCAGATTTCGCTTTTGGTCGCGTCTGTGGCGGCGTTGATTTCTCCTCCTCCTCTTGGTACACGGCGTACTTGTCCTCTTCAGTCTTATCCATTCTCTGGAAAAAGTAAGGAAAACAATTATTTCCACATTTCTATTCATGAAATTGTGAAATTTAAAGTAACACGGACTACTTATGAGCCATTCTCCATCCAAAACAAATGCGACCTCTTCCCATCCACCAGAAAAGTTCATCCCTTGTGCCTCTAACTGACGACGACGAATGGTCATAAATGACATGAATGGTGTCATTTTCAATTTTTTCGTAGTTGAAGACATGGCGAGAATAATTTTGGTGTTTCAGCTGTGTGTTGGGTTGTACGAAAAATGGAGTGAGTATTGCAACCAATCCAACCGCTCAACCCAATTCCTAGTTTGCTCCAAATTTACAAGTATTAACAAAAAATTCAACCTTGTTTAAAATTTAATTAACGATGGATCCAGTTATTATTTTGGCTTTAATCCGGCGCCGGAAAAAAAGAGTGCATCGCTACTGGGTGCATCCTCTTAATTTACTTCGAGGTGTGTGGGGGGAACATCTAAAGATAATTGAAATGTATAATAAGTTTCCTGTGAAATTTCGCCAGTACACAAGAATGACTCCAGCACAGTTTGATATCGTACTGAGCATTGTTAAAGAAGACCTCCAAAAACAGGACACAAATTATAGGACATCAATTCCCCCAGATTTCCGGCTATTTGTCACCCTTAGGTACGACGAAGACTCGGCGCCGAGAAAGAAATATTTATATATTTATTAATGAAATAACTCATACATATAATTCATAACTGGCAGATATTTAGCGACCGGAGATAGCTTAGCAAGTATATCTACAAGTTATAGCATGGGGCATACAACTGTTTGGCGAATCGTTCGAGAGACGACTCAGATCTTGTGGAACAGATTAAGTCCAATATTTGTGAAGGTAAAGATAACTTATGTAATAATAATTAGCCTCATGTCCTGCTAATTATTTTTAAGCTGGAATATTTTTTAGGCCCCAACAAATGAAGACTACAACTTAATCGAAAAAGGATTCAGGGAGCGTTGGAATTTTCCTAATTGTATCGGCGCAGTGGACGGAAAACATATAGATATAGAAGCTCCATACAAATCTGGGTCACAATATTATAATTACAAAGGAAGATTTAGTATCGTGTTGATGGCAACTTGTGATGCTGACTACCGATTCACAACGGTTGACGTAGGCGCCTACGGGAGACAAAGCGATGCAGGAATTTTTTCAATTTCTGCTTTAGGAACCAGATTAGAATCAGGTAATTTTACGCTAATTTAATATCGCAGAGCTGGCATAACAAATTCCTGCATTATGTAAATAGGAATTTATATTGTAATACTAGGACATCTTGGAATTCCTGGACCTAAATTGCTACCTGAATCAACAAAACAACTACCATGTTGGAGATGAAGCTTTTCCATTAAAATGTTACATGATGAGGCCATATCCAGGGCGATGACTAACTGAAGTGAGAAGAATATTTAACTACCGGCTTTCTAGGGCTCGTCGAATTATTGAGAATTCGTTCGGTGTAATGTCGAAGCGCTTCAGGATATTTCGACGACCGATTGTTGCCCTGCCGATGTTGAAAGTATTGTGAAAGGTATAAATTAACCAAATGTGCACAAACTATTAATTATGTATAGTACTTATCTCATGTTCATTCTGCAGCCTGCATCGCACTACACAATTTCCTGCGTACTCAAGATCTCTCGGCGCCGGGGGCAGATATATATTGCCCTGCAGGATTCGTGGACACTGGTGACGAAGATAACGGCGCATGGAGACAAGAAGAAGACTCTTTAGCGCTGAGAAACCTCACTAGAATGAGTTCAAATATGCACAGTGCTGCAGCACGAGAGATGAGGGAGAGCTTTGCAGAATACTTTGTAAATGAAGGGGCAGTAGAATGGCGGCGAAGAATTGTTGGCTTGGATTAAATGCAATGAAATTTATTATTAAATCCATATTATTATAATTGTGCGTTAAAGATCTCAAGTAACAATAAATAAAAATTTTCAATCATCAATTTACTCATTGACATCACGTCCTCCCGGCGCCGGCGTTGTATTCTGCGGAAATTCAATTTCATACATAATTTGCTGAATTTTGGTTTTTGCATATGATGACTGAGCTGCTGTCATTTTTCGCAAATCATCCGCCAGAGCCATACAGAAATGGTGGTTCGAGTCTTTTATATTTTGCTTTTCTAGGTATCCCAATAATGCTGCATCAACTTTCTCTGACATCTTCATTTTTTTGGATATGGTCTCGGGCTTGATGGGGTCGTCCTCATCTAAATCCGGCCCACGGGAATGATCTCGACCACTTCGATTGGTGGTTTCATCCGGCGCCGGAGTTTTATCCAAATTACCAGAAGATCTGCGAGATTGGCGGAGTAAAAAAAATTATTTAACATAAGTAATAAATATATAGTTAGTCAATAATAGACGTACTCAGTATTGGCAATTACGAACGGCTTTAAAAAGTTCAACATTTCGAAGTATTCCCATTGTTTTTCTTTTTTGCCAGACTTGCCAGACTTGCCTTTCTTCTTTTTAACGACTTTATTGAAATTATCCCGTAGATATTTCCACTTCTTCTTGCATTCAGGAACTACAAAAACAAGCAATTCCAGAGATTAACATTAATTATTACGTGGCGCCACAGAGTCATACTAAACATTAATTATACACCTTACCATCCTTCCCTACCGTACTGGAAACATTTAACCACACAAGTTCCTTTTTACCACTGTTCTTATTATCCTTTGATTTGACATCGAACAAAATTGGATTTGATCTCACTGTATCTATAAGTAATTCTATATCTTCATTCCTCCAAATATTCTCTTCCTGGGCGCCCGGTATTTCCTCACCCATTACATGACATTGATCCCCATCCTCGTTGATGTTCAAACTTCCTCCATCCTCCTCACTGTCACTCGACATTTTATATTTATTTCGAATATTCTAATTTTATGAAATAATTGATGTTAGCGGAATGTGAATAATAAGAAGTGAATTTATGTGATTTTATATATTCCGCTCAAGGAAATGAGAATTTGTCATAGATTTTGGCGAGCGGACGAAAAAAAGTTGAACCAAGTTCAACTCATCGACTCACAGTTTTTTCGTCCGCGCGGATCGTATCCGCTGAGATGAGTCGGTTGGTGGAAATGGGAGGCAAAAATCCGCTCAACTCAGCTCACTCTCCGCCGCGTCGAGCGGATTTTGTCTGCTTTGGTTGAAATGCCATCGTCGGACACTTTCCGTCGTAGGTCGCGCACGACTCACGGCAGTGGAAATCCAGCTTAACAACCATTCAAATGTAAACGCTGTTCGTAAACAATGTGAAATTTTGGAAATAACGGTTTTAAAATTATTTACTCATATTGTTCCATATTGTAGACAATTATGTGGATGCATTTAGACAGAACAGAGGATCCATACATAGCCCAAACACCAACCGATCTAAATTTTTGGAATTATGGAACTGTCACGCATGACCTTTGTACAAGACAAGGAAGAAAATCATGAGAGTAATGTGCTATGTCCGGAAGGTGATGGTTGTACAACAGAAATAAAAGTAAATAGGAAAATAGACTGAGGAAAAAGGAAGTAATAAAATGTTGATTTGCATTGTTTTGTCATGCCAAAACCAGATGCGAGTATACAAATGACCATCGTCAATCGTTAGCAGCGAAAAGACTTTTGAAATTTTTTACCCAAGTAAAAGCAGACCTCAGGCTCAGGCACCTGGAAATTCTAATATCATACGACATGATAGTAGATAAATATATTAATCTTACTAGAATTACGAGGCAAGAAAACCGTTAGAAGCCATCTTCTCTACTCTTTAGATTATATCTACGCAGAAAATAATCTCACAATTGAGCTATAGTTATAACAGAACTCGTCTTCTATAAGTAAAATTCGTCATTTGTGATTTTGGTAGCTAAGATGCCACTGCAGCTATCAAATTTAAAACACGTAACACGAGAGATTTAGCTAAATAGGTTTGTAACAGTTTATTTGATTATTTTCTTATCGAATTGCATCTAGCCTCTAAATCTTCAATTTTATGCATGTTGTTAAAATTCCTTTTCTTGTTTGCTTTAACTGAATTATGCCTCACAGGTGGTACTCGCATGACAGATGAATATATATGTAAATATGATTTATAGCGAAATCTATAACCAGGAGAAAATCGCCCACATTAGTCATGCCAAAAAGAAAGCTAGCTCACAATTTCGTTTTTTCCTTTGCCCATCGTGTTAGCTATTTTACTATTCACTACAGTTTGGAAAATGATAGACAAGTATTTTTAAAGCGGCACATCGACTATTATATAAAAATAAATCCAAGATGATAGATTAAAATGCAACCAATGCAATGCACTGCTTTGCAAGATGATTGTTTTGCAGCCAAGACGAACTGGGACAGCAAGCAGGGAACTTGAGCAGCCAAATTAATTAAAATGTCCAGAATGCGAAGGGAATTAAAAGCTTGAAGCTTTAACATACTTAATAACTATGTACATATAACATGTATATCACTTTGTGCAAACTGAGCCTCGCCTTGGCATGACTATGCAGTATTAAATCGTTTTGCCATGAGTATGACAAGCAGCAAATGCGAAAACTAGATTCAGTTACTGCTACCGAAGGTTACATGTGTCACGAACGAGTTAAAGGGAGCATTATATCACAATTAATATCTACATAGTCGAGCACTCCCAAGTATAAAATCCGGCTCAACGTCTAAGATGTCTCACTGCTACTTAAAACAGCGAGACAAGTAAAAACTTAAAATTTGTGAAAAAGTGGAATCCCTTCATGATTAATTTGTTCTACATTCGCCGCGTGACGAAATGTTCATAAATCTTTCCGTCGACTGGAATATTTTCTCACTTGCATACATTTTTTGCTGTAAATTTAAACGAGACGAAATCTGCACGGCAGGAGGAGCATACGCAGCAGTGGCTGTGGGAGAGGGGCGAGTAGGGGTGAATAATAAACGGGCAGCTGAACGATCCAAGTGTAACACGATAAAGAGAGAACTGGAGAAAGCGGATCTCCAGCAAGTGTGGAAATATAGGTCAGCAACAGAACGGAATAATGTGCGAGAGAAATACAATGGCAGACTCTCCGCAATCTGGTTTTCCAGAATCCCTTGGTAAACTTTCTCCAGTGTATTTCATACGCGTTGTTAACATATGAGCAGCTTGGCTCCTCCGACATAATGGAACTGTTGACTAGAGGCTTGGACCGCAGGATGTTTTTAATGGTGACTAATCCAAAGGCGGTCGTTGGTGGATGCAGCAGTGTATACAAGATCAGAGCCAAAGTGCCAGCCAATCTGCAAATTTATTGAACGAAGAGAGAAAAATAAAGCAGACAAGAGGAAGGGAAAGAACGTCGAGAGTGTAATTCCCAAATTCACACTTCGCCTTGCAGATGGATGCAGTTGGGATTTTATACTCTTCCCTCGAATAATGTGAGTTTGTACGTACGTCTGTGAATGCAAAACCGGGGGAATTCTAGTAATGATGCACAGTGGGTATTTACGCTCCATGATGTGTTGGGTGCAGGAATTGTGCTAGGAGGAGAAAGATGTATGTCAACGACGTACTGGTGGGTATGAAGGGTGGGTGGTGGGAGGGGAAAGGAGTTGGATGGGGAAAAAGTTGTACGGAAATGTAATTCAGAATGTGGATGCATGCGTATAACAAATGCAGCCAACGTCAAGTCGGATTGTGGGAGACGGGTATGTCGAAATTGCTCCAACTCGGACTATTAGAAAGATAAGTCCAAATTTGAATCACAAATGTGTCCTCTTCACTTCCATTCTCCAACCCATAAACCAAATCTTTCCACTTCTGACTTGGAGAGAGATTTTGGTGGGGAAAAGTTTACTCGCTCTGTCCTTCAGCTTTTATTGCGCACAATAGAATACTAATAATGTGGAGCTATGGACGGATTGAGTCCCGATAATTATTGCTACGTATATGGCTCTACTTCTGTTATCTATCTGTTAGCTGTGGCAAGTAAATAATTTTAAAAATCACAAACTAATATTACATATGCTCATCAGAGTATGCATATCGCTTCTTTAAAATTGCGAACATGGTGTGAATATAAAATGCTCTCTGGTGCAATACCGGCCAATGCCAAGATACCGAGGTGACGGGAAAGATACCGACATGGAGGGTTGTGAGTATAGCGTTCAAAAGTACTTAATCCACGCGTCAAACGCTAATCAATACTACAAGTTTCGACGATAAATACATGGTCATTGCTATTTTTAGTTTTTAATAACACTCGCGCATTGATTGAATCAGTATCGACCGAATCCTTGGGATTTTAATCACCGCATAACGCCACTTCTGTGTGCATGCTGCAATCCACTCAAGCCAAATGTCCCGATTTTTACATACAGTTAAATTAATTGTTTACTTAATGCTCGCTGGTGGGGAAAGTTGGAAAAAATCATGCACGTCAATTTGGAAGGTGGTGGACACAGTCGAGCGGAAGTAATTCAGTTTGACGAAGAAGATGAAACTAAACCAACATCGTTTGGGTCGGGTTGAGGTCAGTCAATTACAATTTCACAGAGGAAACCTCAGGACAACCATTGCGTGACAGAAGAGAGGAGTGTGGTTCAAACCCTTAGCCAAACCACAAGTACAAGTGGAGAGCAGCTCGTATTTTGGACAGAGGAAATTAGTGAAAGCTACTCTGAATGCATGAACTCACTCTTTTCACCCTGCTCGAGCCAAATCATGATTATTCTACCTTGACTGACTGCCTTTTGTGACGGACCCAATAATTAAAGCCAAGGAAATACATAGAATGCGAATGGACGAATCACACCCATAAAAATTCACCACACGAGTACACAAATTGTATGCCCATAGAAGTGTATATTTTCATTCGTGTAATTAGCCAGTAAGTCAGTCTCAACCAAGGACCCAAATAAATAGACAAGTTACAAACCTAGTTTTGACTACTTAATAATTGACATGTTACGAAGAATTTTGTCCTGTGATTAGAGAAATTGTAGGTAACGCTTAGAAAGCGAAAAATATTATTTTGCGATGAGATCGTTAAAATTAAGTGGCACGACGTTATGAAACAATTTATTTTGACAATGTCTGGCTCAGAAATCCGAGGCGTTATGTTATGGAGTGAGCAGCATATGAAAGTAAAGTCAATGTGTAATAGAGTTATTCATTTGCTATTATTTTCTTGAATTTTTGTTCTACTGCATTGCATTTAAGATATGCGACGCGACACAAACCCCAGCTCACGTATCGCATATGACGATCAATACATAGTACACAGCAAGTATTCACTGCACACACACTAAAAATTTCGACTTGACCACTAATGAACATGCAAGTCTATCCCCTCCAGTGGGTAACGTAGTCATATGTAGCTATATTACGTGAAAGTTACACCTTTTACAGACATCGACAACAGAGTTGAAAAGTAATGTCGACTTTGTTAATGATCCCTGTAGGTCATGATCTTCAGGTCAGGGGTCACCAATTTTTTATTACCTAGCCCAAATCGATGCATGCATGCATCGTATCCTCTCCCAGTTCCTAAACGGTGAGGTTAAAGGTCAAATATTGCATTCAAGCCACGCATAGCCCCGAACTACGTTTACCGCTACTATTTAGTTTCTGCTTACTAAAGCTTACTTTAATCATGGAAAGTATAATATGGAGAGAGCGCCAGACAGCTAAATGCATACGTTTACACACATATTTACTGTACTTGCATATATGTACAACTCTGTGCCTTCCGGTGCCAAGATTTTGATTTTAGATTTGTGTCCATGGCTTAGATTTCTACAACGTGTGTGGAACACGAAACATAATAAGGTTCATTTTGACTACAACCTCAAACGAACTGTCGTGTTGCAAAGTTTTCCGCACGTTGTATCAATAAGGCCTTTCACTATAGCAATGTGTGCTCGTACTACTTCTGCCAGTAACTACAATCAAGTCTGCCACCGCTTTCCCTCCCAATTTATTTTGCAACACATTTCCCTGCAAGTCATGGCTCTTCCGCTATGAATTACGATTACGAGATCCTTCAGAGTAGAACTTGCTCGTTAGAGAGTTTCCAGTTCATTTGCTCCATGTTCACAATTTTATTTGGTTTCTATTATTTCGCGTTCGCAATTTACTCACAATTCACTGTTGTTTGAAATATGCTTCGTAAACGAATGCTAAATAACTAGACATTTTTCTATCCAACGAACTAAATGAACGACAAATGTATTCCTGAACAAATTATTGCCGAGGCACAATTAAAGTAATGACGACATTTCACATAATGACAAGAGTAGAAATATGTATTGTTTGAAGAAGAATTCATGGATTCTGAGGACATATTATTTATTGTATTTCTAGAAATATGTACTTCTTAAAATCTTGCCAATACGCCTGAGTTAAGTTGAAGGCAGAATGGTCCTACATATACACATTGAAGTACATATTATTGGTTGTGTGTGAAGCTATTTGAAGAAAATGTGAAGAAAAATCATTTTTTGTCTGTCAGCTTAGGCAGTGGCTGTCCATTTGAAAGTGGAAAGATTTAGGTCGGATCGAATTACTATTCCGAGGCAAGCACGCTTTCTCCAGCACGACCACCACTCTCGCAGCCACACACATAGCGATTGAACCATTGTCTCTCCTGTTATCGCCAGAATCCATACCATGATCACTCCCCAAAAGCATTAAGAGCTTTGTCCCATATTCTCGTCATGAGTCGTGAGGAGCTCTTTCACATTCCGCACCACAACCGATCCTAATGGTTGGCGAAGGAGGGCTGACGATCAACTTTGCTTACTAGCAGACGACGTTGCCGTCACGTAATATTTTGTTGTGTAATTAGCATGATAGTCATGATGATGCTCTTGTGTTTCCCGGCTACTTTACCAACCTTATGTGCCATTGGATGTGGACCACAGCTGCCTAAGCTAAACCGATAAACTGATGTGCTTTCGTTATCTTCCATATAGGGACACGGCTGTATGCACGTACATGGTGTACACATTTTTATTTCATTGTACTGTGCCAGACATTACTTTGAATATGCTCGTGGCTAAATCCTGAAAAGTTATCAAACAGACTACGGGAATCTTTATCCAAGTTGAACTGAAGGGAGGGAGCTTAGGCAACTATTCTTCGGTTGAGAAATGGTGAGCAAAGTAGAGTGTATAGTTAAAGCAGCAGGTAATCTGGTGGAGGTGCACAGAGCAACAATTCTCGTAATTCAACTAAGCAGCGCATTTCTTTTCAGGGCGAGACGTTGATCTTCCCATCACCGAGACTTGGCTGGAGTACAGTATTAAAATAATGGCACATTGTTCACCTGCGTCCTCGTGCTCGTCTGCTCCTGGAGAAAGCAAGACTGGAGGAGCAGTCAGGATGAGAGTGGTCTAGCTCTCTCTCTTCCGTTCCATGCTGTTGAATCTGATGTGAAGTTATTAAGCAGAGATTGGGACCAGACAGCTAATTTCTCTTTTCCGCTGCCAGAAGAGCGTCGCAAATAGAAGAGAATTTCACAAAATCCTGACACATTTCAAAGAAGATACTTAAATCGAAATCTGTATTTGTACGTGACAAAAATACGGTGCCAACGATTTATTGGAAAATCTATTCTTCTATGCTTTAAATCCAGTTATTTTCCGCTAATAATTGTGAGGCATAACAAAAATCAGGTAATTAATTAGATTATTTCATACCGATAAATGGAACGACCTATTCATGCTAAATACATTTATTTACTGTAATGTACTCAAAACCTTGTTGATTTTAAACTTAAACTGAACGGATGAAATGTAAGAAAATTTATTACAAACAAAACATTAAAAATAAAATAATTTCTCGTCTTAGGTCTCATCGTGTGGTGTCAAGAAATGACGATGTGAACAAATGACGGTTAAGTACTTCCTCCGTCACAGTGACAATTGAGAAGAAAAAGCGTGGATTTGCAATTTAGGTAAAATGTCGACTTTCTTCTTATCCTCGTCTCAGAAGTCAAAAGTTGAACAGACTGCCTCTCAGCTTTCTCCGCATTTTCGGCTGGTTTGACACGTTCGTTAGTTTAGAAAGTTTAGCTACGCAAGGAATATCCCTCAGCCTATCCTAACTTCAAAACTTTAATATCAAGCTCACAAAAGTGAAAAGACAAACGTTTAGGTAATTCCGGACCAACATAGTTTTTTTTATTGTACAACGAACGTTCGAAACAGAATTCATGGGTTTGGAGGAAGCAGGAACCAAAATTCTTGCATGTGGTTTACAAATTATCTTCTCAGGAAAAGTTCAAATTAGATCGACATCCCTTTCACAACGAGGGATGGCTCGTTCGTGTAAAAATATCGCAACTTTCAGTACATACACTTTATTTAGAGTGGGTGATGATGTGTCCGTGTTGCTGAAATGCGTGCACCTTCCTTTCATTTCTCTACATAATAGGACAATCCTGTGCGCGTAGTTTGTTTGCTAGAAAGCAATAGTAGTGCTTATAAACCGTACAAGTATTTAGTATTTCTGGCCGTTCAAACCAAGGCGAAAGTAAAACTGGGTCTATTATTTCGTCCGCTTCAGAAACATTTGAGCTTCAGGAGCATAAAAGTATGAGTGTGGAAAGGGCAGCTCTTCACATAAACGTGGATCGATTTCCTTTCCTCCCTGCGACTTTCCTCCTTCGCCTTCTGATGCATGCAACGTAGAACCGACGACGACGACCAACCATGGAGTGTGTGTAGAAACATAGCGAAACATTTCGCCTACCAACTTTCTCTCTCTTTATCCCGTGAAACGAACGACGATGCAGCAGCAGCAGCAGACCTCGATGGGAAGGAGAGAGAGAGGGATCGTATTCCCATCTTCTCTCTTGTTTGCAGTTCTTTAGCCGCAACTTGTATACACATCCATTAAATTCAACCCTGTTTCGTCCCATGTATCCACATGATACTGTTATTACGAGTTGCGATAATAAAATGAAGTTGAAGTAATGGTGGATAAAATGCAGGCCCACACACACACACACACGATCCCATTGTTGGTTCTCGAATAAAGATATAGCGCAGAATTTTATCTCTGCAAGTCGAATGTTGATGGGTAAATGGAATAGGTGTCCTAAAGTTTTAAGAAGGAACATGATTTGAAATTATTGCCCCTTTCGATCGAATATACTTGGCTTCGTAGCATTTGAGAACATTGTAACAAGTTTCCTACATACCACGCACATCGTCGATCCGTGCTAAGTATGAAGGATGAACATTTTGAAGCATCTCACCGCAATAGCACCCTCAACTTTAGACTACCAATTTCATTTACCTATTTGTAGCAGCTCCGTCTCTACGTGGATAGATTTATTGTTTGAGCTACACTTTATACAATCTATCCAATTCATCCAGGAAATTGCAACCGTCAGAATGAAGATGAAGTTTCCGTTTGGTTCCATGTTTCAATCAAATTTTCGTGGGATGTGTTTGGAATACGTTTAAATGAAAATTCTCAAGTCAATTCACTCAAGGCATAAATGTAGCAAGGACCGAAAGACTATGCGGAAGAATATGAGGTTGGAATGGAATTCGTGATTGTCTCTAGAATAATAATACAGCTTGAAAGAAGGAAATGGGAGCAAGTGTACATACATAAATCAAGGAATTTAACTGCGAAGTAAGTTAAGAGTGCATACACATATATGCTACATTTATACATGCATACATAAATACTAAATGTGCATACACATGTATTCAAGGTAGATGTAAACATGTCTTAATAATATTGTCCTAGAGTGCGAAATACTTTCGAGGAATGTGTATTGTGAAAAAATGACAAACAAACTCATTTATTTCAAGTTCAAGGTTTTCTAATACCAAATATTAACTTTACATGAAAGTATCAAAAGTTGCATTTATCTTAAAACTCGTGAAATTGATTTCATTTTAGAAATTAGTATATTTAAAGACGTTGAATAGGGGTAGAGCGACATTAGCAATCTATGATGCACCGTCGTGTTATCTTTACAACCTTAATGTAAGGGACAGACTCACCTATAGTTGTAAGCACAGTGGTAGCATAGTAAAACGCGCCGGCGAATTTCCATTGCGAATTGCCAGCTTTTTGTGGGACCGACTTGAGGATGACCATTTCCAGGACTCGAAAGTCGTCGAGGGATATGTTGTACCGGTTGAAGAGCACTTCTCCTAAATCTGAAATCATACATCATCCATAAGTAAACAGTAATATACAACTTCCTTCATCGCATTGGAGCTAAATGTTTTCACTGTCGACGGTGTTTACTCATTTTACATTACGTAGAGGTTTGGATGCGAATAATAACCTCTACCTCTGACTCAAAAGCACAATTTGCAAAAATCAACACATATTTTGCCATATCAAAATTCAAATTCAGAACGAAAATCATAATCCTTCTCAGAGACATGAAATCACATAAAAATGTGATGATATTTCTTTGCATGCTTTTCATCTTTTTTATGTCTTCATTGTGGTTTGAGTTTAATGTACGAATTCTGGGAGACGGTAGATCTGTCCTATTACAATAGTGGATATTTATTTGCTCCATAAAATGAAAAGTTCCTTTAGATCATACCTGCCTCTCCTCGCAGACTATCCGTTTTCGAATGTGTATGCAATGGAAATTAGGAAAATTCTGGAGCACAACGCAATCCATCCGTCTTCAAGACGCTCTCTCCGGTGAAGCTTCACAACCATACCATCCGGAGGAGAAAGGACCATAAATCATGGGCTGCGAGTGAGTGAGTGAAGACGTCATGTCACAATATTACCTTTCCTGCCTGACTCAAATGCTATTCCTTACTTTCGAATTCAGCTCCAGTCCTAACACTGAACATCCGCCAATCATCCCCATGAATAGGTGGTGGATGGACGACTGCCAGCTTCAATTCATTTGCGATTGAATGAATACTCATTGACAAGGCAAGTCTAACTTTCAATCTGGTTGGGCAAGCTTTTTTCTGTCATGAAATGTGCACAAAAACTTTCTTAATCGCAAAATCCATCTACTGACCCGAAGGTACAGTGAATTTAATCTCAATCAATGAATTTCTACACGTCAAATATAAATATTAGCTCGAAAACAAGAATTTCCGCGGCATGTGTTCTCTTTTACGAAAGATTTTAAAGGATTTCATAAAGTCAAATAGGTATATAGAAAGGGCAGAGCGGATTCTTTGAGTTTTACTCCTCATTCGTAAATAATGCCTGCAAAGTCACAAAGTTTTCAAAGAGGTGCAATAAGTTTCGGCGAGCTTTGAAAGGTTTTGTGAGAAAGGGTGTCACAACCAGGTTCTGTAATTGGCCTTTGATGACATCAAAAGAAGGAATTTCCTTGAAGCGAATTGAAAATGTGGCCCGTCTGTTGGTAATTTAATTTGCACTTTACATTCTTACCTCTGCCCTGTCTAATAATTCAAACGACAGCGCGGAGATCGCATAGAAGTTGTCGTCCTCGGTTGGGAATCAGGTGTTAATGAAATACGAACTGACCAAACCGCAAAGGCAACCACCCAATCTCAATTTTCAACCAAGAACATCTTCTTCCCTTTGATCTGTACTACTTATTTGGACAGATATACGGAAGTACGGACTCCAGATAAGGGCAATGAGTGAAAGTGGAGCAGACAGCACAAGAGAGAGAGAGAGCAAAGCACAAGTGACAGCGCGTGAGCTTGTTCTCCTCAAGTGTGAACAATGAGAGACTGGCTAATTAAGGAGGGCTGGCTGTTGTGAGATACAACGCCAGCAGATGCAAACTAACAGAGCATGGTTATCAAACATGGCATCTTATTGTAGTACAGTTGAAGATGTTCTCTTCGCAAGTCTTAATCAGGAGTTGTCAACTGGGGAATCTTAAGGAAATCCGGTACATGTTGGATATTTTGTCAAACCTACTCATTCTCCCATGAAACCCATCTAAGTAATCTAACCATAAATTTAGAGTTCACTATTTGTCAATTTTCTTTAATAGGGCAGAATAGACCACAATTCTTGCCCAATAATTTTCATGATTAACTCTCTATACTTTTCACTATATGTAGTACAGTTACATTGAGATCTGATGCTACTTATTTCCCATATACCAGAGATACAGTTAACTTTCTCTTTCTTCATTGACTTTTCTCAAAGCAGAATGTCTTAACTTTTCCAACTAATTCCGTTCTAATTTGGAAGAGAGAAATGTGCAAAGGGCAGAAATGGATGAGACCGGATGTGGAAGCGATATCTACAGACGGTGATAGTTGGTCGTAGTCGTCAGCCCATAGTATGTACATATCCGAAGAGACGATTCCTTTCCTGGACCGATCGATAAGAAACTAAGACGAAGGGAGGTGAAGTATATAAAGAGCCGTCGAGCTGGTTCTAATTTGTCTTACAGTTATCAATTCATCACAGCATTTCTACAAAACTTGTTCGAATCCTGTATTCTGAACGACAGGCTGTATACATTTGCTTTTAGTTAGCCTACTTTTCTAGGAAGAATCCTCTTCCCCTTAAACTTTCTTCTTTCTTTTTACAGTGAAAAAATGTCCTGTTTGTTAGGCTACACCACATTACAAGCAATTGCAACACAATGGGAAGGATGTTTGCATCCTAGCGATTTGATACATCCCGTCGGAAAAAAACTACGCCCTTATTTCTTTCTGAAGAATTGGTCTTGGTTTACTTGATACTATTAGACTGTAAATCAATTCTCCAAAACACAAAGAAAGTTTGTCATCGTGCGAATCTAATTCTGCTGCCCTTTGTACGCTCAACTTGAATGAAAGAATGTTATTACTCTTTTAAATTGCGGTTATTGCAACTTCTACTCTACTAACATTCCAATTCGAAATCTGTAATTAACAGATATAGTGCGGGTAGACGCATAATTTATGCACACGGGTAATCGACAGCGAGAGAATGGATAATTAAAATGATTTGTAATTTACATAACACCAATCTCAATATGAGCACAGTCTGATTTAAAGTGTCATTATCACCGTATAACTATATTGTATTTGTTGTTGGTAACAATGTAGCAACTCGGGAGAAAGAGAGTGCTAGATGTGCGATAAGGGATAAAGTAACACTTTCCCGTCCTCAACGCCCATCAGCCAATTCCGGTCTGCTTAACAATCCTATTTAATCTCATTACTCCCATCGAAAGTATTGTTACATAGATAGCTCTAGTGGTGGTGATCGACTTCGATTCGTTGTATTTCTAACACGCTGGACTTCGTTTTCGAAATAGACTTATCGTTGAGCTAACAACTTGCCCATAGTTGAAATTGGGTCCACAAGTAAAAAAGTGTGTCACGGAGTTTGGAAATTTTTAAAAAGTTCACATGCTAACTTATTTTATTTATTTAGCTGTGAAATACGCAGCTCAAATTACATGGTCATTCATGTGGATAAAATTGCTTCACTCGTACTGAATCCTTCAAGTACTGCAGTTAGTTAGTTAGTTTTATTCTGGTGAGCTGGCTGATAAGAGATCGTTGACAATGTGAAGGACTCCTTGTGGAAATTCCAATCTCAAATGGCACGAATAGATTGGCAACTCGTTGAGCGACATGTCGGACAAAATAACACAATAAAATTACTAGAAGAACGGACACACGTGTGCCACGTCTTCTTCTACTTACGTCTCCTTCATATGAACATCTATCTCAATTTTCCCTCTTGCCAAATAAAGCAAGATTTCGCCACTACCTAACCAACTAATGAAAGAAATTCACTCGGTTTTCAATTAAATTATTCAACTTGAGCTACACAATCAGACCAGCAACCACTTACGATATAGGCACAAGGTTGTGAGATGAAGTCGTTGGCATTGTTGTCTCATGCACTCACTCACCATCCATTTGGGCCAAGTTGAGGAGTGTGATTACGACGACTAGTCTTAAATTTCCGTCATTCGAACTTGTCCGACCTTTCTTTACCTTTCACCGCAGAGAGGGCTGAACCATGCCTGAAATAGTAAATCTGATACGTAGGCGAATCTCTACAATGAGTTTCAATTTAATTAAGAGCACCTCTTGCGTATCCTCTCTAATTAATTATGCCATGCAAGATTGCATTTTAGATAGAAAGTTTAACCCGCACAGACAACGTTCATGAGCGTCGAGGTGAATATATTTTCTTCAGAATGTGGGTGGAGAAGACCTTTACAACTCCACGAAAACAATAATCTCACAAATCCCACTGTTCGCGAGGCTCATCGGTCCGGCACAATTTGAGAGGAACAAATGAAATGAATGAAAACTGACAGTAATGAAAGCAGCGAAGAAGTTAAAGTGAAAGTCCAGTCGACCTGGCATTTCCAACCTGTCATAATGAACAAATGCTGCTAGAGGCCATTGTCCATCCACCCAGAGAACTCGTGTATAATAGGAACAGTCACATGCTAAACACTATCCCACTTGAGGGATAGTAAAGTGGCTAAATGACACGTGTTTCTATAAAACAGAGCGAAAACTTCAATTTCCAGGATGATAAAGGATCCAACAACAAACATTTTCAACCAAACTAATGAATAATGGTGGAAGTAGTGGACACTGGTCAATGGCAATATGTGTGTATGCATATGGTATACAACAGTCGTAATTAATTCAATTCAAAATGTGGAACTCGAAATAATATCATTCGCCACTTGTTATTGTTTCAATGTTGCTAAATGGATTAAAAAGTGGTGAGTCATATGTATGTACATATTAGCGGTGCCGTGTCCATTCAATTAAATCACAGAGATCCAGTTAAAGAGATGATTCATCCAATCGCAATTATGTAGTTACATATATACATAAATAGTCTAAATTCGTGAAATGCAAATGCTCAAATGATTTGAAAATGAAAAAGTTTATGATTAGATAATTCATGTTGAGGAAAAGAAAGTCTTACCCTGCAAAGCTTCCTTCTGCCGTTTCTCGGTGTCGGACTCTAACGCATCAAAGATTGCAGCGCCGACGAGGAGGTATGTACCGACCAATACGATCAAGGATAGTGTCCGTACGTTCTGTCTCTTCATACCAACATACTGCTGATGGTTTCGACATCAGCAACACTTTTGAATGATATTTTCCTCATTCAACCTTCACTGCCTCAACAACACTTGCCGAACCACATTACGCGTGAGCTTGGGTAATGTATTTTAAGAGTCACTTAATGTGTAATGTTGAACTGGGTGAAAGTATTAAGTATTCCTGTTAAGAACATCGATGAGTACGAAGTCTCACGTAATATTCATCGTCTAGCCAATGTCAGTCAACTGAAATAATTAGATTCAAATGGCCGCAATTAAAGTGGTCAGCTCGACCACAAAAGTGCGGTTGCGGTTGTCGGAGCTGATGGCATGAATATTAAACATTATAAATTCATCATCCTCAGAACCAATCATATTTCTGCATTCGTCCACAACGTCAATAATAAACTTTTGAATTCACTGATTCTTAAATTCGTTCTATTCGTTCGTGTGTCGTCACTTTGGCAAAGGTTGTTGCCTACATGGTCACTGCACACAACAAGGAGTATTTATATTTGTAAATAACTTATGTAATTTTCACCACAATTGTTATTATTATGTGCGTTCACACTCTTTGAGTTTGGACAAAGTCTGGTTACTTACATACATACATCACTATTTGACTTTCAGTATACCTTGATGAGGAAGGATTTGTGCCGGTTCAATAATCAAGAAGAACCAATCAGGGCTAATTAAACTTAAAGACCAGAATTAAATAGTGTCAAATGTTCAAGTGTGCGTGCTTTCCCTGTATAAGGCTTTCTAACGACTTCATTCTTCCAATCTCACAAATATATTTATATGCGAGAAAGTATGTAAGGTATTCAATTTATGGAGAATGTCACGCTACTATATTCTCAAGCATTACATAGCGTAACAATTTACAATATATAATTCTTCAGGCCGGAGGGAAGGAAGAATAGTCTCGGAATTCTATTCATTCTAATCAATTAGCGGCTTCACCTATAATTAAAACCCGCACTCGTCCTCTCTTTACTCCAAAATATTAATGGTCGTCCTCATCCCGTCCATACTGATGAGTTTTTGTTGGTGGGTGCTCTAAACCGCAGCGTGACTGGTCCACCTACAATTTGAGAAAACAATCCGACTTTAGTTAACCGTAATTAATTAGTCTCTAATGATTTCGAGTGGGAAAGGTAAACCAATTTCCGGGAATTTATGACCGTTTGATTAAATATGTGGAAAACGTGAGGGCGACGAAGAAAGTGTTCTTTCTCTAAATAGGTGACATCTAATTCTCCTTTAATAAAGAAACACTGGGAGAACGAAAGTATCGTTGGTCTTGACAATACGTAGTACACGTTAAGGTACTGGTAGTTGCACGTAGGGATGAGGTCCACTGCCGTGCTGCGGTGGTCTGTGGGGCCTTTGCGGAGAGGAGAAAGTGCATTAAAGGATATCTATAACTGTCGACTCGAGATTTTTTACAACTGCGGAAAAGCTGTGGGCAAATCTCTTGTTCATTCCGGTAATAATGGTGGACGGGGGAAGTCGAAGAAAGAAATGGACAAGGTGAGAGTTAAGTGGGTGAATGGTGTCCATGGGCTCAGGCAGTTAAGAAAGAAGAGCTCTCTCCCTTCCTGCTGGAGATGGATGGAAGAGAAAGTAGGTTCTTTTCTCTCATCTCCAAGGCATCGTGCAAGTCGGATGGGTCGGAGGAGCTGCTTGGTAAATATAGACACAAGAGTACTACGGCTACTACCATATGCAGCTAAAAATAGAAGAACTATGCGAGTCGGGCCAGATTTTTCATCCGTTGTTGCCCCACCGCCACTTCCGTCGCCGCAAGCAAGTCTTCAACTGCTATTCTCTAAGATTTGACCTATGGCTCACTGGAGAGGGTGATGAAGGTATGTCGTGGTATCTATAAATCTGTGTCCTCCGTTTCGCAAGCACTCTCTTTATTCCAACGACTACCATAAAACAGTCTGGCACTACATTTTACAGATAAAACTCAGTGGAGATACTACGCTGGACAGGATGAATCACGACACTTCGCAACTGAGTTATATAAAAATCGAAGGTTTAAGACAAGTTCTTGCTTGCTGATGCATGTGGACATTTTTGGGTGGGAGCAATGTATCAAAACTAATAAGATTGTACTTTTTTGTTTGTATAATTTTCACTTGCTCATTTGCTCAGTTTGTGTAATACCTCTGCTTTCACTAATATGCGTTATTACTGCTTAATTAATTTTAACCAATTATAAGTCATTTACATAACTCACCAATGAATAAGGATTACATTTTTTAGACAAACTAAAAATTCTGATTTTGAGAGATTTTTAATTTAGGTAAAGCAAGTAAGCCCGCTTTGCCATTAATTATTGTATTGAAGCTTTTCCGTGAGTAACATTAAATGCGAATTTAAACTACTTTATGTAAAGAATTATTCATTGAATAAATTATAACTACTTTATGATGCGAAAAATGGGTGCAATTCGCTTTCATGTGGAAGAAATGTCTTTCACCACAAATCCCATCGAGGAATTTTGTTACTGCTACATACACATTCTACTCGGGCTGATACTTTCCACCTCCGCAAACCTGGATGTTTGGATTTCTGACTTGATGATGGCTTAGTAGAGCTACACACATACAGCAGAGATTGCCGAAGAATGTGATGGCTTTCCAAACTTTTAAACCTTTCCTTTAGGATGTGATGGCTAAACTGTAAGCCCTTTTAAACAGCTCTTCCTTTCACCCCACTTAATCCATAAATAATGAGAAAACTCGAATGCTTGGCTTGGGTTAAAAAACGAGATGATGGACATCCAGCAGAATACTTTTAAACAACGTCGACGAAAGTACTTCCACACAAGTATGGAATATTACTTGCTTTGCTGTCATGTTTAGCTTATATTTCTCTTACCTGGATTCAAAGATCAATTCTTTCCTGTTGATGACACGATTCACATGTGGATTCGAGGTGAGAGAGCTTTCAAAGAAATAAGTGACAGATTTGCAGCACTTTTGAAATCAAACTCTACTTTCTTTCCCCTCAAGTCAGCAAAAGTGTGATTTGCTATCACAATTTCTGAGGAGTACTGGCCTGAAAGTGTGATTTGTCTCAGCAGCCGCTGGCGAGTGAGTGTCGGAGAGTGAAAGTTGGTTGTTGCGTGAGTCGAGGGAGCAAATGTGTGACTGGCACAAAAGCCGTCTCCTCTTCACCCTTTAGTAGTGTGGATAGTAGCAGGAGCAGAGTACGAAGGGAAAGCAGAAGGAGGAGCAGAGGACAACGAAATCTAGCTGGCTGGCTGGACGGATGGGTAGAATTGAGGAAAATTGAGAGAAATTTTGGAATTCCTACGAAACACCGAGGTAGCAAAAGTATGGGATCTCTGCCTGGCGGATGGTGGAAAGTTGGTCGGGAGAAATGTTCAAAGAACGGATTGTGGAGTAGCATGTATGTATGTAGACGAAGACTGTGTGACTCTCAGCTTTATTTTCCCCGTCACCTACGCGTCCCCTTTATATTTTACTTTCACCACCATTTCTAAACTTAACCCCGTCTGGAGTTAACCATGTGGCTTTCTATTATTTTCTTCTTCTTGACTTTGCAGAAAGACTTTCCAATCCAAAGAGTTGTTTATTTTTACAAACAAATGCTAGTTGCTTTTACTCTGCGTGAATATACATAGGAGAGTCTAATTTTAAAACTAACCGTTTTCTTAAGACAGCATGGTATTCGCTAGTACAAGGGCAATTTCGCGTAACTAAAATTCCGCTTAACGAACGTTTGAAACTCTTTCAACTCTTTTATTGTTTGTTCCAAGAAATTCCAGTAGTTGAAAGGAACACAGAACGGAATATTTTCAACCAAGTATTTGATACACATTCCAGTGGGTGGGTATGAGTAGCGTACAAATCGCAAAGGCTTGAGGAGGATTTGTTTGGTCTAGTTGTAGGTTTTGAATGTAAACTAAAGTTGAGAATGCGATTCAGTGCAGTTGGACTGTGCCCTAGTTTCGATGGTTGAAGGGAATTTTGTTGTAGTAGTTTAAAATGCAAACCTCGAATCCATATAAGACATAGATTAGATATATGTACATGCATGGTAAATTACATACCTATGTATGTACATATACACAGCATATCAACATGCATGTACGTATGTATTCATGTATGCATATCCGTGGTAATGGGTATGTGCATCTGAAACTGACTGGACTACATTTGGCAGAGTTCTTCATGTCCCTTCTCCAAAATGTGTATGTTACATATGGATGAATATCTCCGTTTGTAACTTCCATTACCATCCTCACTTTTCTTGCCCAACTTTCGTTTAATCTGGCTCAGATTTCCATTTCATTTCTCGGCAAGCTTGTGCTTCCTGCTGCAAAGGGACTGCTCCGTCACACGTTTTATGCATACGGACACGAGGACCACGACGCCACGAGAGATATCCCTCCTTCTTTTTCTGCATGCGCTTTCTCCGTAGGATGAACTGGACTGGACTCACACTGACTATCACTATCGCGTACGTAGTAGAAGTCGTAGTATTACATAAGCAGTAGGCCCACCCTTTGTTTCCTTCCCCTGCTGCGGAAGTCGAGGTGGAGAATTACAAAGGGTTTGAAAAACTCGGTTGGGCCACTCTGAGCAGCAACTTTTGGGAATTGAGTGTGGGCTGATGAAGGTGTTTTAATTATACAAATGGGGAAATTCTGCAACTATTGTAAGACCGATGCATCAAAGTCTGGACGGGTTGACGTTGCACATTTTTATGTCAAGCTTGTCTGACATGCTAACTTTTATATATTCCTATTTAAAATTTGCGTAGACATATTTATTTGAGATATTTAAGTCAGCCATACCCTTCAAATTCGAGATGTTATTGTTACAATCATTGAACCAACTCACATATACCTGCAAGTCTGTAAACACATGAATACTGCAGACTCCCCTCAAGCTAAACTCGTCTCTTTCCATAAAATAAGCCGAAATGGAATGAGGCGCAGTAAAAGTCAATATCAAAAATTCACACGAGTGCATGAAAGCAAAGCACTCCTCGACAAACATTGTTTAGTCGGATTCCATCCAGTGAAAAGGAATGAAAGGGGTCGAGTATGTGATAAGTCTTATTTATTTTAAATTACAATTCATTTGGATCACCTCAGCATTGCAGATTTAAATTTTTTATGAGCACTGCAGTCTACAATGGCATATATACAGATATAGTTTAACAAATTATATACTTTTCCTCCCTCTTTTCAACAGTCTTATGATGCAGTGTCCATACTTAGAAGAAGCAGGGAAAGGTACGCATTATGTTGTATTCATTCGGATGATTTTCTCTCATCTCCGCCTTTGGGGGAAAGATGATGCGAAGTTGGAGACGAGGAGTTGAGAAGCTGACGGACAGGGAGACACACTTTTGCTCTCTTTTTGTAGCCAGACGGGTTTTGTGAATCATAAAAAGACAACTTCTTTTCCGTAGTCCAAATCCAATCCACGCCACACGTTCCCAATTGCTCCCCTCTGGTTGAACGTGTTGGTGTGACGGTAAAAGCTCAAGCTTTCTCCGGATGAGTTTGAGTATCATCCAGGAGAGTTCTTGGGAGAATTCCGCGATCCCTCTCCGCCTAGTAGCTCACTCCCTTTAGTGGGCTTCAGACTCAAATTTGATGAATGTGGAGGGGAGAAAGCAGGACGTCATTGTCGTGCTGGAATCCACCCCTTTGAAATTATATTTATTTGTCATACCCACCGAAAAAGTGACGACGACTCGGCGTCCTGCAAGAGGTGAAAACTGTTAGAAATTTCTAACAGTCAACATTGTTTTCTCATTAAAACAACTGGCATTTTTCCTTGAGATAAACTTATCTGCCGGAAGTATTTAAACTGAGGAAAGATGAAAGACAAACGTTGGTCTTGACTAAATCTTATATATTGCTTTAAGTAAGTTTAGGCATCGGCTGTGTTATAGTTGATCCAAAGATGCGAAACCCATCGATTCATGCGCACGGTGGTAGTGCACGCAAACTCGGGAGAAAGCCGAAGATCTCCCCAATGCACCCACCAGTCTCTCTCAAGCAGCAGCCGATCCTTTCTCTCGCTGACTGAGCTGCGACTCTTGAGTGAGAACGGAAACGATGCCAAAGTGTAATAGAGAAACACTCGTCCAGTCCACTTCAAACCCACCACCACCGCCCCGAGAGAAAGCAGATGTACACGCACCGATGCTGGACTTGCTTTCTCCTCCCTTCTTAAATCCATCAATAGCATTATTATTACAGCACGTGTGGGGCAGTCACAGATTTCATCCTGCACACCCTACTTTCTTCTCTTTCGTTGTGAAACTGAAATTTGTGACTGGAGTTCGTAAAGAGTTAGCTTAGGAAAGAAAAACATTGAGGGAAATGTTTAGGTCAATCTAATACGGCTCATTAGAATATTCGAAGCTGAGTTTGTGCATCTGGCTTAAATAGGTACCAGGCCAGTAGTTGCCGCAATCAGATTACTACAATTGACAAAATTTTGACAGTCATGAGAGATGAAAGGAGAGAGTGGGAGAAAGTAGAAGTGTGGGAGTCAGGTTAAAGCCCGGGTGAGTGTAATGCCCGCCTGGGTCTCTTTTTTTTTACTTCTTGAACTATTTAATGGAAAATCGATAACCGGAGGGAAGAAGTTGATGCTTATGTTTTTTATATTTGTGCACTAAACGCCAATTTCTACGAGACAGCCACCACTCAACTTCAACCTTGGTTGCTTTGAATCTCGTTCACATAGTCAGTCAGTAGTGGTGGTGCAAGAGAAGAGCAACAGGACACTTGAGTCTTCTTGGTCGTATAAGACCCCACTTAATGTGTTTGTTTTCACCTTTTCACAACTTATTCTTTGTTTGCGATAAACCACCTGCGTCTCATTTAGTCTTCACTCCTCATGAACAAACCAAGCTCTTCATGGGTATAATAGATCGCTTCTAAATATGTTTCAATGATAATGAACAAATAAAATTCATGAAATGAAATGACATGGAATGAATCATTAAATCAACACTTCAAGATGAAATTGAAAAAGACGTTATAGGTGTCCGATTGTTTCTTATCCATGCTATGTATAAAAATAAAAACTCTCTTTGAGACCAACCAGATAGGTGCCAAACTTTCTGAAACTATAAAATAGTTATGTATGTATCTCGCGCGTCATTCACATGAAAAATTACGCTTGCTTTTTAATGAATAAGAATAATAATGAATAAAAATTCCTCTGCATTGATTCTTTCTTTCTCCATGTACTTACCCTCACCGGAAATTATTGTGTTCCCTCTTCATATTTTATCCGTACAGGTATGAACATGGTGGTCCTACTGTATTATGCATGCATGTTGTATGGCAAATAAATCATCAGTCATTCACTGCACTCAGTTTCAATCCTTGGAGACATGACACTCGTTGCCAATCCGAATCCCAAGCACGTGTGTCTTGGAATATTATGCCTCTGAATATTAAAATATCATCACCTAGCTCAGTCAGTCTCAGTTTTCCAGTCCTCCTTCACCGAGATGAGCACAAGAGAAAGAAATTCTTCAGAGATTTCAGTAACTGTGACGAAGGAAATGAATATCATTGATTCTGATGCTGGCATCAACAACTGAACTGTCGACGTCGGTGAACTGTCGACGATATGGACTTTGGGAAAGTATTGGAAGAGTGATTTTGGTGAGTGAGTATACCAGAGGGTGAAAGAGAGGTAGGCGATATTTCCAATCCTCTCGCTTTGGAATGATAACATGAAACTCCAAACATCAGATATTGACTTGCTCATACCATTACAGGTATACATACTGACTGTATTTTGACAGACAAATCGGGATTAAAATAAAGTAACTATATAAATTGGAATGCATTGGTGTAGAAATTATGTGTTTGACCATTTTTCTAGTTATAACCTCCATAGAACATGACATATGCCCTCTGTCTGACCAGAGACCTCCGTTTGCCCTGAATATTTTTGGCTTTACAGACAGAAGGCATGTCATCGATTTCCACTTTCTCCTCGATATGCATAAGAGCCAGATCCAGTAGATGATATACAAAAGATATGATATACACATGAATGTGTCAACTACATTCACCCAACTCGACACTGAGTGCACTTTCTCCAAAGAGGACAATCTAGAAAAAAACTCACATTGTCACATTCAATGTCATGCTTCAACTCCGTCCCACTCGGGAGCAACGCTGCATGATAAGAAAAACATACTTTTTCAAGGTTTCTGTTTCCAAAGTCAAACGATGAAATGAAAATGGTGACAGCTACATTTTCCTAAATTAGTACTGTATTTACATACATAGACAGTGTTCAAATATATGTGCTTTCAATTTATTTTTATGTAAAGTTGAATAGAATATTTTGATTTCATTTGTGTAAACGTCAATGGTAGATCAATCATGAAACTGGTGTGCAAGTTGGCAAACGCTCAATTTTGCATAATTTATAACTTGTTGGAGAATTTCCAATTCAAGTGACTGCTTAACACATGCAGGGATTCCCAATGAATCATTCGCAAAGTAATTAGTTTCGCCTTTATCGTGTCCTGTGTAAACTCACAACCGGGCGCTCATCCTGTTTTGTTTAATGAACAAAAACCATGCCTCGCAAGCCATTCAAAACATAGATGCATTGATGCCAATTGTTAAAGCTAACTGGTCAAAATCATAAATAATAAATCCGAACTGAAAGAAATCCGTAAACTTTATTTAGAAAGATTTATGTACATGAAGTGTTAAAGGAAAAAATTTAAAAATTCTACTAGAGGCTAATAAAACAAGAGAAAGTGCAGAGAAAGTTTTTGGGTATGAAAATACATGCAGAATTATTGTTCATATTGTTTCATGGAGGATTAAGTGCGTGGTCAGCTAGAACAATTTAAGGAGTATTATTGATATAAATATTTTTTATTTTGTGGTGGAAATGAGGTGAAGAAGAGAAAGTGTGAGAAAGGGAAGCCGAAAAGGGGAGCTGCGAGTGTGGGGAAAGCAATCACAGAAAAGACGAATTGAGCAATCAATCATGACGAGGCCATAATCTAATCCCTCGCAGCCACCAGCACTGCATTTCACACTTGTGAATTTCTCAACAAATTATTGCCCCATCTATTTACTCCACTGCTTCGGCTGCCTCTCTTCTCCTCGAAATGGGACAAATATTCTCTTTTCTCTGGAAATAGGCACTTTCTTCTCGCGTTTTGAGAGCAACATTTACGATCTACTGCGTAGTTAAGCAGTTGTCTGCATTTTCTGTCATATAAGCCTGTCGACGAGTGGTCGACGACGACGAAAATGAATTCCGTATACATAGGTGCATTATTTGTCTGTATATCATCGTCAGGGTCTGCTTATTCCTTAGTCATGCTTCTTAATATTTATGAACAAAATTATTGCACAGATAATTTGATGTGAAGTAGCCGACATCTTCTTGGGAAAATAATTAATTAAGTTATCAGGCTGGATATCTGCGCCCTATCCGTGTTATTTCTTATTTCCCAATTGCGTTATGCCACATGTTGGTATTATTGTTATTATGGCGAAATATGTAAGTAAGTAATTGGAATGGAATAGAGAGACGGATGAGAGAGACGAGAAAAAGAAGAGTAGATTTATTTCTATCCATTTCATGAAGAAATTGATCACGATGGAAAGGAGGACACTCATGTCGTCGCCTCACATTGCAAATAAAAAGTCGTATGTCAGACTCCATATATCGATAAATATATAGTGATAAATGGATTGGATGAAAGCGTCATCAGTTACCACTGAGTCATGAAATGGCCCAAGACAGATTATGAAATGAATGTTTTTTTTACTATCTGGCTGTCCAATCCAGTAGACTGGGAGAAAACTAGCCATGTAGTGACGGCATATCAAGTCTACTAGATTATTTTTCTTTGGTAGGCACAAGACTTGTTCTGAGGCACAGAAATCAATCCCTTCTTGAGCAGAACAACCACAACTACTAATGGTATGGCTCATCGGTCCATTTCCAAGGAGAAAGAATGTGGGAATCATGAGAATTCATTCTCCTCGTCTTCTTCGCCATTATTGCAATAGACGACTAGAGGAGAATAGGCACGGGGAGGAAGGGATGTACAACTGTCAGAGATCCTCCTATGTATGATGTAAGCCTTTGAGATTACGACGGAAACATGGCTTTCTCCCACCATCCATACTTCTGACTGAACACTCTGACACCAAATAACTCAACTTAAACCTAGCTTTTCGTCTAGCTTCTCTAAATAAGGGACAGAGAGATGCTTAATGTGATAACTTCATAGGTTCCCGTTCCCTGACCTGTGTCCAACAGAAATGCAGAAAGTAAATCTGGCATGTTTTAGAAATTCTCAAAGCAAAGTGGACATATACAATTCTAAAAGTTCTCCAACATCATGTCTCCGTAATTAATGGTTCCTCACGGCGTGCACAGCTCATTCTAGACCCCACTACGCGATGAGAATCAGTAGAGAGGAAGTCAAGTGAAAGTTGTTATTTTGAACAAAACAAGCGATGACACATGGCCGAGTACGGTCAGTGGTAAAATAACAATAATATATATCGGTGGAGACTTTTCCTTTGTGTGATGACTGCTTTCGAACCATGTGAAAAGGCTGAACACGATTACTTCAAGGCCTATTGGATTTTCGTTGGTGGGATTGACACACATAAAGTATGGTTCTTTGAGTAGAAGACAACACATGTGGCTTTTGGAGACAGGAAGCGAAATCAAAAGAAGCAAGTCAAGTCAACCAATCAACTCAAATAAACTTTCACCTAAACTCATTTCGTTGTTCTGCTGCCTGGCAAAAAAACGTTCCTGCGTATGTACTTATCTCAAGGGACTTGTTCTTGTGCTTCAGCTGTAGTATACACACTACATACGTATATTTGTTATTATTTTTGGGTCTGCAGTGACATTATTTTATGCTGAACTAATGACTCCCACCATTCAAAGAGACAATAATTTAAAGTAAGCTAGCATATTACGTAACCACTAAAAAATGTTATTATGACATACGAAATAAATACTCTGGTGTGCATAAATTTTCGTATATAATTTATACGAGAAATTGTGTGTGGTGGAAAAATTGATTGCTGACAATAAGGTTTAAACCCAAGGTAAACAAAAACAAAGATTTGTTTAACTTAAACGTTAACTCGAACTACTATAGATCAGATAAATCAACCGGATCAACTCCAACACATTTGTGTTCAGCTTCTTGCTCGACTTTGTCGATGCGTTGAAGAACAAGTTCGTCAACGTTCAAATTGGCCCAATGTACGGGTTCTGCCTTTTTCAACTTGATTTCCACTTTCATTGGCGTCATATGTGCGGACGATAGCTCAGGATTAATAATCTAAAAAAACACCATTCAAAGTTATTTGCATCAATCATGGTGTGGATCAAACAATATCGTCGAAATCCTTACCCCAGCTAATATCCAATTCTCCTGAAATAGTGAATTTTCTTCAGGAAACGACAAGTCTACGCACAATTTGACACCGTTCACTTTTACATGAGACTTGGACGGATCAAATTTCTTTCCACCGGCGTATACCACAACATGGACGTGGGATCCATCTTGGTGCCAATCATATCGACATTTTATCATTTTAGAGCCTCCGTCACCAGCCTTGTCCTCATCGCTAGGTTTCACCCATAAATGAGACCCCGTCTGACATCCTTCTTGTTTCATGAATACATCAAAATCAGTGGTTCGTTTAACACAACAAGACCAATATTTTGAGCCTTCGTGAAATATAGGTACGCCTGGATGAAATTTACATGTCTCCGAATCGGTTTGGGGGCCCTCGTATTTCTGTTTGGTAGTTATTATTATCATAGTCAATAGTATTTCATAAATACAGTGTTAAATATTTTGTATTTACTATTACCACTTTGCAGCCTTTATTAACACATTGGGTAATACCAGCTTTTATTTCTACTCCATTGTCAGTTGAGTTTCCGTCGTCTGACTTTCCATTTTGGTCATAGGTCTGCTTCTTTAAGCTTTCAGACAACGTTATTTGAATTGTGGTCTGAAAATGAAAAATTTATTGCCAACAGAGTCAATACAAGCCGAAATAATGCTAACCGACTTATGCTAACCGTGATGATGGAAACCATACCAGAGGCGATTCCATAGACGGTCTCTGCTTTTGTACATATTTTGGCTTACGAACTTCTATAACTTCCGTGACTTGTTCCACCGCTTTCTTTTCCGGCTCTGGAGGTTTAACATTCGAATGATAGCCCGTGGCACAGCCCTTCATGCCCAAAAACTCTTGAAAGTCGATGCATTTTCTGCAACAAGTCCACCCCTTGTAGGCATCATGGAAAAAGGGTTCGCCGGGGTGAAATCGGCACGCATCGAATCCATTTTCGGATTCCTTGAACTCCTTTCCGCACCCACGATTGTAACAAAGCAGCTTAGGTTCATCCGCCCCCGTAGAACTCATTCTACTTCCAATTGTTGCAACGAATGAGATCCAACAATTCTAATTTTAAATTGCAAATGAAAGTTTCATTATGAAACACGAACACAAGATATTAAAAGTGCAAGTGTAAATGATGAAAATATTGAACGCACACTCCTTCTCTTACCAAGTAAGAAGCCCTCACTCACTTTCACCTCTCTCCACAAAAGAACTGTTACTTTCAATTTAATTGCTATAATAATTACTCTTGGTCACAAAGGTTGATAAAAAGTATAGAATATAGAAATTTCGAGAATACAGAGAAAGCGACAGTGATAAAGATTCCAAGAGCCCATTCCCCGCGTTGGTCTCACCTGCTCCACAGCTGAGGGAGAACACAAACTCACTTTTCATCCTCGGCAGAACACGAAGGGTGAACAAAATTTCAAAAATTCTGAATCACTAGCTGGGGCATGTTTATCTCCAAATTGCTGCCTCTGGGCAGACTTGCCCTGCGAGCTGGGCCTGGACAACGGCATTTTATTTCCACCTCTTCTAAAAGAATGAGCGATGCTCCGTAAGCCAATATTTGTATAAACATTGATTTTCATAATTAAAAGAACAAAACATCAGAGAATTTATATCATTGTATTTTTATTCTTTTGACAGGTGGACTTACCGAGAGTTCACACTGGCAGATAAAAAATATGAGATATGGGCGGAAGCCGTTGGGGCCATGATGTGGTGGTGGGTCTTTTGGCATCTATTCTCCGACTATGAACATTTAATTGTAAGTAAACCCATCAAACAATTACTGACCGAGTCTGGGTGTGGTCGACAGTGGTTGTACCTTGTTTGAACGTTTAATATAAATGTAAAACGTTCACAATGCTTGTTATTAACAAGTCGTTAATAACATGTATCTTAAAATGTGAAATGTCGGAACCGGATCCATTTACAAATGAATTTAAAGAGGTAATCGTTCCTGGGCAGACAGATATGGCGGTTCCATAAGTTCAGGAAGATAACAATAAGATGAAATAATCATAACGATCAAATGTTCCGGCGTTATATGTTCATTCTTAACTGGTTGACTTATATTTATTTTCAGGGCGAGAAAAAGTTTATTTATGCAGAGACTTGGACAGATGAAGAGCTAGGAATTCCCCCTGATGATGCAGACGATCCAGAATAATTCATACTTTATAGTCAATTTAGTTATGTACAAGTCGCGTAAATTACGTAGAATTTTCCCTGCCAATTGTAGATATTAATACTTATTAATACTTATTCTACATGAAGATGTCAACTCGAGGGATGTCCTCAGCCCAATATGCAATATGAATGAATCCAATTAAATTGAAATCATAACTCTAAAATAAAATGCATAATGCTGTTCGGTTTGTTAAACGAGTCCTTTAGTACACAATCAAAAAACACATTGAATTGCTCTCTACAACATTCTGTAATTTCAGTATTGGCCCAGTTTTCGTGTAGCACGGGGGGTACCACCCAAATGGCATAGCTATTAGTTATCCATATCACTGCAGAAAAACTATTACGCATACGGGTCTCATGTAAAATGTATTTAAAACTATTCCGAAGAGTTGTCGAAAATAGCTTATCGCACAAAGATAACCAACAATTGTAAAAAAATGTTACTAATAATCTCATCTCATTTGTAATATTATCACGGAACGAAAATGAGACATGGATGAGACAGAGAGAGGGCTGAGACGAGACGTTGCGTGTGGTGGTGACATAGAAGAGAGCGTTGCGGAGTTGAGGGAGAGCCCAAATTGCCTGCATGCGTGGTGGTGCCGATTCTCCATCTCGACTTGCTCATCAGAGGAATAATAGTTCTCGCAGCAGTTTTACCGAATATATTCCCAAATTTCCATCATGGCCGCCACCGTAAGTGTTTTCGTTACACCCACCATCACCTCCGGAATGAGACTTTCGACTAGTTCAATAGTCAAATTAAATTGTGAAATATTTTCATGTAGATTAGAAATTCTAAAATTAGTTTCATATTCTAATTTAGAATATGAAACTAATTTTACAAATTTAATACCGACTGACTGATGTCAAGTCATATTTAGAAATACCTCATTTGAAACTCAATTAATTGAATCCTTAGACATTATTATTATTAAATATTAGATAATTATTAAATACTCTAAGATTGAATCCTTTTGATTTATTTTGTGTAGAAGGCAAAGGCTGCTCCAGCCGCTAAGGATGGAGTAAAAAAGGACAAATCCAAGAACCCCATGCGAGATGTGAGGATTCGCAAATTGTGCCTCAACATTTGCGTTGGAGAATCCGGAGATAGATTGACTCGTGCCGCTAAGGTCCGCATACTTATTTTAAAATTCTTAACAATTCATGATGTTTTATTATTTTGCTATGCGGAACACTATCAATAGATTACTGAACATCTGAATTTATTTACTAGGTGTTGGAACAACTCACCGGACAACAACCCCTGTTTAGTAAGGCTCGATACACTGTCAGATCCTTTGGAATTCGAAGGAACGAAAAGATTGCTGTCCATTGCACTGTCCGAGGAGCCAAGGCAGAGGAGATCTTGGAGAAGGGATTGAAAGTATTGCGATAAATTGTTAATTATTCATGCTTATGTTTTAAGGTTCACATTCTAAACTACACATGAATTTGATTTGTCTAGGTCAGAGAATACGAGTTGAGGAAGGATAACTTTTCCGATACTGGAAACTTTGGCTTTGGTATCCAAGAACATATTGATTTGGGCATCAAATACGACCCTAGCATCGGTATCTACGGTCTAGATTACTACGTCGTCTTGGGTAGACCTGGCTTCAACGTGTGTCACAGGCGACAGCGGACCGGGAAGGTCGGATTTGGTCACAGGCTTACGAAAGAGGATGCCATGAAATGGTTTCAACAGAAAGTATGCAACGCTATATAATATTTGAATTTGTGTATTAGAACTATGCATAGAGAATGCAACTCAGAACTGGCACTTTTTCGACATTCAGTTCAAGGCACTATCATTTGTCTTTGAACCGAGGTATTATATGATGCCAAGTGCAACATTAAGTATTTTGTAATTGCAACTCACTCTCACATGTTCGTCCTGAGCGTGATACTTGACAAATGACAATTTTTACATCAAATCCTCATGAATTAGTCCATCTTCATTTTCAAAATAAGATGCTAATGTTTCCCTTCTTTCTTTCAGTATGACGGTATCATTCTATCCGGGAAAGCCAAGAAGTGAGAGGAATCTGTCGGATATGCTATCTACAAAATCTTTTTATTCTTTGTTGTTTGGCAGTGACCTCACTCGAATAAACATTCGTAAAAAAACTTATACCGCAGTTGTAGAAGTCTAACATATTTTATTCGTCATTTGCATAAATTAGTTGTACTATAATGATTCTTTCATACGGCTTTTTCCACGGACTTTCTCTTGCGAGTAAGAGTGTGGCTGTGGTCGCTAGGTGGCGCAATGATACGTCAGAGCAGTGGAGAAGGTGAGAAAGCATCGAGAGTACGCGAACTCCGCTCAATTCACAAATCTCGAGTCATTCTTCTCTCTCGCCTTCTCCTCGTTGTTTCTTGGTCTCTCTTCCGCTCTGAACTTATCGTCCACAACCACAGCGACGCACTCACCAAGTGGGCCCCTGTTCGAAATCTCAAGAAGAGGTGGAGGTGCGTAGGAAGGCCAGTCATCCACGACGTTGACAAGTACCCAACAGCACAGACCTAACTTGAAGCGGGGTTGCAAAAGGTGAGTTGCGGCGGAGGACGTTGTAGATTTTTGTTGGTAACTTTTATACATTTGGTATACAAATGTTTTGTCTTTGATAGAAAAAGTATAGAGTTTACTTCGACTGAATCTTCAAATTAACACGTTGTGATTGGCAGCTTCGAATTCACAATCTACCGTCAACATGATTGTCACACTCAAGAATTTACAACAGCAGTCATTTACAATTGAAGTAGATGTAGAAGACACGGTAAGTGAGCAACCGAAAGTATGTAATAATGATGTTTGGAGCTTTTCATTACTATATTAAAATGTTGACAGGTGAAATCGCTGAAGGAGAAGATTGAAGCTACAAAGGGTTCAGAGTATCCAGCAGATGGACAAAAGCTGATTTACTCTGGGAAGATTTTGGCTGATGAGAAGCCATTGAAAGGTTAGTAAAAAATAATTGACAAAAATATTAGATATAATATTATAGGAAATATAAAAAATAGATATCTCCAAACCATTTTGCTATTATTAGTTTATTTTACTAAAATACAGAATACTCCATTGATGAGAACAAGTTCATTGTGGTGATGATCACCAAACCAAAGGTTGCGTCTTCATCAGTCCCCACTCCAGCCCCGGTGTCAACCCCTGCAACAGAGACGAGCACAGCCGCGAAGCCAGTGTCTACCCCAGCTGCTGCTGCTGTCACGACTGCGGCCACTCCCACCTCAGAGAGTGCACCACCTCCGGCGGCTGTAACCACGCCAAGGTTAACATTATATAATAATTCTAGCAACATTCTAGTCTTAGTCTTAAAACCGCACTTAAAAATTCCTTCCGCGAGAAATTTATTCGCTGTAGAGCCGAAAAGTGCGCAGATTAAATCTTTTGGGACGGCTCAATTCTTTTCACATAAGAAATGAGTATCAAATACGAAAGAAACATTTACTTGATAACTTCCTAAGACAAAAATTATAACTTCACATTTTTTCCATTGTCACACCATTCGATACTGGCTAAAATAGTCCCTCTGTGTCAATCTTACAGTGCTGGAGCTACTGGGGGAGGTTTGTCAGTTTCGGGGCCAGAGTTTGAGAGGACTGTTGAGCAAATTATGCAAATGGGTTATGAAAAGGCTGAAGTGGAACGAGCTCTCCGTGCATCGTTTAATAATCCCGATCGAGCTGTTGAGTACCTTTTGAATGGGATTCCTCCTGAATTGTCGCAGGTGATTATTGGTTATTGATTTGTAAAATTCCAATTACTATAAAAGAAAATATTGGTCCCATTTAGGAAGAAGCAGTAGCCAATGTCGGTGCTCCTGTTGCCGCTAGTGGAGTTGGAAATGAAATAGGTGGTGAAAGTGGACCTCTGGGATTTTTACGATCTCAGCCTCAGTTTGAACAAATGCGGCAAGTTGTGAGAGAAAATCCACAGTTGTTAAATGCCGTTTTACAGCAAATAGGTGAGTCTACTTGTATTAGTGCGATCACGGCGTTGTTATTTTGAAAATCATTTCATGACCAACGTCCACGGCTACTGCCTTTATTATTATTATCCTGTTGCTATTATTCGAAGCAGGGTGCCAACAACTTTCTGTTTAGCATCAAAGCCGTCATATAATAGCACACTTCTTATACAAGAAAGAGATTGACGTGCAATTTGTTAGTAAAATTTATATTTCTTTAATGAATCCTATCTTAATACAACTAAGAGACTTTTAAACTGTCCTCATTTTTTAATTGTCAGAAATTTAAAATATTGATTCCCCTCTCTCTGTCCCTGTCTAACTGTGGATTATAAAAACATTTGCACGCGGATATACAAATAATACTAATATGTATATAAATACCATATTACTTTACAAATAGGCCAAACCAATCCAGCTCTTCTTCAAGTCATTTCAGAAAACCAGGTAATTGATAACGTGAGATTTACGTTAGATGTTTTTGTACGTATAATTGTATCATCTTTTGTACGTGTAGGAGGAATTCGTCCGGTTACTAAATGAGGATTCCCCGCCGTCGTCTTCGGGCTCATCAACTGGTAGCGTTTCACGTGACCCAGCCAGTGGTGGTTTCCAGATTGCAATTACCCCTCAAGACAAAGAAGCTATTGAAAGGGTGAGTCAATTAGAACACGGGTTGTACGGGTTACACTTCGTGGCACTAATGGCCAGTCTTCATAGTAATATATTGAATATCTGAATAATCTTTTTCAGTTGAAATCACTAGGATTCCCTGAGCACCTGGTTGTTCAAGCGTACTTTGCATGTGAAAAGAATGAAACACTTGCAGCGAACTTCCTTTTGTCTGGCGATGATGATTGACTGACACAAAATTCTTGCACACTGAATCCATCGTTTACCTAGCTTACGAGATACCATGAAATAATAATAATATAACAGTACATACAAACCAGTAATTCTTACCTAAAATGTCTCCGTATCGGTTACGAACCTAGGGTTTGATTGTTTGAATACATTAAATATTGGCTAGGATTTGGATTGCGATCCAAACAAGAAAAATATATATTATTATTGTTATCTATAATGTCATGTTGTAAATTATTGGTTTTGAAAGTGCCACGTGAGCTCACGACCTGAAAAAAGTTTTAACTACGATGTTTTGCTGTAAATCAAACTAACAATTTATTCTTATTATTATTTGGTGTAGTCCAAATTGAGGACAAAGTGATGATCTATTTGCTTTATATATGAAAAATAAACATCAAATCTAAAGCTCGCATCAGTTTAGTAATTATATTGTATTTTTAAATCGATTGAATTGAGTTTGTATATCGGTAATTAATATCATACCATTATCAACCACCTCCAAATTAATTATTTTCAGTTACACCTACTGCCGTTGTAGTTGTCGCCACAATCCATACTGTTTGGGTACCTTGGGAAATTCTTTTAAAGTTTTTCTCTGGCGGAGGGTCAGTTGGAAGGATTGTGGACAATATATCATCCATTGGGTAGTCATACATTTCGGCTCTTTTTATATTTTCTCGTACAATGTCTTGCTTGGTCAGTAATAAAGAAAATTTCATATCCTTAGATAATTTGGTAGCAGGTTTACTTTGACGTTTCGCCAGGGGGAGTCGATTCAACATGTCCTCCAGAGCTTTATTTTTTGTAAACGGATTATTCATTTCACAAGCCATTTTTGATGAAGTTGGACATTCCTCTTTGTTAGCTGCACCAACTTCGAGAGTAACGTCTGCGCATTCATTAGATTGGATGGGGAACGTAAATTTTCGGAAGGCAAAAGGAATAGACTGTTTTGTGTACAGATTACGCTCCCAGATTTTATACCGATGAAGAGCATACTCGACAAATTCACTGGGTGTCAATCTCTGCAAATGTAGATCAGGGCAATCGTTCAGTTTTAGTTAGTTGAATATACCGATAAAGGATATTTTGAAAATTTGTATAAATTATGATAATTACAGAGATGAATTCATCATATCGTCTCATGTACAATTTCGTTTCGTGGTACAATTTCTTGGTGTAGTAACGCTGAACCGTTTCTGGTAGACTTGTCCAAGTAGGAGGAACAAAGGTCGGGTCTCTCCTCCTCTTTTTGGATACGTCATGGGTATACATACTTTTAGCGAACCTGAAATAATGAGTCAATAACATATAGGGTTATAGTTTGTAGATATTCAACCTACAAATGTTAAATAATATGTATTACTTCAATGGTGGTTTCGGTTCGTTTGGAAAACCTTGAAAAGAACGACGCTTGGTGTCGTGGAAGACAGAGGCTTTCTGAATGAAGACGTCCTAGAGAGACAAAATTATGTATACTGTGACGAATAAATCTATGCCGACTACGGTCATGTCCATGGTGTGCTGATGAATACAGATATAATTTGTTTTGGTCATTAACTGAACGAGTACCTGTTGCAGTGCAGGGAGACTTAAAAATGTTTTGATAATATCAATTCCCGTCTGTTCCAAGCTGTGTGAATTGACGAAATCAATCCAAACTGGGTCTGCTGCCACATACTTGGCGTAATAGTAATAGATAGAAAATTTTCCACCCATGGCTCGAGCGTCAAAAATGCCTCGGATACACTCTAAGATATCGTCTGCAAAAATTAAACGTTTCAGCGAATTAGGACAGGTAAAATAATACAGGATAATGAATAGCGATATGATGAATAACCGAGGTATCTTCTGGACGCAATACACACCAAATAAAAAGTTACACCAGTTTCCAAAATATTTTTCTCAACCCTTTTATTGTTTCTTTATTGCTATTATGTATATATTGAAAATATAAATCTACAATTATTCGATATGTTTGCAAGATTGAACAGGTCATTATTGTTAAATACTTGCGTAAATGTATAAATATTACTTTTGAGGTCACAGAAGATACCTCGACCAATTCATAACTAATTTGATGAAAACTAAATGGTGCATTTCCTACGTAAAACTACAGACGTAGTAGTATCAAACTCATTCAAATTCTGTAAGAGAAACTCAAGGAAAGTACTACTTTCGTATAAAATTGTACTTAAAAACTATTCATCTTTCTTTTTGTGAGGTCTATTTGAAACTTTTTAACTAAAATCCATGTTTACTCTTACTTTTGGTAATGGCATTGTGGTGAGGAAAATATTTCGTAGAAGGTTGTTTATACTGTCCTACAAATTCCGTGTCCAAAGTATGAACAACCTGATCCCCCGCAGATTTGATCATTATTTTACTATTCGATTGAGCTTGTTTTTTAGCCCTTTCCACAGTTTTTGTATATTTTCCCTTTTGAAGGATGTGGTAGGCGGGGTCCTCTGGATGATACGTTTCCCCATCGTCATCCTGAACGTCGTCGTCGTCATGCGTGCGCTTCTTTTTCTTTTTCTTCTTCTTGGAAGTAGGTGCTATAGATGCATCAGACTCTTCTGCTCTATTTAACTGTTCTCCTCCTGCCTCTCCTTCACTTTCCATTTCTGATCTTTCACGTTTCCTCTTTTTTGCTTTCTTAGATTTTGGGGCCGAAGAATAAACTACTCCATCTTCGGCTGTTATACAAAAATAAATTCCAGTTAAAAACAATGTAAATTTAAATGTGTGTTATCATCAGATTAAGATTATGTAATCATCAAATTGTGCATATCACACCTGTAATAAGGAGCTCATTTGGTTGCACGACTGGTGGTGGTAATGTGAAAGATTGGGTTACTGACGCTTTATCAACTTCAGCCAACATTTTTACAAATTTTTTACTCAAGTTTTTAAGACAAATTGATTTCATAAAGTCTGGTAGGTTGGCATAGTAGGCCTGTAGTTCCTTTTTGTATTCCACTTGGCACATTTTGAATTTCAGAGTATAGATTTCTTTATCGCATGCAGTCATTTCATTCCAATTGTCAATAGCTATTTGAGTTCGATCCTGTTTCGAAAGTTCTGAACTTTCTTCACTTGCAAGAAACCCATCCAAAAACATATCATATGCCGTACTCCAAGTGTTTGAGGGTTTACCATTTGCAGATTCCCAAATTGCGACTTCTTCTTTGGAAAGAAGCTGACTCATTTTTAAAATAGGAATATTATATCCGGGATGAGATATTTGATATTCTCTCGAATTCTCGATGTAAACCATGCAGTCTTGTACGCAATTCTCGATCCACTTTAACCGTTTTTTGAAGTTCCTTTTTGAATTTTTTGGATTTTTTGTTATTTCTTCCCACTTTGCAAAGAACATTTGTTTTAAACTGGGAAGTTCGTCTTGAGTGGGTGGAGTTTCAAGAGCATTCAGCTTGGATTGCATAAAATTCTGTCAACAAGGAATATAAAACTTAAAACTCATGGCATTGGAGACATGATTTGATACAAGTAAAAATATACGGAACAGTTGTATCTTACAATAGCGGGAGAATGTGGCAGTGGAGGTGCGTCCTCATAAGGGTCGATTCTATCTGCCTTTACTGACCGCGGACCCGACGGATTAGTCTGCCGTTTTGGCTTGAGTCCTCCTGATGTTCTACTTGTCCAATTTGTCTTCTCTTCTTGGTTCAGTTTGTGAATGTATTGGGCCAATCCCGGATTTTCAGCGTAAAACTTTTTGACACTTCGACGATACTCTGCTAAAGCTAGCTGTGATTGTTGGACATATATGTCTTTGATATTTGCTGGCAAAGCTTCATACTGCAAACGACATTCTCTTTGAAACTGAAATTTGCAACAAAATTCAAATTACACAGGTTTTACAACGCTTTCAATAGTCGATCTCCTCGTGTTAAAGTGTAGTTAAGTGAATAATGTCAAGTGTATAAAAACAGCTTTGTAAATAAGAAATTATTTTGTCTCATTACTAATTTTGTAAACAAATAGCTAAATTGAATTCGTACCATGACATAGTTTGGAGCAGTATAATTCCCAGTAGCTTCTTTTGCCTTTTCTTTATTCCACTCTTCCCTATTGAAACACGAAAATGCGCTACACGCGCTAGGGCCTTTCTGAGGAAATCCGGGTAAACTTTCAATTAACTTTGTCTGATATCCTTTGTCTTTTGAAAATTTATTTTGGACTTCAGCGACCACTTCTGCCATAATTCGGTAGGAACGGGTATGAGATTTCAAATAAGACCACACAGCTCTACATTGCCGTGGTCCATACGCAGCGAAAGAAATTTGTTCCCAGTCCATGGCATCTTCTCGTTTTTGGACTGAATAGTTATCAGCCGGGGTCGCTTGCTGATTAATTCTTTCCAAAAGTTCTTTAATTTCTGTTGAGTCCATTAATGCAAATAGGTTCATACCTTCTGATAATTCTTCATCAAGTTCAAGTTTTGTTTTCCTAAACTTTTTAGTCTTATGTTCTACGACTTCATGCTCAATATTCTCTTCACCATCGTCACCAGTATTGCTCATATAACCAGAAGTTTGCTGCTTAGATGACGACGCTTTCATTTCCTTCGTCGCCAAACGTTTCGGTCTCTCAACTTCCTTTTCTTCATCTTCATCTTCACTACTAATCTCAGTCACATCTGTTCTTTTACCTGTTTTGCTTTTGGGTAGTGGTTGTTGTCCTTTTTGAATGGTACTCTTTTCGATACTTGGCATGCTAGGCTGATTAATTGGTGGCCTTGGTGGGGACGATACAGGGTCAGTATTCTTCTTAGGTTGGCCACCAACCCCCTTCTTACCAGGACTAAGTATTCGAACAACAGGTGTGTCCTCTTGTTTTTCATTGTCATCATCACTGTCGCTATCCTCATCGACACTATCACTTTCTTCATCATGAACTAATTTCTTGAGTGCAGTGGTGCTGCTCAGACGGGGTTGTTGTGGATTTGTCGTGATCTTCTTGTTAGGACTTTTAGGCGTGGTTGATGTTGATGGGTGTGAGGGCACTGCTTTTTCAAGTTTATTATTATCAATCTCTTCCACTGTTTTCGCGATGGGTCTTCTAATAATCTCATTGTTCTGTTCGTCAGAGGTGTCACTATCGTCATCATCATCTACAAGTTCTTTAGACAAGGGCTGCCGTTGAACAGGTGGTTTCGTCTTCGATGCCGGCGTTGGGGAACGAGATTGTGCTGTAGCATTCTTATTTTTGCCAGTTCCCTCGTTCGTCTTACTTGTGGGTGTTGCAGCTCGTTTTTTCTGGGATGGGGACAACGCTTCCTAAGCCAATAAAATATTCGTCATATAAATAACCATCAATTCAAACACAAGCTTTCTCGTAGTTTCTCTAGAATCATATACCTACACATACATATAACATCTTCCTGTTCAACTCACCTGTTTAAGTGGCGTTGACCTTGTTGTTCGTCTCGTTCCAACGCCTGTCGCAGCTGGAGTTTCTTTTGCCTTTGGGGGAACTTTTCGTGGAGGCATCCTTGCCATATTATATTCTAACTATAATTAACCAGCTATGAATGTCACAAAGCCTAAAATTACTACCGTAAAACTGTAAACTTGGTAAACATTAAAATATAATATATCGTTCCATCGTTGGTTAAACACGAGTCGTGTTGTAGGAAAAATAAAACTGTTCAGCACAGTACGACGTAGTAAAAGTATTGTTTGGAATTATGTAATTAAACAAGTGGATAGCGTTTTTCGTGACCTGGAAATAACAATCTGTCCAATTTTGGGCGAAAGTGGGGACCGAGAGAGAGGGGAGATTATTTAGCGAATCGACTGCGTGCTACTTGACTGTTCAGTAGCGCCTTACACACGAAAAACCCACCAAAACCTAACGAACGAACGAGACCAACTCCGCTGCCGTCTCATTCCACGAGGGGATACGTGACACACACAACGAAAACAACAACATTCGCCAAGAACAATAATATTATCTCACATTCGTCTTCGTCAAATTGTGAATTTATAATTACGACGATTTAGATTAACGCTTTTGTATTTCTGGCCGAGCAGAATTTCCTTGTTTTTTTGTGGTGATTTGAGATCTATGCTGAAGATGCCACAGTCACCCCCACCTCCGAACATTGAAAATGACAACAAACCTTCGAAAGCCAGCCGTCGACCTTCTTACATTCGATTCAAGAACACCACAGAGCGGAAAGTAGATGTAATTTGGATTAATTATGACGGGGTGAGGGTCAAGTATAAGGTACGCAGCTAACTATTTAAATGATACCAACATCACCTCAATAGAACAGTTTAATTTGAACTTGAAAGAGTGGGTATGCGTAAAATTGTTCATTTGGTTGATGGATTTTATGTGTAGACTCTTCAACCGAAAGAGTTCTTTGATGTTACTTCTTTTGTAAGCCATCCCTGGATATTCCGTGACTCTGATAACCACACTAAACTCATTTGTAGCTCAAGAGAGATATTTGATTGTCCAGAGGTATGAAAGTATTTTATACGTCATATGCACGATTCTAATAAGATTGCAGTAGCAATATAAAGTCTAAATAGGTTTATTTTTATTCTTCTTTAGCCAGTCTATGTCAAAGTAAACGATGGTGTTCGGGCTACACGGAAATTAGTTAACATTTCACTACCACTCTATTCCTTACATGATTGTGCAATGCAAGCAATACAGAAGATGATGAAGGACCCTGATGACGTATATGCCTTGGAAATTCCAAGTAGTCTTCAAAAAGAGCTGTACGATAGGGTGCGATTCGCAATATGATGGATCCATGGATGGACAAATATTGTGATCAAATCTCAAACGACTGGATTCAATTTAGAACGGTCCTATCCAATTTCCACAATATTGACTATTTTTACTACGAGTCGAGAAACTTTATATTTTATTAAGTAATGAGACAATTGCCGGTGCTAATTACTATTATTAATTAACATGTTAAAAGAAACCCAAAATATATATAATTGACATAAAAAAATGTTAAGGTACGCACGACATAACTTTAGGTTTACTCCTGATACATTGTCTCGTCCAAGGTCTCGTCATCCTCATTTTCATCTTCGTCCTGCTCATCTTGTCTGTTGGAATTTTCACTTCTGATTAAAACGTCAAGTTCATGGGGTTCTATGGAGCTGTACTTTCTGGGCAAATTCCAAACGTGGACCATCCCTTCTTTATCGCACGATGCTAGAGTTCCAATTCTAATTGAATTATTAGTATTATAAGGATTAACACTTAATTTTGGACTTTACACACATTTTGTCAATTTTGTTGCCATCATAAAGATTGACTTACTCTGTCTCATTAAATGCAATCTGGGTTACCATATTTTCGTGTGGAATTATCACGATAGGGGTTTGTCCCTTTCTCAAATCAAAAATTTGCACAAATTTCCCCATTACGACTCCAAACATTGTAGGGCGGCCAGACCATTTAGCATCATGTAGCGTTTTATGGTGACTATATTTGCGAGCATTATACTTGAACATTACCCCATGCTGTAAACATTAATAAGTCATAAGTACTTTTGTATTCATGAATTGTTCTCAGTTTCCCACTTAAAGTAAAAATATGGTCATATCAGATATAAAATATGGATAAAATTATTACGACATCCCACCTGCAGCATGTTCTGAATTAAGACTTCGCCATTGGAATTGCCCACGAGGAAAACATCTCGATGGAACGGAGAACAATGGATGACTTCAGGACAGTCGCTGTGCTGTGAGACATAGACCAACCCTGGGTCTAAAAGTTTCTCTTCGCTTATGGATGACTCTGTTTTTAACTCAACCATGGCAGTGTCTGCAATGCAATCGGAATTATTATACATTGTAAAATAATTAGCTAGATTTAAAGCGATCCACACAAATAATCTCCAATAACTGACGCACATGCTTCAATGTTGCTACCAAGATTTGCCTGAAAGATAAAGCCCCCAGCAGTGGAGAGGACGCATGTGTAAGGGTCATCTTTGCAAGCCCCAAGCCCAACAAGCCCCATTTGTTTGAGCACGCATCTCGAGGAGAGACTTAGAGGCACGTCCGCTGAGATGTTGTCTGCCCACACGATGAATTTTCTTTCCAAAAATACTCTCGTGTTCGAAGTGTTTGTTGACCAGAAACAAATATGCCCCTCTTTTCCTGCAGTTATGATGCAGAACTGGGACGGGTTCTCATTTCTTGACAACAAATCTCGACTTTGAGAAGAATTCAGTTTCACCCATTGGATGGAAGTAACAGATAATCCATGCTCAGGTCGGGTCATAAAGTAGCCCAGATCATTTATTTGTTCTCCTCCACCAAAGTGTGAGCCTTGGTTATTGGGATAAAAGGGAAGCTTTTCTGTTCCTTTTCCAGCCATTTTGGCGTCAGTAGGCTGCTGCTGGTCTCCCACAAGGGAAAAATCCAAAATGGCCAAGCATCCTGAATACGTCCCCACAGCCAGTACTGAAGGGTGGAAGGGGTGGAACTATGAAAAAATAAATATACAGTTCATCCCCGGATGAATTGTATAGTTATAACAATAGAATTAGAAAAAAATGAAACCTCCATACTGGTGACACAGGTGGGTAGGAAAATTTCCACGTGGGCAGGATTGTTCTTTGTGTTTAACATTCTCCGGAGATTCCAAGATGAGATTGGAGCTCGGTGAAAGCACCAGTCCGTGTGGGCGTGGGCGCAGTAAGCTACGGCAATTTGTGTACCAATTTTGTTCCATGCGACACAACTTGCGCCGAACTGAAATGTTGCATAGATTAGAACCTGTGTCATGTGCTGAATATGATGAACTGATGGAAATGAGACTCAATGAAGCACAAATGACTTCTGCGTATTCCTGTAAATGTACTTATATTACTTAACTATTTTGCTTTGACATCATTTCTATCGCATTTCATGGAAACTTATTAAGCTTATTATTTCAATGAGTATATGGAAAATGAAACCTATCAGACTGCATCAGACACGCATTGTTGCAGTCTCATAATGCTCATTATTTGAAATCTTATTCGTCCTCAAAGCAAATACATCTTGAATAAAGTATGTCACTATTCTATCTGTAGAACCAAGAAAATTTGCATGTTTCTTTCCTACGACGACAGCAAGCACTACTTGATATGTGTACAGCTATACAGCTTTTCTTTCTATGCGTACGCGTTATCTATACCTACGATTGTTATAATTTTGAGTTGACTGTCAACCTAGATATTTACCATTTCTGATGACACTGATGAGCTTCTCAAAATGAACTCTTTAGACGCCCGTGCTGCACTCGCGAACACATCGAGGTCGTCAGAATCTTTGAAAACTTCTACAGAAAATGGGTCTAAATTTTCTTCCAATGCGCGGCACATGTCGTCGGTCACTTTAGTGAAGAATGCGAAGAGCGAGGGTGGATATGGGGGCTGAAGTGTGTTTACTTCTACATTGATCTCTTCAAAATCTGTCTGCACCTTGAAATTAAAAATTACATGAAATTGCCTGATTTAAAAGAATCTTGGATTTGAATATTTATGGCAACATACTGCTTTCTCCTGATCATCCTCACATTGCATTTCCTGATGGTGAACTTGAATGTCTTCAGTCTGCATTACTTTGGACGCAAACTCTCTGATTTATTATGACAAAATGAACAAATAATAAGTAGTCTTAAAAACTAATTCAACTCTTTATATGTTAATAAAAGATTTAATGCTAATCATTTCATATGTACCTTTTTTCTCTCCAAGTGGACGGAAATGAAGCTGACTCTGCATTCCAGTCGGCAAATATGTTTAAGCCCACCTTGTCCGCATCATTATCTTTTGTCTCGTTCATTCTTGATGAATTTATACACAAGATAAGTGAAAAAGTAAGTAATAACTAGAAGAAAAAAGAACGCTATAATCTTGGCCGAGTGACATTCTGTAAACTGACCTGATTAGTTCCCATTCCATAGCAACCCAATAACGGAAAACAAACCGTATCCCAGGCTGGAACTCGGTTTGAATATGAGACGGAAAGATTGGTATTGAATTCCACCCAGCGAGTTAGTGAGTTTCAGGCAGTGAGGCAAAATGAGACCGATCACAACTGTCAAACGCGGAGTTAGGGCAATGTAAGAAATTGAGACAGCAAATTGAGAAATTTTTTTCTTTGCAATGTATGTACTTCTGGGATGGCCTGACTATTTTTAATGGAGACAACCAGGCCAGCGGCGGTAGCACATTAAAGGCTAATTGCTGACAAAACCAAGTTTTGAATGATTTTTTTGAAGGCCTGACAAGTGGTTGCCGTCTGACATTCTCTGATTCATTCATGACGCTAGAAGCAGGATATAAATGTTTTGTATTAGCTAAAAGTTTTCCTTTATGCGATTTAAAATATAGTTATGGATAAATAAAAGTCTGCATGCATGCTCTGCATCCTCCCCCCACAAAACTCTAGTAGTGTGCTTGGCATTCAGTTTACGCCGGTTTATTGAACGCTTGGTTTTTCACAATAAATATAAAATAATAATGATAATAACCTGAAGCGTAGACTCAACAATGGTCTCCCTCACCATCCAACATTTCTCGTACCATGTCACCCTCCTGTATTTCATTGCCAGTAAAATATGCTGAGACTTTTCAGTTTCAGCTCAAAACAAGAGTCTCACAGTTCATTTCATGCGACCCAATTCAAAGGAAGTGAAGAAAGGGACTCTAACATGCATCCTTAAAATGCCTACGATAATCTCACTCTTAAATTATTCCAATCCACAATTCTACAATATAAACCGACGTAGGCAAGGTGGGAAGCCACCACGGTCGTCGTCGGAATGAGGATAACAAGTAATCGGCATATAATAAGTAAGGGCCGGAAAACCTATACTGCTTCCAATTCCCACCTGTCGCTCCAAGTTCCTTCCCATCATCACGAACGGATTACATTATTTTGTTCCCGAATGCATTAGTTTGCCGAGTATATTATGACCAACGAACACACATTTTTAATGCTTTTCAACAATAAATACGAGACCAGTTTCTGTCCTCTATCTTACCAACGACTGGCTGCGGGTACATAAGCTCAAATGCGGCGTGAGAGTGAGCTCAGCAGTTATTCCTCCTTTATAAAACAGTCTCCATCCATGGTCGGTTAATGGCCCGAAGCAATTTATTATATACTGCAATCCATGCCTGCAACAGGCAACAATCGTATAATAATGTGTAGCAGCATTGCGTTGAACAAAAATTCCCATGTTGATTGTGCTGAGAAAGCAAGTGTAACAGAATAGAGCGTATGCACGTAACAATCAACATGCATGTATCGCATCGTATCTAACAATGCTTAGCGTCTAGAAGACCTGATTGGTGCACCTGATAAAAGGTGAAGCATAACCAAAGACAGGTAGGGAGGAAGGGAAGTAAAGTGGTCATGTTGGTGCGTAACTTAAGACTCCTCTAACTTGAGAGTGTAAAAAGCATATATACAATTTCCTAGTTTAAATGCACTACAGTTTTGTTAGAATACACAAAAGAGAGAGAGAGAACTAAACCGCAATGCATAGATTAATTTATTTAAGAAGAGGGACCAAGTAGTTAGCAGTTAATACATGAGTAACAATAGTAGGTCTTCCTGCATTGTATTTTATATCACCATCTTTTTCCACAGAGTTTTTACTCGTATTTATGTGAGTGTTCCTCGCTTCCACAACTATTTAGCTATTCCGTAAAAAGAGTCCAGTTTTCTTCTTCTGTTACATCAATTTAAGATGACTGACTGTTGCTATATTACGAAACTGGAGCTGTTTGTTCGTCGGTTTACAGCAGTGTGACTACGACCACGATGTGTACCCAGCCAGAAAATTGAGAAAAGTTTTTACAAATTCCTCAATTTTTCACGCATTTTACTCGCCCATCGTCAGTAGCTTCTGTCAAATGAGAGTAGAATATATAGCTGCTTCATAAAGATACATATGTGTTTTGAGGAATGTGAAGATTTTGCAGAAAGGGGCGTTGAATGGAAAATAGCACACATTAGTAGTGGAGTGATTAATGTGATCCACAATGTGAAATTGCATCGTATTTTGCTCCATAATTCGGACTGATCTCTGGTGAAATTGAGCGATTTGAGCGAAACAATGTTTTGTTGGTGTTTATCCCGATTGTTGAATTATAAATGAAGTTTCGCACTTGAGCTTCAAGTCTTGAAGACAGAATGTAAATTTGTGTTAGAAGTTGAGAAAGTCAGTGAAATACTAATACTACGTAAATATGAAGTGAGTCGAAACACGAGTACGGCGTCTCTGCTGGAGAATAATGGGGCTTTGCACCACGAGAAGAGTTTACTTGCTCTTTCTCGTAATCACAATCTTGCAAATCGTAAGATGTTTGTAAATTAATTTGATGGTCCACATGAAAATTTCGATTAATGAATATTGTATTGACACACGCAGATTAGTACAGGGGCTCGACAAGTCTTTGACTTTTTGGGGCCGCTATGGGCCATGATTCTCACAAACTTTCTCAACATTGGTGAGTATAAAGATTCATTGTAAAATGAGATGATCAAAAACATGCAAGTGTAAATAATATGATTGTCTTTTCAGTGTTCAGCATTTTTGGCTTTTTTGGTAAGTTTGTCGTCTATAACATTAGTGCGCACACACATGTCCATTTAATGCAATTGCACTTTATATTTTCAGAATTATTATAATTTAAACTAAAATTAGAACACCACTAATGCATAAAATAATATTTTTTCGTATTTTATAACAGGCGGATATACCAGAAGAAAACACTATTTAGTTAGCGTGAGTCCCACATATTTGTAAAAACAATTTGGAGCAGAAGTTATCAGTACAAGATTTCCTCGAAACTAACCTTCTCCAGTATTAATTAATTTTTACAGTACACGGTGTGGTCTATATTGTGGATTGGATGGAATCTCTTCATCGTGTGCCTTTATATTCCACTTCCACAGTTGGAAATGTACAAATCGCCAATTCTGAGCTTGGGTACTGGAGGGTAGGTCTCGACACACAAAATGAATCCTCTTGACTAATTAATGCTTTGTGCCTTAATATGACGCTTTGATGTTGTTTTAGGTTCTCTTGGTGGGAAACTAGGGCTCCTGGTAATACATATTAGTGACTTATCATAGATTGAGTATAAAAATAATGAGACGGGTGATTATAAACGCATAATTAAAATTTCGAAAAGGATGTGTACCAGACTGGACCAGTGAGACCCAGCTCCTAGTAACCAACTGCATGTTTGACCCACGGTTAGCATTCTATTTCACTATTGGTCTCAATGGTCTCCTACCCAGGAAGGACGACAGTGATTATTATTTCACTTTATTTTGTAACTATTTGAGTTATTTGTACAGGCTCATGGAGTTTATTCAAGCAGGAGTTCAGCTCTACCTCAGCTCTACTGGGATTCTCTGTTCTCTCTCAATGCTCATCTGTCACAACCTGTACGCCGATGGTGATGACAAAGACTTTAAACAAAGTGCTCAACCCCCCAATGGCGGAGCTCAAGGGACAGTCCCTGCATTTTTGTCCCTAAGTCGCCAAAATGTGTCGACGCATACTCGTGCGAGTAATCGACTCTACAATCGAGCTCCCATTGGAATTCCTCCCACCGGTGGGGACTCGAGTGACCAACAAGTGGGTGGAAACACAATGGACGATAGGCTCAGACCAATGACGCCACGCAGAGTGAAACGAAGATCTGCTCGGAGTATTCAATCGCAGAGATTTGGACCCCCGACGGGACCCAGCACCAACCAGAAATTGGATGGTGGTGACAACAGCAATAAGCCCTCGACTTCCAAGGGGAGTTCAGGAGGAAGTGCCCGAAGTTCGCTCAGGAGCAATGCCAGCAGAAGGAATCACAGGAGTTCAAAGAGGAAAAATCATTTCGTCTCTCCTGTGAATCGACTCATGCAGTTGCAACATGTCGTGGACTCGGAAACGTCTCATGATGAACCGCGTCGATATCTCCTGAGAGATCAGGTAGGCCGATTTAATATGAATCTCTGGCCTTGTTTTTTATTGCCACATATTTCAACTTTGCTTACTAAAAACAGGGTCATACAAATCCCGTCTACTTGGGAGCACAAAGTCCAAAATACGGTCATGCACCTCCCAGACCTCCTTCCGCTCGATCTTCCTACTCCAACTACCATCCAGCAAGACTTCCTGTGAATGCCAGTAATAATCCAGAGCTGCTTCCAAATGTGATAAATCTCAGTAAGCGCGTTTGAATTATATCCCACGAAACTTTTTAATAGTAGTAAAATAAGTCAGTTTATAGTAACAATGCATTTCTCTTTTCAGATCAAAACATTTTTACAAATGGTGGATTTGACATGTAAGTCAGAACCAGCAGTTGATAATCAGTAGAAAACTTGTAAAAGTTGTAAAACATGCATTCATGTTCTCCGAATTTATATCTGTACTATTCATACGTAACATAGGTCCACCGAGTACAACGTGTCTCAACATTCCAACAACACGAGCACAGCCCTGTACGAGGACGAAGTAAACTTTCATCCCAACTTGAGTCCGAACAATGTAACGAACAATCCGCCCCCACTTCCCCCACTCGTGCCCAACGGGATCAACCTCAGCTTCAAGCCTCAAAATACGTACTATCCATCCAGTGGTCATCAACTTCCCAAAAATTTCCCACGAGGAGGAGGGCCAATGGAAAATGGCGGAGTCGTTCACCAGAACTCGGTGTTTGCCTATCCACTCGCTCATTCGCCAGTCTCTCAGGTATCCAAATTCAATTCTAACGAATTGTCAAGCACAATTTCGTTTGTGTTATGCAAATACAAATCTTACTAATGTCTTATTAATCTTATAAATAGGAATCGTTCCCAATGTGGGGCGTTTCTCAGCCTCAGTCACCAACCAGTAACCATTTCCCATCGCCTCCCTACCAAAATCGGCGACCAAACTGGCAGATGAAGAGCAACAACAACCCTCTTCAATCCCACCCCCATCTTCACCACCCTTCATCACAACAGCCCTTAAACTCAGAAACAGTTATTTAGCTGTGAAAGAGTGGTCAATAATACGCTAATAAAAGTGATCTCAAATAATCTTGATTTTAAGTACTTAGTTTTGTTTTGACTATCAGTAATTAAATTATTTAAATAGTTGACGCAGAAATATATCCGTTATATACTTTGCATAAATGTTTTTCACCCAAATGACAAGAATAAAATAAAAATGAGAAGAGTACAAGATATTAGTTCCTTGAGTGAGATGTATGTAGAAGTACCCAATAATTTAAATTCTTCAAATTGTTATGCAATGAACAGTATACCGATGTGGATGTGCAAATAAACATATAATGTGGATACAGCATGAATTGGTTTGTACTGCTTTCTTAAATTTTATTTAGCAAGCATAATTAGTGGTCTTATGTAAGTAACGGATAACAATTTAGTTCATTTTGGTAAAAGTATTGCAAAAGTTAAACTAGACATTCGTTCATGTTAGTTAATCGCTCATTAATTTTAATTATCGGCATTTTCTACATGTGTAAGGGAGTTCATGTACATATATTAAAAAGCTTAAGTAGATTGGTCGAGCTAACAACTACCAACATTAAGCTAGTAATAAAAGAAATAATATATGTAATAATAAGTCGACGTCGATATTTTCAAAATTTCAAAATGGATGAAGCAAAGCACAAACAAGTGAGAATTGTCAGACTTTTCGTGATAAATAAATACTACACACCGTCCATGTCGTCATTGTTAACATGTATGAATTTAGTAATCACACAAACCCTCAGTCACATCGCAAGTACAACCAAAGTTTTCAAAAATATGTACACATTAACAAATAGAAAAATAACATTTCAATTAATTCACAAAATCAAAAGTATTAAAACTAGTTTGGTTATTGTTCAACAATTTTCCTTCAAATCCTAATTGTTATCAGTAAGTATTATCTCGAAATATAAAATACTAAAATTATTATTTTATAATTATAAACAAAACCTATGAGGTTTCCTTAATAAAACAGATTATTTTTCTTAACTTTCTTTTAAAAAAAGTTATGTCAATTAACAATATCATCGACGATGAGACACCTCCCTTCACAATATGTAAGTTATTTTACAATGAAGCAGTTAGGAATTTAGGACCTTTAGTAACCAGCAGCGTGTCGTAGGAAGCGTTTTGGATGAGTTCCACTGCTTGTGCCTTTTTCAACACCAACATTGTGTAGAATTTTTGTGCCACTTGTTTTCTGGTATTGCGGACGGTGCACATAGTTGAAAAGGGGATTGCACTGTCAATTTCCAACTTGGATTTAATGATGTGGTACATTTGAGCAGCACGCTTGTTCAGAACTCGTTCTTCATATTGTTCATAGGTCTCATCTGTGGCTTGTTCGTCCGCCTATTAATTTTTAGTTTGGTTTATTAATTATGTCAAAGAAATCTTATACTAATCTTAATACAAGTAACAAAACGTTTGCAACAACTTACGGCTCCTACAGAGGCTGGGAAATCATAATCTTCATGGCCACCCCATGGTGTTTGGGGTAAAACTGATCCCATGCCACCGTGGTCTGCAAAAACAAATACACTATTTAGCCATCATTATGCACAATACTACATTAATTTACTACCTTGATCAGAGTGGAGCTGGTGTTGCATATGGTTCTGATCGGACGGTCCATCGTATCCCATATTTTCCATCATGGACATGTTGATATTATCCAAGTTTGAATGAATCATTGGAGTGGCAGGAGGTCCATCTTTCAACTCACCATTGTGGGCACCGGGAGAAAACAAAGCATTATGTGGTGGGGCCATAGCACTGCCATCCATAGAGGTTAAACCACTGCCATTCATCTGCCCACAATCAAGATCTACGCCGCTCATCAAATTCAAATGAGGGGGTTCCCCAACTCCATGCAAAGAAAGCGAGGGAGGGATTTCCCCTTCCGCGGACAAATTGGGTGGCAACTCATTCCCATCATTGTTTTGTCTCAACTCTTCTAGTGGCTCCGCTGCCTTGCGCTTCCGTCCAGGTCGACCTCGAACCTTTCCTTTGGGTGAAGCAGGTCCAGGTGTTTGGGGTGGACCGAGTGCTGGGGGCATATCCAAGCCGGAATTGGGTTCCATGTTCTCATTGTTCATGGTAAATTCTTCATTTTCAGCCGGGCGAGAAGTCAAATGAGTCTGATAATTTCTTGCAACAACTCTGGAAGGAATGTGTCGTCCTGGTAGAGCAAACAGCTTTTCAACACCACCAGTTTCCTTCCAGTGCATTAAGCGCTTGGTCGGAGGGGCCAAGTCGAGAGTGGTAACAATGTCAGAAGTATCGGATAATTGTGCTTTCATTTCTTCTCCAGATATATTTTTCACTTCGTCTACAATCAACTTTCGTTTTCGTTTTGCTCCAGCTCTTATGCCACCTGAAATATATACGCACAAAGTTAGCTAAAAGAGAGTAGAGAGGTTAATAAAATACATATACATGCTCGACAAAACTCGCCAAAAGCTAAAAGAAAAGCTAACCTCTGGCTACTGGAGTTTCGATTGGAGCCAGTGCAAATGATTCCTCTTCATTTTGCAACAAGGTTGTTTGATCAAGGGTTTCATTGTGATCATTTATTGGCCGGCCTATTTGATTAAAAAGATCTTTGTCATCCAGAGCTGGCTCCTCGGGCTGCAGGGGTGTCGGTGGGGCACCGGAACTGGCAATTGATGGTGGACCACCAAAATCGTCATCTGAGTCATGATGTCCCAAGTCGATATGGCCGTGATCTGGTGGCTGATCTGTTATTGGTGGCTCATCAAAGTAACCACCCTCGAATAATCCGCCGGCTAGAAAATAAACACAAATAATTATAACTTGTTGTAACTGCTTAATTACTCTGAGTCACTGATCATATTGTTTATTCAAATGTCTAATTTTCTTACCCATCATATCTTGCCCTAACGGAGCACCGAATCCATCATCATTCAATACTTTGTCATTGGATCGTTGCAAATCATGTGAACGATCATCAAATCTATCGTCGAATGCTGAGGACTGAGGTGCGTGATCTCTCAGTAATTCGGGAGCATCCTCATTAAAATCCAAATCTCCAAACCCTTCGTCATGGTGAGGGAGGCTCAAACTTCCATAATCTTCTCTCATTGTAATTTCTTCCGCTCTGGATTGGTTCATACTCAGCTGCGCTTGAATATCAACGTCACTAAAGAAAAAGAAACAATTACTCTTATAAGCACACAAGCAACAATTATTTTATAATCAATATTCAATTAAATTATTAAGGACGCACTTTATTTCTGGAATGCTCGTATCAAAGTCGTGAAAAACTTCCGGTAGTGTGATAGCATTGACAGCGGCTTCACGATTTTCCTCCGGTAAGTCCACCATTCCTGGTCGGAAAGCCATCTTGATTTTAACAAATGCTTCATTGCAATCTGCCAAGAGATATTTTGCTTTTCTTGAATAGATGCGGACAACTCCAAGTAAAAGATGACCACTTGTTCTGAGAGCCATTTTAACCTACAAATAAAAATATTTACATCATTTTTAACATCAGTGTATACATCCATACAAGCAACATGGGGAGAAGAGTTGATTCAATTCAACATTTCCAAATTGAGCAAATTATAACTAAACTATTTTTGAGAATAACAACTATTGATAAAACGAGGGGTTCGAAGTTGGCGCCATGCTTACCTTGGGATGTAGAATTCCTTCTACAGATTTTTCGATCGAGGTTTCAAAAACATGAGCCTTGGTGAGTTTCTTGTCCCAATGGGCTGCGAGCCAGATTCGGGCCAACGGGCCCTTCTTGGCCAGGACGAAATGGGCGTAAAACATGGCGACACTGGTGGATTTTGTGGAGGCGACGACGACAAAAATGAACTTGAAGTAAATAGCGCAGAGTTCTCCTGCCACCACCAGCACTCAGTTCCAACTAAGACTAACCGTCATCATCCTCCAATCGATACGTGCATTTCCCTCCAACCCTGCTGCTGCTCGCCTCCCGTTGTAAACAACTCGGGCTTCCCTCACTCACGACCATGTTAATACTACAGTGAGCCACCTGCTCCTGCCACCTCTATGCCAGGCATTGTAACCTCGCTTGCATACTTGCATCTGAGCAATAGTAGTTTAATTAATTTACTATGAATTAGGAAGAATTTCTAGAATAATCATAAGGGTTAAAATAGGGTTACGTTAGATTTGACTTTTCCTATAAACTTACTGTTATAGCGAGATCGCAATATTCATACGTATGCAAAATAGTGGACGTTTAGCTTGTCGTCTGTGTAATGTGCAGCACATTATTGGGATAGTTGGATATTATTAAACTTTTAAAGCCCTTAAGTGCTTGAAATTAGTGCAAATTAATTGGTAATAATACTTGTAATTAATTGAACTAAATAACATTTTTAATGTTGCAAAGTTAGATGCGTGACTCCCCAGATGGCTCAGTGTTTTGTATAACATGACTTAAGCAGGAAATTTATTAGCGGGGTATTGAGCGTCCGATGGAAGTTTTCAATGGAACCAAAACAGTTCATAGAAATAATCATGATTGGTTTATTATGATTTTTAGGAACTTTATTCAAAAACAGAAGAACTATATTGTAACTTTTTTATGAGGACCTGATGAGGACTTGTCAATTTCGAACTAAGGTTAATAGTTTAGGTTGACATATTGTTCGACAATTTGTTCATTTGATTTTTGTAGTTTGTCAATCAGATTTCCTCTTAAGCCATGAAATTAAACTAAAAAGGACAAATTTTCAGAGTTGTTGTCTCAACCTCTCAACGTTTTCATTCAACGATAATTGTTTTAGTAGTTTTCTTGAGTCTCCAGACACAAGACTAACGAGAAGAATGAAAATGGATGTGCAAACTCCGGTAAAAGACCTTCGTCCAGGATCCAAAAATCTAAACATGGTCCTGATAACATTGGATATTGGAAAACCAAGCACAACTAAGGATGGTCATGAAATTAGGACAATCCGAGTAGCAGATAAGACTGGTTGTATTAATCTATCAATTTGGGATAAGCCTGGAACTCTTTTGGAATCTGGTGACATTATTCGACTTAATAAGGTTATAATTGCTGTGTGTGACTTGTGTCACACAAATTTCGCTTGATTCTAATGGATTTTCTTAATTATTTATTTCATTTTTTCTTATAGGCATATGCATCTCTATTCAAAAACAGCCTCACTTTATATATTGGGAAGGGAGGCGAGATTCACAAAGTAGGCGATTTTTGTCTGGTATTTTCCGAAACTCCGAATATGAGTGAGGAGTCCTTCCCACCACCCTTAAGTGGCGGAGGCGGACAGTCGTCGTCTTCTGGCGGAAGTGGTGCCCCTAAAAGACCTTTCAAACCCTCATCGAACAAATAACAGATTAGTATATATTGATACCAATTAACCATGAATATTAAAGTCATTCATGCTGAGAATGAGTGTTTTTACATTTATAATAATTTCATCTGCAGTAAAGTTATGTATGTGTAAAAATAATATATTTTATATGAATTTTTTAATCAGTCACAATGTAGAATTTTTATTATGACTGCATCAGACCGTAATATTTCGAAAGACTTGTTTGCATGAAAAACTTGCATCTCACGTTGATGCAGCAGGGCAGGATTCGTGTCGTTGTTGTTGGGGAAGGAGCGGAGCGGAGTGATACACTCGTCTCCTCACTACTACTTGACTCGTTAGCAAGTGGAGTGGATTCGTTGGAAGTTGCATTTCATTGATCAAATGTTCCATCAAGGATCCTCGGATTTTTTATTATTATTCTCATCAGTTAAATTTCTATTGTCCATCCGTAATTTTCCTAGAGTGGTCAATCGTTCCGTCGTCGTAGCACTATTAGCCTTAATATAGCTAACCAATTGCCTTCGTTCGACAAATGTTGTTCGTCGTTCACGTTCATCATATTTTATAATTTGTAATTTCATTTTCTCCAAGGCCAAGCCTTGAACGTTTACACGAAAGTATAAACGTATAGGTCAATATAAGTAATACATACAAGTTCGAAAAACAATAATTTGGTAAGTACAGAAAACGAGTAACCATATAGCCATATTGAGTATTTTGTAAATTGTTAACATAGGGTGAAGGTAGTAATAAACTTCAATTTACTCTTTTCCTTTTTCAGTGACCGCACTGGTTCCACGGCTGAAAAATTGCTAACTACAACAATAATTTTCAGCCAAACATGGCGTCTTCGGTAAAATTTTTATACGGAACAATTAAATGTACAATTTTGTCCTCTGTTCTTTGGAGAAGTATTCCACAATCGAAGATATCCTTGATATTATTATATATTTCATAATATCCTTGATATCCTTGATTTATAATACAGTGTGTCGTGTGAGAGTACATTATACAATTATTGAATCTCTTGATGTACTTTTTGCAGGGTGTGTCAAATGTGGAAAATCTACCCCCACACATTTTGCGTAGTATTAGCAAGGAAGTAATTGCGTTAACTCAAGAACCGCCTGAGGGGATCAAGGTGTATATGAATCATGATGACATTACTGATGTTCAAGCCACCATTAATGGGCCTGGTAATTCATAAAGTTTAGCTCTTAGAGTATCTAATAATGATATTATTATCAGATACTCGGGATGTTTAACTATACAACTATTTAATTTCATGGGCAAATTATACTTTTATAAACATGCTAACTAATTCTGCGGTTAAACAGAAGGGACACCATACTCTGGGGGGGAGTTCAGAATAAAGCTTGTACTTGGCAAGGATTTCCCTGCCGCACCACCAAAGGGATACTTTCTAACTAAAATCTTCCACCCAAATGTCTCTTCCAATGGAGAAATTTGCGTGAATGCTCTCAAGAAAGATTGGAATCCAAAATTGGGACTGAAACACATTTTTCTGGTATACCATTTTTTACATTGGTGGTTGTTGGTTAACTTGGTCAAATGGTTAATTTATTTGCCATTATAGGTGACGTTTAATCTCTGTATATGATTTTTGTAGGTAATCAAATGTCTAATGATTGAACCCAATCCAGAATCTGCACTAAATGAAGAAGCCGGAAAGCTACTATTGGACAACTTTGAAGAATTTGCTCAACGAGCAACTTTAATGACAGAAATTCATGCCAAGCCACAACAACCCTCTTCTCCTTCAAACAGTGTAAAAAAGGCTAAAATTTGTAAGGAAAAAAAGAAGGCTTTGAAGCGACTGTGATGAAAGCAAAAATTACGTTGACTCTTCTCAAATGGTAGAATTTACACAAGAATTATCTGTTTCAAGTTACTTTCAAATTCTTTGTCAAAAATACCAAAAATTGTTCATCAACATTTTTTTTACCCGAATTTACTATTAACGAAGACAACACGGTTAATTTACATATTGTATATGACTTTTTGTACGTATTACTATATAACAAATGAAGCATCATACTACTAAACCACCAGTTCGTACGTATTAATGAATGTATATCGCACTTAGCAGAATAATTAATTAGTAATGGTTTTTAGCGGCCACAAAATTAAACCCACCGGTACGCCTCCCCTATTACTAATTAATTAGTAATTACTATTTTGTAATTACAGAAATTCTAAAGTATGTTAAAAGTTTTATGTCAATAGAGCTTCCTGTTCCTTCGAAACTGCTGCTTTTTAGCTTTAATGCTAAAACTGTTTAGTTTCATAATTTATTGCATATTACTAGATTCGAGTATGTGTAAATTGATTGTCTGACTTGGTTAATGTTATTATATTTTTGTAGCTATTGACATAAGTCAAGTGAAAAGTTGGTGAAACAATAATTGATGTTTGGTTGGATTGAATGATGTCGTGTAATAAACATAATCTGGAGGAAATACTTACAAAAGAATCTCTGCACATGTGTATACAATGGCTAGTTAGGATTAATGTCTTCCTTCGCATACGCGCAACTATTATCTACTACAGGAAATTGTATGACTTTAATCCTGCTAATAATCTTAAGTATTGTCACAATTTAGCTCATATATGTAGGAGGTCTCACATATCTAAAATCTAAGAGAAATTTTATGTCAAACGATTCTCTAATTGGACAATTTGGAAACGAAGCTGTCCGTGTTTGGATGATCTGCTAGTTCTTCCAAATTATTGTTGGGAATATTTTCGTCGTCCTCCATGATTCGCTCTTGTTCTCGGAGTATTCCGCTGTCATAGAGGGAATGGTCGGAATTTATTCGACTCCTCGTCGTTAAGCTGGCGTGGGTTGGGGTATTCATCGCTGAAGTCCTCTCGTCAACAACGTTGGCATTCAGATCCATCACAGTTGTTCGCGACGACTTTTTGATGTCCACGCAAAAGGTGAAGTAGCCGCCAGAGTTGAAGTGTTGGAGGAATACTTCATGGGCTACGAAGCACAGGCCATCCCGCATGACCACCTTCTCGCTCGTTCTAAGCGACTGCACGGGCCCTTCCCACATCAATCTTAACTTCTACGATTTTGTACATTGAATGATATGATCGATATACAGGAATTTGAAATAAGTTTTAAATACCTTCTCCACATTCTTAATCATAATTTGCGTAATGAACAGAGATTCATACGAGTCTTCAATCTTTGTAGTTTGCAACCAGACCCAGACCCAAAAATGTGGACGAATCACTTCCATCATTACGTAAAACACGTTTCCAAATGCTTGTATAGCGAACGGTAACCATTTTCGGTCTAGCATGAAATTTCAACAAATTAATTGGTGACTTTATGGGTTTTACAGCGGTAACAACTTGGGCGCCACGCACTGTTGGTAATGGGTTGGTCAGCATGGAAAGTTATTGAGGCTGGTAGTAGATCACTTCCGCAAATCTTGTGATTATACGTGAGGTGACTCAATAGTGACTTGTAAGGTACTTCCTCTCCACAGTTGGGGATAAGACAGACAATTGGTCTGATTGCATATTCATTATAATTTCATTAAGTGATAAGTGTTGTACTGACATATTTATGATGGGAAAATACCTAAACATGCATTGAGATTCGTGGGGCTGCATGTTGTCCCCTTTCAGTCGCAGATATTCACACCCTTCTTCTGCATATCTGGAAATATTGCCAGTATTAAGATTCATAATAATATTATAGTTAATGTACATATGTAAATATGCGAGGATCGGATGCGAACCTGCAAGGCTGGGAACAATTTGTTATAAAATTTTCAGCAAAAAAGTTACGAGTCCCACTAAATCCGTGCCTGCACGATTAGTAATAATAAATAAATAAATAAATAAGTAATAAATAAATATATAAAATCATAATAAATCCGTGCCTGCATGATGGGCATTGATGTACTAATTCTCGGCAATTATTGCAAATGAGATGGCCATTAATACCTGCAAATTACGTTAATTAAGTATCATATGTATATGTTTCTAGCCACAATTAGTCATTCCGAATTTTAAAAGGAAAGCTAAATAGTGTTTTAGTTAGAAATTAGTTGATTTACACGAGTGGATGGGAGGAATGCACGTATTGAAGCAGACTGGACAATCCAATTCCTTGAAAACTCTTCCGAGATTGCCAGCAGATAAATTCACATCTTGCTCTGAAACTTTATCTAATCTGAAAATGCAAAAAAGTTGTTTAATTAATCATGAATTCATAGTATGAATTAAAACACATTTACATAAATGCCACCGTAAAACTGTCAAATTCTGTGAAATATTTTATGTAATATATGTCATATGAAATATAGATCTCTAAATGCCCATACAAGGTTAACGACTACTACTTAATGAATGAACCATGACCATGCACTTTGGAATATTTACTTTATGGAATCTAAACTGACCTCATCATAAAGTGACCTCGGAGAGGAAATGACTAACCTCTTAGATTTCTTGCTTCGGAAAAGCTTCTTCATGAAAGGCATGCTGTTGACCTTTTGAGATGCGATACCAATTAGACGAGCACTATTGACTATCACCTCTAGATCGGACAGCTTTCCTGAATTGGAGATATTATTTTACCTTCAACCTTGCTCGGAACGAGGTCTTGCACCCATACCCCCTTAGTTACAAATATTGCTATTCGTCTCATAACTTCAAATTAATTACGGCATGTAATTAGCTCCTAATTGCTCTAGAAACTTTCGCCATATTGATGACCAGTAGACGCTCATATTGATGACCATGAAAAAGATAAATGGGATTGGGTCATCGGGTCCGGGTAAACGAAATCTGTGTAAAATTGAGACAATTTGTTTATTTACACAGTCATCATTCCTTTATTGCATACAGAATAATTAAGCTTATTAGTAATCAGTAACCTACACTAATTACCCGCAAGGTATTGGAACATATAAAAGACAACACTCACTCATCGGCATGAAGATATTTAAAGCAGTTTTAATTGGGTATTCGTGCTACTCGTTATTAATCATATTTGTACACTGCCTTCTATAGTATAAAACAAAAAATGTCAAAATTGTTCAATTACTTGTTATTGTCGGTATTATTAGTAATGCTGGCTTTAGCTTGTTCTTTATTTCCAATTTGTGAGTCTGTATCAGGTAATTCATGATTTCATGACTTAGTACTACCTTTATTGCATGAAAATTACATTTTTACTGCATATATATATTTTAGTTCATGTAAAAAAAACTTCTTGCAAATTTATTAGTTTCTATTTTTCCGTGATTAATTTTCAGTATCACGCTTAAGATCATTACAACCGATATCAGAATCATGGAGGAGTGCAAAAGAGCTGGAAAATCCTGCTCCTGTTAACCAGACACCCGACAGTTTTGATAATTTGACCTCTGAGAATTTGGACCTTCATAATAACAACATGAATGCTTTAAATGGGTCAGTGATGACAGCCATGGTTCCGTTCGGAGAAAATATTGTTGATCAAGTAGTCGAGGCTTCTGAGGAAGCAACGCCAGCCCCACCAGAGAAACAAGTGGTCATCAATCTCGTCGCCAATTCGACCGCCACCGAGCCTCTCCAGGTATATTTCGACGAGGAATAATACTAATAGTAAAAACACAATCCTTTTATACTAGCCATCCTATACCTCAAAACCCCCTTTTCTTTGTAGCTCGATGAAACAGTAAATAAACAATTTTATGAAAGTAATCAGGCTACTGTCCGTTGATTTCAGATAGTTTCGCCTCTTACACCTCAGCAAGTGATGGACGCTGAATTAACTCAAAGTTCACATAAATTGCATACCAATTTTACAGCTGAAAAAGTTGAAGACATGAATTCTGGAAACAACAAAGATTTAGAAATAGGACAAGGGGTCAACATGAGCAGTGCAAAAAGTGTTCATCACATTCCAACCGAGATTGAATTCGAATTTGGAGGAGAAGAAAAACACCCTTCTACAATATCGACAGAGGAGGCGACATCAACAACAGCCAGCCTCACAACTACGACCATGTCGGCAGAAATAGGAAGCACCGTGCAGGAAGAGGGAACATCTGCATTACTTCAAAGCCAAATGCCCACAGAAGTACAAACCACAACTACGGAATTAAGCCCTCTTGCAATTGAGAGTACGAGCACAACACCGTCGTCAGAACCACTTCCTGTGACATTTCCTCCACCAAATGGCTCGGAGACCACCGTAATTGTAGGCACCCAGGATCAAGCAACTACAACAGCCACTACACACGCAAACGATGAAAGCACACATATAAATAACGACACGCTTGCAAATTCAAGCATAAATATGGTACCGATCGAGACTTCGCCTCCCACACAAAATGGAACTAGTATACCTCAAGCAACAGAAATTATATCTCCACAAACTGAGACAGTCCCGGCTACACAGCATCCTGAGATTTCACCCCTACCAACTGAGACAACACCAAATCAAATCGTGACCGTGCTAGACAATGCAATTACACCTGCCTCCATACCTACCATCCCAACACATGTTTTGCCTTCATCCGCACCTACAGAAATTTTGATGACACAAAATGAGACAGCTTCGACCCTGTCCACGCTTGAAATTTTGTCACCAAATGAAACAGCGCAACCAATCAGTCAAACCGTTTTGCAAAATGAGACTGTTACAACATCACCCACACCAACTGAAACTATATCACAAAACGAGACAGTTACCGCAACCGATATTTTATCACCAAATGAGACTGTTTCTATTACACCCACAGTAATTACTACACCCACATCATCAGAAATTATTATTTCACCCAATGACACTGTATCGGTTTCACCCACATCTAATGAAACCATCTTGTCCAACGAGATGACCCAACCCACTGATTTTATTTCACCAAATGAAGCCAATTTCCTATCGACTCCACCATCGCCCATCAATCTCACGTCATTTGTTGCAACAACTTTACCTGTAACCACTGAAACTGTACCTAGTACACTCGTAACGACGACCCCACATGGCGAGTCGATCGTCACCGCAATTTCTACTACAGAAAATGAAACTTTGACTACCTTGACAAGCACACAGACTCAGAAGACGACAATAATTTCAGAAATTGAAACCTCTTCGCAAGTTCCGACTTCAATTTTACAGGCTTCAAAAAATGAGACTGTAGAAAATGCAACTTTGTCTCTGACACCGATCGAAATTGAATCAAGCACTGTTGCTGCGTCTGGTTCGATATTCCATCAGAATGATACCGTCCCGATATTGGATTTGTTGCCGTCTGTAAACGAAACAATTTCTGAGATTTTTAATACAACTCAATCTCACGCTGATATCTTGACCACGACAGGTCATACTGAGCCCCCAAGTGAGAAACCCACAACAGATATTCCACACACTACGACAGAATCAAATGTTCCCATCTTTCACGAAGACTATGAGGACCATCTTTTGCAGGGTGGGACCAGCCCGGGGTGCATGTACGAAGACCGAGAACGATTCAAACGAAATCTGCAGGCAACTGCATTCTCCTGGATCCATGGAATTCCCACGATGCTTTCTTTTTCTCGACACACGTCCTGTGTCGGGATTTTGCAGTAAGAGACTAGCGGCCCAAATTATTCTACACCACAGGTGCCGTATAAAACAGAACTAAATAAATGATGCACCTTTTCTGTACCTCTTTTCAGGAAAAATGGTACTCGAAGCATTAAACATTTAAAGAAAATGTTTCCTGAATTCCCTTCAAGCGAAACTAGCGTTGAAACTGCAGCATTTATTCATGACAATGTCGTACTTATCGATTCTTCTCCTGGTAAGCAAACGGCACCTGTATTATATTTCATGCTTTCTGTATACATATGTAGGTATACTACCCTAATAAAAATGTAAGCCAAGCTGGAATTTTGAAATATTTTATTACAGCTCAGAGAGTCTGGACCTATATGTACGACCAGGACAAAGACAGTTACAAAAGCATGACTCAAATGTCTAAGTCACAGTTTCTGGAAATGTGCGACATTCCAACTTTCTCCAGCCACATTAAGGCATTTGCTCAAGTTTCTGCTCAAGATCCGACCTGCATTCTTTTTGGCGAGTATGTATTCTATTTAAATATGTTTTATTACTAGCCCGAGCCAGCTAAGCTAGAGCTTATGGAATCGTCTTGCCAGTTTATTTGCGACACGTTAGCAGGATAAATCACTGAACCGATTTTGAGCAACTTCAGATTCGTGTTAAATGCGTACATCATTGCATAACATACTGCATGCATGAGTAAATTATCAGTAATGTAGAGTAAAATACTACTTTTTACTACTTGTCAGGGGGGTCGAAAAGGGTATCCCTCCTCACTGGTTTTATTTAAATTAAGCAAAGGACAAGAAAACTGACTGGCTCGGGCTTTATCAAGTCTTTACTGTATGGTATTACAAATTATTTTGTAATTTTATACTTTCCACAGTTCCAGAGAAGCCACTCTCTCTTCAAATGCAACCAGTGAAGCTGTGTCTCTGGCTGGATGCATAAAATTCATGCTGGATAAGGAATTCGTTACCCACGTTGAAGCTGTGTTTCGCTGGTTGGACGAACCTTTTATCACTTCAATTTACGTTTATGGCAGTGATGGAGAACTTTATAGAATTTTTCGAAACAATCTTCCGGGAACTTTGTGGACGCCTGGGAATTATGAAGTTTTGCAATATTCTCAATTTCCACTACCCCGACAGACGCAGAATTTGAATTTTTAGTAGGGAATAACATTTATTTCTTGCTCTATTTCATGTCACTATAAATAATATACGTTTGAATTAGTTTGCATTAGTTCCTGAATTTTGTATGCAATGAAAATTCATAAGAATTAAAATCTAATAATAAAAACCTACAGTGTGCAGTGTTTATATAGCCCGAGTCAGGGACAGAGTCCACTTATAAATGTTTGTCAAGTGACCGGTACCAACTACTATTAGTAGTCATTTTTGACGATTGCTAATTACTAATTCGCAATCGTCAAAAATTTTCCCATAATCAAACATGCAAAATTGCAATTCTTTAACCAATTCCAAAACCCCCCTGTGTCCTCCTGCCAAAAAAATCTTAAAATTTGCTTCACATTTATTAAGCTGATCTAACCCTGCAGGATCACGCCAACTTTAAGTCGTCTACGCCCGTTTTCCAGACAAGTGGGGGTGACCCTACTGGGTACTTAAAAATAGTAATTCGGTCGTTATGGCATCGCACCTTCACTTTAGTACACAAGTATGACCAATTTCCCGAATATCAGCTACCAACTTTTAATATAACAAATTTTTTGAAACGGTATGGGTCACCCTCTAGGCTACTCTGGTTCCACTTTGTTCGCTTTTAACTTCATATACTTCCATACGAAACCATTTAGTATCACCGTACCGAATTTCATCTTTTTAAGACAATTTCTAAAAATCGGTATGGGCCACCCCCTAGGGTCGCTCCACATACAACATAAAAATTTTACTAATTTCACTTAACATAATTTCATTAGGAGCTAATAGAAATATCAATGGCAAATTTCAGCTCGATTAAAAGACTTTCAAAAATAGGTATGGGTCACCCCCTCGGGTCCCTTCAGACATAAATTTTACTAATTTCGTTTCATGTTTTTTCATTAAAACCCATAAACAACCTCTATACCAAATTTCAGCTCGATTAGACGATTTTCAAAAATCGGTATGGGTCACCCCCTCGGGTCCCTCCAGATAAAAATTTGACCAATTTCATTTCATGTTGTTCCTTAAAACTCGTACGCAACCTGTCTACCAAATTTCAACTCAATATGACGATTTTGGCAAATCAGTGTGGGTCACCCCCCTGGGTCCCTCAACATGAAATGTTTTCCAACTTGAATTCATATTCTTTCGTTAGACACCATTAGCAACCTCAGTGCCAAATTTCTGCCTTCTATGACGATTTTGAAATTTTGATGCATAATACCCCACCCACCTATATGACCCCCACTGGTCAACCACTTGACCGATTTCGCCCATCTTCGAACTTAACTCCTCATTTGCCCCATACTACATGTGTACCAAATTTCAAGTCGATAGGATGAGTTTAACGAGAGTTATCGTAAGACGGACGGACGGACGGACGGACATGATGGTTCCATAAGCCCTGACTCGGGCTAAAAATGAGGCAATGCATATTATTTTAATTCAGGAAGACCTAGCTCATGTTATGAAATTGGGTCAATGTAGTTGTAGGTAAAATATAGGGCCAATCCTTAAATTCAATGATAAATTATTGTAATTAGCCTTATATAGTATGCACAAATAAGCGAAATATTATTTTGTATGTAGATGACGGCTCATCGCAAGACGACTTGCTGTCCTCAAAGCTGTGTCTCATACATACATATGTATTTAATAATAATAAGGCGAGACATTACCTTTGCCTTAACCTACTGATAATGAAATTTACTTCCATATTCTCTCAACCTGTCGTCATTTTAGTGCTTAATGCGGTGTGCTGTTATTCTCACAATGTGCGAGATGAAGACTTGTAACATTACATATAAATGCATGCATGCCAACGGCATCAATACACATTATACGCATGAATATCACACTTTACAATAATGCGAAATGAGTATTTGATCTTTCTACAAAATTATTTGATGGCAGAAACAGAATTCAAGTTCATTCAGTGCATTTTTATAACGATACGATACATTGCCCACCTCGATAATTACTTCTGTACTTGTTTCAAGGCAGATTGGATATTTTTTCTTTAATTCTGGGCATCTACGTATATGTGCATACAGATGTACATACATTTATTATCTACTATTGGTGTACTCGTAATCTTTGTATCGCGCGATGTAAATCAGGAAAGCTTTCTGGATATGTGGAAGATTATTATGAAATCGAACACTGACGCTTGTAAAATTCATATTATGTACGATGGACAGTTACTTGTGTCACTTCACAATGCCTGTGATACAGATTTATTTAGCAGTTTTTGTATGCATGGAATCAAACTATAAGCATTTCTGCAGTTGCTGTCAACTGATACTCATCTTAGGCAAGCGATATGGCTTCTCAAATCTCGGTGTTAATAATTTTAAGCTTGTTTGGATCGTATTTTTGTCAATATGGACATTACGGTAACTTACCTAATCCTGAGTGTGTTACTACTCTGGCTGTAAATCCGAATTGAATTTGTACAGGCCCCTATCGTGAATACGGTCAAAAGAATAAAGTATACTACAAACTTATGAAGGACCCAATTCAAGCAAAACCATCAAAAATAACTCGAGATAACTTATTTGGTTGGCTGAATAAGAAAAATGGCGTCAAATTCTACTTATGGACCAGGTATACGTACATATGTAAATATGTATGTACCACATACATACATCTGGAATGATACTCTACTACTTCTCACTTATACTTCAATTGGTCCTTTTCAGAAAGAATCCGAACCTGGCACACGAATTGAAGTACAATGATGTTGACTCCATCAAAAGTAGCAATTTCAACCCCAACAAACTGACCAAGATTATTATTCACGGCTGGGCTGATGGGGCATCTGAGGTTCAAATAGGAGACTGGTTGATTTTCATGCGGGATGCTTACCTCCGTTTTGCAGACATCAACTACATTGTTGTCGACTATGCCATTTACGCGTCCTGGTTTCTATTCTTCAGTGCCAGACCTGAGCTGGTTGGTGAGAGAGTGGCAGAAATGATCATTTTTCTGGAGAAACAAGGAATGCAATTGGACCCTCTACACATCGTTGGCTGGTCGTGGGGCGCTCATGTTCGTAAGAATTATCACAAATCATGGTTTATTATTTTATCTAAAAACTTGACCATCAAATCGTGTCAGATTGCTGGAATGGCAGGGCACCGACTAAATGGTAGAATCGGGAGAGTCACCGGTACGTATGCATATTTATTTGTACATATGTGCTAAGTTTGTCACACTGGTTAAGCATAATCATCATTAGGAATTGATCCTGCTGGGCCCACATTCAAATACATCCCCAATGAACTCCGACTTGATAAACGTGACGCGAAATTTGTGGATATTGTAGGTGCCTCACAAATATTGCATAATTATTACCAACTTTTTTTTACTGTAAATTGTATATATGTAATACACATATAGATTCATGTAAATGGAGGTTACCCTTCTACGTGGGGGTTCTTCGGTCTGCCTGATCCGTTGGGTCATCTCGATTTTTATCCGAATGGAGAAGCTGCAGGCGTTCAAATTGGATGTCCAGCTGGTCAAGCTCTCGTTTATGAAAGTACGTTCAATTCAAATTTCATCATCGACACGGAAGGCCTTCATTAGTTCATTTTTTGACAGGCTTGTGGTGCAGTCACGGACGAGGCGTAAAGTACTTTACGGAATCGATATTTTCTCCATTAGCATTCCCAGCATGCCGCTGCGATTCATTTGATGAATATGTAACCGGGCTTTGTCCCTGTTCTCAAGAAGAAACGTCCTTTATGGGAGAACATCTATCTCACAACGCGTACATATACATACTCTTTTTTTTATTGTGCTTTCTCTCTCTTTCTCTCTTTCACTCTCTCTGTTTCCACTGCTTTCTGTCTTACTGCTACCATAGCCTCTTGTTACGACATAATTTCACGAGATTTCTTTTCATTTTCTGGCAAACGACACAAATAACTGAGGCTCTTTGTGCTAGGACGAGGGGAATTTACCAACTGTTCACCAGACCCAAGCCCTTGTTCGGCCATGGAATCCAATTGAATATTACGCTCCCTAATTACACTCCGCCGGAAGAGGAATTTATAGCCACTTTAAACGATACTGAGCAAGTTAACGTTCGCCCGGGTACAATTAGAATTCAACGCGAGGGTATCGTGACAAGACTGGAATTTAAGGATTCGTATAACAGTAAAAGCTATCCAAATAACGATATTGTTACAATGAGCATTGCGTTTGTGCTCAACAATACAATAAATTCTGCTCAATTAATTGAGCATAAATTAGCACCAATTAAGGAATAGACAAAGCGGACCGAGTGAGATTCGGCCATCAGATCCGTGCATCATTTTGCTTATAAATTCGGCACGCGAAACTAATGTTACTCCTGTTATAAAACTATTTTCTGGGTGAGATTGAGACCGGCGTGCATAACTGTTTGTTTATTTTTTATTATTCTGGTCAATTATTATGCAACTGGATTTTGCAAATGACCCGCATGCATTTCCTTCTGAGTCTCAAACTATGTATTGTGTTATGAAATGCAGAGAATGCCCACCGTTATTTATTTACTTAGGATTAAGTTTAAAGAATGAAGGTCGCCTATAGAATATGAATGTTATTGTTCTGTTTAATTACGCTTAAATTACCTTTGATATGTACATTGCACATTGTAAATGACGATAACTATGCAATGAGGAATTGAGTTGAATTTATATAACGTCCGATAAAATGACGGATAACGGCCAACGACAATATCTAATCTTACTTAATTATTGTCTACTTTGAAACGCAATATGTATGCACACCTAATGTTCAAAATAACTCTCAACTTTTCATTCGCATGAGTCACTAAACTTCTGGGCAATAAACTACAAATTTAAACAATGGCACTTCTAACTTGCATATGTATTTTTTGCACGCATATTTTTGCACAGTAAACTTGTGTGTGGGAGAGAGGAATAAGAGAGACGTTGCTGCGGAAGTGCCCAGAGGTATGGAAGTTGTGCTTCTTCAACAGAAACAACTTTGGTCAGGTGAATGATCCACTCAATCAACATTATCCCATCATATTGAATTCCTGCCCAGTAATGCAGGGCAGGATCACGTAGTAAACTGACCGACGTTACATACATAAATATATATGCTCGCATTTTTTGCCGGTGTAAGCAAGCGGAAGATGAACACGTTTGTTGTGCACCAAGAAAAGAACACACTCCTTAGCCAGAGGATGAGTTTTTTCGCAAATCTTGGCACTGATTTAGCACATCAACTATTGTAGTGGACATGCCTCAATGGTGGTATGTCAGATTATATACTTAGTTAGTACCGCAAAAAGATGCGAGAACATACTCCACCAACTTGGCAAAATATCACGGTTGACGAGAAAGCGGAAACAAGTGCGGTGGCACCTGGCTGGTTTCTAGTATCAGAAAAAGCTGTTGCTTTAATGTTTAATGATTCAGTTTCGGTTTTGAACTCTCAAGACACAGACAAGGGACACTTGTAGGCATACATTCGTCTTTAAAACGAACCATGAAGTGTTTAGCCCTGGTTACATTTTTACTGCATGGTTAGCGAAATTTTTACCTGTAGCATAGCAAGAACGAACTGCATGCAATTAACCAACATTGTTTGCATTAAATATGTTCTAGGCAGTGCTGGAAGCATCCTGTCCAGTTTCATGGGATCTTCTATTCCAGAATCTCCCTCGTCGTCGTCGCCTCCCGTGATCTCCATTGTATCCTGCAACAACTCTGAAAACCCGCTCACACACAACACCCAATATCAAATTGGAAACAAAAACGCACTTCCGGAGTCTTCCAACTACTTTGTTCCCACCATCTTAAACTATTCTCCAAATCGATTCCCCCAAAGTGGAAGTTATGCAGGTGGTGCTAATGATGACGATATCATGGACATTGGAAATCGTATCAGAAGACCATTATCTAACATCCCCAAAATTTGGATGCCTTCCCGTCTGAACGTGCCAAGCGTCCGACCCGAACCCGTAAAGAATTTTGGGCAGAACAACTTTGGTTTAGAAGAGATGAATGCAGGGAACACGCTGGATGTGGAAGCTCGAGTCAAATTTTATTTGTTTACAAGGTTGGAGGATGGTTTTGGTTCCCTTATTTATTATTCATGCAGCTAAGCATTTCCATACGGCTCCACTTTCACGCTCTCAATGATAATTTCAGGAAGAACCATGTGGTAAGTCAGGAATTAAAGATTCACCATCCTTCCACCATCAACGAAAGCCACTTTTCGCCCAGTCTGGAGACGAAATTAATTTTTCACGGGTTCACGGACGTGGATGCCGCAGGAGAATGGGTTAATGTGATGAAAGAGACTTATTTGACTGTCTCGAACGTGAATCTAATTGTGGGTGAGTTTATCGGGTAGTTTTTATTAATATCATTCAAAGTTTGACACCCTTACAAAATAATTATAACAAAAAATGCAATGAGTAGTAATCCAAATGTTTATTTTAAATACCTAGCCGACTTTTCATCCTTCCCATTGCAAACTCTCCTCCCTTCGTCTATTCCCATTTTCGCTGCTAAACGACTCACCGAATTCCTTACCTTTCTCGCCACCGAGGCTGAGGTTCCTCTTAGATCAATCCACATAATTGCCAGGTCCTACGGGTGTCATGTGGTTGGGATGAGTGGACGACTGTTGGATGGAAAATTGGGGCAGATCACGGCTCTTGAACCATCTCCAAAGGTTACAGTCGTTGGAAGTCCTCCAGAGTTTAAGCTTGGAAAAGATGACGCCCTGTTTGTACAAGTGAGCATGTCCTGAATTACATAATATTTATGAGAGACCTTCAAGAGCTTAGATTTCCTGGTTTTTGCATACATATAGGTAATCCACGTTAATGGGAAGAGATTTTTCTTCCACGGTCCACAATTCGGCCTAGTTGCTCCTATGGGCGACGTAGATGTGTATCCCAGCGTTGCAGAAAGGGGACTTGGATGTCCTGGGGAAAATAATAATTTGAATGTCAGAAGATACAGTTGTAAGTGGTGGTTGACGTGCAAATCATGTTTCAAAGAAATTTTCATAAAAGTATTTGTTTGCAGTGGGCTACTGCCAGTTAGGCCGTGGAGTGAGATATTTCACCAACTCCCTCAAGTACCCCGACATGTATCCAATGTGCCAATGCTCATCGTTTGACAACTACAAGGCTGGACACTGCAGCTGTCACAGCCGTGAAACGATGAGATTCTTGGGAGAAATCTTAACCACGTGAGTTGTGCATGAACAAAATTATTTCATTTAACTCCTTAAATGCGTGTGTAAATTTTGTTTTTATTATCAGGACGCATGGTGTCTTCCAACTTGCTGTAGTTCCTCAAACTCAAAATCCTTCGTTCACAACTTATTATAACAATAATCTCTTTGGATGATGAATCGCTTTTTGAGCGTGACGTTAATTTTACTTACTTTCTGAAAGACTTCAATTAACCAAAATTGTTGAAATGATGTATACATAAATATAACAACATTTTTACCTACAAGTGTTTACAATTATTTATTACAAACTATTGGGGATGATATAGTAGAAGGGTATTATCATGATGTCTTCGTCAGGGGGGATTTTTTTACCTATTTTTTAGGCCAATGATTATTCAAAGAGGAGAGAAATGAAAGCAAATCGGCCTACGTGAGGTGAAATCAAACAGCAGTCTCACATTTCCCTGGGATCGCAAAGCATCCCACTTTCCCATCCTGTGAAAGTGATCCGGTGAACGTGAAAGTTTCCATAAGTAAAGTCTGGTAGAGAAAGTTCTTGTGGACATCGAGTTACGATATCGGGTTTATGGGAACATCTTTCTCAAAACTTAGTTTTGCATGTGTTCAGCAGCAGGTGTACAGGGTTGGGACGAATTGTTCTGCATGGCACGTGGGACTCATCATCTTATTATTACGACTCACGGTTGAACCCAATGCTTCCTCATAGTTGTCTAATTCCTTCTTATCACCGCAGCGGGACTCGAAAGGAATACCAACTTCCAAACTTTCATCCCATGTTGACGAGTATTTGATAATGTGATAAAAATTGAGTTTGTGCATGTGTTAGTCCTCAGCAGAAACCAAAACCATTTATAAAAACAAAGTCATTTTCATGAAATTTAACTTTCTTGATAATTGAAAAATATTTTCATATACATACAAGATAGATTACAATATACATGTGTACAAAATTGATTAATGTTATGTAAGTGTAAAGGCATAACACGTAGCTATTTAACAACGTAGTTCTACCACAGTTAAAAATGTCTGACAATCTATTAAGTTACTTTATTATTGCTACTGTCCATCGTACAACAGAGTGTCCTTATACTAAAATTCGTTTTCTTGTTATTTCCTAAAAAATCAGAAATGTTCATTGAGATCAAGAGACAAGTATGCATTGAGCTTTCTCTACCTTCTACATACCTATTTTGGCAGACTCAGTTTTAGGTCGTCTTCTACTCCTGGTTTCTCAACGTCCCTGTCTTTTGTACGAGCAGGACTTCGTCTTCGTCGTTGCCTGGAGGGATCCTTATATCAAAGTCGTCCATTACAACTCCAACGGGAACAAATTTTGTGACGTTGTCGGGCTTATGCCCTGGCTACACTACTGTCGTAATATTCTAGAGTTTACTGATAATATGGGAAAATGCATAAGGCCAGCTACATGTGTAACTTGCAACCAATTCAGAGTTTACTCTAGAGTTTTACTAGTAAAATTTCACTAGTAAAACTCTAGAGTTCAGAGTTTTACTACGAACTCTAGCTATACCAATGTGCTACTTCAGTGTTAAACATTGAAATTTTAAGCGGGATTTCTTATTTACTGACGAGAGTCCACTTATTTTTCCAAACATAAATTCTTAGTCTTCATTTAATTTATAAGAAAATTTAAATCAATGGAGTCGCAAATAATTCCAAGTATGAAAAATTGACGAGCTAATTATTGTTAAATCCATGTCGAAAGTTGGTCGTCAACTCTTTCTCGACGCTTTTATTTTAAACTAAATTATTATTTTTTAGATGGTAAGTTTTTAAAAGTCCCACCTCTGAGAAATAACTCTGAGATTTGGTACCCTGAAAATTACAACGGTACAAAATGCAATGTAGCTGGAGTTTTTATTTCAGCGTTAAACTCTAGAGTTAACTCTGAAAAAATTTACGACAGTAGTGTAGCCAGGGCATTAGGTGCACTGAATACTAATGTTCCGTTTTCCGAAACGTTGTAGCCTTGAATTGCTTTGAAAGCTAACAGGAAAATCACCCAGGAGCACAGAGTCACTGATCCAACTAACTGCATATTTCCAGCTTTATTACAAACTTTCAAATAATTTTTATGCTATGCATTCCCTACTTTTGAGACATACCTTAATATACCTTAATATTAGATAATGTTTTTTCAACGAGTTGTGTAATAATAATTTTTTATTACTAATAAATCCAAAGTCTCGAAAGCCTTATGAATCACAGGACATGATTAACATTTGATTCTAATATGTGCAGTACAATATGCATTATGCTTCATTGTCAACTTCTGAAAGACCTTCATTGAAATGAATGACAATGCATTAATTTCCTCGTGTTGGTTGGTGGTGGTATTTATTTATGTAGTCATTTCAACATTTAAAATTGCAAACATAAATCTTTATTGTAACATATTAGTGGACATAAGAATTGATTAGTTTCAATGTTGAATCCGGACATTTTCGAAACGCTACAACCTAATTTCGTTAAAATAATTTTAAACTCATAATTTTGTTTATAAACACGTTTACATACATTACACCTGTATGCATATACATGAGTAGATACGAAATTGGTTGATATAAGGATGAATAACAGATAACATTAAGAAATATATTGATCGTGTAACATATGGGGGCAGGTACGGATGGATTATTGTAATTATTTCAGCAATTGAATCGAATAGTGACTGGGTTTAATTTGAATTTGTATGCCATGTTTCATTTACATGTCAGAATCTGATGAAGGAGGAGTATTTTTGAAAAGTCGTAAACACTTACAAGGGAAAAGGAACATAAGAAAATTATAAATGAACTTCACTGTTCGTACACGCTGTTGTCGTAGAGGGAGGAAAGTGCTGTGGGGGTGACGACAAACTTTGTGAGTCTGTTGGGCCCAATCTCGCTGATAAAGATGGCTTCACCGTTGGGAGAGACGGCAATGTCATGGGGCGAAATGAAGGATCGGCCAGAGGTCCATGTGTCCACAACTTGCGACGTTTTCCAGTCCAGTGTCAACCCTTGTGTTTGTGCAGGAGAGGACCCCGCCCCATTCACGGCATACAATCTCCCTTCTGCGTAAAATAAAACGAATCTCATTCATGCTGGCTTAATAATTAAATTACTCTGAAACGTGACTAGAATGAATAGTGGGACAACTCACTAGCATATGTGATCCCGAAAACTCTGCCAACATCAACACCATTCGTGACGGAAACAATCTAAGAACAGGGAAAAAATTAGTAGAATAATAATATCTGCTTCAGATAGTGAAGCAAGTCATGCATTCGGGTGTACCATAATATAACGAAATCATATCATGGCTTGTGTCAATATTTTTGTCTAATCCATTCCATACCTGTCCAAACTGCTGTGGATTTTGAAGTCCGGCATTAATGCAGAGGATTCTCCGGTGTTCTCGATCAGCAATGCAGAGCACTTCATCCTCAATCAAAGCCAGGCTGTGTGGAATGGCCAGGGCAGACCCTTTCCCCTCCATCCAAATCCAACCTGTAAAAAAATTGGAAAATTTGTTGGTTGGGTTGTTTGAGAAAGTCATTAGAACAAAACCTCTCTGCCGTCCCTCTCTTTCTCCGTTTTTGAGAGAAAGCAGGATAGACAATGGGAACTGCATGTAACAGAGCAGAATTTGGTGGCAGAGAGCGCAATAAAATTAACCTCCATCCAAGACATACGCCACCACGGCTTGAAATACATTTTCTCGTCCAGGAGGAGGGCGAGATAAAGTCGATGTTGGTTGGTTCCATCAATTCTTAAGTAAGCTGCTTCTCAGTTCTCTGCACGGCTGAGTAAACGGTACTCAATTTCAGAGTTGGACATAAAGTTAACAACCAGCACCAGCCACGGACTGAGCCAAAGCTAACTCCACCAAGATTTTGTAGAAAGGAAAGAGTGGGTTCCTACTCCAATTTATATTTATTCATTCTTTTGAGAGTCTGTATGTCTCTCTACCATTACTTTCCAGTGAAAGTGCTACAGTGAGATGAGATTTTGGTTTGCAAACGAACCTGAAATGACAACCTGAAAGTCTCAGAAAGCCCCAGTTTTGTAAAAGAAATCCTATAATCTATTCGATTAAATATCCTGGAGGACCAACAGTGTATGACATAGGAAACTCGATTTCTAATTATAAAAGTATGCCTGTCGAGTATTCTCATACAGCCCGTGACCTAAATTATCCTTGGTGCTGAACCAAGTCAGAAAGTAATGGTACCTAGAATGGGGGATTGAATAGAAGCAATAACAGTAAAATATACCTTCATCTCCGTACTTGGCCAAGAATTTCCCATCCTTCGAGTACTTCATGATCCGCGAATTGCAATAACCGTCTGCCACGAAAAACACTCCTGATTTCGAAACGGCAACATCAGTTGGCTACAGCAAAATAGATAACACGGCATTTTAGTTGAGCACGTACAACATATCGTGATTTATAGTTTGCTATGAACAAGCGAGCACGAATTCCACTTGAAATTCTATGTCCCTGCAGATTAAATACCTTGCAAAAATGCTCGTTGCTTGTTCCAGGTTGGAATGCTTTCCCAATGGTTAATTCTGGTTTGTCTGCACCTGGCGTGAACTGCAACAAATAAGGCGTGATGACTATGTACATGTGTAGATATGCAACTGGCGTATTTACATAGGTATGTTAAACCAAGTGTTATTAAAACCGTACCTTGAATACTTGATGAAGAGCTACATCAGTCACCCTACAACAAAGTTTAAATGACATACAATTCATGGATGAAAGTGAAAATTCAGGGTAAAAGTTTTTCTTACCAAATGCTACTGTTGTGATCAATAGTGATTCCGTGAGGCATATAAAATAGATTTCCACCCCAAGATGCAAGCATTTGACCAGTTTTCCCATCCAGAACCACCATCGTGTCTTCCTCAATAGGACCTTCTTCTTGCCTTTGATAATGGTTCGTTTCATTGAATGATCTATCATTATGAAGAATTTTGTATTAAAAAAGGTTTCCACTGCGGTCATTTATACAATGCTGTCAAATGTTTAAAATTTACCCAGCATCCCAAATGACTGTGCCCCTGTGAAAAATTATTGGGTTGCCAGACCTATCGACATCCACTCCGGAAATCTGGCCTAAGTCATATTCTTCTAGCGGCCACCCTTCCACTTCCTCCGGGTGAAACATGTCTCCCATAGTCTTAAGTAAAATTAAAAAAAACGTCTTCCTTCATTCTCACATCGTTAGGTAAATAAAGGGTTAAATGGGATACACCTATGTCGTCAATTATCACTACGCTATGAAATTCTTCTCATAAGTAACTCTACCATACTCACTCCTAATACTAACCAACATTCTGGGTATCCATTTACATTAATTCTGGACAACTTACCTTTTCATCAAACTGTCCCTTCAGCAAAGCCTTAACATTCTCTTCAGCCTTTTGAAACTGCGTCGAAGCTCCCGAACAGATGAGACTGCAGGTCCACGTTGCAACGAGGTAGTTCAGTGTCAACGACGACAAAATTCGTTTGAACCCCATTGTCATGCTTAACTAACTGTAAGTAGATTTCGCGATACTGCACTGACGTGGTACTGTTTGGACTAGGTGAAAGCAAATACCAACTTTAAACAGCAAACCCTAGAATTCCAGTTTATTGCAAGTGCAGGTAGTATGACTATGCACTTATACACTTGAAGTAGTGTCCCGTACACAAATTACCACCAAATGTTCACCGCCCAAACGTTAAGGGTTGTTTTGGAACTAAATGGAAACCACGAATACAAAATATTTGTTGCAAAGTGAAAGCAACTAAAAGAAAGTTGAGATGTGTTGCTTGGCTGAGGAGGGTTGACAGTGTGGAGAAAGGAAGAAAGGAAGGAAGGTAGGCAGCAGGCGGAGTGGAAGGCGACCGAAATAGAATGGCGTAGGTGGCCCACAGGTTTAGTGACAGCTGTTGACTATATATTGCTTTCTCTGGCATGCGAAACTTGACTGACTCGTGGACCCATCGTTTCTCCCCCAAGAAAAAGGAGAAGAACATCCGCTTGGGTCTCGTTCCACGTTCGCACACAAGAGCATGGGACGGATGGAAATCATGGTGGTGGTTGGTGGTGGAAGAGAAAGGGAGAAAGTTGGCTATGCATTTCACTTACCATTTGGTTACAGGAAACGACCATAACTTTCGGATGGAGGGACCCTCTCTCGCCCCCAGCTTTTCCTTACATCCATCCTCATTCGCAATTCCAGCGCTGACTACGTAAGCAAATCTTCGCTATACCCACTGTTGTGCAGGCTAGCTACTATTGCTTTCTCCACAAACTCAAGTGTGCAGCATAGCTTGCGTCGCACAGAGTTGCCACAAGTGTAAAAAGACGTGAAAAAAGGTTATAATGACAACATTATGCATGCGTAGCCCAATTAGATCGTGATCATACTTGATTACGTCAATCCGCTTTCATTCTTCTCTCTCTCCATGCAACACAACATTCGAAAGTGAAGTTTGTACATGCCATTGTTGATCACCACCACAGGGGGTTGCAGTTAATGTATGGTCGTGGGACAGGGAAAAATTCAATGTTGTGATTACTGATCTTTTAAATTAATTAATGTTCCTAAGTAGTGCATACATAGTTAGTAGAAATTATTGAAATATATATTTTTTAGGTATACTTTATACGCTGTTGCATAATTTGCCAAAGATTTTAAGATTTAATAACTGCGTTTGTTACGAATGGCCACACTAATATTTATATAACCACTACGAAAATGTATCATAAATAAAGAGACATAGTTTTCCTTGCTTTGTGTAGATTTCTTCATACTAGTTCAAGAATAAATAAAATGAATCAAAAGGGTTTGGATTGACGCAATGTGTATTGAAATGTTGTGACTCGAGTAAGAACGACGAGAATCTAATAAATTATTCATGTTTTCAATCTTCAGAGCGGTTTGAAGCAGAAGCTTTCTCTTTTTTTAAAGCCGAAGACGGGCAGCTCCACTTCACTCGTAAAAAAATGTAATGCTTGATGGAATCATATACGCTCTCGTCATTTTATGTGAGCGTTGAAAACCATGCTAGTCAAGAAATTCATGGATTTTATACATGCACGTTACATACTGACATTGTGTTGCTCTATTATCATTAATACATGAGCGATTTATCTTTACATAATACAATAATCCATTCCTTCTATGAGATGAAAATAAATTAAGAAGATTCGTATAAATAAAAGTTTTTTCGAGTTTTTAAACAATTTTATTGTAAGTATTGATTTTTTATTTGAGGAAACCCATAACTTTATATTTATTGTTTTATTACCTTATGAATTTGCATAAGTTTATTGAGATTTGCATATCTGTCTATTTTTGAGCCCAGGAGAAAGTTCTTGTTGTTCGCTGTCTAATTAAACGAGGGCGTCAATATATCCCATGAGTAAATTCAGTAAACCAAATAAACGGTTTCTGACAAATCTCAAATTTCTTGGAATCTGGTAGCAGACAAAAAAGACCATTCTTTATGACTAATCATAATTTTCACTGAAGGTACTGCGTGCTAAATTTGCATTGCTGCACGATTCTGAACACTATAATTGTGTATAAATTAATTATTATCCCGTTTCCTATTTGGAGGTGAGGGAGCGAGGAAGACTTTTGTCAGATTTGGCCTTGTGAACATTGTGGAGCTTCTTTTTATACCGGGTTGACTTGGAAGGTTGATTATTGAAGAAGCCTTGAGGTTGTGTCCAGAGATAACTAAATAATGAGATACAGATAGTGTTAAGAGGTTTGGAAGATACACAACAACATTTGGTAATATTCTTAAATGCAACAAATTATGCAAACCCTGGTCGATCTATGTATCGCTTGAATTACAATGGTGAAAGCGAAAGAAAGCAATATTTAAAAACCAAATATTGGAAAATGCTACTGTGACGAAAGATGTGCTTTGTATTTAGATAGATCACAGAACAAACAAATGCATTGAAATTTACATGATTTGCCTTACCCTGCATCTGACATGACGCAATATGCTGAAATAATAAAATTACAAATGTGATTACTAATGACTAAATCAAAATAGATCAATAATTTACCGTTGTAATATCGCCCAGGACTGCTGTGATTCAATAATTGAGGGGCAATTAATAACTGCCACATGGCGACAAGCTTTCTCAAATCTGAAGCGTTCAAATTCTTACCTGCAGAAAGACCAGTAAGGACACCGACAGCGAAATTTAGTTGAGAATTCTTCCTTGCACATTTCATTCTGGAACCCATTTAAATATATGTATACAAGAATTCACATTGTTTAGAATAATTTTAGAAAAGACAAAACTAGTGTCGCTTCCTCACCAAGCCGCATATTCGCTAAAAATATGAATTCATCGCATACATATTAATTATTTTGGTAAACCTGAACTATGTGGACTACGTAATAATGTCATCCGTTTGATGATTACCTCGGACAAGTAGTCGTTGACGGAGTTGTCATATCGCTCTTTGTTCCGGGGTGGTCTACTCGGCTTCACTTTCAAACTTTTTGTACTCGGAGACGACTTTGCCATTATTATGTTTGGTACATTGGCTGGGAGTACGGCGACAGATACAGCAACACAAACGCACAAGATGAACAATCTGAGGTAGGCGGACATTTTATTGCAATTGTGGCAAGTGCAAGTATTCTTGTTTATTCAATAGCCAGAATAGTTCGAGACCCCTAATGTAGATATTTCGAGTAAACTATGTCGCCTTTCACCAAGAGTTGTGATATAGAAAGTGCGATGGAGAAAGTTGCTTTCTCCAAGGTTATATTTCTGCGCAGGGTGCAGTTCACAGTTCAGCCGCTTTCTACTCGTATATACTATAACTTCATCCATGAATACCTAGTGAGAGCGAAAAAAGAGCTTTCTCCAGTCTGAAACAGCATAGTCAGGGATATGTACTTAAAACGAGTCGGTAATTATAATGTTTTCTCATTATGCAGATAAATCAAGTGTATCAATATTAATATGTATAGTATTAATATAAAATCGTCATTTATTCAATCCGTACATGTGTCTCATAATTTTTTTCCCACTGCAGAAAGGCTTTTTCATATATAAATATGTATAACTGCGTGATTAAATAACTTTATAAATAAATTCCCCAGTTTCGTCATAAAAAGAATTTCCTTTCTGGTAAATATCTTGTTTGCTTCCGATGGGAACATTTATTCTATCCTCGAACTGATGGTCACGGCTTCTCTGCAATTAATGACAACAAATTAAAAATCCGTAACATCACTTCAAAAAGAAAGTATTTATTCCTTACAATATTATTCCATTCACTTGGTCCAGTTCGATTGTTGCTGTTTTCTGGAACGCTTTCGTTGTGTCTTTGCTTGAATTTATGAATGGGCGCACGATTGCTACTATCAGCCTCGTTACCTTCATCTTGTTCAAACTCTGAAAGACTTGTGGGCGTTGGTTCGGTTGAATTGTCATCCAAAGTTGCAAGATGCTGAATTTCTTGATTTCTTGATTTGGCACCTCCCTCCAATTTCATTTTTGATTTGAATTCAGTAAACGTCATATATCTGTTTAAAGACACTTTCATTTTTCTTAACTCTTCATTAGTTTTAGGGGTGCCTTCCAGATAATAAAAGTCTCCCAAATCGGGTTCCGTTTTGCTTCCCTGCTGATGACGCATTAACGACGAGGAACGGACACGTTCGGAAGATAACAATGAAACTGAATTAGTTTCCGAGTCTGGCTTTGGAGGGGATGAAACCAATCGTTGAAATTCTCCGATAAATTTTACAGGTTCCATCTTCAGAAGCATGGTTTTGTCATATTGATCAACAAGGCCTACATGTAATGGTATCTTATCCCTTATCTTCATTTTCTCTTGTAAATCTGGAGTCATATCGATCTCTCCGCGTTTAATACTTTCAATCCTTTCAGCCACGAGCTTATCATGGGCTTGGATATCTTGCATTGACCTTGCCCTATAACTCGATTTGACTAGTTTTGAGACTCCATTGGGTGAGATAGGAAAAGATAAAGAAAGTGCATCAGGAGTCCATTCTTCTGGATTTGTGGAATGGAGGTAGCGAATCTTCTCTTTCTCGGCATATGTTAAAACGCTAATTTCCTTCTCGTCCATAACCTTTTTAAAATGTTTCCTGTACATTTTATTTTTTCTAAATTGCGATCGAAGCTCTGCATATTCTCTGAAAATAATAAAATAACACATGTGATCACTGATGACTAAATTGAATTAAAAGTGTAAGAAATTACTAATTTACTTACCGTTGCATATCGTCAAAACTATCATTATTAAGTACATCCAAATCCGTTTCCCCAATATCGCCTCGAACTGCAAATTCATTTTTCAACTCTTTATGAAAATCCTTGCGTACTTTCTCCACGTCCAAGTCGTCAAAGTTGATTGGTTCGTTTTTCTTGCGACTAGTGTTACGAATAGCTGAGAACCATAATTATACTTGTAAATATAATACTATAATTTACATTGAAAGACATCGTATATTAAATGCATGGGAATGCTTACCCACTGGTCGCACAATGTTGGAGACACTGGATGCAAGATTGCGTATTTGCAGATGATTTGTTTCAGAGCCAGAAATCGCAGCTTGTTCGAGCACTTTCACCACCGTACGAAGAGAAAGCATTCTCAGGATTCGAGACATGTAATACGCCTATTCCCTTATTTACGATGACCTAAAACGAACAACTTAAATAAAATCAATCATTAAATTAGTACAAGAAATAAATTAAAAAACCAGATTCGCTAATTCGCTCGCAGCCTACTGCACCATTCATTTCAAATGAATCCATCTCAACATGCACCCGGGAAGCATTTAACATCAACATCTGCGATCTGCGAACGCGTTTAGTTGTTTGCAAGTTGTTTGGTTAATTGACTATTCATTTGAAAAAATGCAAGTTCAATTCAATTACTATTGACAAAGTATTGGGTGTCCGACAATTTGTTCTAATTTGACTCCAAAGTGTATACAACAGTGTTGAATAAAGTATGCCGGAAATCAAGTTAATTCCACTGGGTATGAAGTCAAAACGATTTTGTGTTTTAACTAATCAATAGAATATTTATGAATTGTTAATATTCTACGCTTTAGGGGCTGGGCAGGATGTAGGCCGAAGTTGTCTTTTACTCTCGATCGGCCAGAAGAATGTAATGTTGGATTGTGGAATGCACATGGGTTTCAACGATGAAGTAATTTTAACAAATTGTTCCACTTTTTCGTTAAGAGTTATTGTCTAATTGTGCTAATATTTAAATATTTTTCAATTTCGCAGAGAAAGTTTCCGGATTTTTCAGTGATCACTAATAGCAAGATGAATTTGACAGAGTATTTGGACTGCGTAATAATTTCTCATTTTCATTTGGACCACTGTGGAGCATTGCCTTTTATGACCGAGATGGTAGGGTATAATGGGCCCATTTACATGACACACCCGACAAAAGCAATTTGTCCAATTTTATTGGTAGGTTTATTCTGTACCAAATGAGTGAAATGTATGTGTGGTTTACATATATATTTTTGTGTTCAGGATGACATGCGAAAAGTTTGCGTCGAACGTAAGGGAGAGACCAACTTCTTTACACAACAAATGATTAAAGATTGCATGAAAAAAGTAGTCGCCGTGAATCTCCACCAAACTTTAATGGTTGATGATGAGTTGGAAATTAAAGCTTACTATGCTGGTCATGTTTTGGGAGGTATTTGTCCACATTTTATTTTACACAGTCTGTCTAATCCTGAAACCAATTTGAAATCAACCATTTATTCACTACAGCCGCAATGTTTCGCATAAGAGTTGGTGAGGAATCGGTAGTTTATACGGTACGCTAATGTTTCGTATTATTTATTCTATGTTTTTCTTAGAAACAGCAATCTGTAGTACATATCCAACATTTTATATACGAAAATTTTAACCATTTTAACCAAAGAAATAAACATTACTTTGGTCATTAGGGCGATTATAACATGACTCCTGACCGACATTTGGGGGCTGCGTGGATTGACAGGTGTCGCCCAGACCTCCTAATCACGGAGTCAACATACGCCACTACTATCCGGGATTCAAAACGTTGCAGAGAAAGAGATTTTTTGAAAAAAGTTCATGACTGTGTTGACAAGGGTGGAAAAGTTTTAATCCCTGTGTTTGCGCTAGGAAGAGCGCAAGAATTGTGCATTCTGTTGGAAACTTACTGGGAACGGATGAACTTGAAGGTATATTTATGAAACTAATAAAATAAAACACTTCACTTGGAATATTATCATTAATTTTTTGTGTTGACAGGTCCCGATTTATTTCGCTGCAGGCTTAACTGAAAAAGCCAACAACTTCTATAAAATGTTTATTACTTGGACCAATCAGAAGATTAAGAAAACATTTGTGCATAGAAATATGTTTGAGTTTAAGCATATCAAACCTTTCGACAAACAGTTCATAGACAATCCTGGTGCAATGGTGGTGTTTGCCACTCCAGGTACGCATACTACCTACATAACACTGTATCAACTAAAAAATTCCGAGACATTAATTTGCTTATTAGGAATGCTTCACGCTGGACTGTCTTTACAAATATTCAAAAAATGGGCTCCAAATGAAAATAACATGGTACATGAATATATATATCGAGCCAAGATTTTGCACTAAAGTTTGAAGCAAAATAACACTATTTCTTGATAAAGTTGAAGCTTCAGGCTATGTCCAGACGTAAGGTTTAATTTATTTGGGATATGTAGGTCATTATGCCGGGATATTGCGTGTCTGGAACTGTAGGTTCTAAAATATTAAGCGGGCATAAGAAAATCGAATTCGAAAATGGTCAAGTTGTGGAGGTGAAAATGTCTGTCCAATACATGTCCTTCTCCGCCCATGCAGATGCAAAAGGAATTATGCAGCTAATTCATTACTGCCAACCTAAAAACGTGCTTCTTGTTCATGGCGAAGCGGCTAAAATGGAATTTTTGAAGCAGAAAATTAATCAGGTAGATATTATTCACTTAATCACTTATTATAAGCCCATATTATTATGGCACAGTTCACGATTTATATAAATGGAATTAAATTTCAGGAATTCAAAGTTGAATGCTATATGCCTGCTAATGGTGAAACTTGCACAATTACAACAAATCCCGACATTCCCTTGGACATTGCTGTCCCAATTATTAACAAGGAGGAAACGGAATATGACCAACAACCACCAGATCCAAAGCGGCAAAGATTGGTCCATGGTGTCATGATTATGAAGGATAATGTAAGGATAATTATAAATAATTAAATATCACCGTAAAAATAAATATAATTGTAATACAAATGTTTTTTCTGAAGCGCTTGAAAATATTGGACGTTGAGTCTGCTGGTGCAGAACTGGGGCTTCCTCGTCACGTAATGCGCTTCACAGAAAAAGTCACAATCCGTGAGTTTGGAGCAATTTCACGCGTTACTGACAAAATTGGAGCTCTGTTAAGAACTCGTCTTAATGCGTCCACCCCTGTGGACACCCTTTCTGAAAATGAGATCTCTGTCGATGGTGGACGAGTAACTTTAAAAATAAACCCTGTTCCCAAAACTGAAACTGCAAAAGAAATATGTACCACTTGGGGAATGGAGGTAATCAAAAGAGAGTTTTACATTCCGATCTGACTAATGCGGTGATTATTGTATTATGGATAGATTCGTACATTTTCTTTGTTTCCAATTTTCAGGATGATGAACTTGGAGCCTTCATATTTGCGCTAATGGCCAACATGACGTAATTAACTTACCAATTCTTGCATCGTTTTTATTTTTTCGTGTGTACTATGTAATTGAATCTAATGGGAATAAAAAAAAGTGCACAATATTTTATTGCAAACTTATATCGAGTGAAAGTAAAAGTGAAAGCTTCTCAATCGACCCCAACCCAGTTTTGGGATTTGGTTTTTGTTCTGCGATTACATTCCAGTTTTGAGCAAGCGTGAAATAATTGTCTACGTGTTTACATAAACTGAGGATAATCGCTAGCCGATGGAATAATTTTGTGGCAATGCAATGAAAGAATGACGCTGATGTATGTCAGCAAATTGCGATCTTTACCACGCCAATTTGTGGATTGTACCAGAGTTGTCTCCTTGTCTTCAACATATCTGAAGACTGCCTATGGAGGCCTATCACACGCACAGGAAATGCAATTTTCTGGCGAGTCCATCGTGAGATCCGTTTTAGGAGTTAGACATAATCAGGCCAAGCTTATCGTCAAGAAGTTCCCCCAATTTAACTCTGCACACCCTCAACAATTGTCCACGATGGTGAAATATCTCGCCGACAAAGGTGTTCCTCTGAGCAGGATTTTAAAGAATCCCTGGTTGCTACTTATTCCTCCTGGTAGTTATAATTGATTTTCCTTTGTCTTGCCCTTGCCTGCGAGTACCAAGCGATTATTATTAAATTTCTTCTTTTAATAGACATTTTGGAGAAGCGACTAATCACTGTAATTGGGATTTTTCCTTCTCAATCCGTCCAAGTTGCGTTACCATTTATTGGATTGAAGGTCGAAAAATTGTTAGCAATCAGCTCCTTATGGAAGTTGGAAGCAAAACAGGAACCATCGCTTATCCGAGGAAATTTCTCTAGTCGCGTGGAATACCTGGCTAAAATTTTAAAGGTATGTAAATAATTATCAAGCCATACTCCAACACTTACCTCCGGCTGGGGTACTTCCCCGTAAACATAAACCCATAAAATTGACCTATCTTTCTTCATCTAATTATTTTTTTATAACGCCTTAACAAATAACCTTCGGGGTTTAAATTATGCGAACAAATCAAATCAATTAAATGTAACGCCATTAGTATTAAACATATTTAGTTTGTATCTATGTACGTACAGTGTGGTGAAATTGAAGTTGCCGACTTTATGGTACGAGTGAAACGCCTGCCGATGCTGCCATTTAAAAAAATTGAAACCGTTTTACAGTTGTTATTAGGTGAGTGATTAAGGATAATGATTCTGAGTTATGCACTAGTCACATATTCCAATCACTTATTTTATTAAAGAAGGAGGACTTAATCACATTGACATTATAGAAGATCCTTGGATATTTATTCACAACCTAAGTGTAATGAAAGAAAGACTGGAAGATGCAAATTTTCACGGACTTGCTGAAATAAAGCCGTGGATGCTCAGATGTTCCGAATCCAAATACAAATCGTAAAATAGATATAGAATCACACAACAATCAATTATTCAACATCAAATTTATTTGTCTTCAGTTACGTTGAGCGAGCAAGAAAAGAACAAGCTATAAAACACAAGAAAGAAAATATTGACAGTTTTCTTCAGCGACGATTAAATTGGAGTGCAGATATTGCAAAGGATACACTGCGTAGAGTTCCATCTATTCTGAACTGTAAAGCATCGAAACTAGAAAATATGATAAGTTTCTTACTTATAAAAGGATTCAGTTCAGAGGACATTGCGGCATGTCCGAGAATACTACGACAAAGTGGTACGCCGTTTCGCAAGTTGAGACTCTCAACCATTTACGTATTTGTTAAGCTCCTATAATAATTTTATTTTCTTATAGTTGCAACTGTAAGCCTAAAGCTGGAAGAGTTGTCGGAATTGACACATGGTCGTGACTGCTCGATCAAATCGCTGCGTATTTTGTGCGAAAGCAATCAAAAATATGTCAAGTTCCTCAACTCGTTGAAAGCTAAGAGTATGCCTCAAATACCATACTATAATAAAGCTATGACAGACACGACGGAATCGGCCCAAAATGATGCGCCAGCTCATTAACTGAAAAATAAAGACAAATTAATTAACATTGTAATTTTAGGAAAAATAAAGTCTGACTATTTTAGGAAATCGAAACTACTTACAATCACTACTATTTCGTCGAAAACTTAGAATTGCACTCCAACACTTTTTTAGCGTGTCTTCCAGTAATATCATAGTACGTATAGATACTCCAATATGCCATACTTTTCCAAGAATTTCACTCATTTCTCCCATCTAGACAATACAATACAATACGGATAACTGGTAAAAGCTTAAGAAATTAGTCTCCTACTACTAGTAATCTAGTAGTAATCAGTGGTTACCTTTCGTAAGATAAGTTTTTCCATCACAGGGTTTTTGAGTAATTCCACTTCGATTGTTTTGAGGTGACCTCCATGAACTGCAAATAAATTCAAGTATATGTTTATTATATTAACTGATTTGAGCTATGTAATTAATTATGCAAAGTGGTAAAGAAATGTCAATAACCTCGTCGAATTAGGTCAACTTCATTATTAATGTTTGTAGTGCAGAAATTGACATCTTTTACAAACACTCGGCAAACCAAATAAGCACGCAGACTGGAACAAAAATGTAAGAAAGCGAATCGGAAGAGTAGCATTCGATGAGGCTCGACACCTTCAGCAGTAGGTTTGAAATCTGCCAAATAGTTTTGGACATTATATTTATAGAAACAACTTTGATGCATGTATCTTGAAATGTTCAATTTGATTCTACCTTTCATATTCAAGGCACTAATTTCCCAGAGACTTTTTCGTATTCTAGACAATTGACGGGCAACAAACCTATAGCCCTCGATAGAATCTTCAAAAAGCACCAAATTGAGTGGGAAACGAGGAGTGACGACAAGGGTGTAATTTGTGTCGAGTGTCGAGTCCATCTCAAGTTTAAGGTCGATATCAAAATTGTCTCGTCCTTCTGGGTAACAATCGGCCAATAATTTCTGAAATGCAGGATTACGACAGGATGCTTCTCTCCATTTCTGAACAAAATAATAATTAATTACATGTAAGTAATTAGTTTCCAACCGGATAAAATAAGGTTGATTTTGTTTGTGTGTGAAGGAAGCAAGTAGACTTACATATCTGCTAGACTTGACATTTGTTGATACTAAAGCAATCAGGGATTGTGCAAAATCCTCTCGTGTTTCCAAAATAATTTCTCTAAAAAGTTGTAAGCTCTGATCCACCGAGTAATCTTCAAATATTTTATGGATGCAGAGGTTTGCTTTCGAACACAGAGGGTTGTACCACTTGTACAGTATAGTTTCCAAAGCATGCCAACTGTTCATTGTTGGTACTTGTTTGATTGAGAGATTGAACAACCATTTGTAGTCGGAAATCTTGGGCATAGAATCCTTCCCATCATCTTTTTTAAGTCTTTGTCGATTTTTCCTTAACTCTTCTAGAATGAGTTTCACAGAATCGGATTCTAGCGAATTTTTCAATCCTATGAAGTTTATGTATTTTTCATAATCTGGATTTAGAATGAGTTCTTCGGGATCAATAGAGGGAGAGTCTTCTTCAAGTGGTTGAAATATCGTGTTCAAAAAGTCTTTTACCATTTTTTTAGCATCTGGAGGATGTCCAATAATTTTGACATTGTCTTCGTCCAACTGTCTAATCATTTCTGAAGTCTTTAAAACTACCATCACTTCCTCAATGAGTTTGTTAAAGAAGGAGACTGAAAAGATACTATAATTGCTAGCATTGATGCTCTGGTATTCACGTCGCCTTATGCATTCTGTCCAGAAATTTGGATCCGAAATTTTTACTTCCGGAAATCTATGTCAGAGGAAAAATAAGAGGAAATTATTAGATATGCAATATATTACTCTAGTTAATAAATGTTGTCCCCTCTCCTTCCACAAATACTTTTGCATATGCATAGATAGGACTTGAAGAATGCTTTCTAACCTCTCAAACAATAAATGTTCATTCCAATTCAATGTTAGGGACGAGTTAATTTCTTCCAAAAATGCTTGTAGGCATTGTAAAAACAGGTATTGGGCAAATCCAAAGTTGATGGGATGTCTTTGCACATTTAATGTCCTAAATAAGCTGTAAAATACGTTGAGACATGAAACTGCATCTTTTTCCGACGCGAAAGTGGATGGTGAAGATGGTTCATTTAAAGTTTCAAAGTTACTTGTATGTAAATCGTGCAACATTTCGACACATTCGATATTTGGTTCAAGCTTAGTCATTAGTTGGACTAGTGTGGTAATAACGGGTAGTTGTCTTTGGGTTTGTTCATTAGTAGGACTTTTGTTAGCTTTTTTGATACTCATTTCCAGTTTCTCCACACTTTCTGATATAAAGTTTAATATATCAGCCAGACCTTGAGCATAGGATAGTAAAATTGGAGGAACAGGAGATTTTGCAACTTGATGAGACGCTACTGTTGTAGATGCTTTATATACTTTGTGTACAAACATTTTTAAAATGTGCATAGAATGCAAAGTTTTCTGCAGTGGAAGCATAAATGACGATAGTGATTTACAACTTAGACTTGACGTCATAATGCCAGGTTTTAACCTCCAGTCAGAGTTAAATACTTGAGATGATTCAGCACTTAAAATAGAAAACTGCCATAATATTTCCCGAATAAGTATTTTTTCCGGAATTATTAGCCTCTGAGATTGATGAGTATCATGTTTCCATTCCCTACAAATTTTGACACACAATAATCTGCAATTTGTCTCATCATAACCAAATATGATTTCCAGAACTTAATAAATCAATCTTTTACCAATATTCTCCAAATTTAGAGTGTAATGCTAACAGTCCAGTAATGACTGGTTGATTTTGCAGTGGCACTAACGATGTGCTGTTATTACATTTGTTTTTCCAAAGCCCTCTCGCTTTATCTGATTCTGCCTTCCAATGTTCTTTCATTTCTAGCCGTTTGGTTTCTTCGTCTATGTTTAAAAATAAAAATAGGGACAATAGTTAAGAATGACAATAATGATAAACTCACAAGCTGGATTTGATAGTAGCAAAGAAGATGAAACTCACCAGGTGGTAGCTTAATTGCAGAAAAGTCTGAGAAACTGTGTGAAGGTTTTACCAATGACGCTAGTGAAGTCACTTTAGTTGTAGATACCTCTGGCTTTTGACTCTCGTCGCCACTGGACCAATCCTGAATTGTTATTACATTAGTGGTCATGTCACATTCTCACTCATGCCATATTTAAACTTACGCTCAATTCACTATCCGAAGAGTATGAAATTGTTATATTATCACCCTCATCAAGTCCCGATACATCTCCCAGAATTTCTTTCAGCAGTTCTTTCGTACGCAATGAATCACCTTCATCACTCATACAATCATCTTGTATTTCCGAATACTTGTAGTCCTCCACCGTAAGTTGAAGCAGTGATGTTGGGCGTTGACTCATCTGAATCAAGAATTGGACCATCATTTTCAATAGGTCATCCTGAAATAAGATTACATATGCGCAATTTAATCATACGTATAAATATATGTATACCTATGATCTGATTCAATAGTACCTAAATCAAGTTTAATATTTGTTATTACATTTCCTGTCAGTTTCTTTGTCAATATACCGTAAAGGTATCGGAGTCGATCACCTCGCTCTTGATAACAGTGAATCGTTAATTTATCTGCAACTCCGTGCATTTGATTCTCTAATTGCTGTTTATCTATTCCCAGCATGGAATTTCCAACTTTGAGAAATGGGGGTTGAGATTCTATCAAGTATTCCAATACACTCGTCTCCTATTATTATAAATATAAATGTTATATAGTACAAAATTATTAGTACAAATTACAAACTTTAATTAAACCACATATATACCCTTTGCATTTTGGAAACTGCTGCTTTCGCTACTTTGTATGATTTCTTGTCATATTCAAAATACTCCGGAATATCTAGTGAATCACACATCTTCAAACTGTCTCTACCGCTTCTGCAAAGCAATCACAATTTCGTTGTTTATATTTCATCAAAATAAACAGAATCTTATTAAATTCTTATTACATATTAAACCACCTCAATGTAAGTCTTAATGAAACAAATTTCATACTTGCATTACATCACAATACATACGCAACAATAATATTACCATACATATAGCAAAATAGCAACACTATGTAATTACTAGACGAATGTCCATGAAAATGCAAAATAAGAACTTATTTTGCATTTTCGAATCTTAATAAGGATAACTGGTATGGTTTATCCAAATTTGTACTTACCCCGGAACGGCACTTCACACTTGTTTTTGTTTATTTAGATCGGAAGTTAGTCGGCTTTGAAGAAGAAACCTAATCCATTCCATAGACGATTGGGGCATACGTAGCAATTCCCGCAAACTACCAAAATAATGAGACGACGACAGTGGTTTGCAGCATACAATAAATTAATTTTCTGAGTATACACACATTTTTACAGGATACTTTTGAATTAATTAGAAATAAAACCTTTGGAGTTGGACTAGACTAGAAATTATTCCCCAACTGAATCCATTTCACAATGCCAAAAGTAGTGTCTCGCAGCATTGTGTGTTCCGACACGAGAGATCAGGAAGAATATTCTGGGGATAAGCCATTGTTGACATATTACTGCTTGTGTGGCCAGATGACCTTAATCATTGGTAATTGTAGCATAGTCTTCAGCTTTAGATAAGTCTTGTAATAAACTAACAAAAACAAATATTGTTGCAGATTGTTCAATTGAAAACCTGCCCCTGCGGAAGCGGGACGGTGCTCGAGTAATTGACGGCTCCAAGCACGCACATAAAATAACCTCCGATCCTGATGAAACCGTTTTCTTGAAGAGGGAAGAAGGCGTTGAAAAACAGCATCGACAGAAGTGTAAAAGGTAAGAAGCTATATAATCTATCTGCTACTGTCTGATGATTTAATGTTTCGAAATGCGTCTGATAAAGTTTTTTTATTTTTTGTCATTAGGTGTGGTCTGCTTTTATACTACATGCACAACGTAGTTGGGAATGTTATTTTCGTCGTTCGTGGTGCACTAACCACAACTGGAGAAGGTCCCATGAGTAATATCTACAACCAAGTTCCAGCCGTGGAGCGCAAACCTTTAATGGTCACAAAACATACAAAAAATATGGGCAAGTTTAGTTCCGTTACGGTTTCCACAATTGAAGATGAGGAAGACGAAATTGAAGAGGTACAATATAATTAATCAATTAATGAATCGTAGGTTGTGATTATATTAAATACTCTATATTATTGTCATTTGTCAATTCCAGCGAGAAGTTGCAGATTCGTATGCCAACAATGCTAGAATTATTGAAAAACAATTGGAGAGAAAGGGAATGAGCAAGAGGAAGTTGATCGACCAAGCCCAACAGGAAATGGATGCCAAGAAGAGTCGTGTCAGAGGGACGTTGATTGATAAGTAGTTAGTTTTGTGGTATGATGTATTTCATATTTTATTTTAAATACGTTCGTTAGTTCTTTGATTTGTTAATAAAATAATCACGCATTGCTTCAATGGCTCGTTTCCGATGAGAAATTGCATTTTTTTCGTCTGCTGACCTGTAAACAATTAAATTTTGTATGATACTACCTGCTGCATACATGTAAATACGCTATATATAACATTTAATTTATATACATTTCAGCGTAAGTTTTATCGTATCCTGAAGGCTGGAAGCATGTGTCCCATCCGAAACCCCCTTGACCCCGTGGTTCAACGATGGTTCCTGCTGTTATACCCTGAATATATAAGCATTTTTGTTGATTAGTCCACAATCAAATGGATCAACATTTAATTTCACGAAGCTTCTTGAACCAATTCGCTAGCTTATTGCACTCATTACTTAATAATTAGGTTTTACCTTAAATAGAATAACTTCTCCTTTGTCTGAGTCGCAGTATGCTAGTGTAGCCTAGAACATAGTTGATATTTTAGTTGATATACCGAAATAAATTATTTCGGTAAGTTTACAATATGGGATCATCAATCCTCAGTGATGTACCATTGCTTTTGCTGAATGGTCTTCAAACCCGGCCAACATTTTGTGGAGTCCTTCGGGACCGATACTTTTGAGGAACCACTTGACATAGGGGCCTGGGAGACCGTTGAGAGCATCGAAGCATAAACAGGTATCCTCAACTATCACTGGCCCCTTGATGATTGAGTAAGCCGATTCACATTTCTGTCTGCTCACCGTGTCTGCATCTCCTTGGTACTCGGGAAGGTCTGCTCCGTTCGTCACCAACTTAAATGCCAAGTATTTCAATATATTACGAGTTATTAGCAGTTACACCCTTTCGTGACTCGCCATTGTTACGATTATAGTATGAATCTGAGACGAAAATGTTGGTCTTGGATAGATTCTTACCTCGTATGGAAAGCTTTCTCCAAGAATTGTATTAATTTCCTTCAACTTATTTGCATTTCCAGTTACAATTGTAATTACTTTCTTGGAACTATCCATTGTTTTATGTTGAAGTGAAAATTGCGAAAGACTTTGAGTATTATTGCATATAAGGAATAGTTTGTTAGCATAAGAGGAATGCAAATGAGGATGTATAATAAACCTCTGAAAGCTTTGCAACATTGATTTGATCAGCGAGTTTAGCGTAATGTCGTAACTTAGGGGTCCATGAAACTAAAGTGACCCGGTCGCCTTCCAGAGAGTAATTATGTGCGTTCCTTTCAGAAACTATTAACTAACTGCCATTACTTTCGGGTAGCCTTTCTGTTCTCTCTCAGAGGAACGTAGTGCAACCGGGTTGATTTTGTATTTGAGAAAAATATGAGCCCACTTTTCAATGATATTAGGTATTCTCATAATGTACGAGAAAAGAGCGTCTCATTTTCCCAGCAACAATTATTGATAGTAAGAATTTTGTTGATAACCGACCGAGGTTTAACCCAATGCAATGTTCGCAACAATCGATCAGTATGAAATTCTGAAAAATATTGTTTTATTTCACGTCGAAAAAGCTGTATTACACTAATTGCTAGGATTATCACACTATTTTTGGCATCGAATGTAAACATACTACACGTACGTACGTGGTGTGTAAAAATACGAGCAATCTCCTCTTATGCCTACGTTGCATAAATAAATAGCTCTGCTCATTCGCTCGTCGTCATCACCATCACCTTCGTACTATATAAATTATTTAGCAAGTTCGATATTCTATAGCAGACATAATACATCTAAATTAAATCTTAAACAACATTATTATTCACTTCAATTCAGACTACACCCTTTCGTCACCAATCCTATATCAAATATTCTTCTAAATAGTCCACCAAATTGATCAAATGCAACCTGGTTTAAAGCTTGAAGTTGTCAAACATACCCTCTCTCTCTAGGCAAGTTTTTGAAATTAGTTATACATAAAAGTTTAGCTTTACTTTCGTTGCAATTAATGTTGAACAACAATAATTATTATTTAATTATTTTTTATATTAGCAGTCCATTCGTTATTATTAAAACAAAGTTGTGTGTGACTTGCAATTGGAAAGAAAGTAATTGGATTGGATGACTAATTTGTACTACATTTTGTCCTTTAACAGAAAACTACCAGTTGTTTTGCTGGTTAATTGGGTTTAGACTTCCGGTTTCATCAATTGATATTATTGTGGGATTTGTCCAAATGTGACACCACTACCAACGTTGGCTTGAAATCAGATCAGATTATTGTTATAAATGGAAACGCCACAAAGTAGCAGCAGTAGTGGTGGTCCCAGTACTTCCAATGGCGCTACAATAAACCCTCCTCCTCCCACGCCGAGCACCTCTGAGAACAAGGACAAGCGCAACAATGATTCAGATTCAGATAAGGAGAAGGGGGACGAGGGGATGTTCGAGTGTAACATATGTCTGGACACTGCAAAGGACGCTGTAGTCAGCCACTGCGGACATTTATTCTGCTGGCCCTGTCTTCATCAATGGTTGGAAACTAGACCAACAAGACAATCGTGCCCAGTGTGTAAAGCAGCCATATCTCGTGATAAAGTTATTCCATTGTATGGGCGTGGAGGCTCAAATGTGGATCCCAGGTTTGAGCAAATCATACTATTAATCATGCTATTAATACTCATGCCTTGTCTTATGGATGGGTGAAAAATTTCATACGTTTCATTGTTGATTTTCCTCATAATATAGGTCTAAAGTTCCACCTCGACCTACACCCACAAGACAAGAACAGTCAGAAGGGAACAGATTTTCATGGGGTGCTGGAACACAGGAGGGAGGAACTGGAGGATTCCACATGAGTTTTGGTATTGGTGCGTTTCCGTTTGGATTCTTTGCATCAGCATTAAATTTTGGACAACCTGGAGCTGGAGTAACTGGGGCTAATTTTGGAAATGCTCAACAAGTAGAAGAATACGAGTTTTTGTCTAAAATTTTCCTTTGGGTGGCGATTGCTTTTATCGTCTGGCTGTTACTAGCATAAATTTAACTAGCACAGGTCGAAAATTATCCTCGTCAAAGATTGTAACTTTGTCACACGTTTTATAAAAGAGGTACTATATATATAGTCAATACGTGAACAATGATTCGATGTGCAACGTCATTTTGGTGGTCGACTCATCGTCTGTCGAATTGTCTAGCCCAACCAAATTATGCATTATACTATCAAATTCATGCAACACGAGCCAATTCTAGAATATTAACACGGAGATTTATGTATTCAATTAATTATTGAACTTTACGTGTATCTCTTTTGTATAAACTGTAAATTCATTTTTTAAATCGCAATTATAATATATATGTACAATTACCCTTGCCCTAAATGGCAAATTCATCAGTTCAGTTCGAATAATGAAAAGCTTCCAAGTGAATTACTAAACTGATACGTGTACGAAGGAGCTTCCCCCTGTAAAATATTGACGACTACTACTACTAGTAAATCTATTGCATAATAATATCATGAATAAAATCGAAATACAAGTGGTTTATTGACTTTTCATGATAATTAGTGAATCAGAATATATAAAGAAGGAAGTTTCGGAGGGAAGACGCTATAATATGTTTTAAATGTTTTAAACATGCACTCAATTAAACTCTTTTTCTATCCGTCAACACTCGGGAGATGCATCCAAGTCCTCCCACAGCAAAAGCCTTCTCATGCCAGGAGAGTAGATGGGCGCTGGACCCCTCCGACGGGATTTCAAAGCCCCGATAAATGTATTTCATTAGTACATCTAGCATCTCTGGGTCCAGTGATTGCACGGCTTCTTCTATTTGCGACGACTTTATCGTCATCAGGACCCTTAAGGTCACTGTTGTGGCATTATCCTATAAGAGCCAATAGTTCAGTATACATAATGCAGACGAGCAAGTGAAATATGTATTTGATGGTGCAGTTTAGTTAACCCACTTTCAATTGTTGTGACTTTGAACCTAACGGTGCATTTTTCAAGCAACTCCTAAGGGCTTCAAGCCCCTTCCCTTGATTTAACAATTGAGCAATTTCTTTTTCATCAGGTCCAGAAACTGGAGAGTGCAATTCTACGGGTTCGTCCTCTTTGTAGTTATCTTCGTTGAACTCATCAACGTCAATCTTGCGGAAAGCAAAACTTCTCGTGTTCTTGGCCATTGTCTAGAAAGTAGTAGAAAGTACGAGTGATGAGCATAAGAAAAACAAACTTTTATCAGCCTATGGAGCATATTATTTATCCTACCTGCTAATATTGTGTATTGTTTATATTTGATTGATATTCCACTTAATTGATATTGGTTGACTTTAGTAACTCCAGTCTCCAACCAAACTCCGACAATTGAGTAATTACTTTATACAACTTTTCCTCTCACTCACCACTAGATAAACCATACAGGATTAAATGGTATTTAACTAATTATGAGCAAATAGCAATTAAATGAAGTATTTATGCTGAGAATTTCACAGTGCAGTGTGAAATGTCAAATGTGATGACTCAAGTCAAAAGTGATAATAAAAACACCCCGGTGAATTGTCTCATTTAGTCTCACCTTGGCTGGTGTGTGTTGCGACAGTGGACGAGAACCGCCATCTACGATGCATTGAGCCCAACAAAACCACCACACTCGCTCTCCGCTCACTTTGACTGCACTCGTGGTTCATTTTCATCGTTTTCTCCTACAGCCGGGTCCTTCTTTCTCCCAGAAATTTAAATTTACAACCACATTTCAAAATGGTAAGTGCTCCTTATATTTATTTCGTCTAGTTTGTGGGACCATGTTTTTGTGGAGAGGAAAGAGAGGATCAAGGGACACGGACCTTATCTTGCCACAAGAAGTTGCTAACCCGTGTTAATCTTTCTTTGCCTTTTTGCTAGGTGAAGGTGAAGTGCTCAGAATTGAGGACGAAGAAGAAGGAGGAGTTGGTCAAACAACTTGAGGACCTCAAGGGTGAACTTCAAGGTCTTCGAGTGGCGAAGGTCACCGGTGGAGCCGCCTCCAAACTCTCCAAAATGTAAAGCGTAAAATATAGTACATAATATACATCTTACATTACATATATACAAGTTGCTGGATTTTAATTGTGTTCTATTTAATTTACCAGTCGCGTTGTAAGGAAAGCTATTGCCAGGGTGTACATAGTTATGCACCAGAAGCAAAAGGAGAATTTAAAGAAACTTTACAAGGTTTGTGCACCGCATTTGATATTTGTCTTGTGTTTGAAGCAATGTTTCTCAATTCTTTCGCTTAAAAATGCAGAATAAGAAGCAGAAGCCATTAGACCTCCGGCCCAAGAAGACCCGTGCTATCAGAAGAGCACTTACCAAGCATGAAAAGAACCTGAAAACCCCAAAACAACTCAAAAAGTTAAGGGCTTTCCCCAAGAGAGTGTTTGCCGTTAAGTCCGCTTAAATTAATTTGTACACCTTACATTGTTTTACGTTAATAAAGCCGACAAGGTAAACAATAAGCTCTATAAGGATTACGGTTTATTGAATATATGAGTACATCGTTTCTACTTATTTATTAATGCATTGAGTTAAGTTATGTAAAAACAGGTGACACGAAGATGAATGATTTATTAATTAAGAATCAACAACAACTAGTTTTCTCACCAATATTCGGACTTAGGGCAAATGACCAAACTGGGTATAAATCTGCTGGAAAATTTTTCTGCTTAACATATTTCAAAACCTTGAAGTCGGCTTTTACAAACAAGTCCTTGAATAGTTTGAAAGGTCTCGTTGCTGACGAATCGGTCGAATCATGTTCCACCTTATCCGAATTTGTACAATTTTCTTTGACGATGAGTAGACCGTTGGGACGCAGAGCTTTCCTGCAACATGTGCAATATTCATGATCATTACTCAACTGATTTCTGGAAGAAATGCATATTTATGGAATATTACATGCAACGTTGCAATAAATCAACAAGGTCGTCGTCCGTCAAATGAGATAAGACCCATTGGATCCATATTACGTCATATTTGCCTGTGGGTGGGTTGAATTTTTGTAATCCTTCACGAATAAAAAAAAAATTTAGAATCTTTATGTATACTTTTTAACAAGAAAGAACTTACCACAACAGAAAAATTCCCCAATTTTAGGATTCCCTTCAAAGTTCTGCTTGGCTTTTTCGATAAAGTTAGGGCATTGATCAACCAAATCTACTTTGTCAAAGTATCTCGAGAGTAAATTTTTGGTGATTCTACCAATTCCGGCACCACAATCCAATGCATATGACGTTCCCGTTGGGTTAGGTAACTACATATATTGCAAACAAACTCGCTTTATCAATCACAATATCACAAACACATGTTATAAGGGGATGGAATGGAAATCATTACTTTCAACAATGTTTTCAAAAATCTTTCAGAGTTTTTTATGTCAATGTCTGTTAGGAATCCCAGACCACCCAACATTCCATTCACCGTTGGTTCAACATCCTTTAATTAAATAATGCATAAAACTAATGATACAACAATTGTCATGAAAAATAATTTGACTATAGTCAACGAATATGGCGCAGCAACTTTACACTTACTTTCCAATACTGGGCACCATCCGTGTAAAATGTTGAATCCTCTTTATCAAGAACTATTGCCTCTCCCGATTTGTTGGCTTCCTCCGATGTCATTTTGAGTGGACCTGTAAAAGCGTAAAAGTAAAATACATAGAACTTTACGATTAGATCATTAAAATGATTTGATTTGTGAAGAAATATCAACGGATATAATAAATCAGAAATTTGAATATGCTATTAAGAAATCAATCAAATTTATTACAATAAAACGTTGTAAATTTGAATTACAAATTTTTATTTCAATTTAAATAGCAAGTTAGCCTGTCACGTTACGTATGCTTATTCAAATCACTAACTTACTCGACAGACAATCAAGTTTTCGTTTAATTAATCTTTGAGGGAAATGTTTTCAAAAGTTTAAAAAGTAATTACAACAAACAATTGCTTTCGCTTTCGTCTGAAAATCATGGAACAAGAATTCCACATTTAATTCAAGTTGTGGGAAATACATATACTAAGCTTATAAATAAATTAGATTATATTAGGTAAAATTAGCCTAGAGATACATACTCCAAATCGACACACCATTCACCGACTGTTGTTTGTCCGTCACGTATTCTAAAAAATCGATACAAATCGGGTTGGATACACGAGATTAATCTTTCATAAATAACAAGTATATACATTTATGGAAAATAAAGATACTCACCGATGCATATTTTAAAACTCCATAGATTTTTTCACAGAGGATCCATTCTCATGACCATTGGTAGATGTGACTTGTTCAGTTTTGGAGGTTGAAACAATGGTGGTGGAATCAGACGACGAGTCACTGCAAACTCGCTTGGCAGGGGGTACATCAATGGGCTGCTCTTCTGCTTTCTTCTTCTTTTTCACCAAATGAGAAATATCATTCACTGCAGGAGGGTTTGGATTTTTCACCGGACTGTTTTTCAGAGCAATTTCTCGTTCTTGAATTTCCTCTGCGATCGTGGCTTTGCTTTCTCGTTCTGCATCAATCGTATCGGCGACTTTCTCGTCTAATTCAGGTAACAATGCTTGGAGCTCAGAAATTTCTTCATCTTCCGTATTGCTTGGATCTTCAAGCTCGAGTCCCAGATCTTTAGCAGTCTGTTTATTATCAATCTTGAACTGGAGGTTAGAGATCCGAAGCTCAATGATAGATTTGGATTTCTTGAAACTCTCAATTGCCTCCTGAAATTCTTTGGCAAAAGAATGAGCCAATCCCATTTGAAAGTAATACTGTGCCACCTCTCTGCTATCTTCACCTTCAATTTCTAACAAGATTTTAATAGCAATTTTAAAATCCTCAACAGCTTGAGGATAGTTTTCTGATTCTGTTGCAACTTCGCCAAGCAACGAGTGAGTTTCCGACAATCGCTTTTGAAGATGAAGCTTTGTTTTGGTTTTCGATTTCTCTTCGTCTACATCTAGCGGGGTTTTAAGCTGATCCAGAGCCAATTTTAGCTGAGCGTCATATCCAAGTTTAGCAATTTCTAAGACTTCCCATGCCAATTCCAAGTTGCTGAGTTCTTCCTCTCCTTCTTTGTCGGCGCCGTTAGTTTCGGCCGCAGTAATTCCACTGCTAGTGGATGGTTGTTCGCCATCTTGAACGACATTGGATGTTGTTGGCGTAGAAGTAGGAATGGGGCTTGGAGTACTCAAATCTTCTTCAACTTTGGCATCATCACCTTGTTCTTTGCTCTTCATCAAAGAAGAATCTTGCTTCTCTTCCGCTTCATCAGATTCATTATCAGTCTCCATCTTTCCTTCAACTTCTTCCGAAGATTTATCCTTCTTATCCTCGTCGTCTCCCTCCTCCTCTTTTTCTTCATCGTCTTCATCTTCATCACCACTACTTTCCTCACTGTCTTCTCCCTTCTCTGCTGGGACACCTCCATCAAAAACAGACAACTCTAGCCGAGACTGTTCCAAGAGTGATTTTCCGTAGTAGAAATGTGCCTCTGCGTTATCTGCCGACAGTGGTCCATTCGCTTCAGCCAACCTATTATCCGCAAAAGTGAGAACGGAATGAAAAGGGGACATTAGTAAATAAATACGAATAATAAAACAATTAATATCTAAATAATTATCATTCACATACATACCCCCGACAAGATTCGCCAAGGGATATGATGGCGGACGCGATGTCTTTCACTAGAAGGTGTCTCTTCCCTTGCACTAAGTGATTCAATGCCAATTTGAGAATGTCGCCTTTTTCTTTATTCTCGTCTTCCGAGGCTCCATTGGTTATGGGTTTATTGGGAGATGATGCCGTGGGTGCTTCTTCTGCAACAGGAAGGGCAGCCGGGCTGTCGACGGCTGTGACAGTAGTGGTTGGTGGTTGATCTGTTTCCATTTTGCTGCTTCTGGTGGGGGTGCCCGTGTCGTTCTTCCTCGCCACCTGCGATTCGGAAATACTTCTGCATTCTTGTTTAATTTGTTGTGATGCCCCATGCCCGCTCTTTTTTTTATTATTTTCTCCTCTAAATGTGTGCCCCTACTGATAATGTGACACATTACGACTTTACGACGTCTGTGAGAGGAGTATCTCACAGACGATGGATATGGTTTGATGTCAAACCATAATAAAACTTTGATTTATGCAATTCAGGATAACGACGAAATGAAACTCTTATGGCTTAAACGTTTTTACGAATATAAAAAACTACACATTACTATAGAGTGTCAAAAACTTACCGGTCAATCAGTTGCTACAATTGCAGGACGACAATGACGTCCAAATCGGACTGATGTTTCCAGAGAAGGGAGCGGGACGTTGCCGGGACAGACTGATCTTATCTTGGTACTACAATTCTTGGTGGAGGAAATGATTTCAGAAAGCGGAGATGAAGGAGAGCTATTTTCTTTCTGCTGCTGCTTCTATCCTGCGCGGAGGGAAACGACCGAGTAGCCAAGTGAAGAAAGAAAAGTGCAGTGAACTGATCTTCATTTGGCGGTGGTGGTGGTCGGCTGGTTGGGAATCGCCTGTGAAGAGGGCCCACTCGTAACTTACGAGTGAAAGCCCTTGTCTCATCACTTTCTCCTTGCCATTGATATTATTACATGAAATTACAGAGTTAGCCAATCGAAGGTAACAATAAGTTAATAAGGGCATATTACCTTTATAGTTATTAATGCCTGTTGATTTTCAGTGAATTTTTCATTTCTTAGATTAAGGGTACGAGTTTTTTTTAGGATTAGTTAGGATGTTCGACTCCTTTGTGTAGTCTATATTAGTTGATAGCCATGCAAGCCATGCGATATATACATACAATCACATACTGTGATTAAATAGAAACATGGTTTTTATGATTTAAAAAAACGAAAATGCTCGACTCAACTGTGTACATGAACATATTGCATGAATTATTACATTATGTTATGTAATTTGGAAATGAGTTCTGGTTTTGATGTGTAAGCAATAATAATTGTCGAAATTAACATAAATGTACCAATGTACGGAAGATTCATGTTATTATCAAAAGCTTTCGTTCGAGTGAAAATGTCATACATTTTAAATGTCATAAATCATAAATGATTACTAAATATTATACAATAACGTGAAAACGATAGTATTCTTGCAAATTCAAGACAAATTGACTAATTGAATTGTAATGTGATACGCAGTGAAGAACAGGATATAAAAAGTTTTAACGGAATTAGAGGTACTTTGAATTTTTGCGCCGATGTCATACAGCCAACATACTGTCACCGAAATCTTCTAGTTTGATAGTGACAGATTTACTTGTCCCAGCAACAGGTTCAGAAGACATGCTTCCACTCTTTTTTGGACGGCTCGTTGGAGTTCCAGGACCAGGTTGTTTGTTAGCATTTGCCAAAGCAGTTTTAAATTGGTCAATAGTTTCACGTGCTAAATTTAATTTATCCTTAAGATCACTGATTTCATCCTTCACTTTCTTTCTTGATTCTTCCAAAGACACTGAGGTGGATCGTTTCTTTTCTTCAACTGAAGTTAGTGCAAAGATATTATGTAAAATTTCATAAACATTTAGCAATATGAATACTCACAGTCATGTTCATGTCTCAAAACGGTACTGGAAGAAGGTGTAATACAGTCTAGTAAAGATTTCATAAGTGCTGTTGGTTCTTGGAATACAATTTCGTCATAAAATTCTGAAACCAAATGTTTCTTGACTTGTGGAGGAGCACCAGGTTCCGCCCCAGGCCCAGCGCTTTGAAATAACTTTAAAATGTGATACATTGTAACCTGTGCATGAATAAGTATAATTCAACAACCCATTACATACTAAGGTAGTAAATACCATACAACTACATTATGACAATCTTACAGGGCGTTCAACAGGGTCGTTAAAATAAACCTTGATGACCACCTCAAACTCTCCCCATCCCGTCTCTGTTAATTTTTAAAGAATATTCAAATTGTTGTAAATTGCATCACTTAAAAAATTACAAATTATGCAAATTGTCAATATCAAATATGAATACCCTGGACTTCGTACGGAGGTTTGGTGATCACACGATTGGGATTTGCATAGCTATCGTGCAGTTTAAAGTGTACTTTCTTGATGAAAGTGGAGTAGTCTTCGTTAAGGTAAGGTTTAATATACACGGTCCACTGATGGGTGTGTCCGTCCTCTTCCCTCTTCTTTCCAAAGTATTTGGCTGAATTGCCAACGACTACCGGCTTCACAACAGTCACACCCTACACACCACAATTCGGAATTAATAATTCCGAATTAAACTGATTTCTCCTGTTAGAGCAACATTTTTTTAAGATACCTTGAGGCGACCCCCAGAATCTGGCCCGTATTCTACAGTGGTTCCAGCAACTCCAGCAGGTGTGGAAGGGGCTGAGGATGCCATATTTGAAACTTTTTCGGTGTGTTCACGATAATTAGGTTTATTTAAATAGATAACTTTCGTTCGCAGTTTGGGAGCAATCTAAACACACAACAAACGGCGTATGGTGTAAATACCGCCTCAAGTTACTTGTTAGTGAGTGAGCGAGTGTGATAATGTACTTCCTACCCCCTAGCCCCTAACTTTCTATCCCCTATCCCCTACATAGTACTTCCTACCCCCTAAACCCCTAGCCCCTACTTTCTACCCCCTAAAACTCTATCCCCTACTTTCTACCCCCTAAAACTCTATCCCCTACTTCCTAGCCCCTGAAACTCTATCCCCTACTTTTTATCCCCTAAACTCAAAACTTCTCACAATGCCCCAAATTTGTCAATATGCCCCAAATTTCTCAAATTACTAGGCACCTAAGCAAGGTGCGAAAATTTTGAAACTACATGGGGCAAGGTGAGATTTCTAGCCTACTAGTCCCCAAAGCATGCGGGCTCCCTCATAGAGAGGAATTTAATTAATAAGTCAGAGGCGTTTGCTGAATGACATCCACACAAAGCAAAGGGCAGAAGAACCTGGACGTTTAGCATGTTGTACCATTTGCTAAAATTCCCAGGCCTTAACTAAATTTGTCTAATTAAAGAACTTATGAGTAACATAACAATAACCCGGAACAAATCGTTACGTATGCGGTAAGAGACCAATTGACGACGTGGTGTGTCGAGGTCACATTATGACTTTAGCGTGTGTCCCAAGTTACTGCTCATATCCTTCCAACATATGCACGTTTCTTATAGGGAAGTGAGGTTGGTGGTGGTACATATAGGGCAGCTTGCTGATCATTGAAAAAGCGGACAAATTTTTTTCAGGTTCGAGTCCCAGTCGGGGCAATATTTTGTTTTGCATTTTTGTTGACGCTTGAACGGTGGAGGGTCCATAATTCGTTTGACACCCGATGACCTGGTGACTGTGTGCATGGGATGAAAAGTAAGAAATATAAAATGTTCGGACTTTTCATCCCGTGCACACGGTCATCAGGTCATCGGGTGTCGAACGGATTATGGTTTCTGAACCCTCCACCCTTCAAACGTCAACAAAAATGAAAAACAAAATAAACCGTCGCAAACGCGTATACAGGAGAAGCTTCAGGCTCACTTCACCCCAAACACTCCCACCACATCGCGGGAACACTTTATTTCATTGTATTTCAACTATAGATTCAATTTCAGTGAAAATCTGATTTTGCCCCGACCACACCCCCTGCGTGCGAGGGGGTGTGACACAACTCGGGGAAACTTAATTTTACTCTACTTCATCCATAGATTAAATTGCACTAAAAATCTCATTTTACTCCGACCACACCCCCTGGCTTCATGGGGGGGGTGGTGGTCCGGTTGCCCCCAAAAGTTGATAGTATCCTCCCCCTGGGGTTATATGTATCATTCCGCAAACCGATTTCGATTATCTCCATCCGTTCTCTTGTAATCCTGCTGATGGACGGACGGACAGACAGACAGACAGACGGACAAAGTCTTCACATAAAGTAGCTCAAGGTCCTTAATAATGCCCCGACTGGGACTCGAACCTGAAAACAATTTGTCCGCTTTTTTAATGATCCGCACACTGTGCACCTGCCTTTGCTATATGTGCCACCACCAACCTCACTTCCCTATAAGAAACTTGCATATGTTGGAGGGATATGTAGGAGGGATGAGCAGTATCTGAGGCCAATTAGTCATTTGCCTAGGTCACAGGTTTAGCAACATTTAATGCGCCTAGGTCACACGTCACGTGACAAATCCATGTAAAGGTATCCAGGCCAGAAGTCACCTATGGGTATGCTTACATAGGTCACAGGTCAGGTGATACCTCTACATAAATAATGTGTCAAGGTTATAGGTTCATAACCCAACCATAGCGAGTGTGCCCAGGTTCTGGGTCAACCGTAGACTATAGGGGGTGTCCACATATTACAGGTCTATTGCCGACTATAAGGAGTGTGCACACGTTACGGGTCTACTGCCGACTACAGGGAGTGTGCACACGTTACGGGTCTATGCCGACTATAGGGAGTGTGCACACGTTACGGGTCTATGCCGACTATAGGGAGTGTGCACACGTTACGGGTCTATGCCGACTATAGGGAGTGTGCACACGTTACGGGTCTATGCCGACTATAGGGAGTGTGCACACGTTACGGGTCTACTACAGGCTGAAGGGGTAGTTCCCAGGTCACGGATCAAATCTCTGGGGTTTTCAAATATTTCTGTTAGTGGCGTATTCGGTTGTTCTGGTGCAAGTCAACGTTTTGGAAACGTTTGTACACTTTCGGTGAAAAGCGCCCTCTAGCGGAGGAAATACAACCAAGTACCTGAAAATGTTAATAGGTGGCGCTGGGTGGTAATTTAAATAACTATGGGGGTAAGTTGATACAGCCATCGAGTGAAGCGCTTGGTTCAAAAGGTAACACACACACACACACACACAACTTTGCACAATTCTTGTTATGATGGGGGTATTGTTCGTAGTTAGCGAGCGAAGCGAGCTGGTTAGGTTAGATTTACTAGGTACGCGGAAAGCGTGAACTGGTCAGCTAGCCCTCCCAGCTAGGACTCCTAAATAGGTGTACTAACTAGGACTATTAACAAGGTGTCCTAGCTAGGACTGTTAACTAGGTGTCCTAGCTAGCTCTTCTAGCTAGGCCACCTAGTTAGAAGGCTGGGAAAGGAGCTGGCTAGGAAAGATACATAATAGTGTTAGTTAGGAAATCTAGCTAATGGAGGTAGCTAGGAAACCTAGCTAGGGGTGCTAGCTAGGAAACCTAGCTAGGAGTGCTAGTTAAAGTGCTAGCTAGGACACGCAGTTGGGGTCCTAGCTAGGACACGTAGTTAGGGTCCTAGCTAGGACACGTAGTTAGGGTCCTAGCTAGGACACGTAGTTAGGGTCCTAGCTAGGACACCTTATTTAGGAGTCCTAACTAGGAGAGCTAGCTGACCAGTTCACGCTTTCCGCGTACCTAGTTGATCTAACCTAACCTGCTCGCTTCGCTCGCTAACTACGAACAATACCCCCATAAGCTAGAAATCTCACCTTGCCCCATATAGTTTCAAAATTTTCGCACTTTGCCCAGATGCCTAGAATTTGAGAAATTTGGGGCATTTAAGAGATTCGGGGCATATTGACAAATTTGGGGCATTGTGAGAAATTTTGAGTTTAGGGGATAAAAAGTAGGGGGTAAAGTTTTAGGGGCTAGGAAGTAGGGGATAGAGTTTTAGGGGATAGAAAGTAGGGGCTAGGGGTTTAGGGGGTATGAAGTACTATGTAGGGAATAGGGGATAGAAAGTTAGGGGCTAGGGGGTAGGAAGTACATCATGCGAGTGTGTAATGTGAGAATGAGATCGCGTCTGGCTGGTCCACGTGGGAAATGTGAGAAATCTCAATTTTTTCATCACGGAGAAAGTATCACTTTCTTTGACATATGCAAATAATCAACAGTTATTTATTCTTTTCCATACAATATTTGAACCAAATCTAAAAATATTTATAATTTTTATTGTCACTTGGATAGAATATAAACATTTACGTCGTGTTTTAGAATTTATTAATGTATATATTTATCTCGTTCTCCCTTTGATAATTTTCTACAAATGAATTACAAGTCGTCGTCGTCACCCGCATTGGCGACAGTGATGGAGGCTCTTTGTCGCTCACGCCGAGCAATGGCTTCATGGTCGTCGTCATCGTCGGACGGAATCTTGTTGTCGTTGATCATGGTGTCCTGGTCGTGCTTCGTGTTGTACTCGTGCAGTTCAGTGGACACGCTTTTCAGGGTGTGGATGACGCCCTTATGGTGATTGGTCAAGTCGTTCCCCTCCAATGCATCCGGTACGTCCTCCTCCTAGATTGGAACGTCAGAAGGGTTATTAATTACAGGAGAACGCGCTATTAAATAGCATTATGGGAAATTAAGTTCACAATAATTGTTTACGTGAGAATCATCACTGTCTTCTCCGGAATCCGATCTCCTTCCGTTGTCGTTACAGTCCACACAACTACAATTTGTAATTAGTTCCACATTTCGTGTCAAGGTGTAATGTTCCCCATTGGACTCGCGACTACAGTTCAGAGTTACCTGAAAAATGTGTGCAAAAGGCAAAACTGAAAATGGACCAACTTAACTGCTTAACAATATGTTTATATGGCTTACGACAGTCCACGAAGAAATCGTTTTGTCGCACTTGTCGCAGTAAGGGTCGATGGGTTGGTAGTCTTGAGCTCTGGGGACGCTGTAGCTGAAACAAGCTCCCAGACATACCATGTTGTCAATCACTGTGGGCGCACATTCTGGTGGGTGAGCAATCTCTTGGCGAATCTCCCTAAAAAGTGTATATATTGACACTCTGTGATTCTGTTTATACGGAATGTATGGAAATGTGAATATACACTGCAATTTGTATTCTCTTTTAGCTTACCTTGCCTGACACCAAGAATGACGCTCGGGATATAAGGCCAAATTATGAACCTGAAAAATAAAATGGAAACATTGTTATCCTAAAAATGCCTTAATTTCTCATTTAAATAGCGTAAAGTTCGCCTAAATCGATAATTGTAGCCTATATCGTTATGTCTCCTCAAGTTTCGCATACCATTAGGTGTAAATGCAAAAGTTCCATTGCTTAATTGATCCAGTCTAAGCTATTACGAGTATAAATTGTACAGCATTTTGATGGGAAAAAATAATTTACGACATGTTTAAGTGATATACATACATATGCAGTTTTTCATGATAAAAATATATGCACTCATACAGAAAAGATGAATAAGATGATAGCGTGCTCATATGTCCTTTTCATAGTCAATTATATGTAGCTTTATAATGGCATATAACAAAAAAAACACAATATGATACCGAACCAATAAGCCACAAACCATCCCCATTCCACATTGATAATAAGAGTACGAGACGTGATTTTTTAGACAGTTTGGCAACTTTGGCCTTTCATCAAACATGGTATAGTGTACAACGTGGATACGAGTTAAGCCACAAGTCATGATGGTCACAGAAGTGTGATACGAGAACCAAAAGTTTACTTTGATCAACAGTAAGAGAGATGTATATGTACGTTGTGTTCTTAAGAAAGCCCTCACATTAGCATAACTTAAGGTTGGGCAGTGGGAACAGTCTGCCTTTGATTTAACTTGGAGACCACAAGCAAGAACGCATCACACAAATGACCGGAGGTGATTTACACCTGCACATTTTCAATGATCACCTCACAACAATCAACCAAGTGTTGTGTTGGAAGATTCTCATCTCATATGCATATTCAACCAACATCAAAATAATTATTACGTTTCTATCTGGAATGGAAGAAATGCACAAAAAACAGACCATCTTGTCGACACAGCAATAATGCTATTTATTACAACTTAAAATTATGCTTATCATCTTTATTAGATTGTAATCTTTTTCGTTTTATGTATGAATGACAATAAAACAGATTTTACATTATACCTAAATACGAATTATTTGAACCTTGCTGATTTGTTTAAATTTGCAAAAATGAGAACTTACCTTGTGATGAGTTCGTGATTCCGTCAATAAAACACTGCAGAAAACTATCACTGTTACACACAAAGTGATAAAACTTTGGTGGGCTGTTTCCACTAAAATTGTCATTGTGATCTAATCGGATTCAGTAAATTGTTTATTTCATACCGATTATAGCCCTATCTTAATGCGCCAAACAACTGCCATACAATACCGCAAGAAAAAATATATAGTTTTATTTGCTAATGCAAATCGTTTAATTGCCTACTTTTCACAAAAGCTTCGAGATAAGCACAGGTTGAAGACTATTCAATTGGCAAAAGGCGATGGGGTCGACCGAGGGATGAGACGACGGTCTCGCTGCAACCACTACTCTTCAAGAAATGAAAGTAAGCTAGTGGCAAGTTCGCTGTATCGCACTCTCAAAAGTTTAGAATGATTAAACGACTGCCCGTGTTCCGTGTAATGTAATAATGTAATCCAAACCAAGAACACGCCTCCATTGGTGATATGATGAGCTCTGAGGTGATGCCTGGCTCTTTTTTGTCCACTTTCCAAGTCGCGTGGGGACTCGGCTTTAATGAGGAGTAAGTGAAACCTCCTCTATCTAAGTGCTCAGAGATGTAATGGATAACTCGTAGGAAAATGAGCAAGAAGGGTCCACACCACACAAACCACAAAAACAGTGAGCCTGGAAGGTTTGTTCAAGGAATGAGGAACTGAATAGCAGTAGTAAAATAAGTGATGGTCCCTTCCATCGTTTCATCACCAGATTACATTGTTGGACAAGAGGATTTCCATAATCACCTTCTCCTACCTCAATCTCATGATGAGATTCTCATCCCAACAATATCATGGAGAATCTGTTAATTATGAGTATGTTTGTTTATTATACTGTGTAAACTAGTGAAATATGTTAGATCTTTGCTATTACAGATACTTTTTCTGGAAGGGCGGAGTAAATCACCAGTATTGATGTCGTTAATAAATAAATACTATGAAATCATAAAGCAATTTCCTGGCATCGGTATTAATGGTATTAATTAATGGACCCTCTCATAAAATTGCCACTCCTGCAATAGGACAATCGTGGTATGAGGTAAAGAAGATGAACATATCACAAAGTCTAATCTTTTAGAGCAAATAAGTTGGTTGATTGTTGAATGGCATTATTATTACTGGGGAGGAAGGAGTGTGTTTATTAGTAAGGAACATACCATCGTTATTCATCTACGGATGTGAAATATGTATGTGTACTCACAAAGATGGGATTGTTGTTCAATTGAAAGTATTGAAAGGGTTGTAAATTTTTCTAGCACCAACCAACATAACATCCACTCACCCAAGAAAGGAAGACAGAACCAACAGACAAATCTCAGGTGCAAGAGCATTAACTAATGTTGAACGTGTTTATTGGTATTAGTCCCCTCATCATTTCTTGCTTGGTTGGTATCACAAGTGGTTTCTGTACGTGGAAATTGAGAAAAGGTGAAGATGAGATGAATTGTGAGGATAAGAGGTGTAAGGATGAAGGAATGAGTATTTTGCATCATATGTTACACATGTATACATATTTTGCCTGGACTGTTGTTTACAGTGGTATATGCATGGATAACAAGATATCTGCACACATGTATTATAACAAGGAGGGTCTATTTTTAATGAAGTTGCAACACTGTTTTCGTGTAATTTCATGATCTAGGCGTTATGACGTTCTTAGGGAAGCTATATACTAATATAGCTATATACTTGGTATTTGATAATGTATTTTAGTCAAGAAATACAAAGGGACAAAGACTCGTTTCGTTATTCCCAATGGAAAGATGTTCTGAATTGATGCGAGAAGCCATTTTAATGAGTTAAGATGATGTGGTTGAAGAAGGTGTGGACTAACAATTAGTACTCGGAAATGTATAATCGAATTCCTTTGTGCTCTTGTTAAGGGCAAGAGAGAGAGAGAAGGCATTAATACCCCCTGCCAGCTTTCTTCACACTCTCTCAAAGCCCTTGGTCGTCAAGTTTAATTTTCCTCCAGCACGTCTCAGCTAGCTCACCAATTCGCTGTACACCAGAAATTCAAACATCTCAGAAATCCGTTGTTGTGAGAATCCCTGCAGTGGCAAATGGAAAATGTGCAGCCCAGAGGAGCTGATTCTGAGCATCCAAGTTTCGTTTAAACCTAAATAACAACTTGATTTTCTATGAATTTTCATAAGATGTGTGAGGATTGGAGAGTATAATATTTATATGCATTGTTTAAATTATGATAATGCTAAATTATTAAAATTTAAATATACATGATACGCTATGAATTATACATGTATTAAGCCAAGATCAATGTCATATAAAGGAAGAAATCGAGACGTATTGGAAATAAGGCGAGCCATAATCCGCAAGCCACAGGGCTACGACACCTCGGTATCGAATTGTGCTCCAAGTATTACGTAATTTCTTGAGATTCAAGTTATGCTTCATAGAGAGATCCGCAGGTTGGGGACCAGAGACCATTCTTCTTTTTCTGATGGTCTCACTCAAGTATGTAAGCAGCATAGTAATTTCTGTCGGAAATCCTGTGTATGAAAAAACCTGCGATTTGATATACATAAACAAATTAATACAATTATTTGTTGGTGTACAAAAAATGTACATATTTAACTATACTGTATTAAGTACAGTGAATATTAGGTTATTAGAGAACATTCTCATTGGCGTATTTGTTCTATATTTTTGTGTATTTTGTATATGTGTACGTATGCCACCATTAATTGCCAACTTTCAACACTGTGAGCTGTATTAATACATAAATAGAGGGTAAATCTGTCTTTATTCAAAATTCCGTCAGAAAATGAAAACTAGTGGTTCAATTACGATTATTACTGCATTAGCGTTTTTTGGTGAAGGTCTTAGACATTTACAGCAGTGTGTACCCCAAAAGGAGGTCATCGAGTTGAGATGTGATTCCACTTGACTTACATACGACCACCTTCTTCGGGTAGGAGGAGGACTACCCTAAATCCATCCATGACATAATGACATGACACAATACTGCAATTTATAACAGTACTAGCAAACTGTTTTTTAACCACTCGTGCATCGTTCTCCTTTCACGATGACGTAGTGATGCAGAAATGTCTAGTCTAGCAATCAGTGCTGTCATCTCACTTTTACATCTCTCCTGTACATATGCTAGCGGAATGAACGGTAATAATGGCGATCGCAAATATTCATAGGGGAATAATATCAGATTTTTGGCAATGTAAATGCATCTAGGAAATTGATTTTCTGGAGGGAGAACTATTCTATAAACTTATGTATGGTCATGGATGCGCAAGGTTGCAATAATTGCATGATTTTATAAGCAATTGCAATTGCACGACTAAAATCACACTTCTACCCTTTCAATCTATGCAATTTTGGTTCTGAAGGAAGTTCCACTGTGAATAGGTCATTCATTAGTATGAAAACGAAAGCAACTGAAAAAGAGTTATGGCAAAAACTAGGTATTTAGGATGGATAGAATTTGCTACATAAATAGTCACACAACAAAATGAGTAATTGAAAGTTTAAATTGCAAAGTTGTTGATAAAAGTATAGAAAAAAACTTATACCACGCTAATTTAATTTCATGATAAAGTTGCAGTAGGATTCTCATTATACATACTTAAATACATTTGCAGTAAAGCTGTCCAGGGATTAGCAAACGGTTCCACCCTATCTCCAGCCGAAATTTGAATTCTATACTATTTTTAATAAATCAGATAATACTGATATTTTTAAGGTTGTTGGATAAGATGTCGACAAATTTCAGTTCGCTAGCTCCAATTTAAACAAGTAAAATAATTGTTCTATATTTCTCAGGTTTGAATCAGTCATTCAGTTTTTCATCTCCTTCTTGGAATGCAGTTGCTCTTTCATTTATTAATTTAACACCCGTCCGTAACAAAATTGCACGAGTTTCATTGTGAAAAATTTGTAATATAAAGAATAGCGATTGTGTAGGTTATCACTCTTTGAGACTGCTGGAAATGTACATATACATATATCTTATGGAAATGTATTATTTATATTCCTTGCAACAACGGTGTTGCTGAGATCAATCATCGTGCTCAATTACAGATGATATCACACATACGTACATTTAGAGACCATCAGAGCTTTAGTATTGTAAAACTATTTATGGTTTCTTTCTCGGAAAGATCAGTAGCGCAGGTACTCTGGTCTTATCTTCACAACCTACCATACACCAAGTCAAACTTGCAAAAAAATCAGCATAAGGGAGCGTCCATAAATCACGTGATCGATTTTTGGACAATTTTGACCCCCTCCCCCCCTTGGTGACCGTTGGTGATAATTTCGCTAACCCCCCCCCCCCACCAGTCACGTGACAGATGATGCTCAAATTAAATCATGTTGTCCGGAAGAACAATATTATTCCAGTGTTTTTTAATCATTAATTAGAGTTACACACATGTGTAAATAACTATGTAATAAGCCAGTCAGACATAAGAATTTTAAGTCGAAGCAAGTTTCTAAATATGCAAAATGAAAATCAAATCTATATAACGTGTGTGAGGTATGCCAAGAGAATTTTTATATAACTCTCATGACATTTATTGGCATATACAAAACTTTACTCATGTCACGTGACATCTGACCGTCTACCCCCCCCCCCCTCGTGATAATTGGTGACAAATTTCAGACCCCCTCCCCCCCTCTAATCGACCACGTGATTTATGGACGCTCCCTAAGACAACTACATACAAGGTACACAAGTTTTAGAAATGTATGTATAGTAAGTACAACTATAGAGAAAAAACATCTGCACTCACTTCACTCGAGATCTGTTGTGTGATTGAGTGAACAGAACATTTTGCAGCAAGTAATTTATGCTGACTTTCTTAGCACGAAGAAATATGTACGCAGGAATCTATTTGTGCACAACCAGTGACACTGAACTAAAAAGTGAACTCTTCCCCAAGAGAGCATGAGATTTACCCACGTTATGCATTTGCGTACATGTATGTAGCTATTACATGCAAGTTCATAATGCAAATCTTTCCACAACGAGCAAAGTAAAGCATTTTGTTGCTAAATAAATTGTAATTGCCAAGAATCTCTCTCTCTGCAACTAAATATAACGCACCACCCGTCTCCTTTCGATACCAATATCGCTCACACTCCACAACTATCTAAATCATCACAAACCGTTAATTTGAGAGTTTTAAAAAATTACTCAATTTTGGAGTTATCGCAATAACAACATTTTAAATACACTGTTGCAGCACAGCAGTTGTTATTATATCACTTGTGACGATGTGAGGTGCATATTTCATGTGGCTTCTGATTAGTTAAATCAATGTCATGCAAATTAATTGCATCAAGAGCTGCCCAGATCAAGTCAAGTACAGAAACGTCAAGCGTCCAGAAGCTACACAGACTACAACAAATTTAACTGTCCTTCTGTGATTTATTCCACATCTACGTCATCACAGTTTTATATTAAATTTTAGCATACCACACGTCAATAAATGAATAAAAGCCTATTAAAATGGTCGCACACACTCATTACTCTTTCGGCACTAAACATATATTTAGTGATCTTCTTCTCAAAATTGTCAGTTAATTGACGTGATGCTCAATGGAAATTGAGCAGTAGGAGAAAAAAACGAACTACTGAAATTCATCCCAATCTGCATTCCAACATCAGCTTTTATGTACAATAAGACTTTGTCATTACACTCTTCACACATAAATAATACGTACAGTAAATAGTGTGCAATGTGCCAAAGGGAAGAAGGTTAAAATTTTGAGACAACACAAAAAGTGTCTACAGCGTCAATATTTTGTGTGTATGTGAAGCTGGATAATACGATGTTCATATCGAAAGATCTCCTAGTCCTGGGGGACTACTTGAGACTTCCCCATATATGAGAGATCTTGTATTAAGTATTTCTCTTCCATGAGACTTCCCAAATCTGAACACACACCGACCCCGTAAGTGAACAATTTATAAAAAATGGCAGATGCTACCATTACGTTAATTAAAAACGTGGGATGGAAATGTATGTATGTGTTGATATTTATATAATTAATTTAATATAGAGTGAATTGAATTTATAATTTATGTGTGCTATGTTCCCTTTCACTGTCATAATGCATCAGGTCAGGTCGGGAGTAGGGTACACGTAGTTTATTATGCTTAACTTATATTTAAGGATGGGTTTGCCAATAATGGGAACCATAAAAAGGGCCCAGACGAGGAGTCAAAGTAAATTATTAAGGTCCATTTCCTGTCACATAAAAATTGGCAAACCCTTAAACGCGCTGACACCCAACATATGTACAGAATCAGAGGGGAAATAGGTTCGTTGCCCTTACCTTGGGCCACGACAATTGGGTTGCGGCGATGGCAAATAATGGCAAAGAATGGTTGATTCAGTACATATATGGTGTAACCATGTATGTATTAAGTTATTTTCGCAACCAACTTTCTTTCCATTTTATGACTGTTGACATGAACGAGAGCCACCAGCAAGGTACCATCACCATCAACAATTTCTTAGCAGATGCTCTGAAAAACTAGCTTGTAAAGCCGAAAAGTATATGGGACTACTGTTGGGTAGGAGGAGGAGGAAGGGGGACTCGCACTTATTCAAATTTCCACTCTCATGGAAAGAGTTGTGCAATGTACATATAGGGCTTTGCAAAATTCGTGGTCATTGAAAATTGAAAAGATCAACGCACAAAAGTTGGAGTTACTGGAGATAAATACTCGTAAGAAAAGGGTCGTCGTGTCATGCGTCCATTTTCTAGGCGCACATATGAATGACAGGGGTTATTATTTGCGAAGGGACGATGGAGACAAAGCCGTAGAAATTCAAGTAATCGTCGTCTCACATTTCCATCCATCCATCCACCCATATCCATCCTCCTATATCATCACCGATCAAGCAGCTAGAAAATCTCTCTGGATGGATAGATCTACATAAATAATAATGTATGTTGGAAATAATAAGAAGGGATCCCTAGTTCAATCCGTGCATCCATGCTTAAGCAAATCCCCTTTAAACAGTAGTCTAGCAGCCGCATCAGCCGGGCTTATCTTCTTGATTGCGTGTACAGGGTGGTGTGTTGAGCGATATTCATCATTGTTTACAGAGGTTTGCACGTTCTTCTTTTGTTGCAAATTGAGAATGGATGGGATTGCGATTCAAGATTTCAGCAGCTCCCTCCGTGCTCTTTCATATTTACGTGGTCATCCTTATCTTCACCAACTCACTCACACTTAACTCTTTGCACTGTCAAGACTGACTACCACAGACACTTGGTTGACACTTGCTCATGAACATATATACTCACTCACTTTATTGGATCGCAATAATTCAGCACAACTCTGGTACAGTTTGTGTATTTTGTTTTATTGTTACTCTTCTTTTCACAAGCTGCAACGAGTGGTCTTCCGAAAGCAACCAGAGTAAAAAAAACTAGCATACGTTTTGCATAACAGTGTACAAAGCACTTTGAGACGTCTAATTGAGCAGTGGTGATGTCATAATCAAGTTTTTGAGACAGAAACGAGGTGAAAGTTTAAGTGATAAGAAGAGCAGCTGCAGAAATTCCTGTGGACTGGACATTGACTCGAATTACCTCAACCCTTCCACTGCTTCCCCATGACCGCAGCATTGTCATTGACAATGAAATTCAGCAGGAAAGGAATGAGTCTTGTGGCCACAGACGAAAATATCGAAGATCAAAGGTCTTCATTTTTATTAATTTATTTTTATTTTCTAATCAATTTTCCTGTTCGTCTTATCTGAACAACAATTTGTCTGATAAACGAGACAGAAGACAAGGCAGACAAAAATTTTACGTAAAGTTATCTCTGAAATTGAAGATTTTTTTGTAATGAAATAATCGTTTCATATTTCCTCGCCTATGCAGTTTTGGCATTGCAACTTCGTTTCGAATTGCTCGATGATTGCTCGTTACGGAAGTGTTGAGTATTTCAAGCAAATGTGAAAGGTGGGTCATTTTCTCGAAGCATGTTACTGTCTGACACATTAAAACAAGGAAATAAATTATGCATGGGTGGTCAGAGTCAAAAATGCATTCCAATATTGTACCCAGCACGAAGCGAAAATGACAAAGAAATTGGTTTGTTTATATAGCAAAACTCTTCGATAATTTTACTACAAATTGAGGGCTTTGGTAACTACTGCTTGTGTCATGTGTTCGTCCTGATTATAAAAAAAAATATAAAGTTGTGTGGTGTGGACTAATGGAAACGGTTGCATAGATGGAATAAAACACTATATCAAAGGAAACGTGAGACAATAATACAATGAAGCGTCAGGTGAATATGTCAGTCGTCAAACAACGGCTGCGACCGGACCTAGACCACGCTTGGTTTAAATGTCAGGGTCATCGTCCAAAATGAACATTCGTCGACCTGCTTTGCATTATTTCTGCATAAGACATACATAAGAAGATAAGATCGTATCAATTACATGTCATCATGTCAGTTGCTAAAACTGAAGTTTTACTTGGATGTTCTGCAGAATCTAATATATGTGTGCATGTCCTTTCTAGCCATACGTGTGGGCTAGTTGGTTGATGGATGCACTTTGCAAGAATAACGAAGGGCAATGTTTCAATGCCATTGAAAAATACAGCATTCTGCAATTCAAATAAAACTCATCATCGAAATATAAGGAGAACGTATATGGACCTGTCAACCTGTTGCTTTACATGCACCAGTGTGCTGTCATTTTAAATTCGATAATAAATCACACAAGAATTTCTCAAGGCTTGGACAATGCACAGAATTACGTATATATATATTTGTCAGCCTCGTTCATTGCCCGGGTCTACTTTTTATGAGTTCAACATGTATATGAATACGTGATCTTTGTTTCTAGTAAATTATTGAGAAGTGATAAGAAACTTGAGAAGTCCGACTTGTGGGAACCAATTTTCATCATTCCGAATAAAAATAAAACCCTCTCTTTTGTGCATGTATTACATTCTTCTGTCTGGATTTAATCCGCTCGACGCCACTCTGGGTGGATTACAAAACGTATTACAAACAACGCGTATTGGGCTCGAAAAGTTACAAATTTTCCTTTGCCCCCTTTTCCATGTAATGCTGAAAACGTAAACACTGCCCAAGTTCTCGTTATCAATTTGCCATAGCTTATTTTACCATTCATAAAATGACTGCAAGCGTCTCATCGTGAACATTCGTTCTCCTATCCATTGTTCATACATAAATCCTCATGTTGTGCGAATTCTCATTGCCAACCTGCACCAGGCCAAGCTTTGGTTGAGCTAGTGTTATATAAACCAAAGCATAATGGATTCGTTTGGTGTGTGCAAATACGCATATGTAAGTATACATACACTAAATACACGTTTCTTGCCACTGCTGCTGCTAAGCTAGCTAACGGGTCATTCAACTACTGATGGCCTAGATGAAATAGGAACTTGCATTGAGTAACCGACTGACTGACACCCGTAACTTTTATCTTCTTACCTACTTCCCTCCCTCGTCAACAATCTTAAGCCTCCATCGTTTGAAATCCATCTCGGCGGAGGTGTCAAAGTCGTTCTAAGTCGCTTGCAACCATTATTGCATATTGTTGCAGTACGTGTGGTTTAGTGCAGTAATAATGGTACATGAGCTGTGCAAATACGCATATATACATATTACATACTGCATAGAGGAAGATTGGCACAGAGAGGAAGATGTGTTTCTAACAGAGTTGTCATGATGGAGCTTAATATTGACATGGTTGATCTGAGGATGGGGTTCTTTGTTGCTGGTTACACAAATACACCAATGACTACTAACCTCCTTGTGGTAACTTGAGGCCGAGAATCAATGTCTTCTTGGTGACTCACACACTTTTTGGTCATGATGAGATGGACGGATGTTGTTGACCGTCCGTGATTTAGAATGGCATAGAATCATTATCATCACCATGCACCACCATCACCACGAGAATGAAGGGATTATTGACATCGAAGTGGAGTAAAAAATTGGCCCAAATTTATCTCTGATACCAGCAGCACCATTATTGTAACAGAGTCAGTTTCATTCAGTGACCATCCTCTTCTTCTTCGCATAAGTACTTGACTTATTGCAGCAATTATTATTCGCATATACACACCGAGTTAAAGATTTACTACACACAATCCCCTAAAGCCATTATTATAATTATTATGTAGGGTTGTGCAAAACCTGTATGTAAACTACTGTTGATTTCAGTCCCAAGAATATTTATTGCAGGCTTTGAGCCAATACGCACTGCACACTACATACTTAAGTAATTAAATCATAAATAAATGTTTTTTTGCGGTAAGGTAACCTATTAAAGAAAACTTACTTTCTGGTCCTGCAACAGCATCGGGTCTATCCATCCATTTATTTAGTAGACCAGTCTCGTTAGTCCACTATTTATTGTCCTTTCTTGTTTTCACGTGTGAAAGGTCCCTGGGGTTACAACAGCCACTTCTTTTTATTAGTAGCCAATTAGCACTAAATATTAATGATAATCATGATGGGCATATTGTGCCAGTGCGACATTTGATGAGTTCCTTCCTTAAAACAAATTCAGCAAAACTCCTCATCCATAATAAATAAGATGATTAATATGATTTAACAATTTGTTATAAAACATTTTAGTCAAATGTTGTGATGTTGAATTATTTGGATGCAATTGTAGAAAGTGTTCATGAAATGCCAATATTGTTATGGTTACGGAAGAAGATGAATGCATGAAGAAAGTAAGAAGGAGGATTTATCTAAGTAAGTGGGCAGCTGAAAATGGGTTGAATAATTTGATCTCCTTTTGGTGTTACAATGAACGTAACACTTCCGAAAATCGTTTCGCACTGCGTCCAAGTGATGTATGTAAATATGTAGGACTTTTCTCGACATGTTGCTCACTCATAAGTACACAGAACGGGAATGGATGGTGAGACTCTGCTAAATGGTTTTTGTTTTCGCAAAAGTGTTGTCGTCTCAAAGGTTAAGTCCCACTCTCAGTTCAATGGTCAGATTTTGAGATGCATGTTGGTTGCATTCTCCTTCTTGGTCATTCACATTGAACAGTGATTGACGTCTGTCCCAAAAACGCTATATGTAAACATGTTCAATTTGCACAGAACAAACTAGATGCGTACGTGCTAAGAATATGCATATAAGACAATCCGACAATCCGCCACAATATTATATACAATACAATAATTTTACTTTTTTGATGGTGACAAGCATGAAAGACTGATACTTATTTGCGTACCCTGAGAGAAGGGCAGCTTACTTCTCTGGTATCCAATTTTCACAGTAGGGATGATACGAATTGTTGCTGTTTTCGCACGTGTGCATGTTTTACGAGTTAATAACGTCATACTTGCATCAATTGTCGTCTTGCATCAATCAAGGTTCATTTCATTTTATGTAGCTTTCTATCTGGAGAGTCTTTGATTGTATTAAATAAATAGAACATCTTTTCGGGATTCATTTTAATGAAATTCACAAGATGAGACCCTTAATGTACTACTTTCTGATCTCTTGGTACGAGAATTTGTGATGTGTAATAAGTATGCACAAAATATATAGAATGATGTGTGTACATATGAATCAGCATGTGCCGGTGCATGGGCAAGAGCAGATATAGGAAAAAAGGTAACTACATGCAAGCAGGTATTGTCCGTCAGGTGATTCAATCGTTAAATGAATTATGGACGATTAATTTGGTAGCAATATTAATGGTGACAATAATTTTTGAAGTCTAATATGAAGCATTAAGGTCGTAAATAAGTTATTGTTGGCCAAAATTCCAAGTGGTAATTATGGTTTTTATTTTACACATTAAACTTAAATTTTCGACTACAGTATTAGTATGTAGGTGGTGGTGGGTAAGAACGTTTTAATACGGTGCGAACTCATTATTCTGGTAAAGAAATTAATGTACAGCGTCTGGACGGAATGGAATTACGACTGATATGTGACTTATTCGTAGCGTTACTTTGCCATTGAACTTGAATGTTCATCATGGCATGTTCCATATGAAATTCCTTGAACTCAATTTAAAAGGGCCATGAGATAACGACTGAGTTAAGTCATGTCGGTCTGTAAATATGCAAATGCAACTGAAGTTGTAGAGAAATTAAAAAATTTTGACTTTGAGATGTGGTATGTGGATATTTTTTTCTTGTTATACAGGAGCTAAATAAAATGCATACTACACGTATTCATCTGTTAGAATTACAGCGGATAAATGTCTAAGATATAGCTAAGATACTGCACTAGAATTTCTTGAGACTTGGCCAAAGTAAATGCTCAGTATTGCACACACATTGTGAAGTTGGCTTAGGTTCTGCTGGACAGGTGCAGGTAAAAAACGTGTAAATTGGCATTTCACAGATGTGGTAGAGTATCTCTCACTGAACGGATTTTCGCTGATCTTGAGATATTCAAATTGAAAGGTTGTATAGACATACGTACATGAAGAAATAATAGAAATATATGCCAAACATGAAATTATTTGGCATGCTCTGACTTTCTATTTACATAGGTATGTCTTGGAAAAGCAAGGTACTGACTGGGCTACAATTGGCAAATTTAACGAAATTGAGTAGCACTTACTCGTTCTTGTCAATTATCACATGAATTTTCAATTTACGGAATCATTAAATTGAATGAAAGTATAACTATTCTAGAAATATATATGCCTAGATCAACAAGATCATATTTTATTTGCAAATATTATATGCAGAAATATTATGCATTATTATTATTATTATGCGAATATTATGCATTAGAAATCACAAATAATATTATGATTTCTAATTTTAATCATTGCAGAAGTGACAAGGGACGAGAAAATGAAAACTCTTGCGAACTTTCATTTTTCAACATCAGAACCAGCCCAGTTTCCGGAAACAACTTTGTTTTACAAGGTAATTCTCATAACCCGTTAGACTTATCAGATTTGGTTATAATTTGGTGTTTTTTAAAGATATTTCTGGAGAAGTCAAACCAGGAGAGATTCTTGCTGTTATGGGGGTGAGGCAATTTGAGACTTTAATGTTTAATTTATTTTTTACATTAATATCCTCAGTTCGTATTCAGACAAAGGCAAAATTCAGATGAGGGTGAATTCTGAACAGCATAAATACAGATAGTGATTATTTTAAACTTTATGACTCTGCCTCAAAATAATAACCATATGACGATACCATTTAGTTACTTTTTTGGCCAACGGTTTCAACGTTCATGAATCAATTACCATCACGCAAAATAGTAAATTTAAAAAAACGAGACAAACAAAGCTATAAAACGCAGTGTTTTGACGGAAACGATAAACGGCAGGTGCGGTTTTTCATCTCCTAGACGTTGATTTAACGACCGTCTTGTACTACTGGAGGGGTTTAGAAGCATACTACATTTGTATTCCAATGACCGTGGAACCCTGTTGTCAGTCCTTCAACTTGTCTTTTTTCACTCGTTTGCAGAGGTTGTTGTTCTTTGTTTTTTGTGCGTTTGAAATAGATAAATAAGAATCCGACATCCCACTTTCCAAATGTACCGTTCGTGACCGATTTCTTTGTGTGTAGACGGGGGTGAAATAAATTAGGGCCATGTTTTATTTTCTTTGAAACGACTCTCATTACAATTTATTCATCCATGTAACGATACAAACACCCAAGTGATAGTTATGATAACATAATTACAGTCGACGGGATGCGGAAAAACGAGCCTTCTCAGGTAAGTCAAGTCACATTATTCAACTCGTCCTCTGGATTTCAATAGACATAAGAATTAAATAAATAAGTGCACGTTGAAACATTTTTTCAGCGCCCTATCCGGAAGACTGCGTCTTCAATCTGGAAGTATTAGATTAAATGGGGAGCAACTGTGCAAGCGCCTCCGACGTTCCAAAATCGGTTACGTTCTACAACATGACGTGTTTTTTGCAGATCTCACTCTCAAACAAACTTTAGTGGTGAGATCAGTTATTAAATATGCATTAGTGACGATCAAATCAAAGGAGATGAATTAAAGAATAATAATACATGCATATTCAATTCCAATTTCAGTACACAGCGTTATTAAGACTTCCAGACAAGAAGTATACTGTGAAGGAAAAATTGGAAAAGGTGGATAAAATTATCGCCACCCTGGAACTAGGAGCCTGCCAGAACAATGGTAAGTCAAGTCACATTATTCAATTCGCCCTTCTGCAGTTCAATAGTGTTGTGCATAAGAATTAAATAAGTGCATGGTTGAAACATTTTGAGTATAATTTTAATCCGTCAAAGTTTTCTAAAATTCCGTAGATTTTAACAATCTAAAATAAACCCTTGTTATGTTTTCGATATATCTGTAAAAAATATGTATGTGGTGCAGCTCTTTTGTTTATCTTGAAAAAAGGATCAATTTCTCTTGACGTAGTTATCACTAAAATTGACACGGGACGAAGGGGTTAACGTTCTGATAATTGTGTGCGATGATAAATGAATTGAATCGCGTCAAGTAAAAAAAAATTGCATGAAATGTGACATGTTTACTTGGAAGCATTGTCGAAATTTGATATAAACATAGCTCATCACACCATAAAGGACTTACAAGCTGGCAATGACGTGACATGCCATTATTCCAACAACTGATTCACACGACATATGAAAATCCTTGATAACATCGGATATTATAATTTTCTGGTGGAAATAGCTTATATTAGGTTTCGTTCGTTATGAGGTCAATAATCATGTATTTTAATGCTTGCAGTAATTGGGGACGGTTATCGAAAACGAGGTCTCAGCGGAGGTGAGAAGAAACGTTTGAGTATTGCCACAGAAATTATGGACGACCCATCCGTATTGCTCATCGACGTAAGCTTATATTTTTGTTCTTATCAAGTAAATTTAGTTTCGGCCAACAAAGCATCGCTCGCAACAGCAAATCTTAGCAGTATACATAGTAATCTGCATGCCCCTAAAACTAAAGCAGGTTGAGGGCGTATTACAATATTTTTGATCCATTTCTATCTACAGTCGTACATTTGTCGTCTTATCCTGTTGGTTGGTGCTGAGTGTTCCTGGAAGTTGCTACGATAGCTTACATATTTTGTTAGACGATCATTTTTTAGCAAATCAATGGAAATTTGAGAGTGCTGGTGATGGAGGAGGTACTTAAATGAGATTAAGATTAGGGAACTAAAACCATATGAATGGATACGTATGTACATAGTTAACATGTGCTGATGTACAACTGATGTTTGTAAGAGGGTCATTGATCCGGTCTTACATATGTCGTAAGTTGGACAACAACATTTCATGAAATCCAGGACGAATGTATCTCATTTATTGCATAGTTTGGGTAGCACTTGAGAATATAATCCTAATCTGTGATATAATCCACATATTTAACCAAGCAGCAATGTGGCAGTAGCGGATGTACTCGTTTCTCATTTTCCTCTCACCACGCAAGGATTCATTGTCAAGTAAGAAATTCGCAAATGATCACGGTGATGTTAAATGATGACTCTGTTTTGGACCCTCTGCTCCTCCAAACTTCAACGATTTGGAATGAAAGAAAAAATGCAAGTTAGGATAAATTAAGTACATCTTTGAGTTCACAGAAAGTAAGGCACACGACAAACCGACGCCGACTTGCTAGGCTTGAACCAAACAACAAAATAATTATTTTTACTTTGAAGAAACGTGACGGCTAATCTTTTTAATTAGAGTACGTATCAAGTGTCGGATCATTACTCGGTCTTTGGCACGTTAATGTTAAAGGAAACTACAGCTAAGAAAGGAAGATTAAATACAAGTTCCTCAGTCCATGCCTATTGAATTTTGTAGCAATCTGCGGGAGTACTTAAACCGGATTTGGTCCATGCCCCACGCCCCAAAGGGGGTGTGGGCACACATTAAAACAGACCTATAGGCACAATAGGGCTCCTTGAACTTATAACCACTGGTTTTTTACAATTCTTATGCGATGCAACAAACTGGCAGAAATGTAATAAAATCTGTCATTCCCTCCTAAGGACCACCGACCACTACAAAAGTTAACAACTCGACCGTCGATGATAATTTGATACACTTTTTGTCTCACTTGCTGGGCCATTACAAAGTTATTCAACTTTGCTGTTCCTCTACTCTGTAATGCATCATTAATTTTAATATGTGGAACAACTGGGATATATAAATTCTTTGGACGTCATCAGGCAACAATTCGAATCGAATGGTGTACTAAATATCATATATTTATATACACAGTAATACACACCAAAGAAGCGAACTGCACAATTGATAACTACCTAGACGTACATTTAAACTAAGATTTTATTTATTCAAAACATCGAAAACATGTTAGACTGACTTCGACAACGTTCATAATTTGTGAATGCTTGAATTTGAATTGCGCAATTATAAAATTCAGGAACCCACATCAGGACTGGATTCGTACACGGCTGCATGTTTAATGCAAAATCTCAAGGTAATGATTGAACACAACAAAAAAATGATAATTTCAAGAAAGATTATGTCATTTCTTCCTCTTCACCGGTGAGTTGGTGGCGTTTGAGAGGGGAACACGGTTCGCATTCCTCTTTTCAGAATTTGCACGCAGCAACACAGCTCGTTCTCGTTTCATCGCCACCAACTAATTATTCAAATACAATTCAACGATTACAACGAATCCAATACAAATTACTAATTTTAGAGTTGAAAAGAAGGAGAGTTGACTTACCATTTTTTTTGTCTCATTGTGAGCTTGTTTCTCATCCTCCAACTGAGACCTCAATTTGTCGTTCTCCTTGAGCAACTTTTCTTCACGAAGCGAGGCCTGATGCAGGTCTTCCTCCAATTTGCAAATTTTGTAAGTCCCTTCTTCAATCTTTGCCCTGAGAATCGGGTCGCCCAGTGGTCGGTCGCCTTCTTCTGCTTCGTCTATAAAGACTAGTTCACGGTCCCCAATAACCAACGAGTTCTTCAATTCTTCCACTGCTTTGATGATGATGGCGAGTTCATCTTCCTCAAAATACGTGAGAGCTTCTGGGGGCATAAACGTGTCCAAGCACACGTTTTGAAGAATGTTGCGAATTAACCACTTCCCGTTGGAACTGCACAAAGTTCCTTGAAAAGGGTGGATGGGGACGACTCTTGTTTCCTCACAAATAACCTCATATCCTTCTGGGAGGAGGACCCTCGACGAGCAAGCCTTCTTCAGCATGGTGGTGTTGTGACGCCCGGCAGTCTTCATGTCAGTCTTGTTTCTCTGGGCGGCAAGAACCCCGTTTCCATAAGTAGTTTTACTTATACTCAGACCGATGGTGTTGTCCTTCATCCAAACTTTGAGTATTATATTGTGTAATCCGCCATTACTCTCTGCAAACACCAATAAAAACGACTTAAATATATATGGAAACGTATATATTTTATAAAGTTTGTGTACCATAATAATCTTCAGGTTTAAATGCTCTCGGAACAATTTTGCAACCATCACCTTCTGCGTAAACGTGTGTGGGAATGGCGACGTGTCCTCTCGTTGTATGATGTAGCATCGACGCCTGATTACTCGCCAAGAACTTCCAAGTTATGCACGTCGTAACCAATTCACCACCAGTAGTCTCTATTTCGAAATTTTCGTACGAGTTGTTCGGCCTAATCATTGACTCTACATAACACAAAAATATAGATAACGATTATTGTAGTAATTTATACATTAGATAAACATTAGCTAATCATTACTTTCAATCTGGCTGGATCCGGGATGTTGTCGCCTCATGTGCCGAAGGAGATCACAATTTCTAAAGTTATTCAAAGAATGGTTATGTTAATCAAACAGTCAATAATACGAAATTACATGAATAATGAGAGACAAACCTTTTAAACTTTACCCCACAAACTACACACGCAAACTTTGTCTCATCGGAATGGGTCAATTTATGTCTTGTCAGTTCACTCCTTGCGACAAACGTTTTGCTGCACTTGTCACAAGCTAATTCCTTAATGCTCAAGTGTCTTTTTCGATGAATGTCAAGAGCATACAAACTCGTACAACGTTCATGACACATTTCACACTCATGTCGATTTTTATTTTTTGCAAACTCGAATGCTTCACTTCTGACTTTAACTCTCTTCTTCAACTTCCTGAAAGAGTGGGTTTTCCCTGACCCTTTATTGGTTGAAGAAGGTTCCATGTCCAACTTTTAAGTAATACTAATTTTAGTAATTTATTCACGTTCAGAGTGTGGGCGGGGAGAATTACATTTGTTTACTTTTACGAGTGGTAGTGGAATTAATTCACAGCGGAGTGAGTGAGTGAGTGAGTGAGTGAGATCAATGATCAGTGAGCTCCCACTCCGGTGGGATTCTAACGCGACGAATAAAAACGTGTCCATTTGGTCCGAAATGCTTGACATGTATCGTCGGTGAAGACTTAAAATGAGTTAAGGCATTTTTAGCCTCTCAGATTTTTTTAAATCTCAAGGAGTACGCCCTCAAGGAGTCCACAGCCGTCGTCGTAGCCGTTCATCAACCTTCCTCAAAAATATTCCATTTGTTTGATCGGCTCCTCCTGCTCTCCGATGGACAGGTAAATTCGACCTTGAAGTCCCGTTTGAAAAGTCATTTAGGATTTTATAAGAAGTAAATAGGCAAATAATAGCATGTCCACGAATTGTATAAGTGTATCTGATGTATGGTTTCAGACAGCCTATTTTGGCCCTGCATCATGTGTGGTATCTCACTTTGAAGCGTTAGGTCTCAACATTGCTCCAAATTACAATCCAGCCGATTTCATCCGTGAGTTGATGTTGACTCATCTCATCCTCAGTATAATTATTATTATGTAACTGTAAATTCTATTTTAGTTGAACAATTGAAGCTGGAGAAGACGACTTTACTAGGTAATGGAAAATATTTATTTATTATTGGCTCATATAAATTCATTTCACCAATCTATTTGGTTTACAGCTGGATGGAAGAGCCAAACAGATTCATTCCAAGTGCAAATTTCCTCTGCCAAGAGTGACATTAGTGATGATTTTAATGGGAACCACATGTCACGGGGTTCTTCTAGTGAGTCAGTTGCTGCGACCTGGCCTACCACTGTATTTACACAAATTAGAGTTCTAGCTGCTCGAAATTTTCGTGAAGCTCGACCCAGAATGCTCTGTACGTAATTATGAATATGAAACTTTGGAAGAAATTAATTTCAGAAATTGAAATTCAACTTTTAAATTTCTTCCAGCAAAACTGAATTGGCTACAAACGCTGGCTCTGGCCGTGATGGCTGGTTTGGTTTGGTTCAAGGTAAATTATGATCCTTTGTTTATGAAATGGAAACAAAGTCATTAATCAAGATGGTAACTTTACAAAATCAATGCGGGTATGCACATTCTTTTACATAAATTGATGTGTGATGTTGTATTTGTGACCTATCATAACACTATCGAAACTGGAAGGATTGACTTTTGCAAAGGACGTACCGAATACATGGTACATGCAAACGTGTAACTTTTCCTTTCAATTAGTGTTCGTGACAAAGCGTAGCGTCTTTGTCGCCCTAAAAAAAGTATGAGAGCCTGTCATGCTTTATTCATTGTTGGAACTTGCATTCAGTTTTTGGGCTGGAGTGCAATGTAAAAAGAAAATATTTTACTTGCATTCACAAGATTTATGTATGTATAGTGGCATCATTAGCCAGGGAAGAAGACGAGTTCATCATTTCCAGTCAGTCTCACAATGGATAATTTGACAGTTACTTCACTTCTTGTTCTTAAGATTTCGATTCATTCCACATGTACTTTTCATTCTGCAAGACCTTGAAAATATAAAAAAAAGTTTTGCGAACAAAGTTTACGGACTCCAGAAACTACTTAGCACGATGCTCTCTGTGGTCGTGATGTCCCTTATTAGCTCATTCTTTTCAAATATGCTTTAGTCATTCAATACTGATGGATCATTTGATTTGCATAAAGTGAGCAATGTACTTGCGGTCTTCGTGATACAGTACTTATGTACGGTGATCCGTAGATCCTGGTCGTGCATATATAAATAGATAGCTCTATTAAACTCGTATTTATTAAACTTTATTAATACTGAGTTGTAAATATCGGTACGTAATATTCTTTTTTATTATTCAATAATTCAATTGCATCTCGTCCACACAACTCTAGTGTACTTATTGTATTTATTGTAAAGGTTGCAGTCATACTATGATTACTTGCACTTAAACTTTTTTGTAATAATATATATATGCTATTGCTAAAAAAACGTTCATTATTTTTTACCTCTTCCAGACCGAGAGATCAGAAGTTGCACTACCAGATTTGGAAGGGTACGCTAAAGCTGTTATGCAAAGTCAACTGAACTTTAATCATGCACCTGCATTGTATTCATACGCTCTGCTTTTAGGTTCATGTTTTTTTCTTCGACGTACTGGATGCTTTTTGCCTTATTTGGAGCACTTGGATCCTGTAAGTATTTTTCCACGATAAATTGTAATCATTATCACCCTCAGTAGTAATGTGCCTATATATGCAAGTACGTATGTACATAGGTACATATGTATTTTACGCGACATGGGATTTCTAATCAATTTGTTTGATACTCACAGTTCCGGCGGAGCGAGCTGTAGTTGAGAAGGAACGACTGTCTGGGGCTTACCGGCTGTCCGCCTATTATCTGTATAAGCAAAAATTACTATTATTATTATTATTATTATTATTATGTAATATAATATATTATTATTATATTATAGTGCAAAAATGATAGGCGAGGTGAGTAACTTTTCGGGTAGTGATTAAAAAATGACCACCTTTACAATATTCTATATTTCAGGCGCCCCTGGTCATGGTCCTGCCCTCAGTTTACCTCGGGGTTGCATACCCTCTCCTTGGCGGCACCACCTCCTCCTTCCTCGGCATCCTCTTTGTCCAAATCCTCTCGTCCTTAGCTGCACAGAGCGCTGGATTATTCTTTGGCGCAGCTTTGGATCTTAGTGCGTCAGTGACTGCAGCTGCCATCTTCACTCTTGGTATTACTCACTCTGACCTTTCTTGCTAATCTACAGACGGACGCATGTATGTCATTATAATAATTTATCCAATTGCAGGGGCTCAACTGTTGGGTGGTTATCTCGCCAACAACGTAAGTGAATAATGGGTCTGACTCAAACTGTCTACGAAGCACAATTTATTTATTTACTACTTTTTTTAGGTGCCTTCATATTTGAGAACTTTAAGCCTTGTCTACCATGCATTCAGAAACATGCAGCTGTTAGAATATAGTATTGGTATGCAAATTATGTGTTCAGAAAATTCACAGTTTGCCAGTTGTAGCAACTCAACGGCCGCCAACCCAATACCTATCGATGTGTATGAACTCCTGAACAGGGGCAACGATGGGGGCTTTTATATCCCATACTGGAGCCACACAATCTTCCTTTTGGGATTTTTTGTATTTTTCAGAATTCTTGGATATGTTGCCCTTCGGAAATCGTTATAAAAAGTGATCTTTAGGAAATCATGGGTAGACATAATAAATATATACGTTCAGCGATCTACATATTCAGATACATATATATCAATGATGTCGATGAAAAGATTAATGTGAAAAAATGTAACTATTTATTCCACTGTTTCGCCAGTGATTGTTCTTTCCGAGTCTGTCTTTGATGATAAGCACTCCTGAATCTTATACAATTGACTGATTTAATATAATACACCATAATGCAAGTTTGTACGCTTGTGGACATCCGGAGTTAGATTAATAACCATCGTCAGGTTTCTGAAAAATCTGTATTTTGTATTATGAAAACCAGATACTTTCAGTTCCAATTCCTTTCAGTGCGCAAGGCAGATTTGAATTTATACAAAATACTCCATAAAAAGAAGACATTCTTCAAATGCAATATTTGAAAAGTATTTTTCCGTTGTTATTATTGTTACATAATATTTGTTAGTAGTATGGAGGTAAATCTGTGCAAGTATTGAAAATAAATATTATCTGCTTTTTGTATGCATTATGTTATGAACTATAGATTTTACAACTTTGGTATTCTTGTAATTTCAACCGTTTTGATAACGTAAGTAATAATAATACATCAACAAATTGCGTAACAGTCTGTTTTTATTTTCGTGCATTAATTTCCAGATATATATGAAATAAGTATATTAAATTATTATCACAAAACAAAATATTAATCAGTATCTTAAGAACGTATAAGAACCGAAAAATTTCTTATCACTGATGAATTAGATTAGAATCAATCGTCTAATTCACGCATACATTTGCCTAGCGGTTACATAATTTGTCACAATTTCGTCATAGTTCATACTAATATTACCTGCATACATAAACTTAAGATGAAGACAAAACTAGGAAATAATAAATTAACTTAATCTTCGGCTATGCAAAATGATTAGATATTAGACTCGTATTACCTACATATTTGCGAAAAATGATTCATTTTTAGTAGATTTGACAATTATTAGGTTTCTAGTTGAGGAGTTTTATATAATTTATAAACGACATAGTACGAGAAACTTGGATTTGAATGAGTATCAAGTGAATATTTCGAGAAATTTAAAGTTTTCGGAATGCAAGTCAACTTACAAAGTGCATTATACATGTGCACTGTTTGTTACATGGTCATGCTATATTGAGACTACAAGTAGTGGTAGCGTCAAGTGTGATGTTAATACAAATCTTGTGTGGATAACAATCATGCTACAGTATTGGACCGTGGCCTTCCCACAGGGTGTTCTTCAGTTTCTGTCTCACTGTGGTTTCCGGTACTTGAAATTTGAGGCAGTGGTTCTCTCCAAAACTCAAAAGAGCTGTAGCCATCCATGTCGCAAAATGAAAGCAGCTTGTACGGTGGAAATATATGCTCAGCTAGCTCTACGAGACTGGTGTACCTGTACAATTTATAATGAAATTAAGAAGACAATATTTTAGAAATTTTCCAAAATACACAACTGTTAACATGAAAATTAGTCCACAATCAGCAAGGTTGTCCGATTTTACGGTACACATGTTTGAAGTAAATTAAAACTGATGAATTGTCTAAAACTCCCGTATGCATATACAACAGAGTCACATCGGTTTGTCAGATTAAAAACTTCAAAACTTAATAAATATTGTGATGTAAATAAGCACACCACACTGGAACTTAAGAAAAATCTCACAAAAACCCAACAACTCATTCGAAACTGAAAATTTTGAATTGTACCGATTCTCGATTCAGCCGACACAACACTGTTTAGCGAATTGTACCTTGGAAAAATGTCATCAATAATATGACTCAGACCAAGGTATCTTGTAGAAAATAAGAACAAAATTGCGTTATTGAACACAGAATGAAACAGAAGAGAGTAAAGTAAGTAATGATGCAAGCTCAGAGCGAGAAATTGAATGACTAAGTGAAATTAAGGCAACTTACGAGGACTGGAAAGTATTTGTAAGGGCATGTCGCAGTTCGCCCTTGTGATTAATGGTAAATATTCGTGAGATGTTGATATCAACTGCTCTGTATGACCACACATCGTTTATGCGATTTCCATATCCAGCTGAAAAAATAATAAACGACCATTAATATCATTATTGCTCATTCAAATGAAATGAGCTTGAACACGTGTTGTGTAAGCAAGGGACTTGAAATAAAATGTGGAAACTTTCGATTTTATCTAAATTTAGAATCCTTACCATAGAAAGGATTACGAGGAAACAACGTCTGAAAACAAAAACCAAATTATGTTACAACAAAAAATACTTGCAGATAGATAATTTAATTTAGTGTGCATTTTAATTTTTTAAAAATAAATACCTGAATATCCTTCAAGCAAGCGATTTTAAACTCTTCAGGTTTCTTTTCGATTACTTCTCTGTGAAACGCTGAAATGAAATGAAAGTGTTTAAATTTTTAACTGGGCGGTCCCTTATTATTACGGTATCACACTCTGATAATTTGAATTAGGATGACGAGTATTTTATATGAATATTTCCTTTACTGTGGAAGTATTTGCTAAAATAGATTTTGTTCTAACCCGCCATGAGCGATGTTGGATTTAAAAGAAGTGGTCCATCAGGCAACGTAACGTCTCCTGTGAAATAAGGACATTCGTTAAACTCATAATTTTATAGTAGTATTAATTGTTTAATCTCATTGATACAGTTGATAAGGATTAATGATCAATATTTGCTAAGTACGAGTACAACTGTTAGTTTAGTACCTTGCCGAATGGATCTTAAGTATTCTCTAGTGACTTGTGCTTGTCCAATAGCTCTCGCAGAGAGATACAGCATTTTATACCCGTTTGCATGAATCTGATAGAATATTTAAAACATTTAGAAAAATAAATAATTACAATAAAGTCGTGAGAAAGCAGTAAGAACTTCCTTATACCTGTGTAAACAATTGAGCGACTCCTGATTGAGACCAGTCATTACCAATGATTGGCAATATGTGACCAAGTACGTCAGATTTTGTAATTGTTCCATCAATATCAGAAACGACTACTCTGTCATCATATTTCCACAAGTAAATGTGACATCGTGCAACAGTTGTGCCTTGATAGGCCGTGGTAACACTAAAAACTGCCTCGTTCTGGCCATAATTCAAGCCCAAGGCTTTCTACCGAATAAATTTCAATATTAGTAATCATGATTACACATTTTCTGCATTTTCAAAATTGGTCAACGTACGATTTGTTCTGAAGTTAATCTCAGAGTTTTTTTGAACTTTTCTGAAACGTTATTTGAGTCTTGAATCAAAATGGGCATGGTCCCAGGAATACGTGTTCGTGGAGCCTTGTTTTCTTGTCCCCCTGTTCCCTCAGACTCGTCAGAAGATGAAGTTACTGATTGTATTTGTTGATTGTTGGTTTTTGATGGCGAAGATTTCCCTTTTGGAGACTCTTTTCCTTTAATAGAAGAGTGAGTTTCAGAAGTTTCAGTTCCTTCTTGGTTTCTCCTCCAGGGGAACCAAGAAGAGAATTTCTCCTGGAATTAAAACAAATAAATTAGTTAGTCTCATTCCCCACGATTAACTGACATCGTTTGTATGGGGCGGTGCCCCATAGGTTAGAAGACTAAAGTTGTCAAGCAATATTGCTCATTCCCCACTCAAATGTGTGTTGGACGTAAATAATACGTCCGTGTTAACACACGCCTCACCACCGTGTTTGCTTGCCTGCTCAACTCCTATCTCTCGCTGTGTCATTATTCTCAAGTCATTCCCGAATTCAATCAATAATACTAATAAACCACTTTAGTTCGTAAAAGGTTTGTTTTAAGTTTAAATATTTTACTTCTGACCATTAAAACATACATTGGATACTATGGATGAAAATTTGGAGGTAATTATTGACATTCCTCGTCATCGGCAAGAAATTGTGGTCCGTGATCAACCTCCAGGTTTCATTCAAGTTGGAAGAAGAGTTAAACTCGATACTGAAGGCAACAGATTTGCTAGTAGTAGGGTCGAAGGTCAGTGACATACTGATATTATGAAATAACTGTATTATAATTGCAATGTTTACAAATAGATTCGGAGGTCGCAGCATCGTTTTATAAAATTGCACGACCAGACGTTCAACCTGATGAGGATGAACCATTTTATAATGACTTGGGACGACTTTCTCCAGAGCCAATGGTTGCTACAGTTGATCCTACACTGTCTCAAGCAGAAGAAGAAATCGTTGTCGAAATGGTCAGAAGGGCTGGTCAGGTTGGAATCGAAGTAGGTGATTCCGGTCGTTTCCTCGTATGGAAGGAGGCAGCTCCAAAAACATTTGGACAAACTACAGAACGTGTCTCAGACCAACTAAGTCTAAAAATTCCAAATACAGGAGCAGGTGGTCATTGGAGGTACCCTCCAATTTGTACATTTGCAGGTAATTATAGTAATAATTTGATAAATTTATAATTGAATTATAATCTATGCAAATATATTTGTAATTATAGGATGTCGTTCTTCTAAGGGAACAAGAGTAGACGAAGAACAGCCAACTTGCTTGAATCACAAGGGTCCCAACACAGGATTCTGTGTTATTGAGTATGGCACAGTCGTTAATGGAATACTTTGCGGCTTGGATCATCGGATTATGGTTTTCACCTATGCGGATAGACAAAAAGAAGAACATTTGGCGGTGACTTTGACCTGCAACCCAAAACCAACTGGGGAAGAACAAAGAAGATTAATTTTTGATAATCGAGAGGATGCTGAAAAAACCCTGTCCGTCTGGCAGACAGCGTTCTTGTGTCAAATGCTTCGAAACCCAGCCCTGAAGTATCATTCAACCTCAATATCCTTAGCTATTGGACTGGAACGAGAAGTAAAGGAAGAATTGAGAAGAGTAGGACTGCAGTTGCGGCTCACGATGATGCTGGCCAAGAAAAGTGAGAGTGAAAAGATTGAGTTTCCATTTGGTCGAAGGGCAAATCCAGAAGAAACATTATCAGATTTGATCACTGCTACTGAGGGTGCACTTTATATTGTTGCTGATTCTAACATTATCTATGGAGGACAGACCGTTAATGGTAACAATTTACATTTGGAAACGTATGGAAATGACACCATAGCCAAGTATAAAGCAGAGTTCAACCAAAATGTGAAAACGATTCCACTGGCATCAGTTCCAAAAGGAACCAGATCAACTAACTTGAAGAAGATGGAGTCACACCTCCACGTTGGGTTGTATTTGGCTTATCTGTTCCGACTTCGAAATCACCTGCACCAAGAGCTCAAATTGACTCATCCATATTCCCTCAACAAAGAGACATCTGCTTCTCACTTTGATGCAAGATCACGAGAGCAGATCCAAAGATTTGTACTCAAAGAGTTTGGGGCATTGATTGAAATTTTACCATGCCGTACTTATCAATTTATTATTTAACATACTTTTCTAGCCCCAGCTACATCTTTGTCTCCTATTGATGATGAGCTATTTATAGAACTTTCTAAACTAGCAGCATCCTCTTCTTTCTTCATACCATGCTCAATAAGCCTGAAAATTAATAAATAAAAAATGTAATATTAAACAGACAACAGTTTCAGAAATGTGGTATGTACTAGGCCTTTACTTGTGATATACGCTTGAAGGTAATGGTTGTTTGAAAAAGGTAGTGGATAGTAATTGAGGTAATGCAGCAGTCCAAGGTACCAGCTTCCCGTCAATTTTAACAACAATGGATTCTGGAGGTGTACTCAGCAGGACTTCAGGATTTTCAACCAACTCGTCATACGACAACTGTGACTGTTCAAATAAATTTAGAGAGCTTCCGCAAAATGAAATTGCCTCAAACTTTGATTGAATTTCGCTGGAAGACGATTCTAAATTGGATAATATAAATCATTAAGTGTATATAAACTCAAGTCATATAATGATGGAACCGAAGTTAAGTAGTTACCATTTCGTCGTCTTTCTTCTATATGTTCCTCTAGATTTGAGGTTTTAGGGGATGAGCCTGGTGCAGGTGACTGAGGTAGAGAACTTCCTTTTCCAGATTCCCCATCTTCTTCCTGATCAGTTTTTGAAGACTGAATAAAATATGTATACACATGTTGCTGAATGACGAATATTTAGTTTATAAAGCAAGCTGTTAATTTTCACCTTTCTATGTTGATGGAAGTTTGGGAAATATAATGCTGCAACCTCAGGGTCCATGTTTTCAACATTTAGGTCGTCCAGATAGACTCCGGATGCATTTGGGTCATCGCCTCCACCACTTTTATTTCGATTCATGAAAGAAAACATACCAGCGAGCATTGACTTATTTTCATTTCTATCTTTAGACCCCTCATCATCACTGGAAAGGGCAGTTTGATCGGCATCTGCATTCGAGAAAAATTATACAATCTAGGTTACAGTGAAAATAGTTGAAATGTATACAGAAATATTTTGAAGCACATACGTTTTGCTGGGGTCTTTCTTCCACCTGTGTTTTGCAATCCCCCAGGGAATCCCATTGGCGTGGTGGTTGGGGTAGTGTTCCCAGTGGAAGGTAGTTCACCCCACACCCATTTACTAACTTCACCATCGTCATCTGCATCCTTCTAAAATTGTAGACGTAAGCAATTACAATAGTCAGTAAAAGCTAGTTACAAACTTTGTCTATTCATGCTGGAATACCTTATGAACTTTACTAATTTCGTATTCAGAGTCAGACTGGATGGGAGTATTTGGACGAGAATTGGGTGGGGTGTTGGTTGGATCAATTTCAGTGTCGGAGAAGAAATCTCGATGAAAACTACGGCTATGCGAAATGCTTCCGTTTTCGAGAGACTTTAGCGCATCAGATACTCCAGTTAAATCATCATCCATTTTAAAAATAGGTTCACTGGTCTCCGGGCACCCGACAGCATCATTCATGTCAATTTTTATATCGCTCTTAGACCCCTGATTTGGAAAAATAGATATTACACAAGTTGTTAATCTTATGAAGAAATTTAATAATAGTAAAGCTCACCTGATTTCTCCTGCGTTTCTTTCTACGCTTTCTACCCTTCAAATCATCACTCTTCCCTGCAGTTTCTAACAAATTTGGCGTACTGGCACTACTGTGTATACCATGAATAGAGGATTCGTCCTTCTCCTCGTCTTCAATTGCAATGACTACTTCATTATCGCCGTTGGATGGATCCACTTCTTCAATAACGCTTTCTGGGAGATGACTATCAAATCCTAACTGACGGGGAGATCCAGGAAGAGGTGAAGTCGCCAGGTTTTCATCGTCGAGATCAAAATCAACCTCTACGAAGAAAGCTTCTCCGGAATCACCTAGTTTCATGCGAATCGGTGCCGAAACACCGTTGACTTCAATGTCCACCACCTGAGATAAATCCACAGACAATATAAGTTTAAAGACCATTTTAATCCACACGAACGATGAAAATTGAATTAATAGTGGCTTACCTTCTCCTTACTCCTGAGAACTCCTAATTTTCCAAAACGAACGTGGAATGGAGAACATTTGAAACTGCCGTCTTCCTGTTCAACGACTACAACGTCAATCGCACCTGTCAATGTGGCTCCATTTATTCCACTGTAGAACCCCTTCAAATTTCCAAAAACCCGTCCTAACGGTGCCAGATAGTTCATTTTTAGCCGGTTTTGCCTTCAGCACCTTCAGAAGAATAGATCCCTGTAATAACAACAATATGTAATGTCAGTAGACTGTGGATTTTACATTTATCTAATGAGTTTAACCGAATTATATTTTGAATGATTACGACCTTCTTGTACATATATCACACAAAGAACTAGCCATGACAAGCCTTAAATCACTATATCTACAAACCGACAACTTGTGATGACTCAGTAAAATACATAGAATTTGGCTATTAACTGACTGTGCATACGTAAGAATATTTGCTTAACAAAAGGTGCTACATACAAACGTAACGTAATTGACAAAAAGAAAATGTCTTACATATAAAGCTCTCAATTGCATTAGAGCTGTTGTTGCTATGTACTGTGGGTTTTTTTGCAATGACAGCTCTGCACTCGCAAATAAAAACTCGGCGGAGCATAATATAATAAAATGAACAAGATCAGATAGACGCGTATCGTATGTTATTACAATGCAAACCTGTCCACTTTAGTTGGCTGGACCGGATCACGCGCGTGCATCGTTCATAACTATAATAATGTTTGTACATAAGTACGAAAAAATCACTTTATTAACCACTCGTTTCTATCCTCACAATAATGGCATAACTCTATAACGATTAGAATATACATACACTTTGCCGAGTACCTACGGGATTCCCAAAAAAACAAATGCCATATTCTCATTCATTCAAGGCATATGCAAAAATTACATCCTGATATAAAGTAAAATAAAGTCTAGTTGGAAAACATTCAAATTGATTGTTCCAAATTAAATATATTTAGTCTTTAGTGGTAACGGTAAGAAGAGTTGAGTGGCATTAGTACACGACGTTTTAGGGAAATAGAATGCGGAATTACGAGTGTTGCATCCGGATCATGTGCAGTTCGAGACACGTTCCTTTCACATGAAAGTCTTAAAATAGTTGTTTTCAAGCAAGGAAAACACTAAATTCTCTTACGCTGCAACCTCACTCAACAATATTATAAATTCGCTTTATTAAAAGCCAGTTATTGTCAGTGTTTCGGAGCAAATGTGACAATCTTAAGTTAAAGGGAGACAAACTTTGAACTTCCGTTATGATAAGACCATTCTCCTGATGTATATGTATATATATGCTAATTAATTACAAATGCAGAGTTTGTGAATGAAACCCAATGTACTTAATAAGGAAATTGGATTCAAGTCATGATTGAGTGTTGCACTCTTAACGAATGATATTTAATCCGCCTAACTCAACTAACCTTGATTTTATGCAGTTTAACCCCGAAAGATGAGATAAAAATGCCATCCAGCCAGATGAGTTGTGTAGTACTGACGGAGGATGAGATCTAGCTTGCCAAATTCTTATCTGACGATGAACGAGCGTGAACGATGGACTTTGTCTCACCGACGGATTGGTCTCATACAGAGCTGGTCCGATTCCATTTTTTATCGATGTAAATTTCGCATGACGATGACATTTGCTTTTAAAGGAATGGAAATAATTTTTTGTTTCAAACTGAAAAATACCAACTCTATTCAATCTGTAATTTTTTATTGAGACATTATTTCTTTAACATGCGTCACACAAACTGTTGTTGATTGATTACTATAAGTATGTCTATATGTAGTTGTGGTTAAAATAGAGAGGATCACAATTAATAGAACGATTAGATCTTTGTCTAATTAAATCAAGCGTTCGTAAGTATGAGTAATAGTATCAACCGAATTAAGTTTGCAAAAAGTAGAATAGAATCATACCTTTCCCAAGCGTCTGTCTCAAAGTTGCACATATGCAGGTATGCAAATACAGTGTGTCACAAACAAATGGTCACAAATTTGTAGAGAGGAGATTCAAATTTTAAATTTAAAAGAAAGTGGAAGTTTTGCCTTGGCAGAATTATACACAATCAAGCGGAACAAACAACAACGTTTTGCTTCACTGATATTTGTTGAGAATGGTTTTCTCAACTTTCCCACAATTACAATACGTGCAATAGTATGGCAGTTTGTATTATTAACGACTGACTAGGCCAACCAATAGGGTTAATATTATTGCTGCAGACAATTTACTTTGCTTACAAATGCCGACCGATTTGACTATGTGTCATCACAATTTGACAGTCGTGTTCAAACTGAGGTTTGCCCAAAGTTAGCTTCAGCTTATGAACGGAGCGTTACACACACATGCCTCTAAATGTAACGTTGTAGTATGCTTCATATTATGTAAAACCAGTCAACAACACTAATCCATCCAACTCACGTTAACTTGCTCACTTTTAGTTACTTATCGGCATAACCAAACCTACACAAAAATACTGCACACGACACAAGTGTGTCAGATGGAAATACACACGATAGAATCAAGATGAGACGCTATATTCAATTTCAGAGATCAGATCATCATATTCATGATCCTTATGTGTAGGTGCACTTATGTCATTCACGTAGAATATCATTCTGGTTTAATGGACGAAAGCTATCGGGAATAACTCGGAAAAATATTATGCCACGTCAATGGGTGTTTTTGATGGACGTATGTTATTTGATTTGTATTTGTGTGACCAAGTAGTGTGTTTAGGTGAGTAATAAATTCATGAATAAGCTGTGTCGCTTTTTTGTAAAATATGTGGCGTGACTGTTGATCGTGTGTTCTAGGATGATGAGGATCCAATTAAAGCCGTGTGAAGCTTGAATTGCATTTAGTTACAGGCAACCTGAGTAACGAGTGATTATATTTAGTTATACTCATCTATGGGTATACTTGTCATTTAGAGCGAAATTAATTAAAATATGTAGGTCTAGCTGAAATGCCAAAATACGAATCACATTTTTATAGGAAATGCGAGATATGTATATGGAATTAAATAAGAAGGGTACTCAGAGGCAGTCAGTTGGTAGATTGTAAAAGAAAACGGGTTACGTGCAACCTTCAAATTCCAGACGGTACTATGTACATAGTCGTCTGACTCCAAATGTGATCAACGCAGATTCAAGTTACGTAAATATTAATATCAGATAGTTTATGATGATAAACCTAAGTTCCATTTACGTAGTTGTATAAATTTGCCGTGTAAAATTTAGTCACATGATGGCAATCATCAATTACTAAAACATAATAGAGTAATTCTACTAGTAGAACTGCTAGAACGTAGTGTTTTTGAGTCGATCTATTCGTTGCTTATCTTAGTGAATTAATTGATATAAGAACAAGATACTCTTAACCCATACCACGTGCAATTTTATATAATGACTTTTTTGCAATTCAAGGGTTGTCTGCTGCATAAAAGTCCAATGCAACAACAGCTTTGAAGTCAAGTGGCGTTGGTTTGTTGTGAGTTGAGTGCTGATTGCAAAAATTAACAAGGTCACCACAATTCACTCGCAAGTCGCAACACACACACCTCCCAGACAGACCAATGAGAGTCGCGAATTCCTTGTTGGACAAGAGTCATACGATACAATAAAACCGTGATGCGCAGTTACATGCCCCCACTCTCCTCGTATGATGTTTCCTAATTGTTGTGTCTCCTCCTCTTCATTACAACCCATGACAAATATATAACGCCAACAAAATAAACAACTTTCAGAGAACCCAACAAAACCCAAATAATCCTATTTCATAATGTACCTACTACAAAGCCTCGACAACGTCTGACTTTTTTACATCCCATCCCATTAACAAAGTCGATATGTACCGGTTACATACGTAGTACAACTCAAACAAAATTGCAAAACCGATGGTTTGATACATTGGCTTTAAAGCTAAAGCCTAGCCAGATGATGATGATTGATTGGCATCAGTGTAGTTAATTATTAAATTATTCATTATTCCAGTGATAATCAGGAAGTGATTTTTTGGTAAATGGTGGCTGATAAAGTCAACCATGTTTTAATGCCACTGGTTGATGTCAATGTGTCATGTATGGTCAATGCTCGTATTGAAATATTATTTAAATATATACCTATTTATATTGACCTACTTACAATGGAAGTTTCCTAACGTATGCACACAGATTCTGGCAGACTAGTGTCTATCGATTACCAATTTAATTAATATGAAATTTTCAAAAGACCCCAACTGCTTAGGTTTAGCAAGAATGTTTGCATCCGAAAAGGAGAAACGCGCAGTAAATTTGGAATTTGGAAAGTGTAAAATTTGTTAACTTTAGGGGGCGCTTTCTCCTTTCTGTCTCCGCTATTTTAAACTTGAGCATTGACAGATAGTGTCTTTTGGAAATTCTATACTAATTAAATTTGTGATCGATAGATACGCTAGTTTAGTCAAAATCGGAGAGCATACGCTGGAAGACCTCCATTGTTAGTTCCTACAAACTCAGTTGATTTCCGGTTGTTTTCACTTACTCCAAAATAATAAGAATGTTCAAATATCGAAATATTGTACACAAGGATTACTTGACATTACCAGAATTTGTAGAATCATGTAACCGTTACATTGTAACGTGAGATTGAATTTAAAAAAAAAACACGTCAAAAGAGTGCAATGCAAACTATTTACTCAATTTTCAGAGTTTTGTTGTCTACAATTAATCCAAAACTCAAACCAAAGCCATATAGTGCCAGTCAGACAAGTTTGACACTCGGCCAAAATCTACACTTTATATAATTGAATAAGGAAGTCAATTCTCGTGGCAGACTGCTGAATTGTCAATAATTTTAATAAGACTCGCAATCAGCCATTACTATTTATACAACTTGAAGTATAGTGACTGATGATACAAAAACTTGTTCAGCAACTCAACTACATAAGCTCAAGACAAATACTCCAGCAACAGTTCTCTTGAAAAACAACACACATTCATCAATCTATATATGTAAATGAATCAGCGCATAGTATGTGTAACTATGTAAAATATTCGCATATTTCTGAAGTCGTATCTTCTTTCGAGGGGTGAATGAATGGGAGGGAGGGACGCGACGGTATTGGTATCAATCTGTTTTGAACAACAACAACCAAGTAGGAAGTGAATCCGTCGTCTTGTCCCTACTTTACTGCACATTATGTATTGCCGTGCATCTTATGCCTGATCCCACAGGTCATGATCCACTAATACACATTATGCATGATAACGAGTACATTTCATGAATCTCATGAAAAAATGATTGCTAGCTAAGTCTCTGCTGCCTTCACAACTTATAACTCATCATGTGTCTAACGGTGCATATATTTAGATGATTCATTGCAGGAGTGTGTCATTCAAGAACTTAGGTCAAGTGTTGCCCCCAAAGCTTGAGTAAAACAAAAATTCACAAAATGACTTCCTTGCACACTCCTCTGCGAAAGATACCACGAATGTACGGCCTTAAACGCAGTGATTTCTGAATAACAAATACACAGATTGAAATAGATTCCAATAAATTGTATACTTACCACACAATATTCAGTTTAAAGTCACCTTGGTCAACCCTCAGCCTCATCTCTGTCCGTCGCGATACAATTATACATCACTATGATTATGGTGCACCAATGTAATATATTGTCAAAATGATTATGATTTGATATCCGTTCCTCGATCACATGTTGAGGCCGTTTAAAAAACCCAAATACGTGGGATGAACTTTCACATTTACGGCAAAAACTTTTGCAACCTGCACCATTCGACTATTGCATAATCTGGAGGAAAAGTGAAAGGTGGGCTGCTTCTTTGCTGTTGATTTTTAAATGCACTGATTGAATTGAACCCTTTCCGTCACCCTTTCACCTTTCCTTTCCGTCGACGGTGGTGGTCTCCTTCCTAATTATGTACACCGGGAAGCCCTTGGTTGGAAATGAGAAAGTTTGACTATTAGCATGATCACCACACTGGAGAAATGTTACTTAGAAAAAGGTTCAAAAAAAGTTTTTTGTTTGTTTTATTGACTTAAATTTTAACTGTAATAATGTGTAAACGTGTGTCCTAAATTCTATGTCAAGTCAGACGGTGGTGGTTTGAGGGTTGCCGCGTGTGGCCCAAATCATCTTTGCCTTCGACACTAACTTGCACCACCAAAACTCCACAAGCAATAAAAACAATAAAATTCAAAATACAGGGTATTTTTTCCGGTGGGTGGATTAACTTTATTTACGTTTATTTATTCAACCCCATATAAAGTGAGCAGCATATAAAGAGATGTTGGCCAATAAACATTAAATTTCTTGCTTTTGCATTTTTTTTGGTTTGTTCAGTAAGTGAGTGGCGAAACTTTAAGTGTATTTCAAGTTAATAATTGCAATACTATGTTTTGAAAGTTATTAAATTCTACGAAAGAATAAATTGGCGAGTACACAGGAATAACAAGATCTAATTATAATCAATGACATCACGTATCACGTTATAAAATAAATATTTCGACATATTTGTGTTCGAACCGGTTCTAGTTGCTTGTCGTTATATATTCGTTGAAGGATAAGATAAATGATGAGCGTGGTGACGTCACAGTTGCCTCCACCGCCCATGCAGCACCACCCACCACCCAGAGGTCCGCCCAGATTCCCACCACCCTCGCACTTTAACAACCAAGATCATCATGGGGGTCAGTTTATGCCGCGACCACGGCTGGGTTATCAACCATATCGCCCCTTCCCACGAGCCCCACACCCCCACGCGGCCAGCAGCACACCCGGTGGTGACAACGTCGAGTATGATGGACGACGACTGAGGAAAAGCCTCGTGAGGAAAACCGTGGACTATAATGCTGCCATTGTCAAATACTTGCAGGTCAGTTTCAATTCACGTCGTATCTGGTAGAATTTGAGGACGAGACAATTTTAGCTAATTTGTGGGTATTTTAAATAATAGAATCGGGTATGGCAGCGAGATCACAGAGACAGGCAAGTTTAAAATTACACAATACTTATAAAATCAGGAATGAAGTGCAAAACGGACGGACAAACCTAATGGATTTCTTTGTTTACTGATAGACGTGCCTTAGAACCAGACTACTCGTATGCCCCTGACACAGTTCCACCTACAATGCATCCAGATAATTGCACAAATTCAGTAACCACGAGGTAAACAATAATTTCGAGTAGCAGGTTTTTGTGTAACAAAATGCTGCTCAATTAATTAATCCACATTTTTTATTTAGATATGTCAAGTCTGCCACCAATAAGATGAGATGTCCAATATTTTGCATGGCTTGGACGCCTGAGGGTCGTCGTCTTGTTACTGGGGCTTCCTCTGGTGAATTTACTCTGTGGAATGGACTTACATTTAATTTCGAAACGATTCTTCAAGCGCATGATGGTCCCGTTAGGTTAGCTAAAAGTTACTGCTTAACCCGAGTCAGGGTTTATATACCTGATTTATCCATCTGTTTGAGAGTTGATGGTTAGATCATTTCTCTAGTACTGAAAATATGCATTTTTACAGGTCAATGATTTGGTCTCACAACGATATATGGATGGTTACGGCGGATCACGGAGGCTATGTGAAATATTGGCAGTCTAATATGAATAATGTAAAAATGTATCAGGTACCCTACATAAACTATTAATCTATAATTTGTTATCCAAGGTTTAAATTGTGTCACATTGTTAACTCAATCTCAGGCACACAAAGAAGCTGTGCGTGGGCTAACTTTTAGTCCTTCAGATCAGAAATTTGCATCCTGTTCTGACGATGGTACCGTGAGGGTCTGGGATTTCTATACGTGTTATGAAGAAAAAGTTCTCAGGGGGCATGGAGCAGACGTCAAAAGCGTGGATTGGCATCCCTATAAAGGCATCATTGTCTCCGGTTCTAAGGATAACCAACAACCCATTAAGTTGTGGGATCCAAAAGCTGGCATTTCTCTTTGCACAATGTACAAACGAAACTAATTAATTTAATCATGATTTTAGTATCATTTGATATATATTAATACACATATAGACACGCACACAAATCAACGGTAATGGATACTCGATGGAATAGTAATGGAAATTGGCTAATAACCGCCTCCAGAGATCACCTGATTAAATTGTTTGATATCCGTAAACTTAACCAAGAAATGCAAGTTTTTAGAGGTCATAAAAAGGAAGCGTCTTGTATTGCATGGCATCCAAAACATGAAAGTTTATTTGCGTCAGGCGGATCTGATGGCTCAATCATGTTTTGGAATGTTGGGTAAGTTCCACGCCCAAAAAATGCAAGAATAAGGAACAACTGGCTATCGTTGACACACTAATAATTTCTTAACTATTGCCAATTGTGTTAGGTGTGAAAAGGAAATTGGGTCTATTGAAGCAGCACATGACAATATCATCTGGACTCTAGGTAAACAACTCTTTTCAATTTATAAGTTATATCAACATACATTCAAACAAAAGACATATCCCTTAATTTTGAATCGTTAGAGTGAACAGTGGTAATTTTAAGAGAATGTCCAGTTAGGAGTTTAAACACATTTTGAATAAACGACAGATCTCCTTCTTCAGAACTATTGATATGTTCATAGATCTCGTTATCTCGTTGAATGAGGATGTCATTATGGGACTGTCCCTTCATCTCTGCTATTATTAGGGCTGCAATTCCCAAGCACTCCTTTCTCTTGCAATCATCCTCCACTCGTTTAAATAGGGCAAGTTGATCTTGATATCATCTCCCCACCTGCATATCATTAATTTCTTGTCTTGATGCTTCACATTGCCCCCTAATTTACTTACTTGTGTATTTAGCATGGCATCCAGTTGGTCACATTTTGTGTTCTGGTTCTAACGATCACACTTCAAAATTTTGGACACGTCAAAAACCAGGAGACTTAATCAGAGATAAAGGTCACGGATCTTTTCATGATTATGGTGCACTGGATGACAACGAAATGGGTATTTCCAGAATTAATTTACTCAACAATATAGATATACCCGCCTCATGAATGACAAAATTCCTTACTCATGATAAACAATTTTGGTTTTCCAGAAGAAGCATTTATTCCGGGAATGGGACCAGAAGATAGTATAGAAACCCAAGAAAAAGAAAAGGAGTCAGAGACTGATCTCATCATTCCTGGTAATATTAATTTTTACAATATACATAGTATAAATGAATATCAAGGTTTATGTCAACGCTACTTGGTCTGCTTTTTCTATGATATCTTACTCGAATTATATCGTACTCGTTTTTTTAGTAAATATTAAATACTTACAGGGTTGGATTTAAATGACGATAGCTCGGCTTCTAGATCCGACAAACCAGCTGCAAAAAAGACACCTTATCAAAAACCCATTCCCAAGAAATTCCAAGCAATCTGGAACGACACCAAGGTGGAGTTGGTTGACGATGAGCTTGATGACGAAAGGGGTAAGACGGTTATCTTATCTATAAATAAAAACATATTCAAAATACTTATCATATTCATTTTGAATATGTAAATGTAGGTAGAAACCCATTACTTCCCAGGATGAATGAGAGAGTTAATAGTGGGAGTGCTTCACTTAATGAAAAGGAATCTAGTACAAATGTAGGAGGTGGAGTTGACGCCGGTGGTGGCGGGGGCAATATTTTTGATCCCAACATTGGATTTGGTAAGTATTTGCCAAAAATTAATTCTCTAATCAACTTTATGATCAATGAGCGAAAATGATGAAAATACTGAGCATACAAATGTTTATATATATACTCAAATATATTATACTCAAATAGGTCCGATGGGTGCTCAATATAATCTTCCAGTTCCCCCACATGCAATGGGGAACCCCTTCTTTACACAACAACCTCCCACCGGCCCGTCACCCTTTCTTAACCACTCAAACAATCCTTTTTGGAATCCGCCTACCAACCAAGCTCCTGGTAACAACCCTAACCGACAAGGGCAAGTGAGACCTGGGGGTGGTCGTGGTAGAGCCTCTCGGGGTGGTGGTGGCAATAACAGTTCTAGAGGGGGTTGGAATAGATAGCTGACACTACAGTTTTACGTGTGAATGATTGCACTTAAAAATAACTAATGTCCACAAGTGACATTTTAATTCTTCAACAATCTTAATACTACAAATGAAGATCGATAGCATGATTATTAAGAAGATTCGTTATATTTTATTTTAGAACAGTTAATAATTGTTGATTAACGTTAGTGAGGTGTATTATTGTGAGTGTGATACCTAAATACTACCAGAATGACGGTGTTCTTCCTCATTTCCATCTTCGGTAACACTTTTACGCATCCTTGCCTTCTTATGAAGATTGTAGATTACGTCATCCAAGGAAGACTCGCTGATGAGAAAGCTACAAAAATGATTTTCATTATTATTTATATTGTGCGTAATTTTTGTATTCTACATTCTATGTGTTGTTCTACCAAAATTTAAATGTTGTGATTTAAGTTACATGTATATGTTGCAAAATGGTGGTTGGTTGAACATTCCACCCACCGACTCACTTATACTTACTCGAGGAAATTTGTCAATCATTTTTTTGACAACTTGACTTGAGTGAATTTATTTATCGTCGTTTGTTGTTGTTATTTACTTACTTATCCAAAAGGTTGGGAAATCTCTCTCTTGCACCTTCCATTATTCCATATGCATAGCTTAATTTTGTTGTCAGGTCTTTCATCTGGTAAATGAGGGTGTTGCCTTCATCAACCGTTAATTCACACGGACTAAAAAAAATTGCCAAACAGTTTTATGAAACGTTATGATAAAATATATGTATGACTGTTGACTACTGATTTATAATTACTTATATTCAGAATGCTAAATTGAATTACCTCAAATGACGAATGATGTGATCTCGTAGTTGATCAACTTTTGTCCCAACTTCATACGGAGTCAGACTTTTAAATGCCAATGCTCTTAACTTTATGGACAACGTGAAGCCTTAAACAAATTATTCTGTATTATCTTTACATATATAGTAACTCAGCTTTGTGAATTTGGATAATTTTACCCCTTGAATTTTCTTGGAAAACTTCGGAAGGCTCATCCACTGACAAAATCTCGCCGTTATCTAAAATCATTGCTTTATCCGTGCAATACCGTACTTCTTCTGTAAATGTGGATGTGAAAAATGTTGTTTGTCCTTTCTTTTTTGCTTCATTTATGGCCATCCAGAATATTTCCCTTTCTCTCAAATCCAGCTCCGCCGTTGGTTGGTCCATCAACACAACACGTGTCCAACCAATCATCGCCTGCATTGATACAAAACGGGAACAATGCGCTTCAATATTCTTACTATCACTAATTTATGGAAGTATGCAAATATATGTGCATATGTACCATCGCACAACAGAGTAATTGTCTTTGTCCAGGTCTGTAACCCTTGCAGCTCATTCTTGCTACTCCCTCGAGATCTTATCAAAGCAACGGAACTTGTCAAGATCAATAATGTAATCTACAATAATTACTAGATTTTTTACCCAAAGTAGTTAGCCATCTTCGTACTTGTACATCTATTTGAGACTCAGGGACGCCTATCAGCCATTTTGTTATTATATTACAGTCACAGATGAATTAGTCGAGTTATTGACATTGTTATGTTACCCCGTAACTGAGCAAACAGTTTTAACATTTGAAATCCCGTGAGGTCTGGATAATATGCATTGTCCTGAGGACAATAGCCCATTTTCATGGTGCAATGTCTTCGATTTCGTTTGGTTAAGTGTTCATTTTCCATATATATATTTCCTGCAGACAGTCTCAACTCTCCCGTGAGAAGTCGAATCAACGTAGACATCCCACTTTTAGCGAGCCCTAAATCAACAAGAAGCAATGTAGAACAGGAGAGAAAGCTGAGAAGCTATTATGCAAATCACTCCAGCGTCGTCATTTATATCAATCAAGTACTAACCTAGCAGTCCGGTCGTGCTTCGTACGGGGATGGAAAAGTAAACATGATCTGAAATGATTCAAACAATCACGGTATTCATATGAAGAGTGATAGATTTATGTGAATCTAACATTGAGTTTTGCGGTAAACTTATACATACCTATACACTTTTCGGTTACATAAAATTTGCATACGTCTTGTACCAAAATGATTTCTGATTCCACATTGTCTTCAATGTCAATCATGTAATCCACTCGCTGATGCTCTCTCTTTACATCTTCAGGTTCTTCCGTGTCTCTGTCAAATTAAAGAATAGCCAAACATAGAAAACCCTGTTGGAAATTAGTTAACCGATTAGATTAACTAATTCTCCTTGGGTTTCATCCTTATGACGGCAATTAAAATTCGAAAATCCCCATCATTCCATGTTACAAGTTACAACTCGCTTCTTCCATTTAAGAAAAATTGTCGATGTCAATATTGTGGGTTACCTGGTGTCTTCTAATGTAGCCTTTATTTCTTTATCTCCTAACAATGTCGTCTTCAAGTAGAAAAATATATTTTGCGGGATTTTATTCTCCATAAGCAACACGGTCAACCTATTAGTAGCAGCAATAAGTAAGCCATATGTCGTTTCTTTAAACTTTTATGAAGTTATAGCACTCCAAATTACTTGAAATTACCAGAAAAATACACCTTGAGCCCCGATTGCAAAAATGTCCACTAGCAATCCTGGAACGGGCGTGTTAACGAAGAATTGTTTCTTTTTGTGACAGATACCTTCACTTTCGCAAAAACTCTCTGAAAAAAGTATATGATTTCGTGCAAATTAATTGCAAGTATATTTGTAATATTTTGTGTACTTTTAATGCTTACTGCAACAAGCTCGAAGAATGGAATCAGAAAAAAGTTTCACATGTAATTTCTCTGCCAGTTTACTATCATCCTCCGAATTCAACGCATTTTCATACTCTGCACACCTCTGTGCTCCAGAAATGATATATTTTTATTAATATCTCCCAACAAAACCTAGACGGTCCGAAAGTCTAATTACATCATGATCCATGACATTGCAGAAGCTCCTGTCCATCACAATGTGAAAGTAATGGACTAGTGCTGAGGTTAGCGAGTATGGTGGGAAGATATGGAGAATGTAACGTAACACGATGGCAAAATCACTGATGTCCACTCTCATTACTTGGTAGGTAATTGACATAGGCAAGATTCCTATGAGACAAATATACCATTTTTATAAGAATAATAGTTTCCTGTAATCCAAATTGATTTCGTTCATCGGGTGATCAACTCAATGATGGGGTCCATTGTTTCAAATCAATGTCGGAATTTTATAGGACTGAGCTGAATCACGAAATCAAATGAGACATGACAAGAAAATTTTAATTACCAAGAGAAAAGTGGAGAACGATAAAATGTGTAAATCCATCATGAGAAGTTTTCAGGATACTACTTAAAAAGTATGAATATGGGATAGACGACCAGCACAGGTATCCAAATATGATTAGTGCAATAATCACTAGAACATAATAATATCACTTAAACTTGATCAAGGTGATTCTTTTATTATCTAATATTACTGCTCACGTTTCTCATATCGCCCCTCAAATTGTTGTCCATTTCCGATCATGTTTATAACGCATAAAATGCCCATCAAAATAATGGTCATTATTAAATTTACCGCAAAATCCCCTGGCGTAAATTATTCAAACATTGGTAGGATAATTTTTCATTTCTGTCAAGTAGAGATACGTGCAGAGAATTTTCGTCTTACCACAGTAGTTAGTTAACCTGCATTTGTAAAGGAGAAGATAAATTATTGTCTGAAACAGTTTTTAGATAGAAGCTTGTTACCGTTTTTCCCCACAAAAGCATGGTCATTATACATACTTGCATGCATATCTGTACCCGTCTGCTGGCAATACTTACCAATAAATGATGGGTCGCACGCCTGCCATTTTTTCCAATGTCTTCATCTACAAATAATCCACGACGTGACCATAAAGTTCGAAGAGTTATCATGATTTTTATTAAACTATTTTAAATGGTGCGCATACTCCATTGAGGCGTTCCCAAAGAGGAAGTCGCATTTCTGAAGCTGATATTAAGGCCAAAATTATGGATAAAATGTATGCATACATTATGATTGTATTTCCTTGGGTAGACCCACTCGGAAAACCCTATCAGGGTAATTAATTTTCAGGCCTAATACATAGTCAAATATTTTGTACTGCTTAATTTGGGTTACCTCATATTGTTGCATAGGATGATTAGCCACGCGAACTGCATATTTTTTTTCAGAGTTGATTGACAGCATGGCCAGCACGGCGTTGCTCATCAAATTAATGACGATGGGACATGAATGGTACGAGTTTGAGGAATAATAACCAATTAGATTGCCATCTGCCTTTTCTACACCAATAATCGCCTGTCGTCTCTCATTTGTTAGAGTGTGACCTTTGCGCCTCTTCAATTCTGCCGACATGTCCATTTCCTCCTCCAAATACTCTGTTTCCATTCTCCCTGATACCTTCTTAAAACTAGCAACCCACGCCTGCAAACAAGATGATGATAACAGGATGGTTTTGATACAAAATTTCTCGTATGAATACATAATATAATATTTAATGTGGGTTACGCATAAATTACGCACCTTCCTGTTATCCCCACTAGGTTTAATAAGTGCCACACTGTTGGTGTAATATTCCATCCTCAACGTCCGAGCTAGACTTTCAGGATTATGGTTCAGGAAATGTGAGGAGAAAGCAATCATCATAACCATAAACGCAATGGGAACTATGAATTCTGAAAGAAGAAATCTGTTTCTTTGAGTCATCGTTAACCACTTTTTGGTAAGGAGAGCTTGGAACTGTTTCATCGTTGTCCGTTCAGGTAACAACATATCAGGAATAGTGTTCAGCCTCGCTACAAAAACCAATTTTTAAAATATATTTATGTAATTACATAAAAAATGTAGCAAAAATGCACAACATAAAACGTAAAGACTCACGCTTGTGGTGGTGGGTAGCTTGATCTGGTTCATCCTCATCGTGGATAATTGTCTTTCCAGTGAGTGCACTTTCAATCATCTTGCTGCCTGAAATCTTATACAGCAATCCACCCAGCTCAACACGGGAAATCCACATTTTTCTATATTTCAACGCTTCCGAACGGTCCTCAATTTTTTCCTATACAACGTTTAATTACATATGTATAGAATATGACAATGAATAGAAATAATAGAATAGAGCATGACTTTGGTTTATGCTTCATTGTCGTTTATTAGGTTAGCAACTTACTAGTAGCGCGGCATAAGGTTCTCCAAATGGGAGGAGGTACCTTCGAGTTCGTTCACCTGTTGTGAACCCAAGTGGTGCCAACTTGGTGGCACCCTTGATTTCCGAGTCGATAAGTTTCTGAAGACCGCTATGAGAAATTGGCACACCACCTTCTTGAATGTTGACAATTGATCCAACATCTGCATAAAGTGAACAATTCATAGAGCACATGCATTTTTGGAGATGCGTGGAATACCATTTGCTCGTCTCATTGTCACCGTAATATCTCTTGATTCTGTTCGCAGTTCCGTAGCAGACGACTTTTCCGTTAACCAATAACAGCATTCTATCGCAAAACAGTTCGGCATCTTCCAACCTTGATGTGGCAACCACGACGGTCCGTTTGTTCTTTAGAGACTAGTGTAGCAGAAAGTCAAGTAATATGAATATGCGAACATATCTAATAGGCATCAATTAATTGGAAGCATAAGAAATATATTTAACATATTTTCTTTTCTACTGACCAAAAGATATTTCCACAGTTGCTTAGATGATTCGACATCCATGCCTTGGGTTGGTTCACTGAAATTAGTGGTTTAGATACTGAGGAATATTGAGGATTAAATTAATTTTGTTGTTGTGTTTTTAAATTACTCCAAAATTAAAATGGTTGGACTGCTTGCAAGTGACATTGCCATCTAAGCAGAAAATTAAATTTATCAACACATTACCTTAAATCTTGTTTGAACAGGATAGAACAGGACGAAAGGATTGAGTATTAACTCAATCCTTTCGTACTAAAATATTAAATTTTAAATTAAAAGATAGCAACCTGCAATTTTTTCATTTGTGACTTGGACAGCCAGAGATAGCTGTGACGCCTAGCCCCTTGAAGACTGAATAATTGTAGCAACATCCTTGCTTGTTGTTTCGATTTTTTGTATGAATTTCCGTGAACCTATTTTAGAGTGAAAGAAAACATTGATGTAGTCGGTGTAGCTTGTTTGAGAATGAACCTTTTTCAATAATGATGATAAATGACTCGATGACTCAACAATGATATTAAATAACTCACCCTTGACGCGAAAACAACGTGGTCTTCCACTGACAACGTTGGGAAAAGCATGCATTTCTGGGGACAGATGGAAATAAAGTGATTGAGAATATCGGAGTACTCGTGAACTTTCAGATTCTTCATTTCTACGAAACCACTGGTCGGATTCGTTAAGCCGGCAAGCAAGTGGAGAAAGTTTGTTTTTCCCGAACCCGCAGGTCCAACGACGGCCAAAATTTCACCCTAAAATTAAAAATTGCTTTATTTCCAACAATGTATTGGGCTACATACTTAATTATAAAATGCATGTCTAGCTGTTTGTTCGAGACCTCAAAAATGTCGACGGATATATTGTCCAGAGAGATTTCATACGATGCTTCAGTTGCAAAAGTTTTGCACAAGTTTCGCACTTTAATGGTGCACCTTAGATCTATCGGTGGCCGCTCATACATTTGTGGCATTTCCTTGTAATTAATTGGCGGTGGTGGTTTCTGGTGTTCCGGTTTTGGTTTATTCCTCAACTAAAAAAATGAAATTTACAAGTGTGATAATATTCAATTATCAATCACTGGAAGATATTACGATTGAGTTTTAGTAAAACTCACTTTCCACAAATAAGCCCATGTAATGGACGGTGCATATGGTTTAGAAAATACCCGATCAAAGTAAATTGTCAGCAGCAAAAATATTGTAATGGTGTAGACAAAAAGGATGCAACAGATTGGAATTGATGCCATGATGTATACTTCTGTGTCGATAAGAACAGGAAAATCATACCATTGTAATCCATTTTCTACAAACAAAGGATGCAAATACTGCAACAATTCATGGCAAGAATCTACATACATAACTATAGTACATACCGTAGAGCTCGTATTGCAAGAATACATAAATTCCGTTTGCAAGACACCATTGGGGGTTAAACATGCACAAAATAAAGTTGGGAACCCGTGTTAGAATCCGCAATTTAAATAGCAACATTGGCAGCAGAAATGACGCTAGAGATTTAAACACGGCAAACATTCCAGCCGTTGAAGCTATGCATTCGAAATTCAAAAATATAATCATACAAATCATTAAGTATGTGAACGAATTATCTACTTATTGTTCAAAAATTTACACGTATGTTATGATCACACTTACGACTAGCACTAAAGAACTGGACCAAAAGCAAATTTTCCGTGTACTGGGCAACTCCATGAAGAAAAAAGAACAGCCAAATAATTACGAGGTGTTCATAGTGGAGAATAGAATGGTCAGCAAACGAGTAGTACAGGATTACTGCCATAAATAAGGATATCAGTGAAGCCAAGACACACATGTTCATGCCATAAGATATCCAGTGAAGGGCTGGGGTAAGACCATGCAATTTCAAAAGTTCCTATCGCAAAAAATATTTAGCATCTCTTAAATCTTTGCTTGCGAAAAATTTGAACGTAACACGTAGCAGTAATTTGCGACAAATGTTATTACTATTTTGCCAGCCTTAGTTTCTTCTGCAATTTCTTGCACCACGGCAAAGTTGGTGCAAACATAGGCAATAATTATTGCAAGCACGATAGAGATCCAACTCTTGAATTGAATACTTTCATCCAAAAATACGGGATATTCGTACATTTTGACATATGGCGATCTCCCAGCGGCAGAATATAATTCTTTAAACTGCAAATGTTCGTACATGTATTATTATTTCCAAGTATTGCAAAATACTTAAATTCAACCAATGTGTATCAATCAACGGACAAGTATCTCACATCACTATCTTGTAGAATCATTTTGTTTTCAGTTGATACTTCAGCTTTGACCATTTCAACCCTGAAAGGTACCACAACGCTTGTATCTTTCATCCCATAATTAAAATTGATTGCTTGTTGTGCATACGTAAAACCCATACCACGTAATGTCAATGGCTAATTGAAGTCCTGAAAAACCTGTACTAATGTAGGGCGAGACTACAAAAAAAATTAAACGATTTCTTGTACATATAAATTCATGGCTTATTATTTAAAAATGAGAGGTATGACAATTAAAGTACAGTAATTAGTAAAGTCAACCTTCATGACGACTTCTTGGTCTACTGGAATGTTCTACAAACGGAAAGTTTTCATCCGTGTTTGCAGTTTCTGGGTAAAACGTACGAATCTACATAATAAGCATTGCTACTTCGATAATGTGTTTGAACTTTAATTCTTTAAACTTTAATTTGTTAGATAATATGCATAATAACCGTGTATCGCAGTTTTGCTGGAAGTGTTTCATTAGCTTCTATTTTATCTCTAAAATCTTTATGAATTCCTCCAAATGAAAAGACGACACCATAAGGATATCTAAATGATCAACAACCAACCAACCAATCAACTTATGTTAATGATCACAGGCAAGAAAGGTTTTGGTAATTTGAAACCTTGTCTTCTCGTCCTGTTTGTCCCATTGCGTTTTTAGTGCATTGTCCAGTTCGACTGGTGTGGGAACGCCGTACTACAAATATTGAAATTTACTGTTTACCTATTGGCATCTAATTATCTACATTAGGATTATAGCTTACAAATTTGGACTCTTTTGTTCCTTGCACATCCACTTTGAGAAAATCCTCAACTTTTGACATAAGATGGTTGATAAATGTGTTATTTGGGGTATACACAATGTAATGATATCTTTGCAAAACCTGGAAACCACAAAACACTCAGATCTTGGAGAGGATGAATCAATGCGTTCAGAACAATTGTGGTACCCGTTTTCCAGGCTCAGCATCTGGATCATCGTCACAGAATGCATTGTTTGAGCATACATAGTTAAGAATCTGTAGTAAAAATGGAGTAGAATAAAATAAAATCCGTTTCTGGATCAAATTGCACATCGGATGCACCTTACCCTTTTCTGTGACATTGGCTGATATGGATGAACTATAGCAGTAAGTAAGATAAAACCCAATGCATATTAATTTACACAGCATCAATGCATCATGCATATAAACGTAAGTATAGTGGAACACATGAATTACATGGGTTTCCTTCCGGGACCTTTTTGTCTTCAATAGTAAACTGAATCATCCATGTGTTATTCAAAATAACGCCGGCACAAATCACTGCTGCGCAAATTATAGGGAACGCAAACTCCACGAATGTTAAAAACAGTTTGCGGTACTTCATGATGAAATTGAGCCAAATAAGAATGACCAGCTTTCTCCTCCAGAGCTTGAGATTTGCTTGTTCTCCTCCCCCTCCACCGTCCTCCGTCCTCCCTTTGCTCTTCCGAATCAGCCTTTGTCTCAACCCAGTCAGAGTCATGTCCGAGGAGTCATCATCCATGTCATGCTGCGTCATGGTCAACTTTCCGGCCAAGTCCGGGATGGTGGTGGCCGTTGATGTAGATGCAGTTGAATTCTTAGGCTCCAAGTCGGGCAGGTTCACTGCTTTCTCATTTACCGCAATCACCGGAATGGGAAAGTTGGATGACGTGGGCATTTTCCACGTACTGGAACGAAATGTTTCCAGATTTTCATCATTGCGATTCTTCTTCGATCCGGAATCCATATCGTAACTTTCAGTGCTTAAATTAAATAGCGATCGAATTTGAACTCAATTTAGGCATTGAAGTTGATCAATATTATTTGACACTTTATCATTCTATACATGTTCAAGATTGTTTGACACTTTATCAATCTATAAGGTTACGACAAATTCCCGAGTTACAAATGAATTTTCATTTTTAAATTGTCGTGGGTTACAGTTTATTTTTTAGCCCGAGTCAGGGCTTATGGAACCGTCATGTCCGTCCGTCTGTCTGTCTGTCCGTCTGTCTGTCCGGCACGATAGAGCCAAAACGGCTGAACCGATTGACTTGAAATTTTTACCACATGCATATTGGACAAAATTAGGAAACGAGTTCGAAGATGGGCGAAATCGGTCCAGTGATTGACCGGTGGGGGTCATCGGAGTAGGTGGGGTCTTATGCACCAAAATTTCAAAATTGTCGTAGAAAGCTGAAATTTGGCACAGAGGTTGCTAATGGCTCCTACTAGATAAAAATGACTTCAAGTTGGAAAAATTTTCATCTTGAGCGACCCTATGGGGTGACCCATACCGATTTTTAAAAACCATCATATCGAACTGAAATTTGGTGGAGAGGTTGCTTATGGGGTTTAATGAAAGAATATGATATGATATTGGTAAAATTGTTATCAGGAGCGACCCTATGGGGTGACCCATACCGATTTTTAGAAATTGCTTTAAAAAGATGGAATCCGGCACAATGATACTTAATGGCTTCTAATTAAAGAATATGAAGTTAAAAGTGAGCAAAGTGCAACCAGAGTGACCCTATCGGGTGACCCATACTGATTTTTCAAAATCGTTATATTGAGCTGAAATTTGATATGGAGGCTGAAAAAGTGAAAACCACTGTTGGATAGTACATGCATACAGCTTAGAACTTCATGATGTTAAAGAAGCCCACTGGTCATGGTGGTCAAGGCACATGATTTGTAACTAATTCAAAAATTTGGTACCAAATAGTAGAAACTATCTAACAAACTTTTAACCATCCACAACACGGAAGTTGGTGATATTATGTCGGTCGGAAAAAAATTAGAAGTGGGCTCTGACTTATTGATTCAGGGACTATGTCCCTGACTCGGGCTATATGGAGTCTGCACTGTAGGTAGGTTTTTAATATTTTGGCTGGAGAATTGGTTTTTCGTCCATGGGAGAAAAACCAATTTTAAAATAATTTTAAAAATGAATTTTTATTTATAATTCGACCATTTGTCGCAACCGTTAAGGGTAACTAGGCACTAAATGTCAATCAATCGTGATACATGTTGCGACAAATGAATTGTTTCCAACACAAATTTTCATTTTTGAAGAAATTAAATTTTAATTATTATGTACTGAAAAAATAGTGTGAGTGGACCGTTGCTAAGTTGGAAGATTGAGATCACCCCTAGGTCAAATCCGGGTCAAGTGATCCCACACCCTCCAGTAGGGTGTCAATCGATCGGTCTAGATCATACGATCACTTTGGTATAATTATAGAATTTTGTGAGATAAGAATTGGCTGAAAAACTTATATTTTGGAGATATTCTTCAAAATAAACGTTTTAGCTATCGAAATAGTATACTCGAGATTAAAAAATCAAGCTAAAAATTAGGATGATTTCCTCCTCAGGGGAGGAATTCAATTGTAATATGCTTAAGCATGTTTTTTGCTTAGGCAATGCTCAGCGTAAATTTTGCTTAGCAAAAAATGCGATTCAGTTCATTTTGTGACATACGCATGCCTATTTCAAACATTTGCGTATTCTTGATTTCTTTTGCTTAGCTCTGCGTAACTTTTCCTAAAGGTCAACAAATTTCATTCGCGCGAGTTTTATTGTTGTGTTATTGTCTTTACCACATTCTGCTCATTTATTTAATTAATTCAAGTCATTAATTGACTTGATAATGGATCCAGTGGATTTGAAGATGGAGGATAAAATAAGTAAGTAAATGAGGAAACAAAAATTTGTCCGTATTATTCCTTATAAGGATTTATTTAAAAAACCTACAGTGCCGACTCCATATAGCCCGAGTCAGGGACATAGACCCTGACTCAATAAGTCAGAGCCCGCTTCTAATTTTTTTTCCGAATTGACCGACATAATATCACCAACTTCCGCGTTGTGGATGGTTAAAAGTTTGTTAGATAGTTTCACTTTTTCAGCCTCCATATCAAATTTCAGCTCGATATAACGATTTTTAAAAATCAGTATGGGTCACCCCATAGGGTCGCTCCAGATAATAATTTTACCAATATCATATCATAGTCTTTCATTAAAACCCATAAACAACCTCTCCACCAAATTTCAGTTCGATATGATGATTTTTTAAAGTCGGTATGGGTCACCCCATAGGGTCACTCAAGATGAAAATTTTTCCAACTTGAAGTCATTTTTATCTAGTAGGAGCCATTAGCAACCTCTGTACCAAATTTCAGCTCTCTACTCCAGTTTTGAAATTTTGGTGCATAATACCCCACCCACTCCGATGACCCCCACCGGTCAACCGCTGGACCGATTTCGCTCATCTTCGAACTCGTTTCCTAAATTTGTCCAATATGCATATGGTAAAAATTTCAAGTCAATCGGTTCAGCCGTTTTGGCTCTCTCGTGCCGGACAGACAGACGGACAGACAGACAGACGGACGGACATGACGGTTCTATAAGCCCTGACTCGGGCTAAAAATTGTTATTTACCTCTTTTTCTCAGAAAGTAAATGACGGCCAAATTTCTCGGTTCGAGAATGTGACGCTCTTGTGGAGGCTGTTGGATTGCATTACGACGCAGTGTATAGCAAGTTCAGTTCGAGTTTGACGAACGAACGGAAAACGAGGCTTGGGCACCTCGTCGCCCAAAAAGTCAACGCAGTGACCTTGGCGCGCCCACCTCGTGACCTCGTGGAACTGAAAAAGAAGTTCCGATCATTGAAGTCCACAGTCAAGAAAGTGGAAATAACAAAAATGAAATGAGTGACTGGCGGAGGAACGGCAAACTTGCAAACTTTAGATCGGAAGAACCCAAGAGCAGTTAATACTTTTGATTTAGAAACAAAATTTAGCCTAGAAAATAGTTACGCTAAAGATAAAAGTGGTCCGGAGCACTTTTAAAGATAAGACAGTTCTGAGCATATTTTTTCGTAATTGAATTGTAATTTTTGCTTAAGTGTTTTCCTAAGTCTACTTTTAATTGAATCGCAACTTTCGCTCGCTGAGCAAAATCTGTGCTTACGCCTTGCCTATTTACCAATTGAATTCCTCCCCAGGAATTAAGTCTCTATGTCTGCCTGTTCAAAAGTTATTCAAGGTTAAAGTCGTTGGGCCCGACAAGGGGACTTTGGGCCCAAAGATTTAAAAATGAAAATTTTTTTTCAAAATAATTCATTTGTCGCAACCGTATGGGGCACCGCCCATAGAAACGATGTCAGTTAGTCGTGGAAGTTGATACATCGAAGTGGCGACAATTAGACAGTGGAACTAAACTTTCACAGAGAATTCAAACTGTTTCCATGCCGTCAAGAATTTAGGGTAAAATCGCGCTTATCCCAACTCTGGGCTTATGATTACTTATGAAACCGTCATATCTGTCTGTGCCTGTCCGATTAATGATTACACCCTTCAACCTTTGATTGACTTTGGTCACACTCTGACTCTACTCTGTTATATCAGAATCTGAGGACTCTACATACGAATTCATATTTTTAAATGGCATTTAGCTTGTTACCCATGTCAAGCGGTTTTGTTTTCTAGATTTTGACTCAAACTAAAACGATGAAATCAGAAGCGGTTGACAGAAATATAAGCATAATAGTCAAGTCTGAATCCGGCTAGGCATTAACAATTGCAAAATAAATTTATTCCGATTTTCTGAATCAGCCAATCAGAAAATCGGAGTAAAATTATTTTTTGAAAATTGTGGAGTATGCATGCGTATACTCGTAACGTAATAGCAAATCATGAACAAATCACAGACTATGGATGCAGTTATATAAATGTGTTAATAATTTTATTTATACACCTGTTTTATACTTATTGAACATATAAATATCCAAGTGGTGAACTTTAGAATAAGTTCGTTGTTTATTATTAAGTAAATATGCGCCAAGCCATGTATTTTGTGCATTAAGAACATATCATAAATGTAACGCTTTGAGAACAAAGACGGAGAATATCACAGCCTGTTACTCATTATTCTCATGCTGAGTTGACAAATTAAATAGTGACCACCCATTGTTGTCCATAAACTAAAACTTTGAGATTTCTCGATGAATGTAGCATACACAGTAATTCATAATTTCCTGTTCTTTGAACAAAACCATAAAGAGATGCCGCAGTGACTGGGTTTGCAAGAACGACCTTCGTATTGACTCGATTGCACATTTGTGTAAATCTGCTGAGACACAATTAAAGGATTAGTATAACTCTGAGAACAATAAACTTAAAGTTTAGTAGAGTCAAGATCTTTCCCCTCTGTTACCTTCAATTTAACCCAAATTGGTGTCACGTCTTAACCTTAACCAAACATTATTGTTTATTGTTATTTATGCATTAAATCATCCATCTGATGCAAGCGTAACGTGAGAAAATAATGGGCAAGAAACATAAACTTTATGCATGTAATGCTGCTGCCTCATGAAAAATGTCTTTCGTAAGTACTTTTTATGTGTCCATCATTTCATATTATTATCTGAAACCAAGTCTCAATAAAACCAAACAAAAGTGAATTGTTGCATTTTCAATTTTATTGCTCTTCCCATAACACAATAAGCATTTCACACACTTATTGCGTTCCCATCAGTCAGTATGATCATCAAACAACATGCAAGATTGTTTGTGGTGGTGTAATTAGTTCAATCGAGAGTATGTACATACAAGTGCACGATACACAGTGTACTTGCACTGTGTTAATAATCGCTGTTTAATTTAATAAAAGCATGCTTGGTCACTTAAGGGTGACGATAGTCGTGACAGTCGATAGTCGAGATGAGGGCCGGATTAGGAAAATGAACCTAAGGTTGATAATAATCTCAACAATTGCCCAATATTATTATGCATGTATGGAAGACAACATTGTTGGTCGTGGGTGAGTGGCGGAGATGCTGGTGAATGTAATTTGAGACATATTATTACACGAAAACAAGCAAGTTGAGTAATATAATATCTTGAATTTATTTTACTGTAAAAATATAAATCACGTTTCTTTGTTGGGTTTTCTTTAATGTATCAGAGACTAATTACACGGACCTTTGTGTGTGTGTATGTGTGAACAAGGACCCCTCGCTTCTGCTGGTCGTGTTAAGAGTCGTTCATGGTAGATATGTAGGTTCATGGGAAGATAGGTTAAGGGAAGAAGTAGATTTTTTGTATGTATTTATGTAGATCATGATGATGAGATATGAGGGATCACTGGAACTAAAGGTAACTTTCCTTGTGATCAAGATAGAGGTTTTAATTGACATCGACATTGATGCAATCAACGGAAGTATTAGTTAACTACAATATGTCAACTAAGGACTTAATTTAGTAATATTGCCCTCCATAGGATCCTGAGAAGTCTGGAAGTGGAGTAATAGAACAATTCATTTACATAGCTTCAAGAGAAATAAAAATCCAATTTGAATTCGATGAGATAAAACGACGAGGCTTTTAGTTTTATGTTAAACTCATGAAAAAGGGAAGACTTCCTTTTTCGATCAACAAATGAACATGTAAAGTCCCGATTAATAAACTTTTTGTATTTGGACAACCTCCGGTTGATCACTAAATGCTTTTCGTCTTCCAAATATTGAAATGCAAACTAAGTTGATGGTGGAAAGATATTTGGACTAAAATTTCCTTTCAAAATCACAATAATGTATTGTAATAAGCTTTCATACGATATAAAATGATCATTTTAACTAGAGACGCACAACGAATACTGCACATGCAAAACAGAAATCTTCAACTTCACATCCTCCGCACACACATGATGCAGACGCCTAGGTTTTTAGTTACCATGTCCATATCCATGACCTCCGCCGTAATGTCCTCCATGGCCGTAATGTTCCTTGTGTACTGGGACAGGGTAGGGCACCTTAACTGGAACTGCGTAAGGGACGGGCTTCTCCACATGCACGGGAACCTTGTGATAGACTGGGTATGGCTTTTCTACAGGGACATGGACGTGCTTGATCTTCTCGTGATAAACTGGGTAGGGCACATGTTTAACGACGGGCACTTCGACGGGAACATGCTTGATTTTCTCCACCGGGACATGCACGGGTACTTCGACGTGTTTAATGACTGGGTATGGCACGTGAACATGCTTAATCTTCTCAACAGGGTATGGCACGTGGACGTGCTTTATCTTCTCAACAGGATAAGGCACGTGGACGTGTTTGACTACTGGATACGGAACGTGTTTGACAACAGGAACCTCTGGACAAATTTGACAAAGCAAAAGTCCGTTTAAAATAGGTGAGCAACAAGGTTAAGAAAACATTTAGGAGGTCGTAAATTCTAGGATAACTTACCATGATGAAAAACCCTGTGATCGAAATGGTGAGCAGTTACACCCCCGTGATGTCCATGTCCATAGCCGTGGCCGTAGTGTGGAAAATCGCCTGCCGTAACACTGGCTACTGCGGCCAATAACAGAAATGCCTTAATGCACTGCATGTTCGACCAATCTCAAATATTCGGACAAAAATAAGGATGTTACTGCTGCAATGGGATCCAAACTCCTAATGACGGTGGACAGTGGATTGTCCAAGGAGTTTATATATAACCCCGATGGAGGATACCCCCTCGCAATAAGTACGCAAGACAATGGCAAGACTATGCAACTTTATGGGGAGTGTGGGAGAAGTGAGAAATAACAATTGGAAGCACTATATGGATCGGTTGTGAACTAGCTCTCATAGCATTATTGCACAGAATTTGCTAATAAATTGGCTGTATTGTCGAGGAGGTGGCCGTGTGTATGCATGTGCATGCATTATTGTAGGTAGTAAAGAGGAGAATCTGTTGTGGTGTTGCAGGGAGGGCCACTTACTTATTCTTGTACACAAATAGGCGCATAAGACCGAGATGACCTGAAGTTTGATTACTAAAAGTATGTAGAACCAACCAAATGTTATGTTACACAACTGCTAATGTAATTTATCGACTATGCTAGAGATACGCGTATGTAAGCAGCCAATGCGTTAATTCATTGTTTAACAAGAAAATCAGCCAAATTGCACATGACATGCAACTACAAAATCACGACTCGAGTTGAGCTGACAATTATTCCTATATTCATAAATAAAGAACGAATAGCATCATTATCGCGTGAACTTTTGATCATTTTATATTATTTGCAAATGAGGTAAAAAAATATTTGAAAGTTTGTAATAAAATGATCAAAAGAGGTTTTAATGAATGAATGAAAAATCCATAAATATCTCAACAAAGCTAATTGAAGTGCATTTATTGCGTTGCATGCGTTCACGATTTTTATTTTATTGCTCAATTTTCCCCTAATCTGTTTGATTTTGACCTTGTTTCACTTCTGTCACTTGTGGACAATCATCATTATTAATGTCGTCGTTGCAATGGGTGCACTTTTAATGATGAATTATGTGTTTATGATATAAAGTCTTCACGTTCTGGGTTATAGTTTAAAAAAAATTAATGTGGATTTAATGAGAAAAATTGCACTTTGGGACAATAGTAAGAATTGCAACATTTCCAACGATCCCACACTTAGAGCAGCAGAATCATATATTATTTTTGAAGTGTGGTCTACTAAAAGTGTTCTGTATGAAATGATGAAGACTTATTTATGACGAAATGCAATCGTGTTTTTAGTCTTGGTGGGATGGGCATAGTTCACCCTTGCGTCACCGCACATCATGCTAATTATTTTCCAGCCACAAACCTATCAATTTGACATTTTACTACTCTATGTGGCGCTTTTATACGTGGCGAAACAACGGAGGTGTATTGTTTCTATAGGCACAATATTTCTATTGTCAGTACATCTGTGAATAATTTTGAAATATTTACTTATTTCAACCATTGTCAATTTTGATTTCCGTTATCTGGAAGAAATTTTCATCAGTTTGTTACACTCTCGCCTGAAGATGGATTGTTTGAAGCGTTTTGGGGACACAATTGGAAGCAATGGCAACTTTTTCCACCAATGGGCGAAGCTGGAGTGGAATATGATTTTCAAAATTGCCGTGAGTTGTCAACAAGAATAGTATTTTCTTTCACTCCATAATTCAAATAGCTAATTTGCTGCTCCTTCGATTGCATGTGAAGTTGGAGGAGGCGATTTTGACAACGCGTTACGGGCTGCTTCCAGCAATGATCTGCACCTTCAATGCGCTTCTTGGCTACGACAATTTAATTCTATTGTGGACGATGAGCACCGTGGTCGCTTATGTAATTCGTTGCAAACGGTTGGCGGTAGAAAATGCATTGGGATTGCTTTCTCCTATTGCAATGGTATCAATATTCATAAAATTGAGCAGTTAAAATGAGTTTTAATTAGTCTTGTGGTGTCTTTCTTCTACCAGGTTCGGTACGTAACATTCATGCTTCTCATTTCAATATGTTCGTGGATCTCTGTGATGACCAAATCTACAAACAAATCTAAGGATTCAGCAGAAATTCCGTACAAATTTCTCGGCTTTCATGCAACGGTTACGGCGAATGTGGCATTGTACCGACTCTACTTTACCTTCTTTGGAGTTTTAAGCAATGCTGCAAAGAAGTTTCAAATGAAAAAATCAATCAAGTCGAAATACGAAAATGTTGAGAGCGTGGACGACAAAGTGACCAATTAGCTAGGTGAAGCGGCTCAAATCGTAATCAAGTTATTATCGAATCTACATATTTATTTAAACCCTGAATAGTTGAAATACTTGTAATTGTCGAATCGCCAAATTTATCAGTGCTGCAACAGCAATAAATAGTATTTAATAGTTGTCTATTATGTTACGACTTATTGCTTCCTTGTCTAAAACACTCAATTCCACGGATAATTCAAATCTAATTAAAAATTTACTTTAAATGCAGTGTTTCTTTCTACATTATGCAGAAATAAGCAAGTTATGCAATTTTATATCTACTTTACTTGGAGGTTGACAGCTCGAGTCCAATCTAAGTAGCCATTTATTTGGAAAACGTGTTGTGTCCATTTTTCTTTTGGTTTAATTTGCCACGATGCATAGAAACCTTGTTGGGCGATAGTCACGATTAAAATCTGACTTCAGTATTGACCGTCCACCGTTGCGCAAGAGACATTATTAAGTGTAACAAAGTTAATACACAAGTTCCAACAGGGAGAAAAAATTGGCGTCGGCTAAAACCCAGCATTTCCAATTTCCATACTCCTGTCTGCACACACAAAATCTGTCAAATTTATTTGTATTCATTCAAATTCATTAATTTTTAACTAAATGCGTTTATGCATTTCCCTATTATGCTATGTTGGTGCAACTCATTAAATGTACAATAGGCACGGTGATTGTTGTTGTGCGGTGATTGTTGAGGATTGTCAAAAAGTCACTGTTGTTAGTGAATGATATAAAGAATAATTTTGTTGGCTGCCACTTTTTAAGTAGTTTATGCCAATGGGCACATGTTATAGTAGTCACAGAGGAAATGCGGAGATTTATAATAACTAAATAAATGGTGCATCTGATTAAGTACGCAGCACGTTATCGTCTCAAATTTCTCACGACGACGAGCAGTTACCTTCTCACCACTGAAATGGGGACAACTTCCTATCTACCTTTGCCACTCACCCAACCCAATTTTAATTTTTGTGATAAAGAATTCATAAGTGTATATACATATGTGTCCCCCATGGTTTCCTACATACATATCCTTCTGGTCGGCAGCTATTTAGAATTAAATTGTTCTATTTCGAGTCCATGTAATGTGCATCTAAAAAAAGTATTCAATCTGCTGCAACATTGCTGATGTATGTGAACTTAAACTATTTACTACCCACAAATTGTCAGCTTAGTTTTAGTACCATTGAAATAAATAGGTTAACGAATAAAACTTTTCATTACATTCTTGCGAATATGATGATCCGGATGGATAAATGCTTTGGTCATGACTTATTTCACATTTTTGTCACATTTTATATACTACAATGACGGTTCCGCATTATTAGGATGCAAATAAATCATTTTACATGCCATTTTTATGAGTATGTTTTTGAGTATAACTAAAAATCAAACTTGTTGTAGATGGTTAAATAAATAAAAGAAAATGAATGGATTTACAAATTGTATTTTTAAGTCGTTTTATTAATTACATGCTTTATGCATGATAAACAGAGTCCGGATACAAATGTTTTCCCATTGAGCCACAACATGAGTAGGGATTGATAAAAACATAATATTTGGCCGGACTCTGATGATAAACAAAGATCTGTCTTTAATTAGTAATCTATATTTTAACTAATTTGAGTCAGTCAGATCAAAATCATTTTATCAAAGTATGGAAAAAATTATTATGGACTGTTACATTTACCTGCCCGCTCACGTATGCTATTTATCTGTACATATGTATGAATGACTTTTGGAATATATATATATATATATATCTGCCCGTTCATAGAACTTTCACTAACAATGGAGGCGCAAACCATGTTCAGCCCAGATAATTTTTTGACCTTATTAGTTTGAAAGAGCAAGTCTATACAAACAACATTTGGTTCGGCACTTGAGCAGATGCGCAAATTTCAGCACGTTATGGGCGCCGCAAGTTCGCAAAAACGCACGATTTTTCGGGAAATGCCCAGCGCGAGCTCAACTTCGTGTATTTTTGCGAACTTGCGGCGCCCATAACGTGCTGAAATTTGCGCATCTGCTCAAGTGCTGAACCAAATGTTTGTATAGACTTGCTCTTTCAAGCTAATAAGGTCAAAAAATTATCTGGGGTGAACATGGTTTGCGCCTCCATTGTAAGCTTCGAAATTTCGAATTACATTCACATACATACAGCAGGATGATGTGTCACGTGGAAAATTCTTTTGAAATCCAAGATGACACTCCCGACCGGACAAAAAATCTCCTACATTCGTCGTAAATCAAAAGGAACACCGCAAAAGGAATTGATGCCAACCACGATTCGTATCTGCAAATATGTGCTTCATTAGTTATTTTGTCTTAAAGTTATAATTTATATTATCGAGTGCATGATGTCTTTACTTTAAAGGAACAAAACTGACTGCAGTGTTTACATATGGGGTGTAAATGAAGATGCATGGTATGGAGATCATAAGTACGAGACCGACGTTCATGAGGTTGTTCCTGCAAGTGATAAATATATTTAGTATGCAGCCACATGAGAAATAATCAATATCGAGAACTCCATTGTTTTCAAAATCTTACTTCATCCCTTGCTGAAAAATTGAAAGTCTTCTTGTCTTACAACAAATCGCATTTGCAAACTGTGTTATCACAATTGATAAGAAAAAGGCAGTTTGTGCTTGCTTTTCTAACGTCATTCGAGTGTCATAACTCTGCATAATCAATATAGGATATGACGAAACGTTTAGTAAAAATTAGTCTAAATTAAACTGCCATATGGATAGAATTTACCCATTCCTGTCCATATGAATCTGATAGATCGTTCACTGCCGAAGATTCGAAACGACTTTGACTGAATAATAAATCTTTGGGTAGCCATCCATTACACGCAAATGTACAAAAGTAGGCGAAGAATCCTCCTAGAGTTTCTAAAACTCCTATCTGACCATACGAATATGACAACATAGGAAGCGTCATCAAAGTGTCCTTGTTGGGATCACGAGGTTTTAACTTCATAATGTCCGATTCTGCAGATTCATGAGCTGGAAAGAGATATGAAATGCATGAACAATTAAATCTTAGCAAATGGATGATTAATGACGTACCCAATGCCACTGCTGGAAAAACATCCGCACCCAATGTGCTCAACAGCATTCCAATTGTGCCTGAAATTATGTATACGATTATACCCAAACAATACTATCAAGCATTGGAGGAACAGAAAATTACCCATTGGTAACGGCACCCGAAGAATTATGTACACCCAGTAGCAGTACATTTCTGCCTGAAAAATATCATTAACGCAGAGATGCCATTAAGCAAGGGGTTCGAGGAACCACTCTGGAACGACTGAACGTATGTATAAATTAAAGGGAGTCAAGTCAGCTTACAACATTGTCGGCCATTGTGTACCGAATAAGTTTCTTCAAATTATCAAAAATTAACCTCCCGTCTTCAATTCCGCTGACAATGCTGGCAAAATTGTCATCCAAAAGTATGAGATCCGCAACTTCTTTCGCAACTTCAGTTCCACTCCCAACAGCAATACCAATGTTGGCTTTCTTGAGGGAACTGGCGTCGTTTACCTGAATATATTCATTATATAATGAATATTTTTATGTATTCATTTTTTATTAGTTTTTTTCTTGAGGGAAAAAAACGCGTCGTTACCCCATCGCCCGAAACAGCTGAAATGTAAATATCATTTGCATTCATACTCATACAGATAACACAAGCCATTAATGTCGCTTACCGACAATATGTCCTAACTTTTGATAAGCTTTCACAATTTCGTATTTTTGTTCAGGAGAAGTGCGGGCGAAAACCAATTCGTCGTATATTCTGTTAGAACAACGATCATAAGAAATATGAACATAATCTTAAAAAAAGTAAGCACATTTTCTTACGAAATACAATATTGCAATTCTTCAGGAGACATTGCTGTCAATTCAGAGCCTGTAAATACTGCAGCTTTAGCAATTTCTGGAGGAGTGTCAATTTTATTCGCCATTTCTTGTGCAGTTTTATTTCCTGTCAAATATATATCACTTCTATAGAATAGTATTCACCGATAATGGGCAGATATTATACATTGCTACTGGTTGCTCATACATTCATCTGTAACTGCATCATGTACTTACCTGGAGATATTATGTTAACAGCCCTCGCAATTGCAGTAGCTAAAATGTTGAAGGTTTTTATTTACATAAGATTGAGATATGTGCACTAGTATTAGTACCACCGCATACCAATCTCAAAATAAATGCTGAAGATCTTACCTGTAACAGGGTGATCTCCAGTAATCATTGCAATTTTAACTCCTGTAGCAAAAAAAAATTGACTTGGAGACATTTAAATTTTAGATTTAGCTGAACACAACCACCTATCGTCATGTCATGTTAAACTGTCCAAGTTTAAACATATTGTCATTTTAAGAAAATTTAAAAAAAAGTAGCACAGTACCTGCAGCCTTGCACCTTAATACTGCATTTGGAACGGCTTTGACGAATTTAACGAACGAGAAAAATTAAATATTGTACAAAAAAATTAGTAATACAATATATCAATAGGTACCGGATCGAGGGGGATCAATTAGTGACATGAGTCCAACGAAACGCAAGGCATTTCCACCGATTTCAAAATTATTTTCGTCAAACACAAAATTGTCTGGGAATTGTTGGGACGGCAATTGACAGTCACAGAATCCTTTTTTTTATCAAATCAAGTAGTCGTATTATATATTTAGTATGTATTACATGACATAAAATGCATTAAAAATTCACCTAAAACTCTTTCGCCTAGTGAAGCAAATTTTAAGTAGGTGTCTTTAATTTGTTCCTTCATTTTGAAGTCCATAACATGCTCTACTTCTCCGATCAAGACAGAACTGCATAGATCCACAATTCGTTCAGGAGCTCCCTATATTCCAGACCAGATTTTTGATTGAAACTTGCCTCATTTGAAATGGTAACTCATCAACAAATTGTGTTTTGTATGTACCTTCATCACTAGCATAAATCCTTGTTCTTTACCACATGACTTGTGCACTGATATTTGGTATTTGCTTATCGAATTGAAAGGTATTTCAAAAATTTTGGGAAAGTTTTTTCGATATTCTTCCACACTTCCAAATTGTAGCTCCATGCATTTCAAAATAGCAACTTCAGAACTGTCCCCTTCCGCTTCCATTGACAATATTGGCACATTTTGTCCTGGTTTAAACTTGGCCTTGCTGCATAACATTCTGCAATACAAAGTAACATAGATATTTTTGCATGTCGACCATGTGCATGAAACTGAAATTGAGGTTATAGAAACACTGACCCAACGTTTGCAAGCTCGAGGAATCCAGGGTCACTGACATTGTAATTTCCTTTTCCTTTAGCATATTCCGTGGTGTCGGCTTCTGCTATCTTGTTATTAAACCACAAGTGTGCAACTGACATTTTGTTTTGTGTCAGAGTACCGGTCTTGTCCGAACAGATTACTGATGCGGATCCAAGCGTTTCGACCGCGTGTAGCTGCTTGACCAGACAATTTTTCTTTGCCATTTTCTTTGCCGCAAGAGCCAGTATTATTGTGAGCGTCACACTTAAATTCTCAGGAACATTACCTTAAGAAATATTCGTCAATGTGATATTACCTTGATAAATTTATACCGAATAATATGGTAATTACCAACGACGATCCCAATGACAAAGAATAAAGCATTGAGCCAAGAATATTTCATCCAAATTCCGATTCCATAAAATATCACTCCGAAGAACAGAGACAAGGTTGTCATCAAACGTATTATACGGTTCATCTCTTTTGCTATCGGACTCTCTGTGCTTTCAACTGAGGACGCCAATTTTGCAAGTCTTCCTATTAACGTGGAGTGTCCAATTTTGATAACGATTCCCTTCGCAAATCCTGAATGCAAAGGACATAAATAGCGATGATAAAAAAACAGCTTAGACCAAAGCGTTGAGACTCAAACGGCTTCATAAATATACATAGGATTTTGATGTGCGAAAAAATTACCCTGAATTACACTTGTTGAAAAGAATGCCAAATTTTTGGCATCCGACCATTCGACCTTTCGACCGTCTGCGTCTTTGTCTGTACAAATTGCTGTTCGGCTTTGCGGATCTGACTCGCCCGTAATTGATGAGTTGTCCACTTTAAAACTTTGACATTCAATTATTCGAACATCAGCAGGTAGTTTGTCGCCATAATTTAGCTGTGTGTATTTATTTTTAAAACAAGATTAAAATTGAATAATAAATGTCTTAGCTGACGTTTACATATTATGATGCTATATAAAAATAAGCTCGTCGTATTACCTCAATAATGTCTCCAACCACAATCTCTGTGGAATCGAGTTGAATCCTCTGACCACTTCGTATCACTGTAACAGTTTGGGGGGCCATCTTTTTAAATGACTCCATTACACGATTACTTTGAAATTCTTGATAATATGAAAAGCTTCCGGCAATCAAGACAACCACGAGAAGAGATACGCCCGAGTATAACTGATGGAGCATATTTTATACTCTATTATTTACCTACGTATGCATGTACCTAGAATCTACTTCCTAAATGTAAAATAAAACCGTACACTTCCTGTAGCATCATCCATATCGTTTGTCATATACTGGACAACACCAGCCCCAATAGATATCATCCCACAAACCCACAAGAGCAAATTTAGACCCATAAGAGTATTTTCCAGAAACTTGAGCCACTCTGATCTCTTTTTCGCCGTATGCAAGATATTTTCTCCAAAAGTTGCTCTACTCATCTTCACCGCATCATCAGATAAACCCTAAGAACAAGTAGAACTGTAAATCATAATAATCATGGGAATGAAATATTTACATTTTCCAAGTCCGTTCCATAACGAGACGCCAAGACGCCAAGACTTATCCTGTGCTCGTCAATGTCCCATCCCGCCCTGTAATTTACGGAACGTTTTTTCTCCCCATTCCATCCCTCTAAAACGAATTGTTTCAGCTATATTAAGCAAAAGGATTGGAAATTGGACATTTAAATCGGCTAATCGTTAAAAATGCACATATAAATAATTTCTTATACCTCTGGCTCAATTGTTTTATTAAAAGCGAATCGTAATTTGCCAAGTTTTTTCGACTTTTCATCTCCTCCATCGTCCTGATGAAAATTACAGCAAATTCCCATGAAGGTGAATTATTATACATTTTGCCAATAAATACCGAAAAGAATTAAAGTCTTACCTTTTCTTTAAAGTTATAAGAACCCTTGTTAAATCTTTGGGTTTTCATTTTTGAAAAACTAACTATTAAACTCACTATGAAAATGCTTAATTCCACGTAAGTGGACGTTAACTGATAGCATTAGGCATCTCAAACCGTTATGCACTCCTCACTGAAACTGTTCTTGTCTAACTCACCTTTCTTTCTGTAACTTATTGGAGTTTATATCCTCAAGATCGCAAGAAAACCTTCCAGGAGCTAAATACTTATTAAAATAATGATGCAAAAAGTTTCAAGCCACAAACAGTTTCGTTTCACTTTAAACTCATCGGAATTTGAATGGACTTGAATGAAGTAATTATAGATTCTCGCAACTTAATACACAAAGCAATTAGTATGATAATCCAGTTAAGCTAAAGTAATGCAATGCCATGAGATTTCTTATTAGCCAGAAATAAGTAGTAACAGTCCTGGGCTGGATGAAATATCAACCTTTGTGGCGTGGGGTGCAATAACTGACCATTGGCATTCGAAACTGAAAAACGTTGCAGTTGTTATTCTGTTCAGAGCAGTAAATAAGTTAAGTCATCGCCTCGTCGCATTTGCCTAAATAAATTTCCTACTGGACGAAGATGAGATGAACAACAAGTATGGTTTCTTGAATGATAAACATGAATATACTTATGCTAGGAGTAAAGAGGCAACGTGCCTCCAAATCTACTCCTGAAGCTAAATGAAACATAAGTCTCGGATCGTAAACATGATATGCCATTTCTATATTGTGTTCACGTGTTGAAGATGTATCCCGTTCCTAGAAATTGTAGAAACGTAACAGATTTTGAAGAAGCGATATTTAGTTGTTAACTTTGGTAAAAACAAAATGCAAAATAATTATTGGTCCAAGACCACAACATCATCTACGCCTTTATTTTTTCAAACTCGTGATTCTTCGAAACACTTGAATTCATTGGAATAATAAATATGTAGATTATAATCTTGACCATTTTTATACTTTATAAGTTAAGTGAAGGATTGGAAATGCGCTTCTCTGTAAAAGTACGCCAGGAACAAAGCCCATCCATTGGAAGAAACTCTAGTCATGTCCAGAAAACGCTTTCCAAGCGATCAATTTATATCCCACTGCCAAATGATCATTAGAGACAAGAATGCAATACTGTGTACATACTTGCGTATGTTAGTCTCCGTATTTGACAGGCGTGATCAGCTACATACTTAGAATGCCTACAGTTTATCACAATAATGAGCTTTGACCAACCGAAACCACCAAAAACCGCATAAAACAAGTTCAGTCACTGTACCCATAATTACTGTCACAAGTATTTAGTGGTATTTTGATGATCTAATATAAACCAATGTATGGCTATATTCTTAAATGTTTCGGAACTTTGTCACATTCCATTGTATCCGAAGTCTGCCTAATTTCTTGGAAAGAATTGCTTTGACTTGTTAAATCAAGACAACATATAGAATAGGTAGACGTATGTCTGTAGATATTTTCTGTATTTTCCATGAACATATATATGCAGCATATAAAGATGCAGACAGTATAACAAAGCCGCATGTACACTTAATCTAAGCAGCCCGATTTATCTATAACATAGCAAGCAGCTCAAACTGTTTGAAAACTTGTTTCCCATAAAGCATACAAGATAAGTAAACATGTTGCCGCTGTAATTATTTGTTGTGAAAAATTAATAAATACCAATGTATTCGATTTCCCACAATATAATAATTACACTTATATATTTATAAGACGGAGCATAAATTTCGATGCAAAACTTTTTGGTGTAGTTATTTAATGCTCAGAGTGCTGGAAGAGAGAGTTGTGAATTGGGAGCACAAGGTTTTACAGAATCCGAGAAAGCTCAATGTTCTCGCGTTTATTCACATGCTTCTCCGAATCTCTATTCGGGGCTCTTAGGATTAGTAGTAGTCTCACATTTTCAGTCTGGGAGCACAGTTGAGTGTTGCCCGTCGCCAGATCAAGTACCCAAACTTTCATCTTTTTTAAGGAAGCGAGGAAACTGCAGAGTCTGAAGTTCGTCTCTGCCATGAGACTTGTGCGTGTGTGTACCACCGATATTATTGGAATCTTTTGAAATATTTAACAGTCAACACGATTCGTTCATGGAGAAATCACGATTGAAGACGAGTATGTAAATATTGCATCAGGTTGTTTTTCTTCTATGTCAACTTAATATGACCACTGGGTTGGAAAAAAATAATAAGTAGACAGACTTGTGACACATAATGTTCTATGTATAAATATGTATGTTAAACTTCAGAGGTTGAAGATTGACTCACAACCAAGAAACATGAACAGATAATGTAATTAAATAAAATACAGATAGAACCAAATTGTCTGAAAACACACTTTGCAGACAGTTCACACTGGTAACTTCGTGATCTACTACGTCGTTCGGTAACAATTTTTTTGTTTATAATTGTAACAAAATTTAACAGTGCTATTTAAACCAAATGTACCACCCTCTTTCAATTTATAAAAATGCATTCGTGATTTCATTCTTATTGCGTCCCTGTCAGGAAAAAACACATTCTCTGTGTGGCATTATGTACGGTAAGTTGGAGCCTTTCCATTTTTGTATCATTCATCACGTATGTAGATAACTTTTTAAATTATAACAAACTCTGATTGCCCATTGTTGTAAGGAAACCGATAGTCGAGCAGTAAGTCCACAGCACGTGCAATTCGCAATTCCTTTTCCATTTCACTCAACAGCTAATCCTTCACTGTCGCATTCATCATTATTCCATACATTCAGAACAAGAGTAATATTATCAATCAACTTAATCGCTCCTCTCTAAAACTGACATTCAATATTTGATTATTATGGCTCTGTTGACTGCAGAACAATTTGCATAGGCGTACATATTTACATAGGCGGAGGGTATAAAAATGTCACTCTAGAGTTAGACAGGATACACAAGAAGAGCCATTCGCACCTAACTTATTGCCCATTAAAGAAGTCATTGCCGTTACGACAACTTTATGAATATTAATGCTTTGTTCGCCCAATACATGCATAAATACGTGGACCAACAACAATCGAGTGTCATAGTTGAGCGAGTGGTGGGTTGTTGATAAGTTTTTTTTATTATCTCTCTCTGTATATAATTTTTGGCCTTCTCTCACCATCAGCATGACATGGACACGATATTCGCATATGTTCAAGTGAATAAATGAAGGTGCGATTTGTCGTGTCGCCTTACATTCAATTAGAACTGACCTTTGATTTCTTGACCATTATTGTTTGTTTCATGGCAGCAGCAGCCATCTTCCACACACATTCTTAATAGCTCATGTCCCAAAGAGATAACTGTCCCTTTTAATGGGAGTATGGTGTGTTAATGTGCCCATATAATTATAATAGAGTGTAATTATATAATGCATGCCTTTCTTCCCTACGCTGACGGAACTCAAGTAGTTAGCATAATGCAAATGCAAATCTGCTTTCAACAAACTCATTCGATGTCAGGCTGCTTACTGCTGCTTATCATCATGCGTGGTTTCAATTTACATTCTTAGATGAGATTACCATTTTCAAGTCCCACCTTTCCTTCAAAGTTATGCCATGATATTATATGTACACATGTATTATGTACATACATACAACATGCCCTCATATGTATCTGTTGTATTAAAGACATCCACAATGCAAAATGGTTTGTGTTATGCAGCACTGGCGTCTTGGACAGATTCATTGGGGATATATTTGTTTTGTAGCTTATTGGTTTTCGTCAAGTAGCTACATATGTAGTCACAGTATTATAAGTACGCACACACATCGACACATCACAAAATTTCTGATCTGAACAAGCTACTAATCTCTTTTTTAATTGCAATACTTTTTTGTCTATTCCCATAGTTGACCAGCTATTAAGTTGTGCAACGGCGAACAATAAATCAAATTGACACCACGATTTGAAACAAGGGAACTAAACAGCATTCCACCTGAACAAAGAAGGGAAAAGTATTTGTCAACTTTTTGCCAAAGTGACCCAGTGACAGGAGAACGAGACAAATGGATCTTGGAGTGCAATCGTAGTGAGTGAGCGATATATGGTGGTGGATGGATTTGGTCGCCTGGGAAGGATCCTAGAGGAACAGAACAGCAATAAATAATCCGTGAAATCTTCCAAGACATTCCCTCCCACAAGAAGAGGAAGAAGCCACCAACCAATATTACACACTTTTTCTTCTATTGCTCCACTTTAACCTACAACCCACAAGATCTGATGTCATATTTGTACTAATACCACTACGAATTTTTACTGATTTATAGACATTTGTTGGTGCTATTGACAGCTTTAAGAGACGATAAGCCAGGACGCTAATGAAATGCACTAGTCTTTATTGTTCTACACATTTCTGTGAATTTTGGCAAGTATAGTCCAGATAAGAAGTGCTGACTTGTTTTCTCGATTTTGATCCACTTTGCCATCCTCCATCCTCAGCAGTAATGTGAAGTGAATTCAAGTTGTGGTTGTGCAGTGAAAGCACTCAAAACTAAAGCACTTGACTCTCAAGTCGCAGCAACTTTCACTTCCCGGTTTCGGGAGGACAGCTCATTCATTATATTTGATTTGAGACCACAGCCTATATACATCCGGGACATCTGCATTTACATTTATGCACATCGAAACAACGACCACAGTCATTCTGAAACTCTCTCTCCACTGAATTCTTTGTTTTTTGTTCGCGGAATTTAACAGCTCGGAAATTGGAAATTCATTGTGGGGATGGAAATTTTCTATCGCTCTGTGTACACATAAGTGTGCACATATATGCAAGCGGAATTTTCCCACAGGACTTAATTTTTTCTCGTTCCTAAGCTTGCATTCTTCCCCTTATCATATATTAAAATCAGGATCGAACTAAATACGACAAAACCGTCAACGACTTGGAAGGAAACAGGAATTATGGAAACGCTCGTCAGAGGAGGAGGAGGGAGTGTAGGTCGCATCGACATTAGCGGCGTTGGCGGTGGGGATGGCGAAATTTCTGATAGCAATTATAGTGATCAGCCATTAGAACCTGTGATAGGATTATCTCTTTCTCTATTTGCGGGGACAATCCTGGACAATGGGACAAATGAATCAACGTTTGGAGTCTCAGTCAACGATGATGATTTATTCCCAGAGTATCCTGTCGAACTTACCACGATGACTGCCATCATTTGTGTTTTATTTTTGCTGCTGGGTATTCCTGGAAACCTTATTACGATCATCGCTCTGGCTCGTTGCAAAAAGGTATGATTTATAGTCTTACGTCGACCTGCCCCTCCTCAGCCAATAATTCTATAACCAATCAGGCCAGTTGGATGTCGAGAGATGTATATCGATGGCATGATTTATGATTGTCGGAAGGACGCCGAGTATGGGATGTGCAAGTAATGAAATGAATGGATAAAGATTACTTTCCCATTATTGTAGGATTCTGAAAGGGAAAACTAATGAAGCGGTAGAGAAAGCCGGTTGATGGATTAGAACATAATTAATTAACAAGAAACTGTATTTACCAATCGTTTATTAATTACCAATACATGGATGTCCAGAGAGGATAATAATTGTACCAGGGATGAATTTTGCCACATCAATCAGGTGCATCAATTTTGCATAGAAAGAACTCCAATTGCATAATTAGAGACCAAGTTTCCTTCTTTGCAGGTTTTACATACACAGTGGTGCGGATCTGCCTAATGAGGGGCATTACTAATGTGATTCTCACGAACGGAAAACAACTCTAATTACTTTGGTTTTAAAATTATTGGCATTGCTGCTGAAATGTGAACAATAATACTTTTACAATGATTTTTAAGATATTTTTATTAACTTCACCATTCATTAAGTTAGTCATGTTTTTGCTAACTGTGTTGGTAGTTTTCCATCATTGGTCAAATCTGAAAATAGATCCGTAGTAAGTTAAACGGCTGGTTATAACGTATGCCTTAGCAGCAATACTTAATACACCGTATTTCCATTGGTCACGTCATTCGTTCATCATGGTTTATTTTTTGTTAATAATTTTAATTCGCCAATTTTAATTGATCGAGCGAACAAGTAGTTAATCAAACTTGGTGGTATTAAATTTATACTGATTTCATTTTGGTTTACTTTGGATGGATTAGATTATGGATAGTTTTTGCACGAAAATGTATAAATGAAGAAAAACTTGTTAAGTGTCGGTCGTATCCGAACAGAATAGCTCTACATACATTTACTGCTGGTAAAACAACATCAGGATTTATAGGGGTGAAAGTTCACTCATGTGGCAGATAATATAAATTAAAATCTGGATGAAGTAGACTAGCTGCGTCGTAGGTATACAGATCTCATAATTTCGACTTGCTGAAAATCTCAACTTTATCGCTAACGGAACCACTTCTTTCGTGCGCCAACCAGGAACAAAATTTGTTAGTTTATGTCGACAAGACATGAAAATAAGTCCTAGTTGATTGTTGATCCCAAAAAAAGTTGATGGCGCTAGTCACAAAAAAGATCTTCGTTTTATTGCTGAGGGACTTTCGATTTTATTTAAGGACTTATTTTTCTCTGTCCTTTTCCATAATAAAATGTATAAAGCGAGATTGTTTGGACAGGAGAGAGATGTTGGCTGAGGACTTGTCCCAGTTGCCTCGTCAGTCAAAAGAGAGAGAGGATTTCTGCACTAATGAGAACGCACTTCTCATCCACTTTCTCTGTTGTTTGCTTTCCCAACGCTGTCTGGCTGGACTACAAGTTATTTTATTACCAGTGGTCCACCAAGGAAAACCGGCTAGAAAATGCTATTGACTTTGTTGGTTTTATCGGGTTTAGAGCCTTTGCAAAGTCGTCGGGACACGAACTCAAGTTAGATAAGAGGAGATAAATATTAAGTCTGCTGTGTTAATAATAATAATTAGTGTGCAGAAGTGAACAAGGCGCAGAGATCATCTTCCCCTGTGTTTATTGATTTATTCACTTCCTCTCATAATTAACAGCCAGGATTAATTTAGTGGAGTGCGAAATGGTCTGCTGATATAATAAATAATACGCATGCATGCAAAATAGCACATGCCTAGTTAGAGGACGATGAACTCACGTAAAATGCATACGTACGTACATATGCAGCTACTTGTTACGTAAGTCAGTCAGTCTGAGGTCTCAACTTTCAATTTGGTTTGCCGTGGCATGTTTCAGTTTTCCTGACCTATCTTTTGCTTCAAAATATCGCTTCCACAAAATATGGTATTTTGAAACAAAGAAAAATGCAGCCAATGTATTTTTTAGGCCCAGGAAATTCTCATTCCCTTCTCTGAGCTGTTCCACACGTTTCGCTCAATCCAAAATTCATTGAATCACCTCGTATGCAGAGATATAAGCAATTTCGAACTCCATAATATTCGCACTTTCTTTTCAATCTCTGGCCAAAGGGTGAATGGAGAACTACACGTGCAAAGTGCCTCATCATGGAGGACGGAGAACAAGTCTAAAATTGGGAGAAAATCAGATCGAGGGAAGGAGAGAATTGTAGAATGGGCTCCTTGGGCTGGATGGGAAGGAAGATAATAACTATTTTTCCTATTGACGTTTAATTAAAAGGAGAGCGTTCTCATTCAGAACGCATTCCTTCGTCCCGTGCTCCCCTTTCGACAGAAAATGGTTCAACATATTTCTCAGTGTCGACTTGGAATTTCACGTTTCTCAATACCGTGTTTACAGTCTGGATACAAGATCATCACTGCTTCGATGGCCATTAAGACCTAGGATCCCAACTGTCCCGACAGAGAGAGAGGCAACTTGATATTACGCAACTTCCTTTTCCTTCGATGATACAAAAAAGCTTTTACTTTAATTTAGCCTCCTTTGTGATTGAATCGTCTTGTAATTTTCTTGTCTTTTGCTACGTGTTCTCTTGACTCTTGTGCAGTGAGGACTAGCTTTCATTATTTTTTCGCTTCCATCTGTCGATGTATTATCACAAGTTATTTTACAGCCAGAAAAACTATACTTGTTGCAATTACATACCCTGCGTGTATTTTATCATTTATTAGCAAAATGCCCATTGCGGAACAATTTTCTAACAGAACTACTTACTATTTAACGATAAGATATTTGTAGCTTATGATGCGAACCATCAGGAAAAATCGTAATGTTTCAAATCACTTTAAATGCCATGCTATATTTTATATCGTGCTTGAATGATGACCTTATCAACTCGATTCCTTTGCCTACTTCGCATTTCTTTTGTCTCAAACTAACTTTCCCCATTGATGACGATAAAAACGGCCTGAGCGATATATAAAACTGTGTGGAATTGGGCTTTACCTAATATATAAATACATGTCCGTGGGCCTAATGTTTCGAAACGAAGAGAGAAAAGTATTAATCGATTCTGCAGCATGGGTCAGTAATCAGCGGCATTAAAACTGTCAACTGGGGGTGATGAACTTGCAGTCGTTAAAAAGGAAGCTGCTTGCCCCGACAAGATCGCAAGCAATTACTTTTAGTACATCTTTCCGTAATGCTCATAACGCAGCATCTTGTGTTGCAGACAGAAGTACACGGCACGCAGGGCAGCAAACATTTCGATGGACGGAAGAGAGAAAGGAAGTTATCGAAACAGATTATATAGGCTATTGGTAGTAAAATGTTGAACAGGATTGCCAATAATGCACCATCACTTGTTCCATAGATCTGTATATTGCTTCTACATACTGTACATGTGTGCAATGCTATCTATGAAACCGAGGAAGAAAGCTGCAGCAGATGCGAATTCTCAACCATGGAATATTACGAAAAACAATAAGCTTCCATACATACATCAATTGGCGGTAGCCGGGTAGTCACTGTCCTCCTCCTCCTGACGATATGTTATTATATCCTCCGGTGGAATTGGGTTATTTGGGAGGAAGGAAGACAAACAGTTTGGAAACAAGACATTCTAATTTCACAGAATATGTTCAGGAAATATTCGTTTCCTATGAAAATCTCTGGCAAACATTGCAGCTCTTACAATTGGTTGGTCGCCCCAGCCTGTTACCCTGCTAAACGTACAGGGTAGAGTAATATATTTGCTAAAACGTATCAATCTTCCAGAAGCTTTGGACTTCCGCCAGCCGCCTTTTATTCGATTAGTGTCCCCTTGCATTTTAGAAACTGGTGTCCCGTGTTCCTACCCCGTCCTGTCCGCAGAATTCTCACTGGTCTTTACTCATTATTTCATTCCACATTATGTGAGCATGACACTTTTTGTCATTATTAAATTATCAGCAAAACAACTCTAATATGAAATAAAACCACTTTGCATAATTTTGAAATTTTTCAGTGGACCTATGAAGTCTGTTGTATCTCTGAAAGTTTCCCATAAATCACGCCCATGAAACAAAAATCTTTCACAGCTAGGCAATCAATCAGCATCTTTTCTTTTAAAATGGAGTGCGCTTGCATAGGAAAAAACTTTTGCATCTTCTTGAAATCCGAAACCGACCTGAGTTATCCATCATGTTGTAGACAATGCTAAGCCTATCGATCCATCTATCTATCCAGTGTTCATGGTCCGTAATTTCTACACTATGCGCCCTATCCTTGGTTAGTTAAATGCTAGTTCTTTCATCGGAATTTTATCGCTAGAATTTAGTTGCAGATCCGAAGGTGATAATGTATCATCCTTGTGACTAGTAAAAGAGTCAACTCAACTGACTTTGGAGGCCATGTGTATGAGAGGAGGAGGAAGAAACGACTTTCCAGAGACACTTGGAGTTTTTGTACTAAAATTTCTTCAGGAAGGAAACTCAAGCCCAAGTCAGAGCAACTGGGCGTAAAAGAAAAGTGTAATTTGAGTTGGATGACTGAACTGCAAGCAATTTCGTCCATCATTTTAATTGAGTCTCGTATTTATGTCTCATACTCGAGCTCTGCGGTTGTTTTTGACACCAACAGCAACATAATAATATACAATACACACTACTCGAGCAAGAGCCAGAAATCGCCGAAGCCTAAAAATTCTTTGCCACGTTTTGGTGAAAATAAAATGTGCGAAACATCAAGGGCAAAAGTTGCAACATGCGAGGGAGAATTCTAGCGAAAGATAAGTTCTCTGTAGTAAATGCTACCTTCCAAACTTAGGAATGCTTGGTTGCAATGTTCATTTACGCCGCTTCTGATGAACATTGAACTCATTTCCAAGAAGAGAACTAATGAAACGTTGGTAAACATTAGGAATAACTTATTACTCTTACAGAACATACGTCAAGAAACAGTTGGTTCTTCGTGGTAAGTGCATTCGCAGGCAAGTTTACGAGTGCAGAATACACATGTTTATGATGAGATATTATTCAACTCTAGATTTGTGTATTCTGAGCTGGAGAAATTTCTAACAACTCACAAATATGCTTGTGGACTACGCCACAAGTTGTATGCATAACTAACCCAAGCAGAAATATGTAATTAAGCTAATGCGAGGCGGATGCAGTCATAATCACCGATAAGCGACGCTGGTGAGAATGGTGGTTTCAAGCCTCTCTTTTCTAGAGTTTTTGTTAATTTAGATAAACAGTTTATACAGTTTAGCTTAAAGGTCCAAAAATATTGTTACATGTGTTCATATTTTAGTAAGACGACGAAACCTGTCGAGGAGAAAGAATTTGCACAAATCCAATTACTTAATATGTGCGTATACATGTGTGTCCATATATATGTACATATATATAAATGCATATATGCATTTCATGAGGATATCATCCTGTTAAAGGGAGCAAAGATACTCGTGTTTAGGTTTGGATAACCGTCTCTTCCGAGGTTTTTCTCATGTAAAGATTGTTGAAGACATCCACCCTCATTATTTCTTGAACCAGATAGAAAAATTAATGCTGTCAATTTTTTAGACTTCCGGCTGCTTGTCAGGATTACTACTGACTCAGAATTACTTCACCAAAAATTTGATTCCCGCTTCGTATCCCTACCATACTAATAGCATGGGAAGGATACCAGCGCGGGATGGAAAAGAAAAACTGAGTTGATATTAACTGTGGATCCTAATAGTGAAATTAGGTTCACAGATTCAATGCCAAGATATTAACATGGCTTTCTCACTAACTTTATAAATAATCGCAGAGTATGCTATCATTTTGCATCATCATTCAGAAAATCTCAACGACCAGGTCGAGTAGACATTATACATTGTACTTGTATGTATATGTTATTGCATATTACATATAGAACTAATTGCAATGGCATAATATTTAGTAAACGATGTTACAAATTAATTTAAAAAGAACACGAATTGAAATCAATGCAATTTTCAGATTGAAAATCGCTGATAAACAAGCACTTATTCCTTGCTCATACATATATTATAAGAACTCAATGTGAGTGCATATTGCCATTAATTTTGCTGTTTTCTCATAGAATTTCATAAAATCGTAGGGGGCTTGCTGTTTGTTTGAGACAAGACACTTGACAGACACAAGATTTGCAAAAGTCATGCAAATATTTGAACAAGATTCAAGAACAAGTTGACTGACATCTTTGAGGACAAAAATGGAGACAAGTGAGAAGTGTGCTAGTCTACTTAGAAGGGGGCGAAAGTGTAATTTGCATTAATAACTCGTTCTTAGATAGCAATAAAACTATTCAAAAATAATTCTGCAAGAAAATAAAATACATATAATAAATACTTCCTTTATTACAAGAGATGGTCCCCTTCTGATTTGTCTTTTACGCTTCTCACTTGTCCCTATTTGCGTCTTTCGACGACACTTGTGATTTTGTAATAAATAATTTTTTTTCATAGATTTGTAACTTTTGGGTATCAGATAAAATAAAGAAACAGAGAGGAAGGTTAATCATACATAAGAAAACTGAAAGAAAAATGAAAGAAAACTGATCCATAATTGCACGAAGGAATCACTTTTGTGCACTTTGTACAACTTGCGTTTGTTAAACTTTTCATTAATCCTAAGATTGACTTCGAAATTTTCAGCAGCAATAACCAATAAAGTTAGACTATTTCTGCCCCTGATTTTTCCACCAAATAAACCTCCAAACTCAATAAAATTATTATCGTCGTTTCTTAGTCAATTTGTTTAACAGTTTGTCTTATTTTATGACTGCCAATGTTTGGATTGTTCGGATTGGAATGTTGAGTTTGTTTGTTGTCAAAGAGTATCGCCTGGTTCGTGGGTATATAAAATCATGATAACAGGCAACATCTTTTTTCTGATTCCTCTTTTGCTATAGTATAACGTGGGATAGTACAAGACTAGGCTCCTTGACTATCTTTAGAGTAAGCTACTTTCATCGCACACAGCGATCATGGGACGTGAACCACTGTTATGGAACCTGTGTCAAATCTACTGGATTTGTTCCAAGACTTCAGAGTAAACGATGGCAGTTATGAGAAGTGATTTGGTTTGAATGCTAGTAAATGACGGGCAATCTTTCCCCTGCTTCTTCCTTACGAAATAAGATACATGTGTGTGTGCGTACAATTCATAGCTTTCCTTTTAGTCCTATTGGAAACAAAGGTGTACAAACTTTTTTGTAAAATTGAATTGGGGGATGATACCTCCTAAAAACTGTAACAGAATGTGACAAATTGACTGTATTAATGGTCAGTGGTGGTTTAGTGGTGGTGGGGGTGCCGGTTGTTGGTGAAAGGAACAGACAGGGCAAAAAATCGTTCATATCCAGTCAAGAAAGCTCATTTTGTTCACTTACTCGCAATAGGGACGAGATTACACACTTTTCTTGGAGAGAAAGTTGGACGTGATGCAATTGAGATGAAAATCATTTCTTCGCCACCAGCATTCAACTTTCCCTTGAGAAATAATGTGAAGCACAACCTCGGCAAACCAATTCACAATACATACGGACGTATGTATGGAGTACATGCAGTACGGATGCTCACCCACCAGTGAAGTGTGAAGATAGCAAAATGGGGAAACCACAGCAAGTCTAAAGACGTGCTCTCTTATTTATAAAAAGATCTAAATGCATAACCTCTCTATGATCGCCTTCCCTCAATAACAAATAGATTAGAAAGCAGTTTGAAATACTACAGCTGGGGTATTTTTTTGTGTGGGTATTTTGATTGTTCAATGTGAAAGGCTAACATTTTCAACGAATGTTATTTCAGACCTTTCGGCAAGAGAAGACGGAAACATATTTGATTTTTACCGTACAAGATTGTGCAGCATCGTAAAAGTCTAAAATGCTACACATCTGTCGCCTTTATACAATTACAAAATTATATCCTGTAAAATTCCCTTACGCCCAGGCGAGTACAATTTACGAGACACTAACATGAACAGCTAAATATACATAATATGTTGGAATGGATTTGGTTTTTCGAATACGAACTGTAATATGTACTAAGCAGGAGAAAGTTGTAGCAATATTGTGTTTTATTAAGAAAAATGGTGTGCATGAACTTTTGAGAGAAATGAGAATGGTAGTCGGATAGTAGAAAGCGACACGGATACAAATATATCTTTTGTGATACATTTTGACCTCATAATTCCTTTCGTGTTGACAGTCACTAGATTCCGGAGAAAGTATGGTTCGCATTTCCGCCATGTGTTGTAATGTATCTCTCCGGTTAAAGTAATTGAATATCTCAAATGGGAGAACATGGGAAAATCCAGTAACATATCTGGGAAAAAGAGAAAACTGCTTGCAATATACATACGTATACAAACGACCTACATATGTATGTACTATATATGGCAGGATATGAAGTGATATGCATCTTGTTAATTATTTAACTTGCGACGGCCCCTTATCTCCCTTCCGTGGAGTGGACAAAGAAAAGCACTACGAACGTCTTACGTATTTCTTTCCATTCTCTTATTTTGTGCAACTTTTATCTTTGTTCTTCGCCCACATCTCGCACGTTAATTCATATTCGTTGTAAGGGTACATATTTTGAATCAAATGTAGCGTATGAAAATATTTTAATAGATAACGTACAAAATTGCTCGATCGATAATTTATACAACCTGCAGGTCCGAAATGCGACAGCCTACTTTATAATCAACCTATCGGCCTGTGACCTGATGTTTTGTTGCTTCAATCTGCCCTTGGCTGCTTCAATGTTCTGGCACCGGAAATGGATTCATGGCGACATGCTTTGTGGCCTTTTCCCCTTCTTCCGATATGGTAACAACCCATTTTTAACTCAGCCTTTCAGTAATTTTTTTTGCCCTGACGAATTTTTTTATGAAACGAACAGGAGTATGCATTTTTGATGTTAAATTAAGCCTATGAATTTATTCCCAGGTTTGATGGCAGTTTCAGTCTTTACCGTTCTGGCGATTACCATCAATCGGTACGTGATGATAGGTCATCCCCGTGTGTATCCCAGGTTAGTTTATTCCCCATTATTTTTAACATCACAATTTTAAAATATATGCATAAAAAGTAGAATAAATTTGAAGAGTGAAAAGTTAGATTCGAGTGACTCCTAAATCCTCTATACTGTGCAATACTCCTAACGTTATGTATTTATGTAAGGACACCATTCTTGGATGGCTCAGACCAGAGGTTTGTATTAAAAAACTTAAAAAGCAGGAAAAAATTGCAGCAGGAGAATTATGATAATGTTGTGGAAAGTCTGAGAGAAAGGGAGAGTGTATTATTGCCAGCGTGCATATTAGGAGAACGGAGAAGAATATGATAAAGACCATTGTCTTGCTCTTGAGTCATAAACGAGAAAAGTTTGTCGAGAACGGGTCCGTCATGATTATGGGACGAAAGAGAAGCTGGTAGGCAATGCGGAAAAACAACGAGACGGCATTCCATTGTTGGACTAAGTGAAAACGATTTTGGTTAGTGTAGACGTGTGTACCTTATGCTGGGCCAATTTCATAGACGAACAGAGAGGATGGGAATTTTTGGCCGCTCAGCAGCAGTGGCGGCGTCAGCAGAGATGTTGAAGTGAAGAGGTCGTGTTCTTCATATCACTAGCAGGACAAAATATCCCTTTCCCTCTAAGTGAAAGTAAATTGGTGAAAGTCAACTCCTCCTTGATTTGGGTGAAAACGCCGGAAAAAATGTCATCCGCCTTTGTCAATTCCTTGTTTCTTCGGTAGTGTAACATGCATTCCTCACCCTACAGTTGCAAAATTTTGGCAACCAATTCTTATGCTCTGTTTGACCTTACTACGAGTCTCTCTGAGAAATGTTGACGTTTCGTCAGCATGCAATCTGGCACGACAACGACAACCAAACCATAGGCTAGCTCTATAAGAGAAGAAAGTAGCATTCTGGTCCAACTTGATAACAATATGTTTAAAGGGACAACTTTATTGAGTAAAAAAGCAGACAGTGAGATGATATTCTTTCATATCACTGACCACGATTTAATACAGTGCAAAGAACGAATTGTGACATATTCCACTGCAAATGTGAATGCCAAATCGGATTATCCACATGATTTCTATACCAGTACTATTAGTAGTATATGTGTACTTTGACTAGATGCAGAATTTACTTCCCTTCGTTTTCACATATTTCACGTAAGTTTTCACATGGGTTCGGTTAGAAGGATCATGGAATCAATACGGGTTTATGTTTATGAAATTGTGAAATTATTGTGTACAGTAAAACATTTGATTAATAATATCCATTCTGCGTACATACCACCCCCCACGCTTGCACTGTGCCGGACGTGCTTTACGCGTTATTTGCGTATATATTTTAATAACGGTTTATAAATTTTATGAGACACGTGCATGAAAGACAATGAGTTGTCGAATCATGGAGTTTCACAACTATTTGCAACATCCACATTTGGAATTTCCATGTATCCAAGACATACGACATACCTCAATCCCTGCATTTCAGAAGAAATAGTATGTTTGCTTTATGTCCCTCCGCCCACATGGATTATGTGACAAAACGCTAACCCCTGGCTCCTGAGCTATCTAAGACTCTGACTTATATCAGATGGAGCAATATTGAAATACCGTCGCGGCTGATACGATTTAGGTCATCATTTGAAGATGACTTTTGGCATCCTTCTCACGGGAAACCTTTACTTTCTTTGCTCTAACTCTAACTCTCACTTTCTGTGCCTGCTCTGAGGAGACTTTTATGTGTTGCAACTTTGCCACGAAAAATTCAAGAAATGTTTATTCGTAAAGTCAAAGCGTAAACACCATTTGCTACCTATTCTCTGTCGTCAATAAATTTTACTTGGGTAGGAATACGCGATTTGGAAAAGTAGGGAAAACATGAGGCTTTTATTTCTTTTCCCATTCTTTTTTTTCTGTTACAAGGACCCCACTCGTTTTTTACTACTGTTCTTTGTATAAGACTCCAGCAGACTCTGTATCCACCAAATAAGTCTCAAATCAAGATTACAGCCTCGATGTGAAAGTGAAACTAACAGCAAATGACAGAATTGATGCGAAGGGAAGGAAGGGTAGGTCTACATAATCCTAATTCTTGTATATGCATGCAACGTCCACACTTGCATTTCTAGTTCATAGCTCAGCAGGAAAGTCGATTTGTTTTTCTGTCTTTAGGATCTTTACCGTACGAACGTTTAACAACTGAAATTGTCAGTGGCGGATGAATTTGTAAGAATTGTTGATATTATCATCGAGAATTTAGAAGCAGTCAGGCGATTGGCAATAGTTTATTACTATGAAGCAAAGTTGCATCGCGTCGATACATAACCATGTATCTCATCCAATAGCTTTGTCTCTGGAACATAAAGTAGTTTATACTGGAATATCCAAGATTAGGTTATCATCTGGCAATAAAGTTTTGTCGTGAATTAGTTTGAGCAAACAGTTGTTAAATTCCCCTTATGACAACAATGAGGAGAAAGTGTGTCATGCTTTAAATCATCATAAAATGATAGTTACATATCATACTCTCCAGCTTGAAATATTCATAAAGACTGACGATTCATTGAACGGTACGAATTACCACGTAAACTACATGCATATACGGTTCACATTTAGTTTGGAATTGTAACGATCATGAAATTGCAATCAATAAATGTTCACATAGTTAATCTCACACTCAGCTCATCAACACTATACGTACAGTGTGGTGGGGCATATATGTATATGCATGAATATTTAGTGGGTGTAGTTTGGGAAGTTGTAATATTTGGAGGCCATTGTTGGGAATAAGGAGCTGAGGAATTGTGGTTGAATTTAATGGGGCTACCCGATGGTTCAAGTGCCGTTCATCTCACCAGTTCAGTTTCCGTCTTCAACCACAACAGCGGCAGGCTGGGCAGAACATTAATGGAAATGCGTAAAGTAGTTGTCGTAGTCGTAACCCAATCTTATTCTGATGGGCATTTGTAATGTAAATAGCCTTTTCCGAGGAGGGTACGTATTCTTGTAATAGGTGCAGGCATATAATATATATTTGGTAGTTTATAAAATGAGGCTGAAAGCAATCACAGGGAATATTAGCCAACCAAATTGGCTCTGTCTCGAATACTCAAGTGGCTCTTTCTTGGGTGACATCAATATGAACCAAGTGGGACGAAACGACGACGAGGACGGTGGTGTGGTGCGATTGTCAAGTGGAGAGTTTCTCGCAGTTATTGTTACTGAGGAAAGTGCTTCTGCTACTTTTTTGCTTTCTTTATTCAACTTTCTCTCACTTTTTCAAGGCTTGTCCAGGCTGAGAGAAGGAAGGAGGTGGTCGCCAATCATTTTGAGACCCTATAAAAAGTCATCGTTCTAGTCGACCAGTCAACCGTGCTTTCTCCGTTTGTAAGGATCTTGCGTTTTCAGTTGGGATCAGCAAACATTGAAATTAAACCATATTTCATGTTACAAGATTGTAAACCTTGCCACACTAGAGGGCCATAAATACCAATATTATTATGGTGACTACTACAAATATTCTTCAACCAAGGGCAATTAAACTCTAGCCATAGATTGGCCTCAGCATAGGGAGTACATTTTGTAGTATCCTACTCCAGCCCCTGATAAGTCATGATAGCATATCGAAGGAATGATGGTAAATGGGTGGATTATTTGCATAGAAAATAATTACTGCGCGCTTATGCATAAACTCCAGAGAAAGCACTGAGGATTAAGAGGTGATTGGTAGTTGGGTTTAATTGCTTTAGTCTGGAAAGTTAATCCACGCAAATGAAGTGCACAACAAAGTGAATTAACGTAGATTTAGCCAACTTGACGGGAAAATTTGCCTCTCTCAGAGGCGTTAGATCCAGTCTGGTGTCCCTTTAATTTGTATTCTGTTATTTGAAACATATTTATTACAGTAAGATTTTTCACCCGAATGAAAGGACACACAATTGAGCATTCTCAATTTCATGAAACATTTGGGATGGGGAAAGATTGTGATAGGAAATTTATTGGGTTTGAAAGTTTTTAAAAAAGGTGAAAGTTAGAAAAGTAGACTGACATGATCAATGATGTTCTTTCATTGTGTTGATGACGTAATAATTAACGAATGTATATAGATTCTACCGCACGCGGAACCTCGCTGGTATGATTTTCTTCATTTGGATGGGGGCGTTTGGAGCGTTATTTCCAACCTTGCTCGGAGCCTGGGGAAAATTTATGCTCGACCGAGAGATTGGAAGCTGCTCTATTATGCCGGATGAAAGTCAGAGGTCTCCGAAGGAGTTCCTCTTCATCGTCGCATTTCTTCTTCCTTGTTGTGCCATCATTATTTGCTACGCTAGGATATTCCTCATTGTGAGGAAAGCCACAGTCAACTCCCGTCCCGTGGAACCAACAACATCCATCCTGAGCACAAATCATCATCATCATCAGCCACTTCAAGAATCTGAAACTTTGGCTCCTGATCAAGGTACACATTTTATAACACAAAATACATGTACATAGATAGGTATATGTATGTACAGTAGATATGTGTAAGCGAAAGGGTACAATTTTCGCTATCATCGAGGAAGTCGTGAAAAATCATTCGCCTAAAAAAAGGATAACGTCATTGACGAAATAAAGTATCTGTGTCATCAGTTGAGAGTGACAGTCAACTTCTACAGCTTCTGCTTTTTAATACCGTTACTGCATGTATGTATACGTTCAATCTTCAACGCCTTATGAGATCAGGCAAAAATGTGTCCAAAAATATCTTACATCCATCAGTGTGACAGTTTTATACGAGCGACATGTTCAATTTCTTTTGACATTGCAGCAATAATGCGTCGTGGGTCAGCCCGTCCTTCAATGGCGATCATCCATCAGAGAGGTGATTCATAAAATTGATGTCATTTTGTTGTATGTATTCGCCGACCGGTGAGTATAATTGTTATTTTTTCTTTAGGAAAAATGACTGCGAAAGATCGAAAACTATTATGGATGATTCTTGTAATTTTCGGAAGTTTTGTAATTTGCTATCTTCCCATCACTTGGTAAGAACTCGTTTAAACTAAATATATGTATAACAAAGTCTCACTTGCATTTGATTGTTTATAGTCTCAAGGCAATCAAAAACAAAAGCCCAGGATTAAATGTTTTTGGTTTACTTCTAATCTACCTGACCACATGCATGAATCCGTGTAAGTAAATATTCAAGTTATTTTAGAATTCATGCTGCTCTTTATAAACAAGATAATCTGGTTTATAGTTAGTTAATCTATTTAACCGAATATGTTTTTTTCTCATAGGTATCTATGTAGTTATGAGTTCAGAATACAGACAAGCCTACAAAAGTCTCATATTGTGTCGGAAAGACTGGAATTTGAGCAGTAGAACAAGCAACTCTAATAAAACGTGAACAGTTCACTGCGAATAATTGACAAATCTATCTCAAAAATGCCTGAAATACCTTTAGCTAACAATACATATATATATATACCTAAATGACCTATATGAATATGGGTAGCTTTATTGGATAACTGTTTTTAGTGATATTTTGTGCATAAACAATAGCAACTGGGCGGACATCTGGCCAGCTTCCAGGCCATTTAAAATTTGATTGTGGAAACAGGAGCAGTAATTTCATGTTGTAGTACATTTTGCTGCGTATTAAAAAATTGTAAATTCCTTTGTTTGTCAAAACTTTCTATCGTGTCATGAAATAGAATATTTAATCATGTATATTCCATTTTCAATCAATTTATTTTTGTCTCAAGGTAACGTCAAATACATTTCTAGTTAATAGATCCATTTGATCAAATATAATCCATTGTAAACAGTTCAGACATGTTCCTGGCTATATTATAATTACCACTGGAAGCTGGTCACATAAATGCTCTATACCTTTTACCTCGCTTACCAACTGTGATTTTCTTGGCGCTACAAACAACAAAATGAATATTATGAAATATGAACTACTTGCAAGAACATTTCATTATGCTGTCTTTCTAATCCTAAGAGCCAGAACTATATGCAGTGAGTAAGTTATGAAGGGTGTACCCTTTAATTAAATTAATTGCAAGGTCTTACCAGCTTATCATATGCATAGCAAGTAAACTGTCATTATTAAATGTTATTATTATTAGAAGTACGTGAAAATAAATTTTTATTACAATTTGTTAAAATGGGGATTACATGACTGATTCTTTACAAGTGCAATGATCGGTACAATTTCTCAACATACTCTTCCCAGTGCACCAGATTGTCTCCTTTGTTCACAGCAAAGTTGAGCATTTCATCCACTTCTTCAGCAGTAAAATTTTCTCCTTCTTTCATCAACCTTAAAATTGAAATTAAAAATTAATTAAACACATCCGCGTTCCAGAGTTACAGTAATTGCACATACTTCTTGCCTATTTTATCACCTGATAATATTAATTTCTTCCTAATTGCATAATTAAGTAACTAGTAGAACTTACATTTCCTTAAACTTGGGAGGCTCCAAGACACCTTTCTTGTCTTTGTCGACGGCACGAAAAGCTTGCATTATATCATCATGGGACACTGGCTTGTACCTAGCATAAAGAAATATAGGAAATTATGACCATGAATAGGGCGGAACTCTAATAGAGATGGCCAACTTTTCAGGTGAAACATTCAGTTCGTTACATATATCTAATCGGTAATGTAATTGCAAGAAAGAACTAAAACACTCACTTTCCTTCGAAAATCACCTTTGTCATGTGCCTACATAATAAAATGAGAATAAATGAGATTTCATTATTAAATTCATCAATCATCTGACCCTGCTGGACCAGCAGGTCTCATCTCATAATTCTGGAAAATAATAATCATTTTAGAAAGTTTGTGCAAAATCTCACTTGATAAAAGTATTCAACTTCACCATCCCTTTGGCAGTGGTTTCCTCTACACATCCAATAATTTCGTGAACATCTGCTTCATTTGGGTACAATTCTGGAAAAAGGTAATCATATTCTCACATCAGATATCATCATTTTTCGCTTATTGGGTCAAGCCAACTGTGTATATATCAGTCTCGAGATCGACAGCTATGATAAGTAGTTGGTAAGCATAGCAAGGGTCCATTCAAAACCAAAACTGTGTGTTCATTCTGAAATATAGTCAGACGGTTTGAACATTTTATTCGGACAATGAAAATTTATTGTTTTTGGAAATTGAGGAAATATTCTTATTTAAAACAAGTTAAAGGATCTGGGCCAAAATAGCCCTTCATTCTTGGTTTCATTAGTGCCAGAGTCACGGTAATTCAATATTTCATCCCTCCGGGTGATTAGGTTTAGTGGTGGAAGTCTCAAATGCTGACGTGGTGAAAGCAGCTTTGACCAGCAGCAACAGACGCCGCCTGGTGCTTGGTGATGGCTGGTGGTGGTCAATAATATCTTGATTGGTACTTTGAATCAATGGTCTTCATCCAATTGTGTTCATATGATGCTCCCTCGCTTCCCATGGGTAATTGAATCAGGAACAGGGAGTCAAGTTTCTTCGCCTGGCTCAAAGTTGTCTTAAAGTAGTTGCCGAAGAGGCGTCGTCGTGCTCAGTCAAATAATGGGAAAATGAATGGACTGGAGGTGGAATGGGTTTTGGAGAAAGTTTAATAATCTGCGGATCTTATCCGTTTTGAATTATTTATGGGATGGTGAAAGTAGAAGATGTGAAAACCATCAAAATGGTTATTGCAAACTGGCCCTTTACCACATTTCGAGTCAGTAATACATAGGTTAAACTGTCATCATGCATTGTTCTAACCAGGCAGATTCAGAAAATTCTTGTTGTAATCAAATCCTCTTTACCTAAAGCGCGACACATTGTTCCCACCTCGCGAACATCCACCATTTTTTGTCCTTGTTGGTCGAAAACCTCAAACACGGCCATCACTTTACGTTGGACGTCGCCGATAAGACCGTCCGTTGAGAAGACGAAGGCATCCGGGTCAGCTTCTCCTTCGGTGGAAGCATTTTCCTTGTTTTTCGACGAGTGGCCTTTTCCAACCATCCTAATTATGTTTTCCTCCTCCCGTGCAACACACTCGATTAATTAGTGAAAGTATTCTGCTATAGGTAACATACAATCAGATGAACAAAACTAATGTCTCCTATCTCTAAGAAACGTTCTCTTTCATTCTATTGAATTGATTATTTAATCGATATTTTATGGCACATGCCCATGAATCATCAGAAATATGAAATTGGTTTACATCTTTATATATAACACGCTAAACTAAATTGTACTGGTTATGCCATCTTTATTCAATAGAAAATCAGCTATATTTATGAGCACTGCATTTAAGTACTTCAGAGAAAGCGATCTACATTCGTTTTCAAGCTCTGAAATTTTATGCAGGGAAAGTGAAAGCAGAAACTGAGGAAGAGCAAGAATTTGTGCAGTGAAAGGCGAGTGCCATCTACTTCTCTCTTCTGCAGCCCATCTATTTACAAACACCACTTATTGCATCGAGATTGCACAACTATTTACATTACAATCCACCATCTGACAAATTTAAACTGAAAATATTCCTGAACTCATCATTCTCTGTTACCGATACAAAATAATAATAATAACAGTTATACTTTAATTCAATAATTTCTGGTACAGTGGTCAAAGCACTGAAATTCGAAATAAGTCAAAGTCATATTTCACACCTAACAATTGAAACAGGCTACTTAGTTTGTATTTAAAAATAAATCATTGGCTCTTCACTACAACTACTAGACAACAATTAGCACATTTCAAATTGTATAAAACGAATAAGCAACAAAGTTGTGGGACATGACAATTATCGGGTATAATAAAAATGCTGAATTCGTAGTGCTTATTTAATACGTACTAAATAAATCTATTATTTGCTCTTATAGTACTTTGGAAATGGCACGAGTGTACAAGAAGGACGTTTTGTCGGACTAATGACAATTTTGGCCTTGTGGTGATACAGGTCACAAATTGTTATTAGGTTAGTAGAGCCTGGTGCCCAGGGTGAGATAAATTTGGGTGGGGTCTTTGAAATTGACTGTTGCAGTGCTGGAGCTGTTACGCCATCACCACACGCCCAAAATGTACGACCCACATGTTGGTATCGGTCCTTATGGGGATCGTTCAAGCGCTACCACCACGGGTAAGAGGAAATCTTCAGCTTGTTACTTTTTACAAGATTTATTTTATGTGCGTATTTTTTTTGCAGTGGCACCTACAACAAACCGTTTAGAATACACGTCTGATCGACATCCCAGGTACGTAATTACCATAAAATAGTTGTGAGTATCTATGAATGTTCTGTAAATATAATTCCTTTCATATTCAATTTAGGGCCATGCTGGAAATGATGAATCTACTAAGGATAGGTCAGTTAGTCGCTTTATATACGGTGATGATGGAATTTGGAGGATGTTATAGTTTGATCAGAATTTCATTTTAAATGTTTGTTCGTCGTTAACTTTTCAGCACACGAGCTTTCAGATGTTGTTTTGAATGTTGGTTCTCGGGAACCAATTTATGCTCATAGAGTGGTATTATCAGCTTGCAGTCCGTATTTTAGAGCAATGTTTACGGGAGAATTAGCAGAGTCAAGACAGACAGAAATTACCATTAGAGACATTGACGTAAGATATTATTAATTGATTGATTCGATGATTTAATTATAACGAAAGTTGAGATGCAACCTGTTCTGGTCGAATTTAAGGAACATGCCATGGGATTGCTAATTGAATTTTGCTACACTTCAAAAATTGTTATCGATGAAACTAATGTCCAAACATTATTGCCAGCAGGTACCAAAAAGTATTATATTCACTGATAGAATAATTAATTTAAGGCTGACATACGTAACCATTCACAATTTTTGCAGCTTGTCTTCTTCAACTTGATGAAATACAAGAAAAATGCTGCGAGTTTTTAAAAAGACAAGTTTGTTTTTATTCATTATTATCTAATAACTCATTTTAAATAACTCAACTCTTAACTCCTTGCAATTAACTTGAAAATTTTTAGTTGGATCCAAGCAATTGTCTCGGCATCAGAGCGTTCGCCGATACTCATGTGAGCAACATATTTTCGACACATTTTTGATTCCTAACCGACTGACTGATTTATTTCTCTTTTGATAGTCCTGTCGTGAACTACTCCGAATCGCAGACATGTTTACCCAACACAATTTCCAAGAAGTTATGACCAGGTTTGTGCTCAATTAGATCTATAAATTTTAACTAGTTTCAGGAAGTGACAGTTTCTGCAAATTTATTTCAGCGAGGAATTTCTCTTGCTCCCAGTCGGACAATTATCCAGCATAATAAGTAACGACGAATTAAATGTTAGATCTGAAGAACAAGTATTCAGTGCTGTTATGGCGTGGGTCAAGTTTAACGTATCGGAACGGCGAAATTATTTATCTCAAGTCCTTCAAAACGTCCGGATGCCTCTACTTAACCCAAAATTCCTTGTTGGGACTGTATCAAGCGATCTACTTATCAAAAGCGATGAGTCCTGTCGTGATTTAGTTGACGAGGCGAAAAATTACCTTCTTTTGCCGCAAGAACGACCATTAATGCAAGGTAGATAATTTTGCTTAAATTTCCCTACCTCAACTAAACTAACTATATACAAAACCAATAAAAGATTTCGCTGCATCCTCCGATAAAATTTGAAATTTTATCCTTATGCAAATTCAAATGGAACAATTGAACCAAAAACTTTATTTTGATAAAAAGGTCCCCGAACCAAGCCAAGAAAACCAATAAGACGTGGTGAGGTGTTGTTTGCAGGTAAAAATTGATTGAATTGTAGCTGTAATTAAATCTAATTAAATAATTCGTTTATAATAATTCATAATTCGTTTTTCACAGTTGGTGGGTGGTGTAGTGGTGATGCTATTTCAAGTGTTGAACGATATGATCCTCAGACTGGAGAATGGCGAATGGTAAGATCAGCGTAATTATCATAATATTTGTATGCACGAATAATTAATTTTTTGATTTGATGTTCCATACACAGGTTGCACCCATGTCAAAGCGAAGATGTGGGGTTGGAGTCGCTGTTTTGAACGATCTCTTATATGCCGTTGGAGGTAGCATATTTTTAGAAATCTGTAATGCTCTGTGCTTGTGAGTATTTGCAATTAAAGCAGCCAATTAAAATTAATTAACTGCCTTAATTGCAAATACTTTCAAGCATAGAGCATTAAATAAATAAAATTTATCTTACTCCGTCCTATTTTTTTTTTACTTATTATTCAAGGCCACGATGGGCAGTCATACTTAAATTCTATTGAACGCTATGATTGTACAACGAATCAGTGGTGAGCTTTTATATTTTACATATTGTGTATTTGGTTGTTGAATTGTTTAAATAGTAATAATTTAAATTTGTCCGTTAGGTCCAGTGACGTCGCCCCAACAAGTAATATTGTTACATAATTACGAAGATTTGAATTGTAAATATAATTTATATTTCAGCATCCTGTAGAACAAGTGTTGGTGTTGCTGTTTTGGACGGGTAATTAATTACAATTTGTTTTCAAAGTAATTAAATTAATAAATATTCCTTTATGTTATGAAGCTGTATTTACGCCATTGGAGGTCAAGACGGAATCCAATGTCTTAATCAAGTCGAGCGTTATGATCCCAAGGAAAATCGATGGACAAAAGTTGCCCCCATGAATACAAGAAGGTATTGAGTATGATCTGCTTTGAACGCTTTACATATTATCATGTTTTAATAACAAATACTTTTGTAATTAATAGGTTAGGCGTGGCCGTCGCTGTATTAGGCGGATATATATATGCCATTGGTAAGATATTTGAAATGTAATATGATTAACCAAGTTTTACTTAAGACGTTTATGCTTCATAAGGTGGTTCTGATGGAGTTTCTCCTCTAAATACTGGTAAGTAAGATGATCAAGTCCAATTCGCCTAGTATTTAATAAGATGACAACACTAATTACATAAATCCCTTTACTAGTTGAACGGTATGATCCGAGACAAAATAAGTGGGTAAGGATGCGTCAAGGATTTGTTATCTTTGACTTTATTTAGTTTGTTCAAATACATAGGACATGACATGATTAGATTTTCTATTTATTTCGGAAAATAGGTCGCTGTTGCTCCAATGTCAACTCGAAGAAAACACCTGGGAAGCGCTGTTTATAATAATCTGATTTATGCAGTCGGTGGTCGAGATGATTGTATGGAATTAAGTTCAGCAGAAAGGTAAGGATTCTCCGAGTGAGGATGATTGCGCCATATACATACATATTAATTAAGCTATGATTACCTTTTTCAGATATAACCCATTAACTAATTCATGGCAGCCACTAATTGCGATGAATAGCAGAAGGAGTGGGGTAAGGAATGTTAATAAATTTTATGAATTTTAGCTAACTTGTTAATTACGCATTCTTAAATTTAGGTTGGACTCGCTGTCGTAAATGGATGTAAGTGTAACAGAACAAATCAACCTGCGATTATACATAATATCCTTATCTTTAATTTATAATAAATTATTTGCAGTGATTATGGCGGTGGGAGGTAATTTAATACTTGGAACATAAATATCTTCATAACTATATAATTGATTCAATCAATGGCAACTAATTAAAGGTTTCGATGGAACCACGTATTTAAAAACGGTAGAAGTTTATGATCCCGAGGTAAAAATCTGTTAAAATATGTAATGTTCAAGAAATTTAAGAATTGTTGTGCACGATTATAACTGTAAGTAATTTTTGTCTGGTTAAAACTTTTTAGGTAAACACGTGGAGAAATTGTGGATCTATGAACTATAGGAGACTTGGAGGTGGAGTTGGTGTTATGAAAATTCCTGCATCAGAATCATCATATTGGTAGTACCTATAGGCATAGTTTTAATAGGTGACAAATGTTTTAACTATTTGCGATGCATATTATGGAATGTAGTCATTTTTAAGATATAATTAATACGTAGCCGTCATGGTTCTTCTTTATTTGACGCACGCATATATTTGTGATGATGGTACGCTCTTGTTGGTCTAAATTGATTACCATCATCATACTGAACAAAAGTGACCAATCAGGGCCAACCATGATCATAAAATTAAGGAGTACGGATCAAACGTATAATTAAATATAGTATTAAAACCTTCCCACACGAAATGTCAAAACAAGGGAATTAAGTGTGATTACGATTTTGATTTTTAAAGGCGAAAAGACCCTGTAACTAATTTTATTATTAAAACCTATTTTAGAAAATAAAATTCTTTTATATAATGTGCAACATGAATAGGCGACTTTGTCGTTGGAGGTTTGAGATATTATTGATTAGGCTTTTTTGTGGTCATTATTTTTCTTGCCAAATAACTGTAATAATTTAGGAGTTATGGTCTACATCAAACATTGGTTTAGTAAATTGTTTCTTGGTTTAATCTCCTGTAATTCAACATTTAACGTCTTCATCGTATAATATAGGCACCGATTCAGATACACGGAATTCAACCTCTCGGAAACGCAGCGACAACACTGTGACGTGACGTGGCTTTTTGCCTCCCTATTGGTTTATTCATTGGAACAAAGCCGACCGATTTACTGGTCTTGAAGCATTTATGCGAGTAATGTTTTATTCAAAGCCGTGTTTTTACCCTGCTCGGTTTCAGTTCACGATATGGCAATGGAGTTTGAGAAAATTTTTGTCAATGCTACAGCCACACACGTATGTATGTACCCTGTTGTAAATATTAAAGTTATCACAGCCAAACGAAGAAGGTCAGTTATACAACAACGGTCAGCTTTTCCAATTACTTATAAGGCATCGTGATGGTATCATAGAATAAATGTAAAACGAGTATTTCGACGAATCATAATAGATATACTGACCAGTGACCACCTGAAATTACTAGTAACACCTCTTCCAAGGATGTTTTTAATTCAAACATTCAGAAAAATTCCAGAATTTGAAATATTTGTGTTACCTCTCATGTTTCGAATTTAATTTACACATGCATTTTACTATATGCGAATCTAGCACTCGTTTCTGAATAGTTGGGATAACTCATGAGAGAAAGCACGGAGAAGGGTTAGTCCCCCCAGTGTTTCGGACAGTTGGTAGATTTTACTGTGTATTGGATGCCAGCCATCATTCAGGTCAAGCCAACTAATATATTATTCATTACTCATCGCAGGTTGGGTTTCTTAGAACGACATATTTTACTACACTGCGCTGCTCATTTCACCAAGCTTTTAAACTCAACAAGAACAATTCCTTTAAGTTTGTCTCCATATGCCTCAGTTTCGACATTAAAAACTAAAATTGTAACTGGCTGACAAAAAACAGGTTACTCTCCGTGAAACATTTGGTCAAGTAGTATACTTGGTATTTGTTACTCGAAAATTTCGTGATCTTAACATTACATACTATTGTATTACATAGATATATCTTTCTAGCGGAGTATTTACATCTTTGTTGTAACTTTTAAAAGTCTTGGTGCTGGTCATGCATGCAAAATCTAAAAAGTTGCATCATGTTTTAGTTTTAAACTTTGTCATATGTAACTCAGTTACACAGTTTAGTGCCCAGAGGAAATAAGTACGCAGATTCTGCGACACATGCGATGGTGGTAGAGTTCTTTCCAGCCGAATTGGTTGGTCGACTGTTCGGATTTCCAGAGGAGAAGCGATACCCTCCTTCCTTCCCACCCGTGGGAAGTGGAATATCTGATGGGGAATGTGCTCCTGCTTGACTGCCAGCCTCGGAGTTTGTTGCCGTACTTTTCGTTCCAGAAGGAGGTTTGAGAGACTACTCTGACTCGAACGAGGAGAAAATCCGGAGTTCTAGTCCATGCTTTGTCCAGAACCTTTCTCTCTGCTCCTCATGACTTTCAGATATCTCGCTTAGTTCCTAAATGTTTTAAGCAAGAACTGGAGAAAGTTGGTTTCACGGACCCTTCTTCTCCGCGTCGCGTCCTGCTTGTTTTACGCACCAGTCGAGTCAAGGGCAGTGAGCTGCTTCTTACTTTGTCCTTTTCGTAGAAAGAGGGAAAGCCAAGTTCCACTTGACACATATTATTATTTATCTTGTCTCATCCCACAAGTGACTGTGTGTGGTGTTCTTGTGGTGCCAGCCTTGTTATTGTCAGTTCATCTCCTCATTCAACGTTGCCGTCACTCTGTAGTGTCCCAATGTTCTTTGTCACTGTGGATCAGCCAAAGTAAATAGACTCCCAACACGTTGCGTGGTCTTTATATTGTGTTTTTGTCGGATCTTTGCATGTGATAAGAAACTAGCAGCGTGTATAATACAGGGTCTAATGTGTATAAGCAACTTACGTTCTTTTGTCCCAATCGGTTTCAAAAGACTTTTCACATAAAAAGCCCAATTTAAATTTCTTCGATACGTGTCAACAATTCAACTCCTAAACGTGATGAAGCAATGTCTAGTCCAGCTACAAGCTAACGATGTGGAATTAAGTGTCACTTTATACGAACTTTAACGACAACTGCACAAACATAACTATCGTTAATTCATGAATGAGACAATTTGGGTGTCAAGAATAAGCCCAACCTGATTACACTCGCAGCAACAAAGCAAGATACTGGAGTTTGTATATACAGTATTTGACCACGACGGGCATACAAAGTGCACAAATATTCGGTCATTCGACTATTCATGTACTACTGTGGGCTGACGACAACTTAAAATTTCAACAAATCGATCGACTAGAAACTCGGAGACGGAAATTGAGCTTTATGACACCATTTTCTCAAAGGGCTAAGCTAACCACTAACTTCAAGTAAACAGGTCCTACACAAATTTACCAAGGTATGTCTTGTGTTTTACTATATATTCATCTGATTGGATCGCAAGATATGTCTCTTCGTGAGTGAGACAGCAGAGAAGAAAGTGAGATCTCCAATTGCGAAAACCGTAAATTATTCTCAAACGCTGATCTCTCTCTGTAGCCATGTTTTTCTCTTCGAGTTTGACAGAGCAGAGAGAGAAAACTAATAAATCCATCTTGCACAACTTGTAATTTACCATCAGTATTTCCAATGACTCAAAACATTAACGAATCTCGTTTAGTCATCGTTGCAATTAAGTATTAATATCTAGGATAGGATTAATTACTCAATTCCGAGACAAATTGCGAATGTCAAAGAAACTGAAGAGATCGGGAAATTACATTGTATGTTCTTCCTCTTTGACTTGTTTCCTAATCATCAGAAAATTGCACTGAAATAATTACGGTGCACAATATTTCTGATGCATACAAGAAATACAAAATTTACAACAATTCACAAACATAAATACGTAGTATTTCCAATATCCATCACAATGCATGACATTCGTCTGGAGCAGCTTTCAATTTTTAAGTCTTTTTGGAAACAATTGGGCACACAATAATATAAAACGGTATCGATCGGTGCATGCATGGTTGTTGCGTCCCACACACATAAGCAATAACTAAATCGAAGCTTTGCCCTCTCTAAATAAATAATTCACGGACAGCTCGAACGAGGAGGAAGTTGATATTCTGCAATTTCACCCATTTTGCTTCCATTTTGCCCCACTCACTCTCGTCACTCTAGGTCCGTTGGGTTGGTCGTAGTACTGCATACGATATTTAGATGGATGGAAAACGGGGGTGAACATCACACTTTCTCCCGAATAACAACTCAACGCTTCATAATATCCAGTGTTGGTTGGTTGGTTGGTTGTGTTGTGGTCATGTTGGGATGTCACGGGTTGACTTAAAAGCCCATTTATTTTTCATTTCGTGGTAAATAATGAAGCCCATGTCAGAATTCATAAGCACTGCCTGCCAGGTTGAGTGCATAAGGAAAATGAAAATGAGCACTTTTCAGGATGACTAAACAAACCCAACTTTCCAATCAACTCCTGCAACCTAGTCCTTCCTTCTTAGGACACATACACACAGGAAAGAGTGTCGTCGTCCTCCTCGTTAAATGAATCATGAACTTGGCGACCTCAATTTTCTATTAGAAATCTGTTCATTTCTTGACACTTGACTACTTTGAATCCGAAATAACCAGAATGACCTCATTTCCAAAATGACTTTACGGAGCTGCATATCCGCTGGCATGTGTAATTTGACTGGAACGGCATACATATTTTTCAGGAAGATTTGAATGACGTCATTACTCTAACGATTCACCCCTCTGTGTATAATGGCGTTGTCGTTAACACAGTCCGTGGTCCATGGAAAACAACCTCTCTGGCGGCCACTTGTATATTTAATAAGTATATTCATTCGCCTGCACGACTACGAACTACCCACCAAGAAGGCATATTTCAAAGTTTCGCATAATTTGATCTCACTCTTATCAAGCGTCTAGATTTCCTCTCCTCTAATGAAGCGTAAGTAGGTCCGCTGCTGCTCAATTTCTTCAAAGGATGCTTTGTGTTTGTGGGTAGAACAATAGCATTCCTTCCCAATAAGCGAAAGCGGATTCCTCTTCCCGCAAGTGAAAGTCGCCACTTTTGGAACTGATATGCATATTAAATTGGAAACCTTCCTTCCTGTTGGATAATTGTATTTCGCCGTTCTTCTCTGAAATCGATTACTTTCAATTCAATTTCGATCCTTTCGGTTCATGAGACGAGATAAGCAGAGTTTGAGATACGAATAAGGACACGAGTTATGGATGGAGGAAGACGGGAGCAGACGGGATAAGAAAAGAAATGGAACCCTACTCAACCCAAAAAGAAGAAGGTAGATTCTCTGCTTTCAAAACCTAATCTGCAACTAAAGTCCCCTGGGCAGCGCAGAATTGGATGGCGAGGGTCCTATTTTGCTGCCCATGGTGCTATGTGATCCATCCTTCTTGCCACCGCTCCTGTCATCCCCTCATCTTCTTGGTCGTAGGTCTTACAAGCACGATTACACGATATATACCAAGTAAAGAGTTAAAGTTATATGTATTTACATGCATACCGTAAGAAGTCTAGTCAGTCAAGAACTGACAACGCATCATCATCCAATTTGAATTACGATGGTTCTAACGTAATAACACGTAAGCCCAAAGATGAGTCGGTCGTCCGTTTTCATCATTCATCACAATTACCAAGAATGTCTGAACCAACATAACCCAGTTTATCTAGTTAACCCAGTTGACTTACATAAATTCGCCATTGATGATATGTATTTAATAGTCAACTTGAATCCAAGGTGGTCAATATTCTCAGAACTATACCGATTTTCGATATATATATATTTAACTTAATTACCTTTTTGACATGCGCGCAGACACAATCACACTTCTGATAAAAACCTACGCATAGGTTTGACAATTATTTACGTTCCTACAGGCACTTAGAAATAACAAAAAACACTTATGGAAGAAAGACGAATAAACCTACAGTGCAGACTTGATGTAGCCCGAGTCAGGCGTAAATCTGTTTTCAAATTAAAATTTGTAAAACTTCGAATTCTTCAATTACGAGCCTTTAGTAACCCATATACCAAAATTTATCCACTATCATTAAATGTAATCGGCTATCACTAAATTTTTGTTAGTGCACACATTTTTTTCCCTTGGTCACCTGTATCGACTGTGACCATAACTTTGAAACGAGTGTATATTTTTTCTTAAAACTTTCAGGATATTATGTTACCAATATTCAATGTAACATATATAAATTCCAGGTATGCGGGTGACTAGGTTCGTACACATTTGTTGGTGCACACATATTTTTCTCCCTGGTCACCTTATTGGGTCGCCCAATAAGGTCCTCCAGATGAAAATTTTTCTTATTTTACTTTATATTGTTCTATTAGGAGCTATTACCAACATGTCTACCAAATTTCAGCTCGATTTGACGAATTTGAAAAATTGGTATGGGCCACCCCATAGGGTCTATCCAGGTGAAAATGTGTCGAATTTCAATTCATATTCTTCCATTGGTAGTCATTAACAACCTATGTACCAAATTTCAGCTCGATTAGATAAGTTTTAAAAATCGGTACGTGTCACCCCCTATGGTCCCTCGAGATGAAAATTTTTGCAATTTTACTTTGTATTCCTTCATTAGAAACCATTATCAACCTCTGCACCAAATTTCAGCTTTCTACGGCAATTTTGAAAATTTGGTGCATAATACCCCACCCACCTATATGACCCCCACCGGTCAACCACTTGACCGATTTCGCCCATCTTCGAACTTAACTCCTCATTTGACCCATACTACATTTGTGCAAAATCTCAAGTCGATCGGATTAGTTTTACGGCAGTTATCGCAAGACAGACAGACAGACGGACAGACGGACATGACGGGTACATAAGCCCTGACTCGGGCTAAAAACTGGAATGAAGAATGTCTATGATTATAATGCCAAATACGGATCAAAGATTACAGATAATTCACCAGTCACCGGTGACAGGTGAGCAGCGGGATAGCAAAAGGGAGTATCTGCAAAGTGTATAGATTTGTGACCACTTTGGGAGTAAATAAAAATCCAAATTCCAGAGTAATTCATTCTAGCGTCATTTTCATAATATTTGTTTGCAGGCAGTTACAGTTTAATTTAATTACTTGTTTGGCTTGGAGGATCATTATAATTGAGCAAGCAACGTACAAACAGACAGCAGCAGTAACGAAATAAATATTATCACGATTCACCAGCGGCTGGGGTTTTAGGGTTGCATGGGATTTTCGATAATGTAGCTAATTGCGAAATCAGTAAGGACCACCCGTTGTACGTCGAACAGGGAGTTCAGTATCAATTGACTTACCTGCGTGATCACTGTGTTTGGCGTCTGTCCATGGTTATTTGCTATTTGAGTTATTGCTGATGCGATCTAATCATTAAATTAATTGACTTTCGTATACCCGTATCTACGAGGGTTTTGTTTAATGTCTGAATTTGCATGAGCATACTTACTCGTGATATTTCACTGCACAATTCGGATCAATGTAAGTTTTGGTGTTTGAGATATATTGAAACAAAACATGCTTCTTTTAAAGCATTCTAAAGTTTGCAAATTTACTTATATAATAACCATTACCGTTTTGGGAAAGAGCTCAGTTTTCGAAACCAACGGGGTCGTTTGCAACGGCCACACAAACCAACAATTTTAACAATAATTTCAGTTTCTTCCTACAACTATGCATACATACTGATTATGCCTTCATGACAAGTCCATTAATCCGCTTTTGCCTGTCCCATGATCTATCCGCAACCATCGTTTCGTTCCGTTTTCCGTGGCATGAGTTTGTGAGATAGAGGAAGCAAACAAGTTTTAGTAGACTGGTGTGCTTCAAATTGCTTTATGCTCTATGGAACTTTGCAGGAGTAGTGAAAGTGGAGAAAGTGAGACTTGAGATTATATTTAGATACGTTTTTGCATGGAAGCTGCACCCTATGTGAACACGAATCTGCTCATACTGCGTTGTTACGCTCTTGGTTGCAGTTATTACATGTCTGGAGGACACTACATAAGTACATGAACTATCATATGATTAACTTTTACCGTGCTATTGACTAGGCAAAATGTAACCAGAAGGGTGAGAACGGCCCGGAAAGCTGGGGCGGTGTCAGTTGTTTGGTTCATGAATAATTTCATATCTTCTCATCATCTCAAGATGAATTATTCAAAGTTGGAGTTGGAAGGTTATGCGAAATGCGCAATTTGAATTTCATTTTTAAAATAATACTGCTATATTATTACTCAAACAAGGGTGAAAGTAACGCTCATTCTTTTAAACCAAGGGTGACATCATATGGTTCGTAAAAAATGTTACCCATTTTACAATGCTGGTGAATATTCAAGCACTTGAGGAAAATCCTGCAAGACCTTCCT